AGCAGACTTCCAAAAACTCGATCGGGCGTACCTCGCATCGTAAGAGTGCTGGAATTGATAGCGTCGTAAACCGACCGATATCATGTCGAGCAGCGGGCGATGACCGAAAGACCGCGGACAAGATGTGGCGCGAGCATCAAACGCGGTCACATGCTCTGCTGTCATCACCTGTGCTCACGACATGTACGTCACTCCTCATGACATCATTCAATTACTGAGGGTATTCAGGGTATTCCAGTGGCTTGCATGCGTTGGTAGAAGCATGTTATGATACAGTGTACAATTGTAAGTCAGGGCATAAAAAGACCTAGTGAATCGAAGCCGCAGCGGCTTTACCCTCAGAAGCGCGAATCTGTCCTTTCTCCTCCATCTCCGGTTTCTTTGTGACCTTGCCGACGAGCTGACAATCGAGTGAGTCAAGATGTGCCAACCAAACCGGCGACGACAAACCTTCTGTGCTGTACCAATCATCTTATCCGCAGCGCTGGGTTTGCTAGCGTGGTCGTGAATCCCGGAATCATGGTGATGATCATGGGTGGTCGTAGGTCCAGCAGCAGCTGCGGAACCCGTCAGCAAGGAAAGACACAAACCACACGGGCAAGCACGCACCGGTAGACGAGTCCCTCAGATCCGTCGAATCGGGCCGCTTCTCGCTGAAGGCGTCCCGTCCCGAATGGGGCTCGGAGTCGCGCGTCGTGGTCGTCGCGGTCGGCCTGGAGGTGCCGATTTCAGACAGCTCACGTGTCGGTTTCGTGGGGTCGGCGTCCTGCCACACGGAGCTGGGCAGACGCTCCATCGTCTCCGGGCTGTAGTCGACTGCGGGTGCCGCGCCGCGCGCACCAGGGAGCGGATCCGAGTCCTTGTGGACGTGGTGCTCGGGGAGAGCTTCGGTGTGGTGTTGGTGAGCAGAGAGGTTGGGAATGGAGGCCATGTTTGTGAATGAGTGAAGAGGTGTAGATACGGCTGGCTACTTTTATAACTGGTGTCTCAGTTTGGAGCGAGTGCTCAAAGGCGGTTACATCATCTGCGCGTCAGAGTCGATAAACTTCGGATGTCTAGGAGTGGATAGAGCGGGCCGTGTGGCGGATGACGTAAATGCATTAGCCCTGCTGGATGCGTTGGAACCCGAGTCAAGCGCTTGGGTTCTCCTCGAGTCGCAGAGGGAGGACTGCTGTTTTGGGACAAATCCTGCTCAAACAGTCGCGGGCGTGAGAACGTCAACGTCATTTAAGTGATCCGCCATTGAGTACTTGGAACGGAATTTCAAACAGTCTAAGCAGGTCTAAGCACATGCAAGTTCCCAGACAATGAGCTGGTTACTGATGGCACTGCAAATCTTGACTAACAACGCACGAGGTCGCTGCACGCCCTCCCCGGCTGATTGGATCGCAGGGGGTCACAACCTCAACACCCGGTCCACTTCTTTATCAAACCTCTCCTGGCAGGCTAGGATGCAAATCAAAACACGGCAAATTCAATCAAGTGTTCCACCTACCAACCACATGAAATTTATGCTTATCAGGAGCAGTGAACTCGAAGCTGCTGTCGTCGGAACACTATTATGGCTTACTACACACTTGGGAGATCGGAACCTGCAAGATAGCAGCTGGACTCAAATTTTCGATGGCGAGACCGAACAACACTCTCACGGCAGACCGGGGTTGGGAAAAGCCGCCAAGGTAAACAGTGACGAAACGTGCCGCTGCACGACTATTGATGGAAACATGATGGTAGTAGCCACGGTGACGCGGCCGATCAGCCTGTGATCGACGTCTACTCGTCCATAATTCAGTTCTAGAAATCCGAGTACTTAAAGCGCATTGGGTCGCTCTGTGCATTGTTTCATCTTCTCTTTCTTTCTTCCTTTCCCACTTTTCTTACTTTTCTTCGACTGTGTCGACGGCCCGCCCATACTCCCGCACACTTTCATTTCAAGCTAGTCTTTCATCCTTATCACAATGAAGTTCGCCGCCACCGCTGCTCTCGTCGCCGTCGCTGTGTCTGTCGCAGCTCTCCCCGTCCGTCGTGGAGTCAACACCAGCTTGATCGTCCCCTTCGGTATCAACCCGGGAGCCAAGGACCCTGCTGGATCCGCCTCTTGTGTCGGAATCAACGGGATCCTCATTCCGTGTTCCTGCCCGCCCGATCTCGCATCCTTCACTGACGTACGTGCTATGCATTCCCTCGTGTCCTCGCACCCCTTGACCTGTCGCCGCAGTCCTTGAACGCCAACGTCGCCGCTGGCCACGCGATCAACAACCCGGGCATCGGCGCTGCCTTCCCTGAAGACGGCTCGATCCAGTCCCAGATCACGCGCCTGAACGCCCAGACAGTCACGCTCCAGAACCTGCACGGTCCCGGCGTGGGCTGCCCCCAGGCCGCGACCAACTGGGGCGGTGTCCTCCAGAAGCTCCAGGCCGGGATCTCCGAGAACCTGGCCTCGCCTCCGCCGCCCCCGACCCCGGCTGCCCCGGCGCCGCCACCCCCTCCTCCCGCCGCCCCGGCAGCCGGGGGCGTCGACCCCGCGCTCGTGCCGCAGTTCGACGTGACGCCCGGGATCAAGGACCCCGCAGGCTCCGCGTCGTGCGTGGGCATCAACAACATCCTCATCCCGTGCTCGTGCCCGCCGTCGCGCGAGGAGTTCATCGCGTCGCTGAGCGCGAACGTCGCCGCGGGGCACGCGGTGAACAACCCGGGCGTCGCGTCGCCGTTCCCGACGGACGGCTCGCCCCAGGCGGCCGTGACGCGCATGCAGAGCGCGCTCGTCGCGCTGCAGAACCTGCACGGCCCCGGCGTCGGGTGCCCCGCCGTGTCGACGACGTTCTCCGCGCAGCTCTCGGCTCTCCAGGCGCGCGTCTGAGGGGACGGCATGGTGGACTTGTGATGACTAGCTTTTATGTTTGAATGATACCGTACTTATTGATAAGTATGGGCGCTCTTTGCAATGAACTACCCTGGGAAGGAAGCATTGTGTGATGAGTTGACGAAGTGATGGTATCGATACTCAAGCAGGGTCAGATGCCAACGCCTCGTCCACCATTCCCAAGACACTTGCGGACCTTGCTTCGACGTTGCACGTAAACGGGGCGGGGCGGCTGGAGCGTACGTTTCATCATTGCTCACTCAGTGCAGGACAAGGACGCACCAGATGATGCCATCTGTCGTGCCGACTTCCGGCTCTATAGGCACACCATGCTCGTCCTTGGCTTTAGTTATCGTCAGCCCCGCCACAAGCTTCGCAATGTTTATCCAAACGGAAACGTCAGCAAGACGGATGCCGGGACATATCCTGCCACAGGTAAATAAAAAACATTCTCACGAAGAGCAGAACCGGCATCTGCCGCACACACCTGCGCCCATAGCCGAAGAGACCGACCTCGGCTGGATGCCGCTCTGGATCTGGTCCCAGAAAACGCTCAGGATTGAAAGTGAGTGGATCCCGATAGGTCGCAGGATCGTGCAAGAATTTCCTGTCGATCATCCATCATTGATCTCTGTGTGCTCGAGGGCATGAATAGCACCCACCACACGTTCGGAATCACCACAGAATCCTTGGGAATAAAATAGCCCTCGTATACATCGTCCTTCATCGCGCGATGGGGCGCAGCTAGACTGCAGTTCAGCGGCCGATGGCAACTACGGTGGCAGGAAACAACTCGCCCAACGGAACAATAGGCAGCCAACGGTAGAGTTCTGTGCACAACGCCTCTAGATAGGGCATAGATTCGCGATCAGCGAAGCTCGGCAGCCGGTCGCACCCGACGACTCGGTCCATCTCCTCTTGTGCTTTTGCTTGAATCTGCGGGAATTTGGCCGCTGCCAGGAAATAGGCAGTGACAACGGAAACAGTCTGAAACATTGCTCGAGTGAGCTGGCAGACACAGAAGATCCACACGGTCGCCTTTTACACACCGTGTCAGATCCGGCTGAGATCGAGAATGCATAAATACGACGCTCACTGGTCCGATAGAAAGAGAAACGAACCTCCGTAAAGTGACGCTGCTGACCACTTGATATCTTCGCGCTCTTGCAACGACAGATCGGGCTGGATTAGCAAGTCTGCGACGAACGAGTTACTGGCTTGGCCGCTATGCTGGATCTCAATTCAACACTGAAGCGAGACCTGCGAAAAAAAAACGAAAGCTCACCATTTGCCTCTGCACGTAGTCCAACGGAGTCTGCGCCATCATGTCACATGCCGTGTCGTATTTTTTGGCGAGTCGCTTGAAGTGGGCGCCAGGAAACCTGGCACGTAGCATTAGCAGGCAGGAGATGAGCCGTCAGTTTTGTAGAGAGCATACCATGACGGCACATATTTCACTTTCCCGTGCACTTAGCATAGGCTCATCTCCGCGAAAACAAATAAACAACATACAGAGCGGGAGAGCCTCCACCAAAAAGGCACCTGGTCGCATGATCTCTGTAAATTGACTCGTGGCCTAGGCGAAATCCCAAACTTAGTCACGAAATGGAGAGGAAGAAAAGAAATGCACGGACCCCATCTACTAGACTGACAAAGGAATCCTCTCCCTCCTCCGAAATCTTATAACCATACGTAATGTGGAGAATCGTTGCCGATGCCGTCGTCCTGGCGGCCTTCAGTGGTCTTAGCATTACAATCCTCAATTCGATGCAGAAGGTGCCCACGTCGCGAAACGCGGAAGGATTGGACAGGATTCGCTTGAGAAGCATATTTCCCTGCCACTCTTCCGCAGAGTGGAACTTGGCCATGCTGTTCTTGCTCCCGATGACTTGGCTTACGAGTTTCCGGTACTCCCTCAACCTAGATGGAGATTTTAGATCAGTTCTATCGTCTCAACGGAAAGAATATCTACCGCGGCCCGTAACGAAGACTAGAAAACTTCAATCCAACTCGTCCTGAAAGTGCGGACAGATACGCGCACCTGCTCAGAACGCGATCCCAGCCAGACAGGACAGCCATTTCGGACGTGGGCCGATCAGCATAGTCGTTGCCCCGCTTGTCCAGGATTTCCGCGGCAATGACGGGGTCGTTTATGGAGGCTGAAAACGTTATGCTGATAACCGATGTCTCAATCATGGATGGCCGCTCGGCAGATATTGATCAGATGATTGACGAAATGATCAAGACCCAAGGTAGCCGACTATCGCAATATCGCAATATCGCAACATCTTAATATTCGAAAAGCGCAACATTCGAGATGGGGTCAGCGGCCAAGTCGCCGGCACGAGCAGGCTCGTCGCGAGTCCGCACTCCCAGGCGACCTTCCAAGGCAGCGGCTCGTACGTCGTATTTGACTGGGGCAAGGAGGTGCGCGGCCTCCCTGATACAGCGCCGTCGAGGGTCAATTGACACACCCATACTATAGTTCTGGGGGATCCTGTCGCTGACGATCAACAACGCGACGGCGCAGTCGCAGTTCTCGCTGTCGCTCACCGAGTGCGCGGAGTTCATCAGCCCGCTCAAGTCGGACGACTCGTGCCAGCCTGCGCCGGCAGCTGCAGAACTGGGACGTGATCCAGACGTTCCACGCGCCGCTCGCCACGGGGCTGCTGGCGCAGACCGTGGGACAGCAGTGCGGCGGGTTACGCTTCCTGACAATTGTGAGTGCGAGCGCGGACCCGCTGGCAATTACGTTTATGCCCCACTGGGACGATCTCAAGGCGTACCCGGGCTACTTCTACGCACCTAACCCCGGGTTTCACGACATCGACTTCCTGGCGAAGATCTTGTACGCCGGTGCGTCATCGCCCGCTCGCTGTCTGATGGCGCAGAGCGTGGCATGGGTAGGGGCTGACCGCTAGCAGGCACGTATACGGTGCAGAACAACACAATCCCTCCCCGCATGGTGCGACAGGGGCCGTGGCCCGCAGGAGGTATGTTTTAGCACGGATTTGAATATTGGGCCGATTCAAACTATGGGATGACATTTGTAGGTGGCTGGTCCAACAATGCCTTGGGAGGTTCCGTGATTGGGCCTATCCTCGTCGATGGAGCAAAACGCGACAGGTGAAGAGTGGCCGGCCACGATCTGTCTGCAATCCCCGCTGATGACACTTGTACTGTAAGGAACATCTGGCCAGGTAATCCCTCATGCTCAGGGCCGCGATCTAAGCCTCGGAATCACGCGACGGATCAGGCGACTGCGGTATCTCCACGCACACGGAGCTCGTCGCGCTGAGCGACACGGAGCCGACCAAGAACTCGCTGACGGTGATGTTCCGCACGCAGAAGCCAACCACCGGCGCGCTGCAGTACTCTGGGCCGCTGCTGAACAATCAGGGCAGCGATAAGTACATCTCGTCGTCGCTCATCGGGACGCACAACTACTTCTTGTATGTGGGCGACCTCGATTTCGTCAAGTCTGTCTGGCCAAACTACACCAAGGCGGTCGGCTTCCTTGAAGGTCAGGTGGACTCGACGGGCCTGATGACCGTCCCGTCTTCATTCTCGAATGACTGGGGCAGGGCAGGAGGCGCCGGAAACAGTGAGCATCTGTCGCGCGCTCTCTCATCGTTTATCCGCACTCATGAGGGTCGCAGACGCTCGTCACCGCGACGGACCTGGCGACGCATCTCGGCAACGTCTCCCTCGCCGCCACATACCTCGCCAACGCAACCAAAATGCAAACCGCGCTCAACAGCCTGCTGTGGGACGCCGCTGAGGGCCTGTTCCGCGAGAACGACGTCCCGACAAGCATCTACCCGCAGGCCGGCAACGCGTTTGCGGTCCTGTACAACCTCACGACATCGGATGCACAGAACAAGGCCGTGAGTGCTGAACGTTACATGAAGATTAAATCACCAGCAGTCGATCGCAACTCATGCTGGGAGGTTTATTTACAGCTTTTGGCCAAGTTCAAGGCCCTCGACGAGCTTCACAATATTGATCAGACAATAGACGACAGGTGGGCTTACGCCCTTAGCCATGCAGCGGCAGAGTACAAGGACGAGATCGCACCCTTACCTAACCTGAAGGAGCTTCATGGTGGTGATGGTGTCATTGGACGGAACGTTGATATGGGCGGGGTGAAAAACGGCTACGGATTGGGTGAGACTGAACTTTCTCATCTGTGGGCTTTCTTCTCACGCATCCAGGGCCGGAGCATCATGCCCGATTGAATGCAATTCTCGACGAAATTGAGCCGAACTTTGGTCCCGATGAGTCATAAACTGTTGGTCCCGATCTGTACGCATGGTTCTCGGATGAGAAGACCCGCGAAAATGATCAGTGAATTACAGTGATTACATGCTCACTACGCTATCTCGAATATTATGCTATCTCGAATGTTGGGCTTTTCGAATATTACGATATTGCGATGTTGCGGTGTTGCGATATTGCGATAGTCGGCTACCTTGGGTCTTGATCATTGCGTCAATCATCTGATCAATATCTGCCGAGCGGCCATCCATGATTAAGACATCGGTTATCAGCATAACGTTTTCAGCCTCCATAAGGTATGCCGCATGAGGATCCAGGGACCCTTAGTAAGCAGTGCGTGACGGTCACGTGACGTTCAAATTCACAGTCCGAAAAACGTAGCCCTTCTTTTCGGTGTCATTATGGACATGTATGCACCCAATGTGATCCAAAATGGGTGTCCGAAGGATAATTGAATTTCTTTATGGCTACTATGACTATAGAAGGGGATCTCAATGCCGGCAGCACCGCCACTTCCTAATTGGGACGTCACGTGAATGGTCAAATCTTCCGACCCAAAATTCAAAGATGCTCAGTTCAGTTGGAAATCACTTTCTACAATAAAAGAAAACTTTTGATGCAGAATTCTTGAACCTCACATCACGCTCTCCAGGAGGCAAAATAAAAAATTCTACTCACATAGCAGGTGTGCTAAAGGCCTCCAGAAACACCCCATGTGAGTACTTTAGCTATATTCCCTCCGTGGCCGTCGTCATCTTCCGTCGCTGTTTGTCACAGTGTGACGCTTACAAAGGGTCCCTGGATCCTAATGCGGCATACCTTAGTCGTTGATGATAATGAACGGCTGGCCCAAAACAGTGATAGACACAAGTCCGCCTGTAAGTTTTGAGCAAGAGACCGATGGAGGAGCCTTTGTGGCACGAGCCGAATTTCTCTCCCCACTCCGCGAACGTGGTCCAAGCGTGACTCTTAGGCATGTCCAGCACATTGCCAATGAGCGGCAAGCCCGGCGGACCGGGAGGCAGAGTGTGGCGATTGCGCCTCGAATAAAGAGCGCAGGCGCCAAGTGCGATCGCTGCACTGGCCACAGCGAAATCGGTCGGAGTAAGCTGCACCATAGCCGTGGGTATCGGAAAGAATCAACTGTGCGTTACGGGCTTATAAACAGCCCAGTTGCCGAATGTTTGCCGCGACCTTGAGAATTCCACCCCAGGGACCTCCAATTATTACGTAAAATGGCTTCGAGGCCCCCTCCGGAGGCCATCAAACCACCCCCTACCCCCCCTGATCGGAGGCCATCCTGGAGGCGCCTTCCTAATTGGTACTCTGCCCAGCCATTCATCCACAGCCAGCATGGTAGGCTAGGCATTGACCCGAGTGTTTATATATGCTGTAGTAGTCAGTATGAAGCCTCAGACAATGTCTTAGCTCACAAAAGCTTGTATTTCTTGCTTGCAAATGGTAGACCACTGGGCGCACAAAATTCGGGATTTGAGCACATGAGCACTCCTCAGGTGCATAGAGCGGCAGTATATATGTTAATTCGAGATTGAGCATGAGGTAGCTGTGCCCACACGCAAAAATGAGATGTTGCTGAAGGGATGGTTTATGGCCTCCACAACCTCCCAGGGGCAGAAAAAAAGGTGTTGGGTAGCCCACAGGCCCTTGAATTCTGCTACAATAGATCAATTTGATGCTTATGCTTTGTCAAAACAACAGCCCAGCATATAAATTGGATGCTGGAGCAGTGGCAGAACAAGCCTCCACCGCCTCCAGGGCTGGGGACCAAAAGCGGTTATTGTAGATTCAGCCACATAAACCATATTTCTGATGTTGTTTGTCCTAGTCAGAATGTTTGGGTATTCAAGAGAGACAGGTGGCTACATAGATCAGATGCTAGCACTAATAGCAGAACCGGCCTCCATGGCCTCCACAGCCAGTGACCAAAAGTGGTTTTTTGGGTTCAGCCACATAAACCATGTCCATGATATTGAAGGTCTTCATTATAATTATGAGGGTCCTTTAGTTAAATGTCTCACCACATGAATCAGATGCTGGAGCAAATGGCAGAACTGGCCTCCGCTGCCTCCACAGGTTATCACTTGAAGAGTCTGAATGAGATGACAATGTAAGAGATATATATTCTCCTGGCTGACCGCATTCTGTTATTTCCACCTCTACATGCTAGTTTAATTGCTGCAGAATGTTAAAATTAGAGGATGGGAGACCCTGGAGGCACTGGAGGCACATGCAAGATCCAATCAATGTCATCAATATCATCAGTGCCATCAATAGCATCAAGAGCATCACCGATCATTGGTAGATTGATCAGCCAATCAGATGATGAATAAACATCGAACATCTAGTATGTTCATTCCTGAGAGACACAGACTACATGTATGCTCATACTGAAAGTGGATTAGTGGTCCCAGGACATGCCCCAATGACATATTGCATGCTTGTCTCAGGGACATATGATTAAAAATTGGAGTTGGCAAATGAGCTGAAAGTCAACTGAAGATGAGTGGTACAGTGGAGTACTTTCATGGTACAGTGGAGTACTTTCAGCTCATTTGCCAACTCCAATTTTTAATCATATGTCCCTGAGACAAGCATGCAATATGTCATTGGGGCATGTCCTGGGACCACTAATCCACTTTCAGTATGAGCATACATGTAGTCTGTGTCTCTCAGGAATGAACATACTAGATGTTCGATGTTTATTCATCATCTGATTGGCTGATCAATCTACCAATGATCGGTGATGCTCTTGATGCTATTGATGGCACTGATGATATTGATGACATTGATTGGATCTTGCATGTGCCTCCAGTGCCTCCAGGGTCTCCCATCCTCTAATTTTAACATTCTGCAGCAATTAAACTAGCATGTAGAGGTGGAAATAACAGAATGCGGTCAGCCAGGAGAATATATATCTCTTACATTGTCATCTCATTCAGACTCTTCAAGTGATAACCTGTGGAGGCAGCGGAGGCCAGTTCTGCCATTTGCTCCAGCATCTGATTCATGTGGTGAGACATTTAACTAAAGGACCCTCATAATTATAATGAAGACCTTCAATATCATGGACATGGTTTATGTGGCTGAACCCAAAAAACCACTTTTGGTCACTGGCTGTGGAGGCCATGGAGGCCGGTTCTGCTATTAGTGCTAGCATCTGATCTATGTAGCCACCTGTCTCTCTTGAATACCCAAACATTCTGACTAGGACAAACAACATCAGAAATATGGTTTATGTGGCTGAATCTACAATAACCGCTTTTGGTCCCCAGCCCTGGAGGCGGTGGAGGCTTGTTCTGCCACTGCTCCAGCATCCAATTTATATGCTGGGCTGTTGTTTTGACAAAGCATAAGCATCAAATTGATCTATTGTAGCAGAATTCAAGGGCCTGTGGGCTACCCAACACCTTTTTTTCTGCCCCTGGGAGGTTGTGGAGGCCATAAACCATCCCTTCAGCAACATCTCATTTTTGCGTGTGGGCACAGCTACCTCATGCTCAATCTCGAATTAACATATATACTGCCGCTCTATGCACCTGAGGAGTGCTCATGTGCTCAAATCCCGAATTTTGTGCGCCCAGTGGTCTACCATTTGCAAGCAAGAAATACAAGCTTTTGTGAGCTAAGACATTGTCTGAGGCTTCATACTGACTACTACAGCATATATAAACACTCGGGTCAATGCCTAGCCTACCATGCTGGCTGTGGATGAATGGCTGGGCAGAGTACCAATTAGGAAGGCGCCTCCAGGATGGCCTCCGATCAGGGGGGGTAGGGGGTGGTTTGATGGCCTCCGGAGGGGGCCTCGAAGCCATTTTACGTAATAATTGGAGGTCCCTGGGGTGGAGAATTCTGATAGACAAGGAAGATCTCCAGAACGGACAGTGGAGTCGATTGTCTACCCGGACTCCGTCGTTCGTGACAAGGCCGATCACTGGTTACAGTCAATTCCCTGACAGCTAACTGCAAAATCGTAGACACTTTTGAGTCTCGTCGGTGTGGAGCCGGAAAGATCCGGTTCCACAAAACGTGGCAAAAACGTCAGTGATGGAGCCCGAGAAGGTGCAGCCTCAAGGCCTCAAGACTCACCGTCGGTCCGACAATGCCCTCAAACTATTGATACATTCACCCTGAGCAAAATCGACTACCACCCACCATCAGAAAACACGATGGCGACCATGGGTGGTCAAAGAAAATGAGGATTTTATCTTGTTACATGTGCGCTGGCAGTGAATTTTGGTCGACATCCACGATCTCCGTGCACTGGCACGTCATATTTTGTGGATCCGGATCTTTCCGGCTCCACACCGACGAGACTCAAAAGTGTCTACGATTTTGCAGTTAGCTGGAAGAAGTAGCGAGCCTCTGACAATAGTATAAAGCAAGTGAGATAGAGAATTCTTGCATTGTGTCCTTGAGCTTGAACCCAAGCATATCGAGCGATTTTGTCTCCACAATGCCAGGGCACTCATTTAACGAGAGACAAAGCGCAGAACCACGAATAAAAAGCCCTGAAATCAAAATGACGGTGATTACCGAAAACAATTTGGACAAACACTTATGTAAGGAGAGTGGTTGATGTTTGATTCGCGCGGTCACGCGTCTGGTCCCCCACCCTTCTCACGACTCTACTCATCCACTACCGCCGCGACCCCCCCTCCCCGGTGCCTTCCACATGGCATCCAGAATACCGGTGGGTGCAATGTCTCCCGCATACACCCTGCCATCTCCCGCTGACCGCTCCCCGCAGATTCGACGCGCAGCGCGCACCCAAGGAGCCGAGAACGAAAACGCCGTGGGCACCGCAAAGCCCACCCACGGCCCCGCGCGCGCCAAGGTCCTCGGAAAGACCTCTGGCAGTACCACAGCATCCCGCCCACACAAGTCCAGCCACGACACCACGGTGGCAGCGACCAAACCTGCCCGCGAACCGCGAGACGATGACGCTTTGGCGAAGCGCAAGCGCGAGGCCTTGCGCGACAAGACCGATGTCCGCAGCGCAAACATGAAGGGGAAGGAGAAGGCGGACCGCAAGATACTCGGGTTGCCGAAGAAGACCGCTGCGGCGGACACGGTGGCACCGGCTGCACGCGCACCGTTACGTGTCGTCAGCGCGGCAGGTGCTGCTCCGGCACGCGACTCGACAGCCGTCCCCGCCGCTGGGACGCGTATCCGAGAAGAAACTGTGCTGCGCAAGGTCAGCAGGCGCCCGTCGTTGCTACCAGTGCCCCAGCAGGACAAGGAATCCGAGCTGGAAGTGTTGGCAGACGAAGAGGACAATGAAGCTGTAGAGCCTAGTCCTAAACGTCTCCGCACATCCTCAGTTGCACCCGAGGACATGCAAGCTGAGGAGCAGGTCGCTGCGGAGCTCGACGCTGTCACTGACGACGAGGAAGCCGACCCTGATGGAGACCTTTGGGAGGACCTCGACGCCCAGGATGCCGACGATGTTCTTATGGTCAGCGAGTATGTGATCGACATTCAGCGTTATTTGCGGGATGTCGAGGTACGCGTTTTTAACGCTTATTTTCCTTATCGTCGCTTACGCCACCACAGCTGAAAACGATGGCAAATCCTCGATACATGTCAGCTCAAGGAGACCTAACCTGGTCGATGCGCGGAATGCTCAACGAATGGTTGATGCAGGTCCATCTTCGCTTCCGGCTTCTTCCAGAGACCCTTTTCCTATGCTCCAATCTCATCGATCGATTCCTTTCCGCGCGGATCGTGTCGCCCACCAAACTGCAGCTGGTCGGCATGGGATGTCTCTTGCTGGCCTGCAAGTTCGAGGAAACGGTGTCGCCGTCGATCAGCAGCCTAGTCACCATTTGCGATAACGCGTTTGATGCTGCAGCCATGCGCCAGGCAGAGCAGCACATCTTGCGCACACTCGACTGGGACCTGAGCTACCCCAGCCCGATGCATTTCCTGCGCCGGATTAGCAAAGCGGACGGCTACAATGCGACGACGCGTACCCTCGCCAAATATCTGGCCGAGATCTCGTGCATCGACCATCGCCTGATCTCCGTCCCGCCATCGATGTTGGCCGCTGCTGCCATGTGGCTGGCACGCCTCTCGCTGGGCGAGGACTCCTGGACCCCGACACTCGCTCACTTCGCTATGTACCGCGAGAGCGAGATTATTCCCGTCGCGAATGTCATGATCCGCTATGTTTTGCAGCCGATCAAGCACATGGAATTCTACAAGAAATATGCGGGCAAGAAAAATATGAAGGTGGGTTTGTTAGCGATGCTTTCTCCCCGGATCGCTGTACTGATCGTGTTTGTAGGTCAGCGTCTATGTGCGCCAGTGGGCCATCGGTCAGTGGGGCGAGGGCACCCGCATTGATCTGCAGGAAGAGCTTCCCGCGCTCAAACGCAGCCTTCGTACTGGACATGCGGTGCAGGTCTTGGCCGAGCCTGATGAGAATGACGCTACTGCTGCAGAGCATGTCCTCGACGAGGAGGAAGCGGAAGCCTAATGATAGGTCCGATCTTACCTTACATTGCTACCTCTGCTGGATTTACGGGCTTCTGGGCGCAAAAGCTGTAACTTATTGCCTGCTTCATCATCCATTCATCATTATGCATATGTTCCACAAGACCCAATACATCCTCTGAAGCGCTACCTCGAGCGCTGGCCTACTGCGAGACTGCGGCTAGTGTACTCATCTCATCTTTATCCTATCATACTGCACCTGCTATATCATGTCCGTAGCCAGCATCATCTGTCCGAAATCTTCAAAGCCCATTGATTTGTCGGGTGAGGTCGAGAACTCTTGTAGCATCGCTATGAGCTGTGTGATCAAGCACCGTCAGGGGGGACATGATCACTTGGGGCTACTCGCGGAAGACTGACCTCCTCTGCCTTGTACGGCACATTAACTAGCTTGTGCGCATTCTGCAAGTCTAGTATCATCAGCCTCTTTGCCAACAGCTCGGAGTCCGGGACTGAGTCTGGGAAGAACAGGGCGTAGGTTTCGAGACATGCTGCCCGCTGCCGGGATGTGAGTGTTTTGGGGCTGGAGGGTGATTCCGAAAGGGCGCGTTTAGCATTTCGTCTGGTTCTTCGACGGCGCTGGTCCTGATCTGAGCCCCAGTCCGAGTCACTAGGATCGTCATTGTCGTCGTATACGTCGTCCTCGGCGCCATCATCATCCTCGTCTTCGTCCGCAGAGAGCTCGTACGCAGCACCATCAGGCGCGCCGCCGGTTTCGTGCCCGTCTGAGTCACTGCCCTCGAAAAGGACCGCGCACACCGAGCGCCAGTCTTCCCGGGACACGAAGCGCAGGTCCTCCGGTGCATGCGCGCCGATCTCTTCCGCTTGGTTCGTGGACGACTGCCATCCGGATGCAGCGTTCTTGAACACGAGCAGCACTTGTTCGTCGTCTGGGGACAGACCTATACTAGAAAGCGCGGCAGGGATGGCAGTGAGTGAGATGCGGGCTGACTCGTTCGAGTCAGGCTCGTCCTCGACAAGGAAGCCCCCGCCGCCGATGAAGCCGCCGTCATTCGAAGAGTCATTTATTCGATGATCATCAAATGCACTATCTATGCGGTGCTGCAAAGCGCTTGAGAGTTCGAAAAACGCGTCAATGGAGGACATGATGGAGAGGTTATGGCGTCACGTGGACGTCTCTTGATGATTATGCACAATTTACTCTAATAGGCCCGTATATAATGAGATTGGAGTGCAAATAGATAAGGATGGATGAATGCCAGTGCGCGCGTGCTTGTACATGGAAAGTGTGAAGTTGTTGACAATGATGATGCAGTGAGAAAGGATAAATATGTATGCCGAAAGTCATCGCCAGTCGTAACAGCAGCACCGCCAGGGCGCTCTCAGATCTTGAGTTCGCGGAAGCCACGGACGTCGACACGACCCGTTCCATTCCGTTGCCATTCTCCAGTTCCCTGGTCGTACCGCCCACCCGGAATGATGATCTTGCCCGCACTCTTCGCTGCCGCAGCCGTGACTCTCGTCTTCGGCAACCCCAGTGCTTTCCGCTGCCGGCGGGTGAGTTTAGCCGGCACAGGAGCCGGGGCCGGGACTGGTGCTTGGATTGGAATAGGCTCAGGAGGCGGGCTGGGGCTCAAGCTTGATAGACTCGACAAGCTTGAGCACGATGAAAGGGCTGGGGGAGACAGCGACAACGAGGTTCCGCTGTTTCCACTATTCAGGTCCTCCGCTTCTCCCTCTTCATCGTCATCATCATCGGCGTACTCCTCGCCAGAATCCATCTCCTCGTCAGCTTCGACATCTTCATCCTCCTCCTCCGGTGTCTCCTGTTTGACGGCAGGCGCATATGAGCTCCGTGTCCGCTTTGCAACACTCTCACTCTCGCTACCGGCGCTTCCGCTGCTCTCGTCGAAGCTCCGTTTGGGACTCCGCTGGACTCGAGACGTGCCGCTCGCACTGGACGACGAGCGTAATCGACCGGGGCTTGGCGGGGGCTGCGGTGCGGTACTCTTCACTGGAGAGGCACTCGATAGTTTGAGCCGTACTTTCTGTATCTTGGGTTTGGCAGCAAGAGTAGCCTGTTGGCGCTCGGCTTTGGCCCGGTCCTTGGCCTCGCGCTCCAAACGTTTGCGCTCCTTAGCATCAGCTTTGGATTGTTTAGGATCGGCGTGGGAGGTGGAGGGCTCGGAAGGGTAGGGATAAGAGATGGTCTCTCGGACAGATGGAAGGCCTGTATGCGGGCCTTTCAAGTTACGTATAGAGGAAAAGTGTTCCCAGTCGTGATACCTGTGACGTGTTCAAGATGATAAACAAAATAGGGAAAGATAAAGAGCATGAAGACACTCTGTTAGCCACTCACGCAACATAGACAGTCCCATCTTGTGGTTCTGGCGAAGAATCTGCGGCATCAACATCGATAATCTCCGAGTCCGCCAAACTGGATAGACTCGACGTCGATGACGACGCCGAGCGTGAAATCGTCGGCGAGGACAAAGCGCCTCCCGCCGCCCATTCGATAACATAGACCAGTCCGGGTTGGATGACCTTCACATTGCGCCGCATGAGGTGTGCGAACGCGCTCAGTTCCATGTGGCCGCCGTACGTCGCTGGCGAGTGCGCAGTCAGCAAGAGATCGATGGAAGTGGAGCGAGCGCCGGCACGAAGATCTCACCATTTTCGCGCATACATCTCAGATGCTCGTCGATCCCCCGCTCATCCTCGACGAACGGTTCGTAGCGTGACTTGTGGTGCGCTATCCAGTTGCATATATCTTGCCGGAGCTGGGGGTGACGGGATGGCGTGCCATACAGCTGATCGCTGAGCGCGCGGAATAAACAATTCCCGTCGCCGACCGTGGGTGCGGCGTATAGTCCTAGTGACCGCAGCTGCTCTGTCAGCAGTTCTGTGTTGTACATTGGGTCCGAGAGGAGCTACAATAGCAACGACAAACGGTTGTCAGCGAGGTTATACCCCAGCGTGATGAAACGAGTCTGACTCACCCGCCCCTTGCTCGAGCGCGTGTTTCTCGGCCGCACTGCGCGAGATCAGAGAAACTGCAGGGGACGGAAGGGACCCGGCGGCCTCACTCTGCGTTTGTAACTTCTTCGAGGACTTCTTCGGTTGGCCCATGTTGGAGGGGTAACGGGTGGGAATCCAATCTATTGCGGGGGAGGATTGAGTGGGGACGTTGTCGTGGTGCAGAAGAGCGGAGTTTGAATCGGAGATGAGCAGGATGGCAGTGCCGAATCTAAGTGCTGGTGTCAGATTAAGTTGGTCTAGATTGGGCGTTCAGTGCAAGACTACTCACCCCGTTTTAATGTAACGCCAGTCGTGCCGCTGCCGCCTTGGAATTTTCGAAAACTAGTTTGTCCGGGGGAGAAAGGCGGAGAAAGTGGAGCCACTGGGAGGCTGAAGCTGCTCTGTTGTCATAGAAACAACATCTGTGACGAATCTAGACTCTATGTACTGATCATCAGGTCTGCGAAAAACGTGTCCGCACCTCAGAGTCCTGTCTAGTTCACAGGTGCCGAGCGAGACCCGTTTCATTCATTCATGTTCGAACGAGATATATGTAGTAAGGATACATGTAGATAGCAATGCGTATCAAATGGTATTCCGAGTGCTACTTGGCAAGCTTGACGGTGCTCGGTCCAGCCGTCAACCAAACAGGATACGCTTCCGGCCAGAGGGAGGGTTCCGGCTGTGTGGGCGAGCTGCTCCTCATCTTCATCTCTTCGTCTTGATCAGCGGCAGCATGCATATCCAGGGCTTGGATGCGGTCGATTAAGCGACGACCGGTGTTAGCTGTAGTACAGGGCAAAGACTTGGCGCGCTGGAACAGAGACGGAAACGAGTCACTAGACTCGGACCCAGACGATGAATCAGTAAGCATCTCAGGCTTCTTGCCAATCTTGTGAGCCTTTTTCCTCTTGTAAGTCGAGACGCGAACAGGACGATATGCAAGCGTAGGTAGGGGCGAATCAACTAGACGGAAGAGGTTGTCGATCCGAGAAGGTAAGACACTACGGCGGCCAGTTCCATCGTTCTGTCCCGCCGAAGCAGAATCTGGAGTAGCCAAGTGATCGAAGACAGTCGAAGGTCTTGCTCCATTCTTGCGTGCAGGAGTGCAGATAGATTCGGATCCACTTGCGGCAGAGCGAAGGACCAAAGAGGATTCCGGCTCGACCTTGCAGCGGTCTTGTGTATAGACAGGAGAAGGATAGATGCTGGACAATATCGACGTGGCAGCGAAACCTTTGGCAAAGGGTAAAGCATGACTCGTTGTCCCCTGCGCTTGAGTGTTCGACCCGTAGATTCTATCCAAAAGCGATGCAGTTTGCACAGGTTCAGATTTGATTGCAACCGGAGTAGAATGTGCGTGAGGAGATGGAAAAGCGGCAGCCCCCCTTCGTTTCTTCTTGATACTCTTGAGATTTGGAATCGTGAAAATGGGAGTCGAAGTAGCGTTTGCTGTGTCACTGCGCCGGGGAGATTGAAGAGCCTCCTGTTGAGGGGTCATTTGAACGCGATTCTGAAACAGTCAGAACAGATGGTCCCAATGTTTGCGGTGACTCACCTCTTTCCCCCTGACACGGCCCCCGCGATTCATGAGGGATACAGAATGCCCTATATTCATCAGACAAAGCCAAAGAGGAAGAAAAAGCTCACCTTCACCAGGGGAGCTGCGGTTGGGCCCACTGGCGATCTTTCCGGACGGGGTTGCACGCTTCCCGATCGGCGAGGCCGCTTGCGCTTGCAAAGGGACTTTCGCTCTGTAGAGGGAGATAAGGTCGCTCTTCACTAGCTCAACAAGCGGACCGAAAGTATCGTAAGCCCAGATGTTAATCTCATCCCGGGTGAGTCGGCGGCAGTACTCTTCAAACTTGACTGCGGCTTTGGTAACGTGTGACGTGAGGCGGGGAGAGCAAGAATAGACGCCAGCGCGTATCAAGAGCGCGGTGAGAAAGTAGTCGCTCACAAACGCTCGACAGATCATCTACGAGGGAAGGAACAGAGAGGTGAACAGACTCGCCCAGGGTAAGAGGGGGGTGGAGGTGCGTACTTGGATAAATAAGTCCGAAACGTCGTCCGGCACTGCTTGTCTAACAATCTTGCAGACGAAACCAAATATGCGTAGATGTTCTGGAGCCGCTGAGATGAAACAGTTTGGGCTCGAGGTGGGGGAAGGGTATATATGCCGTTCGTCAAACTTGACAGTAAAGTTGGAATTTTCGAGCGCTGTGAAGAGAACCTGCTGGGCGAGAGAGATAGAAGACAGCCAGCATATGTCAGGCATGATGTGCAATGGTGATGTGGGAAGTATGAGAGCGAACTTGAAAGATTGCAAAGCGAGGTCACATGAGCGTCACAGATCACTTGACCGTGACAGGGCGTGAAGGACATTGGGTGCGCCGCGGCGTTGGGGCTGAGAAAATGGGGTAACTTCTCTGTCTATACATACCGTGGTTCTGGTATGTTTTGGACGATTTCGTTCCATGGCGCGTGTGCTCGTTCTATCAAAGTTGACACGAAGCGATGTTGAAGCGGCGTCAGCTCCCAGCCTTCTCAGCGTCCGGTTCGAGAACGCGCACGATGGAGACGGCAAGCTAACTCCGACCACTGCTTTTGTAGAAATTAACCGGAAGTCTCCACCAGTCTCGCGTCATGCGGCACACCGGCCAATTTCGGGGGAGATGCTTCGGAAGAATTCAGCCGTTGCCCCACTTCAGAAGGATACGTCTAAATTTCCACGCTGTTGCAAATGATCTACCATTCTCAGGCGTTCTCCGCGCGAATATCGGTCTCTTTCTCCTCCAGGTTTTTCTCATCGCGTCTGCGGTGCTCCTCGTCATCCGTGAGCCGCGCGCGCACAGTCCTTCCGCCATTCTTCCGGGCGTCCCAGACGCCACCTGTGATACCGCCTTTCTCGAAAATAACATCGATTTCCTCCAACTCGAGACCTTTCGTCTCTGGGAAAAAGAAGTAGACGAGAGGCACCCAGCAGGCGTTGAAAACGGCAAAAATGATGAACACACGCCAATTTATCTTGGCGATGGCTGGCCTGGGGTCGAGACCGAACATCTTGAGCGACCGATCAAGATTCGGGTGAGAGATGGCCACTCACGGTGTCATCTGAACCACTGCGAACACACACCTAATCAAGACGTCACTCTCTGCTGGTAAGCATGCCATCGCACTCACATCCAGTTGAAGAAACTGGAGATGGCAGAGCCACGAGCGCGAATTCGTGTCGTGCTGATCTGTTTTGGGCTTCAGCTCGTGCATAAGCAGAAGCCTCGAGAGCGCGAACCTCAGCAGGATACAACCAAGGCTAGTTGCTTGATCAGCAAGAAAGCTATACCGGACATGTCACCGAGCGCGCTTACAATCGGCAGATAACCAATACCCAGGAAGATCTGGAAGATGAACACCATCGCCGTGGCCCCGAAGGCAGCCGGTTTCGTTCCCGTGGACAGAAGGATCGCCGCCAGGATGAAGCACAGAGAAAGGCCGGCAGCGGAAAACATCAGCAGCGGGCGCCGACCAAAGCGATCTACGGTCTGATGCATGCCGTTTAGTCTCTGTCAGCCTTCAGGAAATAGACCATTACCCAGAGCGGAATGAAAGAAGCGACCATATAGGTAACAGCCGTGAATCCGCCGAGAATGAGACTGAGATTCCGGGATAGGCCCATGGTGTTCTGATACACCACCGGCGCGAGATAACTGATTGAATGGACTGAGACCGCTATGTCGGTAAACTAGTCAGATCGACTGACTTGATCATATTGGCCCTATCGAGACAGCGTTCAGAGTGTATTTGATTGATTGTTGGCTTGGACTCACCCTGTGAATTGCTGCATGACGTTCACGCCAATGCATAAACAGATGCGCCGGAAATTACCAACAGGCCCGCCCTGGAAGAGCTCCTTGTACTGGAAAGGACCTGTCCGAGCACATCAAATTGGAGAATGATGGTAAGGGATGCATGCGCCACTGCCGACCTCCTTCTGACTCAACGCTCAGCGAGTGTTCGATTTCCGCCTTGACTCGCTGAACATCGGGGTGATCTACCGATTCACGGCCTTCTAGCATAGCAATCACACGGGCGCCTTCGTCACTGCGGCCGTGGGCGATCAACCAACGTGGGCTGTCCGGCAACATCAAGCACTGGACAAACAAACACAGAGCAAACACAGCCTGGAACCCAACAGGAAGGCGCCACTGCGCTGGCCCTGAGTGGAACGACATGCCATAATCGAGCCTGGCAAGTCTTGAGAGGTGAACTAAGTTCCAGGAAGAAACATTACCAGTAAGCCTGGTAAGGATGAGTCCAGTATCGAGCGAAGACAACAATAGATCGAACGCACGATAACGAGGCCGATGATGGTGACAGTCGAGTTTAGGCACACGAGAGCTCCGCGGATTTTCCCAGACACCGTTTCGCTCTGATATACAGGGACCGAAGACCTACTCAGATGAGTGTAGAACCAGATCGGACCCAATGAGGCCTACGAGTTGAAGCCATTGCCGATGCCCTTCACAGCCGCTTCAGTGTTTTCGCGAAAGAGATTAGAACGCAAGGGTCTCACTGTGACCACCCTCCCCACATAAAGCTGTGCAATCGTGGTACTGCTGGTCAAGATTGCCTGCGGAGTGATGAGATCATGTGCCCAGTATACTTGATTAGGTAAACTTGCCGTGCCAATGAGCATCGTTCCAGCCCCGAAAAGGATCATTCTTTTACGCCCAATCGACTCGCCGAAGAAGAATACCACCAAGCTTCCTACAGCGCATCCGATATCCTGGTAGCAGTTAACGCTTGGCTCAATTCGCTGGCACAAGTGACGCGACGCACGTAGATCGCTACAATAGTTCCTTGCGAAGTGGGATTGGGATGCCCGAAGTCCTTCCCAAACTGGTTGTCCGCGCCAATCTGGACAACACTTTAGAGCTGGGAATAGGTCATAGCATTACCATAGAGGCTGACGATTCCGGACATCACACCCTGGTCGTATCCAAGAAGCAGAAAACCTGCGTTCAATCTGAGATCAGACCCAGCTCCTGCGGTGGTCCCTGTGAGCTTACCTTGACAGCAACAGGCTGCGCATCTCAGACTTGCCGAGCTCCGAGACTTGGGTAAGGATGTACTCACCCGTGATAGCCCACACGAGAGCCTTTCCACGAAAAGGAGCGATCCACATTCCCGGATGATTAAGTTGTACCGAAGGCAAGATTGCTCAATGACAGGCAGCTCTTTTAAGAGCCCCACCTTCCTCCATCTCGCAGGCCGTGGGGCGCAGAAGGAAACATGAGAAGTTTCGACCCGTCAGGTGACGTTCAGCTGACTTGAGGAGGCGGGAACCGGCACCGCACGGCGCGGAACGTCATTCTCATGAGATATACATGTCCGTGAGTGCTAGATAAGTTATGATAATGATGAAGACAGGCAAAACATGTGCGAAGGAACGACTTGAGGTGTGGGCAGCGGACCGAGGACTTCAGTCTAGCTTCGATGCAGGCGCGCTAACCGCAGTCGCAGTCGGTCCCGTGAGCTCCGTGACAGGGGAGGACCCAGAAGAGGTCCAGCGCTCAAACAGCGTACGCAACTGCTTGTGTGAATCCACCCCGACGAGCTCTATCCGGTCCAATATCTCACAAATGCGTTGCACGATACTTTGCACGTCGGGAAGCTGAGCAGGCCAGGTCGGCGAGCAGCACGGGAAAGGAATGCTGCGACCATAGAGTGCAAGGAACTCTGCGTCTGCAGCAGCGATAAGCTTGATAGACTGCTCCGCTTTGAGCCGATGGGACTACACACTGATTGGCACAAAGCAACGCGAGAAAGAGTCATACACGCACATGGACCACGTCGTCGTCGCTCTCGCCAGCAAGAGCCAACGCTTCTACCTGTTCCGCAAGGATGGTGGTCTGATTCATCACGGACACCCCGATGCGCGACAGCTCCGCCTCCGCCTGAGTCGCTTCCTTCAGCAGCACCGCGGCCTCGGAGGGGCCGATGCGGTTGTAAAGCACTTGAGACAGGGTGACGATCGCACCCAAGATCGTCGAACTGGTGGCGTGATAGATCTCTGCCGTACTGCGCGCAGCTTGCGCCCGGAGGTAAATGATGGCGATGTAAAGCGAATAACCCTGCACGAGTTGAGAGGCGTTGGTGTCCAGGTTCTCAATAGAGAAAGAGCGAGATGCTCCTGGGGTGACTGGATCTCGTATCGCCTTCGCGAGGAAACGCAGGCCGCGTTGCTGACGACGGACGTGCTGAATCAGACTTGAGCGAGAGGCAGTGTCGTTCGCGTCTACATTAGGCGAGTACTGGAAGACCTTGCAGGAGATCCTGTCTACTATCTCTCTGAAAGAGTAGCACACCGAGGACAGAATGTGATGCGCGTCCAGATGCCAATCGATGTCGTCCGGGTCCGCGACGATAGATATGTGAATGCTATACGCTGTGCAAACGTCAGAAGAGAGAATAGGACGTGACAGACGAGTTGCGCACACAACACATCCGCTAGGATGGTGAACAGCAATTCATTCGGCAAGACCAAGTGTTGAGGCATGGAAATCGAAGCCAAGGCCCGCTATAGGTCACGTGTCGGATCTGATGGTTCGGGTGATCCGACATCCAAGTCCCTGGGCCTTTTTCACCTTTACCTCCATGTTCGCTTGAACGCTCGCTCGAATCTGCTTTTCTCGATAAGTAGCAGAAGCAATCCGGGATGCGATAGACTCTGTTTCCTGGAAGGATAGGATCGGCGATTAAAGATGAACCAGGGGCCTCATGGCATCCGCATGGCATCAGCAATGTAGGTAGGCATCCCAGCTGGCCCAGGGCCAGATCGATGAAGTTGACATGTATCCCCTCCGAAGTGTGTGCACTCCCAACACTGTGTCCGAGACTATCCCCACTTGAGCCATTGAGGGCGCCCTATCATAGTCACCCTCAACGGAGCATCGGAGATCCGGTCCAGTCAAGAAAGCCGATCAAGAATGGTCTCCCCGCTGTTGCCTTTGTTGCTCTCCGGGACTCCGCTCGCGAACTTGAACCTTACCTCCGCCAGTGCCTCGGCAGTCTCACAAAGACCCACGGCTCCCGCACGCCTCCGCCCTATATGGCACAGGCTATACCCGAAATCGTACTCCCCTTCGATCAGAAGCTGGCATGCGACCACCCACCTTCATCAGTCAGTATGGATCTGATGTCAGCTGAGCATCCCGGCCGGGCCCATTGAAACAGACAGCGAGCGGCCGCCTCTTCTTCCATACCTCGTCAATAAGCACCATCAACAGTCCGCGGCGCGGAATTCGACGCCGGGGTCTCTGAAGTCTGTCGCATGTTCTCGATCCCGAGATCTAGGCTTCAGCATTCTGCTACTGCTTACTGCAGGCTACTTCTGCTGCTGCTGCTTATGCGGGCCAACGGATCTATCGCTGATAGGCGGTGTGAAAGGCGGCGAACTTGTTAGCCTCCTTTGAACTGTTTATAGCGCTCTGAAAATGTTCTCGGAGCATCTCTCATAATATCACGGCATCGGCTCAAACGTGAAACGTGACAGAGCAACTGCCTGCGATATGTCATGGACATCATATCCGGGCGGTTCTCTGGCTGGGTTCTACTTTTTTGGCCGACTTCTCCACGCTGCTTGTCGCCTGCATGCCTAATCCTCTGGTGCCACCGGGGAACAATAAATTATACGAGAAAGCGGCCAGGCCGTGCCAGGTAATTTTCTCGGGCCTGTGCAACCGCAGTTTCGTTCCGGTGGGGATATCAGATGCGGTGCATACATTGAAGTGGGCCGCGCCTACCACTCGGTGTGTGCTGATGGAACCTGACTTTGATGTCATGATATCCTTTCTAACGCGGTGTGTTTGCTCGTCGCCCCAGTCCTGGCTGCCGATCGAAGCGCTAGCCACTCCTTGACGCGATCCTTGCATCTCCGGCGCCCGGTCCAGTGGCACGATCTCTGAATCGTTGACGACAGAGCACATTCTGCTTTCAATCGCAGGGCTTCTATCCGTGACCCCCCGATTTTTACCGCCCTCAATCTCCAAGTCTCACAGCTTTCAGCTTTACGTTGCCCCCCTTCTTCTGGAAATTCTCCGGGCCGGTCCTATTATTCGGAATATGCGACTCAGAATTATTTTCGCACTCTGATCCGTCGCGACTGAGGCTGCAACGCGCTTGGGATCCTTGCGGCATACATACATAAATTTGATACAAATTCTAAGGAGGATATACTACTACATAGCGAGCTGGTATGCTCCGGTATCGAAAGCAAAGCCGGAAAACAGGCAGAAGAGCATAGCACAGCACATATTAAAGCACATGCACATAGTGTGTTATCGTTGCCTATCCGGACTGCGATAACTTCCGCGGGAAGCGGACCGATTTGACGGCGGTGGCGAGTACGGACTGGAGAGAGCCATCGAGCTTGGCTCCGCTTCGTCAAACGAGGTGTCCCGGGGCGTACCCTCGGTCGACGCCACGCTCTCTACTTCGTCCGTGTCATGCGACGGAGCGGCCTCCGGGGTGCTGTTGAGATGGGCGCCCGGCTTGCGCCGCTTCCTCGGCCGCTTGTGGCCTTCCCCGCCGGACAGATCGAGTTCCCAGTAGCAGCCCTTGCCGATTTGCTTCATGTCGCGGGGCACCTTGCGGAATACTTTGTTCAGGGAGAGGTTGTGCCGGACGGAGTTCTGAGAAACGAATTGGATGGATAAATGCGTAGGGAGAGCGAGTCCAACCTTCCATGCATCGTCCTGCTGATGGTTTCGGAACCAAGTGAAGCGCCCGATGAGCGCATCGCAGATTCCCTGCAGGGTCAACCGGCGCTGCGGGCTGCCGTGAATGGCCAGTTTGATCAGGGTGGGGAGCGAAGCGTAGGGCTTGGCACCATCCACGGGATCCGCAATGGCCCACAAATTGACCTGCACATTGGGGAGGAGGCAAAGCTGCTGTCGCAGATAGTTTGTCGCGTGATTATACTGCAGATTCCGGTAATCGGTTTCATCGAGCGTGCGCCACCGCTGTTCTTGGGAGGGTAACTGGGACGTGGACGGTCTAGGTGGTTCTGGGACAGGGTCCTGAGCGGAAATTAAGCAGTAGAACGAGAGCAGGCGATGGGGCGCACATTCAGGATGATTCGAAAGTAGTCCGGACCGTTAAGCTTGAGGCGGCGAGTTCCGTTCGCGGACGATGACGCATGGCTATGAGGATTGATCGGCGGCAGCGTGGCGCGGGTATCGCGAGGGGGCGGGAAGGTGTAGACCGGGTGGGACGATGGGTCGCCTTGCATGGCTTGCGGGGCGAGCGCGTTCTGAGGAGTGCTATAGTCGGGAACAAGAATGTATATGATGATCGGAATCAAATATTATGCCCACTTGGTTTTGATCTGATGGTGCTTGTGGTCGCATTGTTCCCAGTTAATGCCAGCTGTTCGCCATCAGAAATTCCGCGACAGCGGCGGCGAGTCATGTGGACGTGATTCGTCCGAGTTCTCTCATCGTCCACGGTCAAATCCGGAAGGTGCGCATGCAAAATCAGGGCCGCGGAGTTTCAATGGCGGCGGAGTGCCAAAATCCATCACAGTGATCAGCCCGATTGGCGCAGATCATGCGGTATTTTGCTCCCGCGGCTCCAATGCCGCGGAAACAACTGCGGGAAGCTATCCGAAGCTATCCGAACCAGCACACGCTCTCGCTTGCTCCGTTGGCAGCGATAATCGTGGGGAGATCATCCCCTTGGCGCGTCCAAAGTGGGCGCGTATGATCGAGAACAAATCCAGAACTAAGGAGCGGCGAGCCATCCGTTATCGATCCAGCCACTAGTGGACAGAGCCTTCGCACGACCCTCCCTCGGAATCTAAGCATAAACCCATGATGCTGCGCGGCTGTTGCCGGTGACACACCGCACCCACCTGAGTCACATATTACAGTATCTCCCACATGTGTATTGGCACAACCGCACTCCGGCTCGGGAACGCGCGCCGACTCCGCCTGAGTCATTCCTGGAATGCACCGAGTAAGCTTATGACTTGAAACGGCCTGAAACTCTTCAGGATCAGCTTCTGCTAAGATCTGATGCAACCGTGTGCTGATGAGATGCGATGCACGACGCGTTTGCGCCCTGGGGAGCAACGTCATTCCAGGGAAGCCAGTCCCAACAGGCGACTGCATCGCGGTAAAGAAGTCGAGATGACGACTCGGTGGCATCTTTGATGCGGACCTGCGTGAACACAATGTTGACTGGCCCACAACATCGGCCATAACAGCGGCTATCTGCGCAGTTGCGAATCAGAAATGTCTCCAATGCAAGGAATGGATCAAGATCCTCGGTCCGGATGTTTTCCGGCCCGGGCATTGTTCGAGCGTTATGACAACCCATTTACTTCATATTCAGGATAAACCCGCTCGAATTTCGTCAAAGGCAGCAGATATGTTATGAAAAGACAGAGAATGAAAGTGCACTTTGTATCCAGCTGTGTTTCTGAATGCGATGTCAAATGCTGTGCGCTGTGAGCAGAACGAATCTGAAATTGATCCGCAACACGTGAAAATTCGCAATCAACAACGGTCGGTCGGACGTCTTGCTCAAAAACCCGCACTGCCGTCGGCGAGCAAAGAATCCGGCTACACGGATTGCTCTCCGGAAGCATTATCGAGAGTCTTGCCTGCCAGACCGTAATGCGGATGTGTGGCAGCTGAGAAATCCAGAAAGAGTAATGATCAGATGTTTGATCCGCTCACAACATTAACCTCTCGTTTCGGTCAACGAACAACACAACTGCTTCGACTCAACGGATCACCGTAGCTGTCTTCGCGGCCCCGCAACGAGAGAACCGACGACGAGCTCGTGTCGTCCCTGGTCGAAGGAGACGCAGTTCGTCGCACTTCATGCTTGTTTCAGACGGCTTTGCCTTGCCGACAATCGATTCTTGGACTTTCTCCTGCAGACCATCACTCTGCTGGCAATCTCGCCCGAACACGCCGATGGCCAGCAAAGATGATGAACGATGTGGAACCCGCAAGTCTCGCTATATAATACCCTCTACCGTCGCACCCACTCCAGTTCTCCGTCATGTCCTCTCCAGAAAGCACCAGTAAACTACAACGCGGCCAAGCATGTTTCAATTGCAGACGACGTAAGAGAGTCAGTGCACTGTTATCTCATCCTACAGCTGTCTTCTAATGGCATCAGAAATGCGACGGCAACCTCCCCTGTGGACAATGTACACGAAATGACCTTGAGCGCCACTGCCAATTCAATGACGCGGAAAAGCGTCCTTTCGCGGATATTCTGCAGGACGACATCAATCGGCTGCAGCTCCGGATCCTCGAACTCGAGAATGCGGGCCTCCCCAGAGCCACTGCTAGCAAGTAGTCTTCGCTCTTCCCAGAAGCTTCGAGCTCATAGTATCATCAGGACCAGAACGTGTGTCCAGCGAGCCGCCACCCCAGCTAATGACGCAGCTGTATGTGCCTACTTCCAAACACTGCTCGTACGTCTAATTACTTCTCCCAGCGTCGATCACTTCCTAGAAAACGGATCTGAATTCGGATTATTTCTCAACATTCCGCGATTGAGACATTCGCGACCGAGCCCGGCCCTGCACTCGGCCCTAAATCTCTGGAGCATACATCTGTCTCGCGAACGATCGCTGCTTGTCCACGAGCCTGATTTTCTCACTCGCGCTTTGGCTCTCGCGAGTCGCGGTCTTGTGGACAATCACCCTCAGCGCCTCTTGCACACTATCCAAGCTGAGGTTCTGCTTGCCTATTATTTCTTCTCTTCGGGTCGCTTCTTGGAGGGCAAGTACCACACATTTGCTGCCGTCTCGCTGAGCCTCAGCTCGTCTCTCCACCTGATTCGAGCGGCAGGCCATCCGCCGTCGTCCCCCCTACCAGCATCCAAAGACGCAATTGATGAAGGGGAGCGCATCTGCGCCTGGTGGACGGTGATGGTCCTCGACCGATGTTGGTCAGCTGGCTTGGGCGAATCTCCTGGGCTCAGCTACGCAGATAGCTTGCAAATCGTCGATACACCGTGGCCACTAGAATCGGAGGAATATCCTCGGGTACGCTAATCCCTGATTCAACCTACTTACTCTTGGATGATTTTACTTCCGCCTTAGAGAATACAAATCCCCGTTGTTTCCTCGTGTAACACCATCCAAGCATTCATCGATGGGGAGCCACCGTCAGCTTCTGGCATGTCAACCATGGCCATGCTATCCAAGGCTGCAATCCTATGGCAACGCGCCGACGAAATCGCCAGACTCGGCTGGAGTGCAACCGTAGGTAAGAGCATCGGCTTCGTTTCACCCGTGGCGGGATCCGCTCATGACACAAGCACCCGCATGGCTCCAGACCGAGTTTCACCAGCTGGATGCACGAATTGATTCCTATAGAAGTCTATTGATACCTCCCAATCGTCTGATGCACCCATCAGCGAGCATGACGAGGACGCTGGCTGTCGCGCACAGCATCGCCCACGCAGCAACCATCCGCTTGCACAGTGCCGTCCGCCTCTCTAGTCACGCGGGGAGAAACAAGCGCCTCGTCGCGGCGAGGACTATTCTCGGCATCATCGCTGCAGTCGCGTTGACGAGTTTCCAGTTCATCAATCCAATTATGGGGGTACGTGCCCTTCAAAATTCGATCTATATGCGGAATTGACACTGTGCTCAGATAATCTGGCTGGAAGCTTCTAATCTTCTATTGGAAGTTCTGACCGTACAGATCCAATCGCGGTCGCAGGGAGGACCGCCCCGAGAAGAGGAACTCAACCTGCGCACCTTTCTGTCTAAAGCAGGCAGGGCGATTTCTTCCTTCAAAAGTAACGGCGGCCTCATAGGTTCGCTATATTTCATCGTGTCTATCAGCGCTCTTATCTCGTTTCTGCATGGCAGGCTCTCAAGTCGAAGAAATAGAACAGAAGCTCATTCAAGTTGGAATTTATTCATAAATTTTACGCGATTTTGATGAACTTGACACGTTGAATTACTCAAGAAACTCGAGTTTTTATGGTATTTAATTGCTATTTATACGACTGGGATGATTTGTATGTTCGTACTTCTCAGTGAACCTTCTTCATGACATACAGCTGGTATACTTATCTGCTGTTCAATCAATGCTGTCATATTAGTTCTCTACTGTTTTGAGAAAATCTGACAGTATGGTATCTTGAGACTTACTCCGCCCGTCCAAGAACCGGCATTCTCTTTTGTCTTGTTCTGCCCAAGAGGCCTGATCTCGATGATTCTGCACCGCCACGCTTGACAACACTGCCACTCGCTGCCATCGGCACTGCTTCGCCTTGGTCACCACCTCAGACGGTCTCCGTCACCATGCGTCCACGACCTCCAAACGGCTACACTGCGGTCCCTTCCACTCCTTCATCTCCATCACCCGAATACGGCGACGACGAGGAGCAGCTGACTCGCGCCCCGCTGCCTTCTTACCCACCGGACCCACGTTTCGATCAGCCCACACCACCTGCATGGCAGCGCGCCGGGCTGATAGCTGTACTAGTTTTCTGCATCTATTTCGCGGTCTGGTTACAGAATGGTTGGCATATGGGGGCGCTGGTCTGAACCAAGCAGCCGTAAGCGGTGGCGAGGGAAATAAGGTGCGCGCGCACTGCTTCGTGCTCTTCGTTTCCTGACAGCACGTTGCTCATCACTTCAGCTCTGTCAGCGATCAATCTCTTGCTCGGATCTTTCTCTTTCTGGGCTTTCGCGTAACATAACACACTCTTCGACAACGGACTGGACCGACCAACCATACATCGGAGACGAGGACATTGTATCAAACTGCATGCTAGCATACGAATGTTTAATCTTCTTCCCACTGCGCACCGTACGGCTCAAGAATCTTTCTGCCGATATGAACAGCATCTCTGAACCCTGTGATCATGCATGCATGAGGCGTGTAGTCGGGGTTTAGGTGACGGCAAGAGCAAGCGGATCTTCCCCATCTGATAGCTTTAGAATCTGCATCCCGAGCCCTTTCTGGTGCATCGTTATCTTGACTGGCCGACGCGGACTCCCGAGTGTCACGGCTTGGCTCTCCCGTCAACAGAAGATCGAGCCTGTCTCACCGCTATGTGAGACCGGCGCTTCGAGCCGGTATGTACAGGAGCAATGGGGCGTGTTTCGCATCTGTCTATCTCAAACTATCATGTCTGCCCCAGCATCTACCAGTGCATGCAGCAAGCACGCCTTCATCACCGCCGCAGGGACGGATCAACGTGCACCCTGTCCTGCTCTCAATACGCTCGCAAACCACGGCTATATGTAAGCGCCCACAACACCCCTCCCACTCCGAGCCTGATCCCCCAGCTCCCATGACGGCGGTAACTTGCATTTCACGGCCGTTCTGCAAGCGGTCCGATGCGTCTACAACCTCTCGCTCCCGCTGGCGTTTCTGCTGACATTCACGGGGTTTATCACTTGCGGAAGCTTCCGGCTCGACTGGCGCGCACTCACGTGCTCATGGACCCTGTCTCTGGCAGATCTCAGTGCTCGCGGCGGCTCCAAGATCACGCACGATGCATCTCTCGTACACCCGTCCCACGGGACGTCGCATGCGCCAGATCGGTCGCTGGTCGCGGATCTGCTCGCCCGCGCCAGAGTGCGCTGCGGCCTCACTCTCCCTGAGCTAGCTGCCGTCCATTCTGCCCGGATATCCACGCTGTCTCACCCGCTGAGTCTGTTCCACGAACAAGTGGCGTTAGGGGAGTGCGCGCTGGCGTGGCTGGTGCTGCAGGACCGGAATACCGGGGTGATCGAGACGCAAACTCTTGAGCAGTGGTTTGGAGAGGAAAGATTGCCCCTCGGCTGGTGGGATGCTACGCGGCCAGTGAACAGCATCGGACTGCTCAAGGCCAGGAGAACAGCGACTGAAATCGGACGTCTTGCAGACACAAAGAAGAACCGCACGATTTGAATCAAACTTGTTGCATGGCTTTCAGAAAGAAAAAACAATGCTGATTGTACTAGACTAATCACGAATGCACCCTCGAATAAGCGATATTCTTCTCTGCCAGCTGGTTACCACGACGGCCCATCTCATCAGTTTGTGGGCGGCCACAAGTCATAGAATCTGGAGACAACCGTTTGATCATGCTGAGCAGTGATCTTGAGCGACGGTCTGTGGATGAGTCTTCCCCTTTTCCATGTCATGATCTATATACTCTACATGGTTCAAGATGTTTTGTCGATCTCAAGCGTGCTTCGAACTAAAATGAAAAATGAGAAGGCTATCACGTTCAACGCAGGGTGTTCTCAGGTCAAAGAGAAGAAGCTGGTGGTCAATGAAGAAAAGCCGAAGAGAAGTCCCATTCAGCAAAACTAATGCTCCTCAACAGGGTCGAACTGTTGACCTCCAGATAAGGTGACTCTGAGTCACTCATATGCGAATATGAGACTGGCGCTCTAACCAACTGAGCCAGAGAAGCTGTGGAGCAGCTGACAGACAAAGTTTATGGCTCCCGGCCATCAGTGGTGCAGTAAATTTACATTCAATAAGACAACAGGTAAGGAGTGTGTGTGCTGGAGATTGCATGTACAGGTGGGGGGCTCGTGGTGCCGCAGTTCAGGATGGATTGTATGGTACATTTCCCAGCCGGACGAAATGCGGTCGCCAGGGATGCGGTATCGAGTCGGATTTCCCGTCAGCGTATTCGGGGGTCCAGGTGTTCACCGAATGATCGCGTCTGGAATGGTCGGGGCAGCAACTGTCGTTCTCGCTGTAGAGTACACGGCCGCGGGGACAGGACTGCATTTGGAAGCATCGGCCGCGGACGCAGGCGACTCGTCGTAGGCTGGGGCTGCAGTGTACCTGGCTCTGCAAGTCGCGTGAGCGTGAGGAAAGGGGTCGGTCAATGGAGCGGGCCCACACCTTGGCAGCCACAACAGCAGGCTGCGCCAGTGCGACGACGGCGAGGCACGCCAGGACGCGAAAGCTCAGGGTCACGCGCATAGGGGATGCAGCCAGGGGAAGGTACGCTGGAAGAAAAACATGGGCGAGAAAAGGTGAACTTTATACGATCAGACGGATAGATTCCCAAACAGTGATACCAGCGGTGCATGCGAGCTGTATCTCATAGTTTTCTGGGATGATGAATGGAGAACCAAACAGCTTGAACGAGACTAGACCGATGCCGAACGGTATGACAACTCGCAATCTGAACACCGAAGCTGTGCAGCTCAGGAAGGTCCATGCCCTAGGATACAGGGACCTTGGAGAGAAGACGAGATGAAAATGATATGTAGCCGGAGTCAAGTGGAGTAGCAGTGATGAGTTGACGGCTGTAATACGCCCTGGAATGGGCACCGGCGTCTTTCTTCAAGTCAGGATCAGGTTGTGCTGGTAGTCTCTGGCAAAGTTATCAGGCACCTCTCGGACCAAACAATGCTGTGCAATCACTGGATCAATGCGGAGTTTCAATTTCTCCCCGTGTACAAACCAACCACTTGTCGGTTTACCATTGTGCACTTGTGCGAGACCCTCTTTCCATCTCCCTTCTTCTGCACGTCTCCTCGCCACGCTTCACCAATGGTCATTAATACTCACGCGTCTCTCGCTCATGCCACTCACTGACGATCCGAGCAGAGTCTTCCGCCTCCCGTCATGCGCCGTCTCGTGCGGGAAATAACACACCTGCAAACGTCGCCTCCTGAAGGGATCCGCATCCAAACGAGCGAAGATAACCTGCTAGACCTGACAGGGATCATCGCAGGGCCAGGTATGTGGGCTACGCGTCAGTTCATGCTGTCTTGTTGAGGCTTGCACTCGCAGAGGGAACGCCGTACGCGGGTGGCTATTTCAAAGTCAGATTCACATTCACAGAAGAATTCCCTACTGCGCCGCCCAAATGTCCGTCGTCGCTGTCCACTCTACATCCGCAGGCCCTAACTGATCGCCCATAGGCCGATTCGCTACGAAGATCTTTCACCCGAACGTCTCGGGGGCGGGGGAGATCTGTGTGAATACCCTCAAGAAGGACTGGAAGCCGACATATGGGATTGAGCACATCCTTGTGACCGTCAAATGCTTGTTGATTTATCCGAACCCGGAAAGCGCACTGGATGAAGAGGCAGGCAAACTGTTGCTCGAGGACTACGCGAGCTATTGCAGCCGCGCAAAGCTCATTACCAGCGTACATGCCACTCCGAGAGTGCGGCCTATCGAATTCGACACACCCTCTGCCTCAGACGACACAACCACCGCACCATCTCCTTCAACCTCCATATCCTCACCACCTTCCCCTCCACCTCCCTCTCTCTCCGCTACACTCACGAAAGCCGCGACGGCACCGTTATCCGTGGGGTCTTTGGCTGTTCCGGCAGTGACCCGCAAGCCGTCATCGCCTGTGCCAACCGTAGCTCACGCCATTCCGCTCAAGTCGTCGCCCGGATCTAACACCGGGATAACGGGCAAGGGCGATAACGGAATCGGTTTGAAAGATCGGCACTGCTCGCCTTCGCCTCTGAGCACTGCGGACTCGAATGTGGGGCTCGCCGTACCGACAGTTGCTCCCACCACCCTCCCAGCGTCTGGCAACAAAGCCGTCAAGCGGGCGGCAACAGGTGCGACGAGTGGCGCAGAAAAACGCAAGAAGGCGCTCAAACGCCTTTGATCGTTTGTTGGGTGTATCCATCTTCTCATGATCTATTCTTCCTCTATAGCCTTTCTGTGCACACACACATCTTACTCTTGCGCTACCTGTATAAGCCGATATTTGTCTGTATTTCCATGTGATACAACCCATCTATACATCAATAGGTGTGTCTGCGGAACTCGAGGCTGGCCCGATGTAGCCCCTGGATGATGCGCATGAGTTCTTGAGAATCAGGTCGGGAGCCCTGATCCACGTTCCAGCATCGCTGGATGAACGCCCACTGTAGGTCAGTGACAAAGGACTGCGCGGGCCGTCGGGGTTTGTTCCCCTTGTGAAGCTCGATAACGACTTGTGCATCCGAGCGCATATAGTGGTAGGGGATCCGCCCGGAGAGAAGCTGCGTGCAGATCCATTCAGGATGTGTAGCGACGGAATCACATATAAGCCACTAGCCTCGAGGGTGACGCTTCCGAAAGAGTAGATGTCGTTTCGGGTGGTGACCACGAGATCCTCGTCCTCGCTCAAAGTGTACAGTGCAGAGTCGGCCCAGCGGACCGCCCCTCCGATGCAGGACGTCAGGGACGAGGAGCCGCAGATCTCAGCTACTATGGTGGACAGGCCGAAGTCACAAAGGTGGGCCTTGCCCTCGTCATCGATAAGGATATTCGACTAGCGAGATATGAGAATCCGATTCGAATGTAGAACGGAAACTGACTCCGGTGAGATCCCCGTGGACGATCGAGTTTTCGTGCACTGGGAGATGATTCACATCGCAAATCTGCCTATGAAGAACGCACTCACGATAGTTGAGGCCATCTGCGACTTCACACAACTGTTCGTGCCGTCATCAGTGAGTCAGAGCCGCGGACAGCAGGAGGATAAGATGTGCACCAATTGCAAGCGGTCCGCCATGGACAGGATATCCCCTCGGCGTTCCATGTACTTCGACACGCTACCTTGCTCAAGCCAAGGACAAACCATTGACTTGTACGGCCCGAAGTCGGACACAGTCCCCCACAATTTGAGCACGTGTTTGTGATTCAACCGTTTCCACACAGCGAGCTCTCGCGAAAGACGCTGGAGCCATGTGATCAGGCCAGTTCACGCATGGGCGCACGCACAAGCACACACACCTTGCTCATCTTGATTTCTGTGTCAGGGTCATCCAGTCTGGAACGGAGCACTTTGATGGCCACCCAGTTGCCTGGCTGTTTGCCCCAAGTGCCTTTCCAGACATCGGCAAAGCCGCCGTGAGCCTGAGGGTAGTTGCCCTCCCTGCAGACTTCTCCTGTCAGATCAAGGAGGACTGACGGGTCCTCCTCCGCAACTTCAGGGACGACCGGTAAGCGCATCGAAGTAAAGCGGTGGTATTCGACTCACAAGGTTCGGACTCGGGTGGAGGCGTAGGCGGAACATCGAAGCCCACCAGTTCATTGGTGCCGAGATGGATTCGGGGGAAGGTCGTGTTGATCGCCAGAGGACTGACTTCCTGTGAACCTCCGCCGAAGAATCGCGGCAGCAATTGGGGGCTGAGAAGAGACTCTTGGTCGCTGAGACAGCCCTCTTGCCGCAACAGGGAAGATGATTCAGACCGCGGGCCTTTCCGGCCGACCAGGCTCCACGACCTAGCATGGGACCGTCGGCGGCCCCCTGCTTCTTCATCGTCCGATGGAACGTTGCTGTTCTCCTCTATGGTGCCTGACGATCCTTGATAGATTGACGGGACGAAGTGCTCCAGAGTCGCACACCACTGGTCGTACTGTTCTGTACAGGATGTGAAGAGCTCGATGGTCTCAAGTCGATTGTTCTCATCGAGCCAGTCCAGTTCGATTGAGTCTGATGTCCAGGTCAAAAAGGAACTTTCAATAACAGGATGACATCCTCACCAGAATCGCAGAGCCGCAGTCGCCTCATCCGAGCAGTGGGAATCACGCAAACGAGATTGAGAGGGGTGCTCTTGCGGAGCGCGGGCCCAAGCTCCCAAGCCAAGATTGGATACCGTACGTTCTCCTGTTGCTCCAAGTGCGTAGACTCTCCATCCACTTCCTCTGTGCAGCAGAGTAAAGCCATCTCGAACAAGAACAACGATCGGCGAGAGGTGGGCGCTTGCAGGTCGACCAAGTCGTCCAGCAGAAGGGGCCCCAGCTCATTTGGATCGACATCGGAGCGCCAGCTGAAGGCCCGACCTTGGAAGATGCCTGCAGCTTTCATCGTGCGGAGGAGGTTGCCCATCTCGTCGAGATTGTTCGAGACTTCATTGAAATGGAAGAGTGTATCGCACAGATTGCTATAAGTCGAGCTTTCTGCGGGAGATGTCACGGAGAGTATATTCTGGAGGTAGTAGTCAGACACGCTTGCAGAGGGCTTGGCATGTTTTACCTCCAGGAATGATAAATAAGCAGAGGTTCGTATTAAGAGAAGGGACACGTTGCTGAGCAGAATCAATGCGTGACTAGCTAGAAGAGGCTAAGAAGAGTGAGAAACAAACGCGCTCCTTTGCAAAAAGACCGACTTCAGATCCGTCGATGAAGCATTCCAATGCTGACTCGAGACCGAGATAATTAGCGCAGATGGCACGGTATGCGCCAACAGCATTTTGACTGGCGATATTCTGCAGATGGCGAGTCAGAGACATCGCCGTATTCTCAACATATCTTTGAAGTACATCAACTGCAAAGATCCCACTCCAATCCTCTGCAAGCGGCATTTGCTGTGCTGCCTCCAGCCCTTGCAGAATGTGATCATGATATTGGCGGAGCACGACACGATTGACAGCAAGGCATTCGAGGCATGGGTCAAGGGGGGACCTTCCACCCGAAAGTAATTCCACGGAGTCCTATTCGCCTCGACGTCAGTGATGAGAAGGAGATGGACGGTGGAGATGACCCACGCCCGTCATGCGCAAAGTCGTGATGTGCTGCCGCTCTGAATCGACCAATTCTCTCAGGTACTGTGATCGGCGGACGGAAGCATCCTTCGGGAGGAGAAAGACACCAGGAAAAGATTCTTGCAAAGCATTGAGAATACGCTCCACTGTTTTGAGAATCTGCTGCAGTCAGCGGGCCTTCAATCTTCGGGGAAAGCAGAGCACTCGCTTTAGCAAAGCCCGAGTTCGTTCCAGCGAAGAGATCTTGGACCTGTCTCGACCATTCAGACGGACTCATCTGCCAGACTGAAACGCACCCGCAAGACTTCGCCGAGCGCTATTACACCTTGAAGCTCCAGCAGCTGCACCTGTGATCCGAGCTTAGAGGACGCTCACTGCACCAATGCGCGCGGAGCCGACTCTCACTCGTTGTATAAAGTGGCTGAACCACTTCTCCCTGTGGGGCAGGCCCAGCCCGAGCTCCGGCTTCTCCCAATCAATGCTTGTCAACTCCTGGTCACGGGCACCGAACGGCGGCGAGCTGAGCAGATTGAGCAGAGTCGAGAGCGGTGCGCCTAGCGCAAAGATTTCCCAGAGAAGGAAGAAGTCGGAGTGCGAACCGCTCGATCGTGGCTTGCATGATCGGACGTGCTCGAGCCAGGGCCGGAACTCGATGATGAGGGCGAGACGCGATAGGACACGAGCGGATTCGCGGCGAAGGTGATCGGAAGGTGCCTTGGGAGCGTGGAGGGCACTCATCCGAGAGTCATAGACGGTGGGGCGGCGAGTGGAAGAGAGCGAGGGGACGAGAGAGGGAGCGTAGGATGGTTGTGGAGATCACGTTGCGCCGATCAGCTGCAGTCGTCAGTGGATTGGAAGCAAAATCAGAAACCGATGACTAAGAGTGACATTTGCACTGGTTGGGAGAAGTGATGAGCTGCTCTGCGAATTGTTACGGAGGACAGGGCTGAGGCGATGAGCAGAAGATGGCTACGCCCGTAACCAACGAGCGTGTTCTCGAAAGACGACATATCATCCGGCGACTGCCGCAGCCCACGTTGGCCGGCGCTGAGCATCACCAGAATGAAGCGCACTAAAAAAATGCGCGGGTTGAGAGATGGCTACAGCATCCTTGTCAATGCGCACCGGACAAGTCGAAAGACGCTTCGGATATTGGAGCGACGATCACAGATGAGCTCCGTCGAGAAGAAAGCCTACCTACAGTAAGATAACATAGTCTGTTTCCCTTTCATTTTTTCGGCCGACAAGGTCATAACGCGAGTTGGCTGTGGATGCGCAAGTTACACTCCTCGTGTGTACCGTGCGAAGTCAATATCAAAATGCAGTGATCAGATCAACCCGGCTGTGCTGCCAATCGCCGCGGCTGCCTTCATCAAGCGCTCAAGTCGTGCCCGCAAAAAATTGTGCTCTCCCCCCTCTCCTTCGACCTTGCGAAATGACTACATTAGATTCTCTGGTCGATTGGTCACAGGTCACCCTGCTGTACTCCCTCCTGTCAATCACCTTCAACCCGACTGCATGGAACATCGTAGCCCAGAATGGTGCGACATCCTCCATCCCACGCGACGTGCACCACTGACATCGTCGCAGAGTACCGCAACAAGACCATCACCCGCATGTTCGGCGGGAACGCGCGTTACGGCTGCTATTTTCTGGCCCTCATGATCTTCTCGTTCGGAATGCTGCGAGACTCCTTGTAAGCTCATCAAGGCACAAACACGCGCATTCGCGCACGCCGCCTGACTCGGGTCGCCAGGTACCACAACGCGCTGCAAGACCAGCCCAAGGTCTCGCTTCTTCCCGCTCCCTTCGACACCATCGTTCCCGCCGTGCTGTTCGTGACGGGCCAGATCTTCGTGGTCACGTCGACTTGGATGCTGGGCATCACTGGCACGTTCTTGGGCGACTATTTTGGTATCCTCATGGATCATCGAGTTGAAGGGTGCGCAGCTTGTTCGCTTCAGCTAATCGCAGAAACGTCAACGATACTCCAGGTTTCCCTTCAATGTGCTCCGCGACCCTATGTATGTGGGGAGCACCATGTCCTTCGCGGCTACTGCTCTCTGGTAAGCTGCTCATGTTCGAACTCCAGACATTTCATTTAATACCTTCTGCCAGGTACGAGCGCCCTGCCGGTCTGTTCATCACAGCCTTCGTCTATGTTGTATATGTGATTGCTCTGCGTTTCGAAGGGTCAGTACGCGTTGGTCTTATTCCTGCTGCTTGAACAGACCATGCAGGCCATTCACGGATATGATCTATGCCAAGCGCGAAGAGGCACGCACGAAAAAGGAGTAGGGGAGAGCTCCGGAGGAGGGTTCATTCACCCGCATCGCACGACTTCACCAGTCCATGCTGAGGCTGTAGACATGCCCCAGGCCTCAACGCCAGGCACAAGACATCTACGCCGTGATGATATATATGTTCGGATGGGATTACAAGAGATGAGTGATTAGCGTTCGATGTATGATACATTTTACTGTAATATACTTGGTGTTTCACGAGGAAAACTGGTACTTGCTCACGACCTTGTCCCATATCTGTTTCGTGTCGACAGTGGCTCCGAGACGAGAAGCTAGCAGAAACGCGCCACTGAGTTTTCTGCAGCGAGGTCAGTAGGAGCAGCTTGGAAGACGGAAAGAACTTGCCGATTGAGACTGTACGTCTCGCGAGGCGGCGGAGTCAGGCGGTGCTGCAGCATGACCGGGATGAAGGTCCTGATTTGGGCCGTTATGTCAGCCCACAAAGTGCCGGGGCCAAAAGTGAACGGCTGGGCTGTGGAAGTCCTGAAGGGAGTGGCCAAGAGAATCATCGACTGGACATGCGCATCCAGCATCAGTTCGTTTTCTTCACCCGTGAGATATCCCAGACGCAGACTGAACTCGATACACGCCGAACGGTCTTCCTGTGCTGCGGCCTGCAACAACCGCAGCCAGTCATCCATGAACTCCTTCGAGTATTCACGCGTCGCGCCAAAGTCAACGAGCTCGACCTGCCGCGATTTCGGGTTCCAGAGGAAATTGGACCAGTTCGGATCCGTCTGCATCATACGGAACTCGAACAACTCCTTTAAGCAGAGCTCGATGACACGCGCTGCAATCTAGATCGAGGTGAGTGTGAGAAATCGCAGTCAAGAGGGATGCGCACGTCGTCCCGGTCTTGCTGGCCCAGCTTCGCCAGCGCGGCCTCTCCCACGCTCTTTCCGTCAACATGCTCCATGACCAGCACCCGCTCCGTGCTCTGATCCCAGACCCAAGGGACCTTAAAGCGCGGATCTCCACCCAGATGCTCCTGGTCCCCGAAAGCGCGCAGGAACCGCGCTTCCCGCGTGTAATCGCACTCGTCGGCAAGCTCCTCCTTCATGGCCTGCATCGTGCGGTCGAGAAACAGACCCTTCGGCAGCAGCCGGCCTGCGGTCAGCAGGAGACTGACGTATCCGAGGTCGCTCGCGATGGAATTGCCGATGTTGGGGAACTGGATTTTCACGGCGACTCGGGCTTCAACACCCGTCGGCGACACGGCAGCTGCGAGAGTGGCGGTGTGTACTTGTCCGATGGAGGCGGCCGCAAAGGGAACGCGATCGAAGGAGGAGAACATCTTCGACCAATCTGGACCCAGTGCATCGGCAACTACTCGCTGCACCGATCAGTGAGAATAGCATATACCAGCGGGTCGATGTTGATGGCTCACCTCCATTTGCCAGTCCGGCATATAATGGGCGCTGTCCTGAACGCGACGAAAGATCTGGTCGATGTCGGCCGGAAGGACATGCGTGTCTGACACTTGTCAAGAGCTCGCTCCATGTTTGGAGAGTGTAGTCACCTTGTATACTCAAGAACTGCCCCAGCTTCAAAGCAGCGCCGCGCATCTGAGAAAGCTTCGAGACCAGCCGTGTGATATTCGCTTCAGTCATGATTAGGGGGGACTGCGATTCGGAAGAAGTAGCAGTCCGCCTGATCATTTCCGACGCAGCACCGTAGCCAAGGGATGCGGCCAGACCTTGAAAAGCTCAGTCGCGACGAAGAGACCTTGTTCGGACAGAGCAACACACTTCCGTAGTGGAACAAACGCCCAATCCGTGAGGATGGAACTTTTGAGGACTGCAGCTGGCGCACGGGGGCTTCCGACTGGACAGCAGTTTGCTATGGATTTCCCATGAGTTGTCGTCAGTCGTCACAGCAAAGTCAGGAACAAACCTACTTGAGAAAGAGAGACACGTTCTAGTTCCAGCAGCGGTTCTTTCTCTTCTTTGGCCCCGTTCGAATCCAGTGACTTATCGGACTGAGGAGTCACAATCTAAGGGAGTAATTGAGTAGAGGTCTCGGGACGAGATTCATGGCACACCGGTATTGCGGGTTCGTTTCTAGTCTCGACCTTCGTCTCCTCCACTTCAATGACCTTGTCCGAGACTATTTTCGGCTGGACAGGTATAGAAACCTCTACCGCGGGTTCTACAGCTGGGGAAAGTCGCGTCTGAGGGTTGCTCGCATCCACCAGATCCTCTTGGGGGCGTGTGCGCAGTCTTGTGTCGGCAGGTGCGGAAAGAGGCGCTTTCATGGGGATTGACGCGTCAAGACCAGACTCGTTCCTACGACTGTCGGGCAGCTGCATGCCCTGTCCACCAGACGCAGTGGTTGGGACGTTCTGCCTCCAGACCACCGTGTTATGCGCTGTGTAACCGGCGGATGCTTGGGCGGCCTTCGCGCTGGCGGCGCGTACGAGGATGTCACACGCAGCGGACGCGACACATAGCCAGTTATACGCCGGGCCAGGGGGCATAGGAACGCGCCACTGGAAATGTCACGATACGAGCGTTCTTCAACGTCGACTAGAGGATATTTGGTGGATCAAGCGAAGCAGGTGGGGCCAAACGCCGGGCCGATCGAGTTTGTTCCCGCTCTGGGCCGAGTCCGTCCCCCCTCCCATGACACTTGAAGTGCGATCATCAAACAAGTGTCAACCCAAACTTTTTTCAGTTCCTCCCAGCTATGTTCGCCAACGCGTTTCGCCGACATGTGCAGACTGCGCTCGTAGCGTCTTTAAGACGGACCGCGGCGCCTTCACTGGCCGCTCGCGTCGCACGCCCCTCCACCCTCTGCCTGCGCTCCCTGTCGACGACTCTGGTCCGCCTCGAAGCCGGGGGCATGCCCCGCATGTCGAACCACGAACCGAGCCTGCAGCTCTTCATTGGCAACATCCCATGGCAGCTCACGGACGCGGAACTGCACAGCATGTTCTCCCAGCACGGCGAAGTCGCTTCCGCCCGCGTCAGTAGGTGGCTGCAGTCGTGTTCTCGCACCTGGCGCTGACTCCATGCGCATAGTCATGAATGCGGACGGCTCGAGCCGCGGGTTCGGCTACGTGGTGTTCAAGACGCAGGAAGGTGCCACGAACGCATTCAACCAGGACCACGTCGTCGGCGACCGCCAGCTCCGCGTAGACTACACAGCACTGCAGCAGAGTCGCGCGCCCAGGACGCCTTCGACCCCACGCAGCAGCACCAACTCGCCGTCGAACGTTCTCTGGGTTGGTAACATCCCGTACGGCGCCGAGGAGCAGGACCTGAGGAGCAAGTTCGAGCCGTTCGGCTCGTTGCGGAGCGTGCGGATAGCTATGGGACCGAACGGCGAGGCACGGGGATTCGCTCATGTTGAGTTCATGCGGGAGCAAGATGCTGTGACCGCGCTGGAGGATCTGAGGGAAGAGCCGATGTTCATGATGGACCGTAACTTGCGGGTGGATTTCGCTCCCCAACGGAAGCAAGCACCTGCCATGCCGGTCAACCGCATCTACTTCCACGACTTCCGGGGGTCGGAGGAGGACCTGCGGAATGTTCTGCAGGAGTGGGGCAACAACGTGATCAAAGTTACTTTCTGTCAGTCTGCTTTCCTTGACTGATCCCCAAATCGCGCTGACATTTCTTTTTCTAGTGCGCGACCACAACACGGGCTCCAGGTTAGGCAACGGGTTCATCCAATTCACGACGACCGATGTCGCCACCAAAGTGAAAGAATCGCTGGACGGCCAGACCTCCCAGTACGGCCCGTTGAACTTTGAATTCGCAAAGTCGACGAGACCCAACGCCTCTCCGGTCGGGAAGGCGCAGGGCTACGCTGGTCAGCAAAACCGGCAATTCGGGCTCGAGTACTAGGTCTCTTCTATGCATTTTATCTTAGTGGTCACTCTTAATATCAAAAACACTGCATGTAGTCGTCGATCTGTTGTTCTACATCTAGACATCTCATCCCACATCATATGAATAAGACAATGTCGCATGGCCGGCCTGCGCAACCAGCGGGGAGTAGTATATGCAGGCAAGTACGGTATCCTGAGCAAAATCGCGTAATGTCACTTGTGAGCGATAAGAAACGAAGTTGTGTGACTTGTAAGTAAGGTATCTAGGGGCAGATTAGGCGAACATATATTCCTCCGACTCCTTGTCCTCAGGCCAAGGAATACCGCGCTGCGGTTCGGCCGGGAGAGGCGAGGTCACAGTAACGGTCGACTCCTTGCGCAAAGCGGACAACGTGCTCTGCCGTTTCTGGATCTTTTGCGACCAGCTGGCCCCCTTGAGATGATGCACATCCGGCGGCGCAGCGCCGATGAGGCTGTTCTTGCGCGACTGCATAACCGGCGGAGCGGCGGGCGGCTCGTCGGCCGGGGCCGACATCCAGTCGTCCAGTTCGATGCCGTGCGCGTTGCCCCCGGGGCCGCCGCTGGCAGAGGATGGGGCGATGCTCGTCGCGTCTACGAAGCTGCGCGTCTCGGAGCTGTATGGGGTGTGGCTGGGTATGGGCATCGGGAAAGTCATTCCTTGACCTGGGGTCCGATCGAACTCTTCCGACGGCGCGGCTGTCGTGGAACCTGAGCCGTCCGGGGAGGCGAGGCCAGGGTTGTCTTCGGGATGCGATGGTAGCACCAGCGGCGAGGGCGCGGGTTTAAGGGTATTGAGGCTCCCAGCAGCGATCGGACGAGGAGAAAGCCATGCCCAGCGCTTGCTCTCAAAGCCCTCCTGCTCAATCGCGAGCAGCGCCGTACACACAGTCGACAACACGACCTCCATCGCCTGGCCGCGCGACAGCACCGCACAGCGCCCCGCGGCGACTCCCGGGAGGACCATGTTCACCTGCGGCCCCGTCATGCACGCGCCGAGCCCGCGGCGCGAGATGTGCAGTGCGACGTGCCGCTCTTTGAAGAAGCGCGCCCACGGCGGGAGGGCCGAGCCCGTGCCCGGGACGACGGGCCGGACACGCAGCTCCGCCACTGCGATGTCGCCCTTGCGCGCCCGAGGCCGCTGGTCGTAGCCCGTGCAGTAAAGAGTGGAGAGCACCTCGCCGCGATCTGGAGGCGCGCATTCGAGCACAAAGTACCCGCCGCCTTCATATGCGACAGACGGGGCGGCCGGGGAAGGCGGGGCGGGTCCCTTCCTCTTCGGTCCCCCTTTGCTGGGAAATTTATCGGGCATGCCCATGTGGTTGAGCTTGAGGAGGAAGAAATGGTGCGCAGGTGTGTCTCGCTTGAGGAGGCGGGACGGATCGTGCAGGCCACAGGCGCTGGAGACGGCCAGGCTGTTCCCGATGGTCGATTTCGAAAGGATCGAGTTCGCAGCTGTTAGCGTGACGCAGCGCGATGGCTGGTCCTTCGCGACAAAGGCGGTGACTGTAGTTCGGGGCTCGACGGCGAAAAAGAAACATCGGAGGACGAGACGCACTGTAGCCTTTCGACGTCGCATTGGGAGTCGGCATGGCACTCATCGCATCCCACCCCTGAGAGCGCAAGACCTCGACCGACATGTTTTTCTTGCCCAGAAAATGCGCCTTCATCTTCTTCTGTATCCTGTACGTCGGCCGGCCGCTCGACGAGTCGCTGCTGCGGTACCGCGCGTCGATCTCCGTGTCCTGGCAGCAGCATCATTTCAGCCGATCGAGACGCCCTGCGAGCGCACCTTGCCGCCGGGCCCGAGCACCAGTTCGAGATCAAACACGTCAAACACATCGTCGTCACTGAGAGGGTCAAAGAAGGGGAGCCCGCTGCCCCCCGTTGTAGCTGATGCCGGCGGTATAACTGATACCGGAGAAACTGAAACTGGGTCGACTCCCGAGTCCACAATATCCATGCGCGAGTGCCGGCCATCGAGGGACGACACCGCTTCCAGCTTGAAGCCGCTGTCCTCCTCGGCGACGCTGGGAGCAGCGCTGAACCTGGACATGGGATGGGGATGGGGGGTCGAGAAGCAGGACGGGCGGACAGGAGGAGGCGGGTGTTTATCAACGGAATGTGTACAAGCTAGGAGGCAGCGCTAGAGGGGGTGTGCACAATTCCTGCTGTTATGCATAAATATATTCGCACCGGGCTAAATCATACAATACGTAGAACTGCTCTCCAGACATGTCAGTCAGTCAGTCAGTCAGTCAGACAAGGCCGCCAGATAACTCTGCGGACAAAAAAAGAGACATTGATTTAGGAGATGACGTAAGACTCGCGAACGGGACACAACACAACCACGCACCTCGCGTTCCTGCAGGAACTCCAGATACGTCAGAGCCACCGCGATCCAAAAGGTCGAGTCGACGCCCAGAGCCTGCTCCTCTGCCTGATCGAGCTCGAGCAGCCCCGTCAGCTGGTTGACCGTCATGATCGGCGTGCGGTCGTGGAAGGTCACCACCGGTGCGATCGGGGCGCTGGGCCGAGAGGACTCGGGAGCTAGCGGCGTTGCCAGGGCGATCGTGGACTCTGTCGGCGAGGCCGTCGCTGCCGGAGTCGATCGCAGGGGAGGGGGAGGGGGCGGCGGGATGCGGGACAGCACGAACGAGTACGACGGCCCCGCGCTCTGGCTCTTGATCGCGGACACGGCGCGCTGGAAGAACGTCATCTGCTCCGGCTTCGCGGCATCCAGCGCGTGCGGGGAGAGGATGAACGGCGTCACTTGCGTTTGGGTGCTGGGCGCCCCGCGCGGCGCCGTCGCTTGCTCGAGCCGTGCTTGGACGGCGGCTGGGCTCGGCGGCTGGACGGTTATCGAGGGGCCGGGCGGGACGGGGGGTGTCGGGGGATAGGAATGGGCATCTGCGGTCGAGGAGGTGCTCGCGCGCGGTTCGAGGTCCACGGTGGGGGGTATATTCGTGCGTGAAGAGAATAGGAGAGATCCGGTGGGGTGAGAGGTGTTCGCTGGTGGAGGTGTTAGAGGTATGAACGCGCCTGCAGAGCCATGATATGTAAGATTGCACGAGACGAAATCGGTTCACGCACCAGGCGGGAAAGTAGGTGATCTGATCCTGATATACCACCCTGACCGCGGACGGTGCATCGTCCAGCATATTCTTCGCGTCTCGTTATGCTGATTATTGGATCAGGGCCATGTCGAGTACATTCCGGATGTGGACGCTCACGATGAAATGCTCAATAATCTCCTCCTCCTCGAGAAACCTTTCCTTCATACTGAATATAAGCACGTGTGGCTGGCACGACGGCAGCTGGAGCGCCGACCTTGAACCAGATAACCCGCGTAGAGTTCTCTGCCATGACGTTCACCTTTAGCTCTGCGAGCACATCCGAGCTGGGGCCGGCAGTTAAAGCAGTAGCGTGATGCTATTGATAACAAACCCACCTCTGAACCACGAAACGCGTCTTCTTGCGGCCCGACTGCTCAGCATAGCTAGGGAGGCTCATACCCGACGAGGTGGTCGTCGGGAGCGATGCTGCGGTAGGCGAAAAGTCATCGCCACAATGTGTGCTTCGCCACAGGTTAGGGTTTCGTCGTCACGGATCTTCCGTAACTTCGACTGTCGACCCTGTCTGTCTCTATGCGGAAGGCCTTCAGCACCGACAGCTATAGCTCTGGGCTTTATGCTGGAACGTGACTGCCGGTGCTGTCCACCTGCGAGTCAGGCAGCCTTCAAAATGTGATTCAGAATTTCAGATAAGCGGAACCCGGATGTTCCTTCATCCCCTGATCGGCTGAAATTGAGTGGAACCCGGGGGGATAAAAGAATTCGCATGTGTATACCCCATAATCCTTCCCCGCCTCCACGTTCAATTTCTAACGATTGCAATCCCGTTGCACAGTTTCTTGACCTTGCACTACACGGAGAGACATGACTGCTACGCCCACGAACGACGACCCGTTCCACGAACGACTGCGGTCCAGGTCGCCGCACTGCGTGCCTGGCGCGATGCCCCTGGGACTCGGTGTGGTCGACGAGCACGAGGAGTTTGGGTACGACGTGGACGCGGAGGTGGAAGCCGAAATACGGCGGAGGCGAGAGCGAGAAGCGCTGGACGCGCAATTCATCGTGAGCCGCGAGTCTGCACCGCTGGTCGCCGCGACTCACCCTGCGCCAGGACCTGGCCCGGATCTTGCCCACCCTGTCACACACGCACCGCTTGACGAAATCGCTCATTTTGACGGAGGCTATTGCGCACACCCGCAAACAGCGCACGCAGCGGCTCGCGGCCGCCGCGCAGATCCGCGGTCTGCTCGCGTCGCAGGATGCGCTCGTCAAGGAGGTGCAGGCGCTGCGCGCACAGCTGGCATCCTCCTCGCCAAACTCGCCCGCGGAGACCGACACGGCTCTGATCGAGGGCGAAGCGGCCGTGCCACGGTCGGACTCGCCGCCGATCCCTACCAGCCTTCCGATAGCGCTGAATCCGGAGGCGCAGCAGGTCCTGTTCGTCGAGCAGGAGGTGTTCAGCATCTTCCCCCCGGGCACGACGCTGGAGGACTCGGACGACTTGGACGAGCGACATGGGCGTGTGCCGTATCGGGACAGGAACCTCAGCCGTCCGCGCAGGAGGATCAGCTCGCGCTCGATCAGCAGTGTGCGCACGAGCCACACTCGCCGGTCGTCGCAATCTCCAGCCCCGTATGCGCATTCGCCGCGATCGGCTGATGTCGCGTGGGGCGTTTCTCCACAGATGCAAGCAGCGGCATTCGCACATCAACCCGTACGTGTTGGCTCGCTTGGACATGGATCGGGTGTCTGACTAGTACCCCTCCAGCTGATGGATACTCTCATCCACGACATGGACCTGCTCGCGTCACTCAGCCCGAATGCAGACGTGCTCGCGGACTACCCGGGGCTCTTCGACGCTGCTCTGTCGCCGATGAGCGAAGGCTCGTCGCAGGGCTCGGGCGATGATGATCCCCTGACGTCGCTCAGGATCCACCCGGGACTGCGCAGTTCTGCGTCATACCCGGGTCAGCAAGGGATTGACCTGGGCCTGGACTTTGGTTCTTTCGGCGGTGCCGCTGTCGGGGGAACGCCGGCTTCCCTGGATACTTGGTATTCTCGGTTCCAGTCTCAGCCCAGTCGCCCCCCGTGAGTGCATTCTGACTGCAAGTCTGATGAGCTTGTTCTGAGTGACGCACGCAGGCTGGTCAACGTGGGCACTCATGGCGGCTTCATCTGAAGCCGGGTCAGGTAGCAATATCTGCCCTACCATCGCCGTTCAACATGCCATGTCTTGGTTCTCTGGGGTCAATCTGCTTTATATATCGGTGTAATCTACGCGCTTCTGCCAATCTATATGAAGTGTCCGCATCAGTCTTCTGTACTCATCACTGCCAAGTGCCCGCACACTACCCCTTTCAACGCCCTGTAGCTGTACCAGCGCGTCTCACGACAAGCTTGAGGGAGAAACTGAGCGTTGTTCCTCAGCTGATCGCTCGCTATGCTCACCACATACCTACTATGCTCGCTCACGTGTGGTCGTGCCTCCGTCACGTGTTATTGACAGGCGCTTCGAGCAATCAGATCTCAATGATCGGAAGCCGATCCAGCGCACAGAACTTGACTTATCACTGGGCACCTGTCAGCCAACTAATTACTGCGGAGCGCAAGGCCGATGTTATGGGGTTTCACCAATTCAGCGCTTACCCACAGCCCCAACAAGCCTTGGCATCTCTCCAGTCAGCAACGATGCGGTTGCGGGGTAACAGAAATCCTGAGCGGCGTCAAATGCACCCATGAGAAAAAGCCGACAGGAGAGATGGATAAGGAATTAACTTTGGAATCCTCATCGAGCGCGTGAATACGTGTCCGTGCCAACTTAAGGGCACTACACAAGGGTCAGGGAGCGGAAGGAATACCACACGTGATCGCGTATGCACGTGCCCTGGTCGTGCGATCATCGATGCATCAACCGATCACTCGTTCTTGCTTTCTGACGCTCGCTTCGGAGCGCGCTGCTTCGAGCGACCTCCGAGCGTGGCGACCAAAACCTCGATATGCGGTGCAGCAGCTCCGACCACCTGGATACACATGTTCATCAGTGCTGTAACATCACGTCCAATTTGTTCCCAACACTCCTGAGGCTGACGAGCCACGGCCACATGACCCGCCCGGCCTCCGAGTCCGCCGTTGCCGGGCCCTGAGAAATCGTGGTGGGATTGGCATGCCACAGCAGCGAGTGATGTGGGCCGGCCAAGCGACATCCGTGTTTACGCCGTCTCTCCTTCTCTGCTCTGGACTATGACCACCATCGACATCCTGCCCGTCGTCGACATCCCGCTGCCCGCCATCCCGGATGACCTGAGCATCCCCCAGTTCTTCCTCGATCGGCGGAGCGCGGTGCCCCGACCGGCTCGCCCTGCGGACGTCCCGTGCTTGATCGACGACACCACCGGGCGCAAGGTCCTCTTCGACGAGGTGCGTGTCGCTCCAGCAGCAACAGCTTGACTGGCGGAGAGCGCTGAACTGAACTGAACTGTGCGGCCGCAGCTGCTCCACCGGTCCCAGGCCCTGGCGAATGCGCTTGCGACCCTGTATTCCATCGGTGCGATATTTCCGCTAGGCACGAAACTACCTGACCGGGCTTTCGATCAGGGGAGGACGATGTCGGTGCGTTGTGCCCCTAGCTGTTCACAAGGATCTGAGATGGATAATCATCCACTGCCCAGTGCTGCTCTACGGCAGGAACAACATCGACTACCCGGTAGCTATCTGGGCTGCCCACAGGTACGCCGCCAGCTGCGCTTGCTTTCTAGCTGGGTCTCCCGCTCACGTGGACGCCGCACGCAACAGGGTCGGCGCCATCGTGTCGCCGGCAAATCCCGACTACGCAGCGAACGAGCTCGAATACCAGCTCAAGGCAGCCAAGGCCAAGCTCATCATCAGCCACCCCGAGGCGGTGGACGTCGCGTCGGCTGCGGCTGCATCTGTTGGGCTGCCGCAGGACAAGATCCTCGTCTTCGATATCCCGGGGCAGGCGCCTGCGCGCGCCTCGCCGTATGTGTCGCTCGAGTCGCTCATCCAGCACGGGCTCAAGGAGACGAACGTCGTGGAGCGCGGGCTGCGGCCCGGCGAGGGGAGGACCAAGCTCGCGTTCTTGAGCTTCTCTTCTGGTGAGCGCCCCCAGGGTTTGCGGCTGGCATATCCGTCTGATCGGCTCGGCATAGGTACTACCGGTACACCGAAAGTCAGTTGCACTTGCCTTGGCATCCGTCCACTTGAAAACGGAGACTTGACATTTCGTAGGCGGTCGCTATCCCGCACTATGCGGTGATTGCCAACGTCGTCCAATTGGGAGCCGCGAACCGACTCAACGAGGACTACGCCAGCTGGAACGACCGGCGATTCCGCACGGGCGACGTTGCGATTGGAGGTCGGTCGGTCTTGCTCTCCGGCATGAAGCAATAATTGACGTTGTGAATGCACGATCCAGTTCTGCCGCTGTATCGTTCGTGCTTCCCCATTCAGTGCCATTTCTGCCATGCTCACAAATTCACTTTGCAGATATCTACGGTCTAGTCATCAACGTGAACCCCGCTGATTCGAAAAGCACCACAGAAGTACTGACGTCGAGGTCCAGCTCCACTTTATGCTCTACGCAGCCATGACTGTGGTCATAATTTCCCGGTTCAATTTCGAGAGCATGCTCAAGAGCATCGTCAAGTACCGCATCTCCCACCTCTTGTGCGTTTCCAGCCCTCGAAACGTGCCGAGCTCCGCGTGACACTTCTGCAGCATCGTTCCTCCGCAGGCCGTGTTGCTCTGCAAGCATCCGTCAGTCAAGAATTACGATCTCGGTAGTGTGCGGGCGCTTATGACGGGTAAGTTCACCCCAATCGCACAAATGGGAAATGTTCAATTTTCATGACGCTGATCAGGCGCTGCGCCGCTATCCGACGAGCTGGCTGTGATGCTGCACAAGCTCTTCCCCGATGCGCATATTGGCCAGGGCTACGGCATGACGGAGACCAGCACGGCGGTGAGCCTCTGGCCGCTCGACAGCAAGCGCGGGAAATCAGGAAGTGCGTTGCAGTCAAACACACACCGTCTTCCCACTCCAAATGCTTCTTCGGCTCACCCATGACGCAGGCGCCGGGCACCTGTTACCCGGAGTCGTCGCCCGGATCGTCAAAGAAGACGGGACGTATGGCGCCCGCGGAGAGGCCGGCGAGCTGGTGGTCAAGTCGCCGTCGAACGCGTTGTGTTACTATAACAACAAGGAAGCGTGCGTCGGCTTCTGTCATTGTTTGGTTTTTTATCCAAGGCTGATTGTGAGCAGGACGGAGGAGACCTTCCTCGAGGGCGGGTGCGTCGTTTATACAATATCACATGCCCACCGCCGCATCGGCTGATCCCTGGCCCGCAGGTTCGTGCGAACGGGCGACGAGGCCAAGATCACGGAGGAAGGCGATCTGTTCATCATCGACAGACTGAAGGAAATAATGAAGGTCCGCCGCGCGCCGATCTGCATGCATTGACTGACGCCCCAATGCCGAGCAGGTCCGCGGGTTCCAGGTTGCGCCGGCCGAGCTCGAGGGCACGCTATTGCAGCACGCGGACGTCGCGGACACGTGCGTCGTCGGCGTGCCGGATGAGTTCAGCGGAGAGGTGCCGCTCGCGTTCGTCGTACTCAGCGCGGACGCGGCCAAGCGCGTCGCCGACGGGACGAGCCAGATAGACGCGATCCGCGCTTCAATCATCAAGGTATCACAGCCCATTCACGACGAGATTCATATTTTTTTTCTGTCTATTTCTGACGTGCTGCGCAGTACATCGCGGACAACAAAATCGGGTACAAGCACCTCGCGGGTGGAGTGGAGTTCATCGATGCCATCCCGAAGAATCCGAGCGGGAAACTGCTGAGGCGGGTGTTGAGGGAGAAGGCCAAGGCCATGCGTGGCACTATAAAAGCGAGACTCTAGGGAGGACCATCTATTATCTAGGAATATTTATTCGGGCCATATGCCCATCGGTTTTGTCGTCAATTCATTGGGAGGCACGTGACTCGGCAATCGTATTTCCACGGTTCAGATTCTGGTATTTTCTCAGTTTTAGCCTCAAAATCCATGCCAGACCATTGCTGCTCTCTCGCATAGTCTTCAAGTAAGCTATCCAGTTTTTCTATCATTCTTTGATCCTGATCATTGAAGTCTTCGATCCAGGCCAACCATCTCTACAATGCGGGACTAGATGCTGACCTAATCCCAACTGCGGACAAATACGAAGCAATAAGCATCCGGAGGCTCTAATCTCCAGAATTCAGCGGTGTGCTGACGAGATATCTTTTGCATGTGTAGATTCTGAATGATGCGATTATATGAGCAGGAGACGAGTCCCGGGTGCCCTTTGTCACAGGTTTAGTGAAAAATTACAGCTGGAGCCTGGTACTTGCATCATCTACATGTACATCTCTGGGTAGGTAAATATAAAATCCAGTTTAATCAGACACACTCCCAAATCTCTGGCCCAAGGCTGAACGAACGTCCAGAAAGCCCAATATCAGGGCACGTAGAAATCCGGAAGGAACGCGGCTGATACCGGATCAGACGTTCCAGGCGGCTGATCAGCACAGCCGCGTCTTTGCTTGACAGCTGCACTTTCTGCTCAGCCGCACGAGAGTGGTTGCAGACCCATCCAGCATGTTCTCCGGCCTCTTATCACTCGCGCAAACACTCCTCTCGATTGGGGGTCTCGTGTCCGGCCGCCCGTCTGTGTCGATCCGGAATGGCACCATTCTGTGAGTGCGCCCCCGCTCTGAGTCTCTCCTGTGCTCTGGGCGCTGCAGCTGATCGCCTCTGGCAGCGGTGTGGATCTGCCGAATCTCGGGCAGCACGTGTTCCTTGGGATCCCGTTCGCGCAGGCGCCCGTCGGCGAGCTGAGACTGCGCGCGCCGCAGCCGATATGAGTGCCGCTGCGTGTCAAGTCAAGCACGTGGTCAGGTCAGACTCGTCTCATCTCATGCCGCCCACAGTGTGACTCCTCTGGGGGACTTTGACGCTTCGCGCTATGGCGCGCACTGCTGGGGCGGTGTCTCCGCTGCATTCGTACGGCCTGCGCTTGCTTGGGGGTGGTGGGTGTGCGCTGACCGTTTCCAGGACGACAACAAGGGTTATGAGAGCTCCGAAGACTGTTTGACGCTGAACGTCGTCCGCCCGTACGTCGCCACGGCTGAGAAGCCCGTGCCTGTCGTTGTTTGGAGTTTGTGCAATCACGTTATTGACCTTCTTAAGCTGATTTCTTCGCAGTTCATGGCGGCGGTTTTGTGAGTCGCACACAGATGCTAACATCGAATCCTGATGAACTGATTCTGTAGTTCACTGGTGGCAGCGTAAGCGTTCCCGGTGCACTGCGGTCGGATGGTTAATCCAGATTAGGGCGATTCACGATATAACGGAAGCTTCCTCGTCGAAGCCTCGGTGGCAAACGGCAACCCGATCGTGTTCGTTTCAATCAAGTGCGTACAGCGAACACTTTACTATACATCTTCTCGAGCTTTGATTCTCGAAGCTACCGCCTATCGTCACTGGGATTCTTGGCCGGCAGGGCCCTGGCCAGTGAAGGCTCGCTGAATTTGGGTCTGAGGGACCAACGTCTGGCGCTTCACTGGGTCCAGGAAAATATCGCTAGATTCGGCGGAGATCCAAAGTGTGTGCATTGTTCATCGTCATCACAGTTTCAGCTCATTTTGTCTTTCAGAAAAGTCACCATCCAAGGCGAAAGGTGCGTCTCTTGACGTGTTTGATCTTTCCCAATGAGCATTTTTCCAGTGTGAGTCGATTCCAATGAGGGCCCTTCTATACCTTTCGCTGATCGCACAATAAGGCTGGCGGGGCGAGCGTCCACGCACACGTAGTGGCCTACTCGGGCCGCGACGACCACCTCTTCCACCAGGCCATCCCACAGAGCGGCACCTTCGGCCAGAAGCACAGCGCACCCGACGCGCCGCAGATGCAGGCGACATACGACAAGCTGCTTTCGAGCACCACGTGCGCGCAAACCGCCGAGCAGGCGAGTGACGTGCAGCTGGCCTGCATCCGCGCGCTGCCGATCCAGGAGTTCCGGGAGGCCACGGGTGGTGGGATGACAGGTTTGGTCGCCGACGGCGATCTTCTCGACGTCGGGAGCGCATTGGACGCCTACAAAAAGGGGAATTGGGTCAAAGTCCCGCATCTGGTGAGAATCTCTACCGGTTTATACATCTTTTCCCTCTCATTCCACGAGGCTAGATTGGCAGCAACACCGACGAAGGGTGGAGTTTCGGTGCGCGGGGAGCCAATACCACTGAACAGACAAAAGCTCTCCTGGCCGGGCTGGTTCCCTCGGAACATCTCGACGCCCTGCTCAGGTTGTATCCTGACGTACCCGCCCTCGGATGCCCGTTCAACACTGGGGATCTGCAGCCGAGCGCTGCCGGGGCGGTGGATTTCTTCAGTTCTGCCGAGATGCCGTCTGGGCTGCAGAACAAGCGTGTTGCGGCGATTGTCGGCGACGTGATGCTGGCTGCCGGGCCCCGATGGCTCGCGCAGGTGGCGTCCAGGGAGGTTGCTGTGTTCAAATATAGGTACGTACTTGAACCGCGCGGATGTCATAAAGTGTCAGACATGTTGGCTCACGTGCGCGTAGGTTCAACCACGTGCCGTACAGCACGTCGTCGGGTGTGCAGGATTATGTCGGCCACTTTGTCGAGGTGCGAGATCTGATCGCCAGTCGAATCTAGTCTCATCACATCAGGTCCCGTATGTATTCAACCTCCAAAACGACGAGTAGGTCGATCGCCGCGCCTTTCCCATTCACTCGCTGGGCTCAAGCGTGTGTGACAGGACCGCATTTTGGAAGGAGCACGGCTGCACGGCGACATACCTCGGCCCAGGGGCACCGACGGGCGATCGCTCCCTCGGGATCGCGATGAGCCGCGCGTGGGCGAGTTTCATTGCCACCGGGGATCCCAACGAGGCGAACGGTACGCGAGCAATCACGAGACGACTCAATTGTTTGATCTGTGATATGTATAGTTCCCGGTCAGACGCACTGGCCTCCGTATTCTGAAGGCGCGCGGAACTTGGTTTGGCAGACACGCGGATCCGTCGTGGAAAACGATGTCAGTTGGGATCTGTTTCCTCCCCCTCCTGATGATCAGAAAACTGACAGTTTGGAAAGAATTATAGAGAGGAGGGGATCCAGTTCATTGTAGAGAATATCGTGTTTTAGTAGGATCATCCAGGACGCATGGACGCAGGGCGGCTGCGGCCGAATTTGACACGTTGGACGATGTAAACAGGAAATGAAATCTCCGATTTTGTGTATTGTCGTCTTCTTTCTTTTGCTAGTCTGTCAACGTCACAGTTGACGGGCTGGCGTTGAGTCCTTTCGTGGGTGCTCAAGCGAACAACGGGCGATTCCAGAGTTTTGTCGCTCCCTCACCATGCTCCCGCTCCCGTTCTTCGTACTCTCTCTGCTTTCATGCGCTGCATCCCTCGCGCTTCCCGATCTTACCGACACGGCGACTGCGGTGTTGCGCAGCAAACGCTCGTTGCTGGGCTACGTCGTGGACGAGCTCAGCGCAGCGGCGGAGGCTGCTGATCTGCTGGTTAAACCTGGACCGCATCCTCAGGGCGACGCGTTCCCAGTCCTCGCGGCAGATTGCACGGACGTGATCGTGAGTCGCTCCGGGAGACTTCTTCTCAACCCGATTCTTGATTCTCCCTGCGGATGGTTGAGTCGATACCAGGTCATCTATGCGCGCGGCACGGCCGAGCCGGGTCCCATCGGGGAGACAGTTGGCCCTGTTTTCCAGAATCTGCTCCGCCCAGCGCTCGTTGCTGCGGGCAACAAGACGCTGGCTTTTATTGGCCTTTCCGAGTATGCGGCGACGTTCCTGGGATATTTCGCAGGTGGGGATGCCAGCGGGAGCAAGGAGATGGCGCAGAAGGTACTTCGCCGGGAATCTCTGCGCATATAGCGTACCAGGTGATAACTGCATTCTCAGCTTGCTGCCGCCGCGACTTTGTGCCCTCGGGTGCGCATATAATCCCGAATTTTACTCTAGTCGTTCCTCCCGATTCAATTTGCATGAAACAGGCTGCGATAATATCCGCTGGATACAGCCAAGGGGGCCAACTTGTCCACAATTCGGCGAAGCTGCTGTCGACCGCGACGGCTGAACACATCAAGGCGGTTGTAATCTTTGTACTGTGGACCGTCTCATTTAACTGCGTCCCCGCCACTCAATCTGTCGTCTGTGCTCTAGGGTGATCCAGACGATGGTCAGCCGGTGCAGGGCATCCCCAGCAGCGACACGGATGTGATTTGCCACCCTGCTGATGCGGTTTGTAAATTGGGTCGGGACGGTGTCGTTGGAGCCCCGTTCATCTTGCTTACGGTGTGGGACCATCTGTACGTCGGCGTGTCTCGCAATTCACGACAGAGGCTTACGCGTATGGGATGCAGGAACTACGAGAAGGATGTGAAAAGTGCTGTGGAATATGTCGTTGCGAGAGTGTGATTTGGGATCAATCATGATGACGCAGTCCACGGAGTCGACGGGAGCCACATCATAACGTGGGAGACAGACCTCTGCTTACAATGACTTACGGGAATGAGTCTCGGCGTGCTTATGGAATGGCGATATCCAGCTTCCGACTTTCCAATGCAGATCAGCGCAGCGCATTACGCGTCCGGCTTGAGGTCCCAGATAGTGATCCCTTCTGGCTTACCAAGGACTGATAGACCGGTAAATATCGCCAGCCTCCTAGCCCAGAGGTAACAGATATGGACACACCGAGATTCGCAGATCGTGCATCTAGGGGTTCTTGATACACATCCGCGCAGATCCATCTCGCACGATTACACTACTGACGAGATTGCCAGCCCAGCTGCTGTAAGCGTGTGTGCAAACGTCGAACTTGAGTCGCCATGCGCCGCTTAGAATTGCTTGTTGTCCAGCGTCCAAGTGGGAGATCGCTCAGCTTACAAGGATGCGAATCTAATCCACCCTTTATTTTTATCCTGTAGCAGGCATCCCCCTGGCTACAGGGGAATGAGAGGGGCTTAGACATAGCAGATCGAGCTGTGGGACCATCAGGTCGCACGGCCCACCAGCTGGGCGCACACACCGCATGGGGAGATCACAACTCGCTTTCCAGCAGCAGCGGCAGACCCGAGGTAGACCGGCTACGATCTCATTTGTGGTTGCAATCGCAGGTGCTAAAAGTCTACATATGCCGGGAGTGTATTCCAGTGTCCAACTAATAAACTTGTGAGCGGCTGGCCTGTCATCCATTCAACTCTGGCCCTGTGATGCACATTTCCAGAAGTCAGTGTTGGTACAGAGTGTACATCTGGTATGGTTGGGGGATGATATATCCGGTCGATGGAGAGCCGAAGACCACTGTGTCGTTCAATCCACAATGGGCTGTCGTCCGAGAATTGAGTTAAGCACGCTCGGGCGCGAATGAGAGTGACTCATCGGAGCACTATTGCCGATCAATGCACAGGTTTGCAGTGATAATAGCAAGTCCTGACTAACCCATCCTAGTCGTGCTTTAAAGTTGACAGTGGCTTCGGAGCCTGCGAGGCGTTACTGAATGCACATAGACACACGCCGCCGGATTATAGGGCCGAGCGCACAGGGCAGGTATGCACCCAAGTTCGGGCTCGCACGATTGCCGACCCGAACCCGGCTGCCAGCACATGCATGCACTGAAGACAATTTCCCGCTTCCGATGCGCACCTGCAATCGGTGGTTGTATGGCCGCTCGATAGGCTTGGAGACCCATCTTTGATGTCCTTGCACTGGTCCAAGTTTGCGCTACTGACGTCTCCGAACAACTTTGATAGAACCTGGGGGCAGTGTTGGCCGATGATCATAATGAATCGTGTCGTGGGCGCGCGCGAGCGGTGAGCGAGCCGGAGCATGCGATGCCGCACAGCATTCGCTATGGGCTGCTATGCATGGTTGCTCGCCGAGTGGCATGGTCGTCAAGAGAGAGAAAGGCAGACACAGAGAGGGATCTCGTAATGGAGGCTACGGACATGCACGCGGCAACTGGTCCCTGGTACTGCCTTCAGGAGGGCCGCTCGATGTGTACCAGAGTGACGTCAAGAGAAGAGAAATGTGATTGGATGCTGTTCCGTGCAGGATAAGCGCGGTCAGCGCGGATGGACAGGCCGCAGAATATATGGCCATGACAGAAATCAACGCGGAGGGTTGCTTAGAGGCGCCGGTGCCAGCGCACAAGAGAGGACGACCACACGGTGCCCCTCAGTCTGTCTGTGCGACTCTCGACTGATTCGCATCCTGCGGATCTGCCACCCCGTCCGATGAAATAATCCCGTTCTCAGATTTCCGGATTTCGGTCGCGAGATCTCGGTCGTCAAGAGACCTGGCCATGTGTCTCTGCTAGCGCCAGATCGAGGGGAAACGGATCCTAGATATTCCATTATCCAGCGCCGAGGCGCGCCCAGGGAACAGGCACTTCCTTAATCCAGTCCCAGGGCTAGTGGCCGGAAGGTGCTCAGTGCTTGCAAGCACCGGATGGAGTTCATTCAATTTGTGTGTCCTCTGAAAGAAGAAGTCGGCGAGCGGGAAGCGAAGAAAGACTGTCAAGTGCAGATGCCAAAGATCGGCAGCTCGCCGATCGCCTCGGCCTAGAAGGGAGAGGCCGCTGAGTCACGCATCAATTGCTTGGTCACTCGCAGCGCCTCGCTCGCCTCTTGGGGTCCATCTATCCCATCATCCACCATCGCATTTGCACCGGCCGTCTCCTTTTCGCTCGTTTCCTTGCACGACAACTCATAGTCGGAGCTCCACCCGCGTCCAAGATCTCTTTAATAGACGGGCAAGAACGAAGGATCTACCGCGGACATTCTGAAAGAGGGGTCTCTCGACAAGCGCAGACGAAGATGGACTTGTCGCTCGCAATGAACGCCAGTACGGAATCCCTCGCGTCCAACTCATCCTCCCACTCGCACAACTCGGTGCACTCGAACCCCCTCCCATCATCCTCTTCGTCGGCCGCCGCTGCATCGCATTCGCATCCCCTCGCCCACCATGCGCACACTCTGCCAGCTATCCCCATCTGCCGCCCATCGCTCTCGCTCACCTCCTCCATGGGGCTCAACTCCGGGCTGGACGACTCCTCGGAACACACCGCGAAACCGGGCAACGCCCACGTCCACACGGCGTTCCACTCCCAGTCTCTGCCGCTGCCGCATGCGCGCGGGCACGGAGAGCAGCGGCTGCTCGCCATGGGCGACGGAGTGGGGTCGGACGAGGATGCGCGGATGCAGCAGTACCTGAACGGCATGCCGGCCGAGTCAACGGCGCATGATGCCACCATGAACGGCGCCTTGAGCCGGCCCTTGTCCAACGTCGAAGCGGAGCGTCTGACGTATCTGGACCGCCTGAAGTTCTTCCTCGCGACGGCGCCGAGTCGGTGGGATGTGGAGGATGAAAGCGGTTAGTCTCTCGTTCCTTCTTTCCTTTGTTCCTTGCCCTCCTTTTCGTGCTTCCTCTTCCTCCTCCCCCCCGAGCCCTAGCGCTCGCTAGGAGCTCGCTGTCGCTGCTGGTGCTCTTTTCCCTTGACATCTATCTCCATGGGGAGACGCTTTCCCCCTATACCGATGTGACTTCCGCGAAGATCCGCTTTGTTGTCCTTCTGGCCATCCGAAGACACACGGGACCCGGGCAAGTACGATAGCGAGCTTGAATCGGCGGTGGCATGCGCACCCGTTTCCTTGATCCCTGGAGTTAACTCTACCGATGCTTGGGGATCGGGCCGAATATCTCCTCTATGCTATCTCCTCTATGCTACTTCCCCGTTCCACAGAAACTTATTTCATTTACAGTTCCCCATCTCGGGCACACTAACTCCAACCCAATTACATCGACGTCGCACCCGGCGCTGAACCGCTTCTTGCTACCGACTCAAGAGTATGTGAGCTGCGTGCTGTGGAACGGACTCTTCCATATCACGGGGACGGATATCGTACGGGCCTTGGTGTTCAGATTCGAGGTGCGTTGGCGTTTGTTCGCGGCTCCTCGGCAAACCCTTGCGTACGCACATCGCTGACTTTGTTCATCTATCCAGGCTTTCTCGAGACCTGTACGCAATATGAAGAAGTTCGAGGAGGGCGTGTTCTCGGACCTGAGGAACTTGAAACCAGGGACGGATGCTTGTCTAGAAGAGCCCAAGGTATGTTCGAGTTCTCTCCTCGCACTTTTATGGGTGCACTGCGACATTGGACTTTTGTTATCGTACCACATCTTGATTGATCTGCGGTCTTCCGTGTTCCCCGTCAAATTCACACCATGCTAATCGTTGATTCAGTCGCCTTTCCTCGATCTGCTCTTCAAGTATCAGTGCATTCGGACACAGAAGAAGCAAAAGGTTTTCTATTGGTGAGTCTAGCATCATATGGGGGACTGCCAGTCGTTGACGTAAACTGTAGGTTCTCTGTCCCCCATGACAGGCTCTTCTTGGATGCGCTTGAGCGAGATTTGAAACGAGAAAAGATGGGCTTGGAACCTACCACCCAGGCACGTCGACACACCCACTCTTGCCAGATACTTTCTCAACTCTTGACTGCAGATCACGGGCGAGCCGGCACTGTCTTTCACATACGACTTGAAAAAGTCGCTCTACGAGCAGTTCGTGCTCAACCGGGGAAATGCCGGCAATACAGGCAGGGATGAGTCTCCGGCCCCCGGATCGAGGGCAGCATCTGTCGCGTCTTCGCATTCGCATCATTCTTCTGCGTCAGAGAGTGGACCGACGCCCTTCTTTGCGACGATGTTCTCACTCTTCGAGGGCAGCCCATCGTATAAGCAACGGAGGAAGAAGACCGCTGGAAAGGCGCCGTCCTCAAATCTAGGGCCTGGAGGACAGTATGAGGAAGAGGAACGGAGGGGACGTACGACGGGGAGGGGGTATCCTGGCATGGGCCCCGAGCAGTCAACTCCTCTGAGCGCAGCGGACATGTTCATCAAGCAGGCGAAGGGACAGCTCGATGCACCGCCGTACGGTCGATACGAGAACCCCCATGTGCAGGCTCTCCAGCATCATCAACGCGCGCTAGCCGGCTTCGATCAACCACACGCCCATGGGCTTAGTCACGAAGATGCAATGCGGGAGGCGTATGCTGCCAACCAGCAACAAGCAGCGGCCGCCGCGGTTCAAGCTGCCCAAGTGCAAGCGGCTGCTGCTGCCGCGGGTTCTCCCGGATACGGCGCCACGTCGTTCCCCGCGGGATATAATGCCAGCGGGATGGAGCTCAAGACGAAAGCGTTCGTGTGTCCGCTGTTTTCGTGTGGCCGGCTCTTCAAGCGGATGGAGCACCTGAGACGGCATCTGCGCACGCACACGATGGAACGGCCGTTTGCTTGTCAGCGATGCAATAAGCGATTCTCGAGGAGCGATAATCTCAACCAGCACGTGCGAACACACCTGCGAACGGACGGGATCCCTGGGGCAGCTGAGGGGTGGGCTGCGAGCGCGAGTGGTGGCGAGGACGATATGGATGACAGCGGCGGGGACGGCGAAGAGATCGACGAGCTGGCTGGTGACGATGATTCCAACGGCATCGGCATCGGCGCCGGCTTGGGCATGTTCGGTGGATCGCACGGACTCGCCATGGGCATGGGCATGGTGAATGCCCCTGGAGGCCCAGGATTCGTTCCTGGCCAAAACTTGGACATGCAGATGTGCGAGGTGGAGGTTCCTGTGAGCGACGTGCAGGAGGTCACTGGTGACGAGGAGGGCCTGATGATGCGCACGACCGGCAACAAGTACAATAACGGCTACAGCGACGATGGGCAGTGGGCGATGAGGTCTGCGAGTCCGGCGTATAGTACGATGAGCGTGCCATCCTCGCCACCTCCATCATTGACGCGTACGACGGCCCAGTACCCGGCCTCGCGGCACCACCACACGTCGTCGAATGGGTCCATGTACGACGACTACGTGACCTCGATTTCGGCACCGTCCCATAAGCAGGCGTTCGATCATAGCTCGCTCTATCCGCCGGGGATGATGGTCGACTCTAATCCGGGACCCATTCGGAGGCACCGGAGCATGACGCCGTCTTTGGTTCGCGGGGGAGAGTCGATTCGGCGTCCCCTGACCTCTAACAGCGGCGACTTCGTCGGGTCCCCTGGGCGGGGATACCACCCCTACGCATATAGCGGCAGTGGCAACTCGAATTCTGGATCCAGAGCAGGCAGCACGCACTCCAGCCCTTCGTTCAACAACATCCCCCTTGCGTCGGATTATGGCCTGCGGCGGTCAGAGTCCCGGAACTCGAATCTGAGCAGCAGCAGCGACATGCATATGATGGACGCGCAGTTCTCTGGGCAGGAGTTTCTGCGGTCCGAGTCGCCTGCGGGCACTTTCATCACGAACTCTCCGCGGCCGTTTACGAGCTCGCCGGGGCTGTACACGTCGGAGTTGCCGTATGAGACGAATTCATATCCGCATCACTCGCAGACTGTGCCGGCGCAGTTTGACAAAAGCCTGTTCGTGGCGGACTTTAGCTCGAACGCCAGTGATGGCTATGTCGGGGGCGGTGGTGGTGGGTATCCGCATCCCCAGCATGTCAGTACTATCTAATCATGTATTCACTAAAACCACCCACCTGTACGCTCGCTATCGATGTATTGACCTCTCTTGTCGTAGTATAATTGCTTCTTCTTGCTCATATCTATTCCAACTATTTATTGTTTTGATTCTATCTACGACGCCTATTACTTACTACTAGCCCTTATTTTGTGTTTATAACAGTAGTGCATAATCAAGGCATCCGGCGGGTTTGGTTCGCCACACAAGTGGATTGTCAGCAGCACGTGACCGTGATCCTCTCTTGTTGTGCTCGCCCATGTCTCAGTCGGATGCTCGAGTGCCGGAGACCGACGGGATAGAAGAACTGGACTTGGAGCCTCTTATGTGCTGCAGTTTCCCACACCTTTCGAAACGATGACGGATCGCTTGTCAGATCGGCTGTTCATCACGACTCCCCTTCCCAGCGGCCCTCTGTGTCATGCGCAGGACGGAGCGGGGGACCGATTTCCTCTCGCGAGAGTCCTGATCCTCCGTGATCCATGTCTATCCTGGGCCTTTGGGTAAGGTCTATGTCTGTGGTCTGCATCTGCGATAGTCCGCCGGTGTCATCGAGGGTCCTTCTCGCAGAGATCGACAGTTCCCATCCCACATTGGAACGGTTAGATGAGATGAAACTGGAGGTGTCTTCACTCCATCACGGTGGTGGTCTATTCTAGTCTGCTCTGCACTCTTTCTCTCCCCACTCTCCCCTCATGGCGATCCCGGGCCTCACTCTCCTTCTCTCCTCGTTTGTGCTCGGGGGCGTTCTGGGCCAGACCTCACATACGGTACGCCACCGTCGCTTTTCCGTGCCATGTACATAAGCGCTCCAACTGATCTTGATGTCGTACAGGTGACCGTCGGTATCGAAGGATCGTTCTATTCGCCTCCAACGATCTCCGCCGGCCTGAACGACACGGTCGTCTTTGTCTTCGGCGGAGACGTGCACACTGTCACGCAGAGCACCTTCGCGTCGCCCTGTGTACAGCTGGCTGGCGGGTTCAACAGCGGATTCGCAGGGAGGGGGCCCAACTTCTCGAAACCAATAACGACATGGACGTTAAGGATCACGAATGTTTCTGAACGTGAGCGATTATGTGTGCGTGTCTTGGGCCGGAGATGCGACTGAGGTGTTCTGTTCCAGCGATATGGTATTTTTGCCAGGCGTCGATGCCCACATCGCATTGCGAGTCAGGGATGGTCGGGTGCGTGGTCTCTGTGCTCCTGTCCCCTCCCGCCTTGCGCTGAGTCGCAGCAGCGCCATCAACCCCCCGAGTATTGTCATGTACAACCAGTTTGTGGCCGCGGCCAAGGCGGCTACTGGGACACCGACAGTACGTATTCCGTTCGCGCCACTGGAGCGGTGGTTGCCATCCACGGAAAAGAAGTAGCTAAAGTCAAACGTTACTCCTCCAGCCCACCTTTTCGTACCTTCCATCTGGGCAAGGCGCCTTCGCGACGAGTCCCCCCAGCACAAGCTCCATGCCTTCTGTTTCTTCTACCATCATCTCTACCTCGTTCACCTCATCCTCGTCGTCGCCGGCGTCGTCGATTTCGGAATCCACCGCGTCTCCGACGAGCTCAGACTCGGCGGGCGCAAGCGCAGTGCCCGTCAAAACTTCTGCCGGATCCAATCATGGTTTGATCGCTGGATGCGCCGTTGCCGGTGCTCTCGTCGTGCTGATCGTGCTCTTCCTCCTCTTTCGGAGACACCGCCGGCGCTGGGCTCGGTACCAGCGCGAGCAGGAAGAAGGATACGGGCGGTCAACGACCGACGACAAGTTCGTGGTGCCGGGCAGTTCCGCTGCGCTGCACTCGGCCGCGCCACACTCGTTGACGAGCCACCCTTCCATCGCGCTTCTGGACGACCACGACTCGCACAGTCCTGAGAAGACGTACGACATCCAGGCACCTCGCCCCGCCGTCCAAAGTCCGCCGCAGCACGCGCAGCCGCCACCGCCATCCCGGGCCGCGATCCGGCCGCTCCCGCGGACCCCGTCGCAGAACCAGCTGTACGACGGTGGCGTGCAGGGCGCCGACGCGCCGACGTCGCCGGTGCAGCCCCCGAACATCGACATCAACTCGCTTGCAATGGAGGTCGCAAGTTTGCTGCTCCACACGCCCCCGCGCCCGGGCCATCGGGAGGGCAGCCCCACGCGCCGCACGGGGCGCTACGACTCTAATGCGACGGACGAGAGTGCTGGGACGGCCCCGCCTTACTACAGATCGACGCAGTGATGTGTAGGATTGTGCTCAAGTTTTCGTTTGAGGGCTACGGTTACAACAGCCGATGTACAACAATATATGTAAGAGCGAGTGGAAGGCCGAGCGCCCGCGTCGGTATGAATTTCTGGATACAGTACCAAGAACTCACGGTCTGCGTTTCTTGCTGAGGCGATCCATCCTTACACTTGGCATAAATTGACGTAACGCAATATTGAAGGACAGACTCACGAAGCGGCGAAATGGGATCGGCCCGTGATCTGAGCAGGAGACGTAAACAAGTCTGAGGTTGCCGCTGCGCCAGCCTCGACGCTGTCAACCCCATCAAGCGTGGGTCCCGCCGTTGGGGCATTAGATGCCGGTCCTACGCTGGCCACTTGCTCCGCCGAGAAAGAAACGGTGGGTTGTGCCACATGCAATGTGCTCGCAGATACCGCCGCACTGGTCAGAGCAGGCGCTTGGCGCCGCCGCTGCGCCGCGGTCACCGCGACGGAAGATCCAACGACCGCGCCGACGACGGTGAAAACGATGAGCACCGCTACGATTGGCCGAGCCCACCATCTACGAGGACTGCCCCAGAGCGACCCTTCTTCGGCCAGCACGCGAAGTTTTTCGTCGGTTGGTGATACGGATACGGGACTGATCCCAGGAGATTCAACCGCAAGTTGCTGCTGCTCAGAGTGGGGAGGGCGTAGGCGGCGGTTGGGTGCAAGGAGGGACGCGTCGTAGCCGCGCTGTGATGCGGTTTTGAGACCGCTGAAATAAGGTATGGGCGAACCAGGAATGCCCCACCTGCATTTGAGGCTTGGAGATTGGAGCAACATCAACGAGCAGGCTCAGGTCGTAGTCGTGCCGGGCCGAGCTGCCCATGGCGAACACCAGTGGTCGGAGAGAGTGGACAGAGGTGGAGGGTGTGAAAGACCCAAGGGAGTCGTCTCGCTGTCTGTTACTTTCACCCAGATAGTCCCTGCTTGATGATCCCCGACTGCAAATAGACTCGGGGGCGAAGACTTCGGACCTTCACACGACTTTGGTCCGTGGGTTGGCCATTACGGGGATGAGGAAAGGCGCGAGTCGAGCGTCCTCCGGCCTCTACGCCGCAAACACAGATATTCGTGTACATGGCTGTCGTCAGCTCCGGGTTTGTCGAGCTAGCAGGGGACACGCCGGAAGCAATTCACCAGTCACTACAGTAGATAGAGTAGATCGCTTATGTAAGCACCACGATCACATCTTTTCACATCCGACCAGCATGTCGACCACTTGCCAAAACTTGCAATGCTCAAACGGAAATCCCATTTCGCGACTAGAGTGTCCAACCTGCAACAAGTGACTGTCCGCGTTCTATGCATGATCGGCTATGGCTCATGTCGACGCGTCGCTACAGACTGGGCATCCCAGGATCCTTTTTCTGTGGGCAGGAATGCTTCAAATCGGGATGTAAGCTCGCACCTCTTTGGCCATCTCGTGTTTTGTGTCATTCTGATTACTCTCAAGGGGTGAGCGCTGCCTTGTTGAGCGATGTCCTCAATGCGGTCTGAACGGTTGTGTAGAAAGTACACAAGGCGATCCACGGTGGCCTCGTATCCGCTGGTACGTGCGATTCAGCCAATCCTCATCAAGATCCTAATGTACGCATTCTCCTCCAGACGGGACATACAACCCGTTCCCAAACTTTGCCTACACCGGCAGCATGCGGCCCGCATATCCGCTCTCGAGCAAGCGGCAGATCCCCGCACACATCCAGCTCCCAGACTACGTCGCCGATGGTGCGCGCATACCAGCCCCAGACGGGAGCACCCCCGGAATTCATAGCAGACAGGTGTCCCGAGGTCGGAGATCCGCGCGTCGGGTGGCCCGACGAAGATCCTGAATGCGGAGGAGATCGAGAAGATGCGCACAGTGTGTCGGGTGCGTGTCTCTTGCATCTTTTGTGTTTCCTGATCTAGCTGAGCGCGCGAATCATCATAGCTGGGCCGTGAGATCCTGGACATCGCTGCGGCTGCCATCCAACCCGGCGTGACGACGGACGCGCTGGACGAAATTGTGCACAATGCGACGATCGAGCGGGAGGCGTATCCTTCTCCGCTCAACTACCGCAACTTCCCTAAATCAGTGTGCACGTCCGTTAGCCCCTGGCCTGGGCCTTGAGGTGGAGATGCTTACTTGTGTGGGACAGCTCTGTCAACGAAGTCATCTGCCACGGGATACCGGACAAGACTGCTCTGAAGGAGGGCGATATCGTCAACCTGGGTTCGTTGCCTGCTTGGTTATTGGTGCATCCAAAGCTGATTCGGTCCACCTTGTAGACGTCAGCGTGTACCATCAAGGTCGCATTTGTGCAGCCCCAGGTGTCTTCCAGGCTGATACCAGTCGCAGGGTTTCATGCCGACCTCAATGCGACCTATCCCGTTGGTAAGATCGACGACGAGTCGGCCAAACTGCTCCGCGTAACGCGAGAATGCCTCGACAAGGCGATCGCAATGTGCAAGCCCGGCGCCTTGTTCAGGGATGTCGGCAACGTCATGTGCGTCTCCTACGAGTTATGTTCCAGTGCTCCGTTCTCAATCCGCTATTGCTGCAGCGAGCCGCACGCGAAAGCGAATGGATGCTCTGTTGTGCGGACCTACGGCGCGCACGGGATCAACACTATGTTCCACTGCGCACCGGACTACATCCCGCACTACGCGAAGAACAAGACGCCCGGTGCGATGAAGGCAGGAATGGTGTTCACCATCGAGCCTGTACGTTTGAGTGTCCTTAGTAGATCGCCCCCCCTTGCTGCCGCTGACCGTGGTGCAGATGATCAATTTGGGACCCAGCTCTGCTGACATCCACTGGCCGGACAACTGGACCGCCACGACTGTGGATGGGAAGCGTAGTGCCCAGTTCGAGGAGACGTTGCTGTGCGTGTGCAGTTTTGTATGTTTCTTCTGCTGGCTGATTCATGCATAGGATTACGGAGACCGGCGTAGAGGTGCTGACCGCGAGACCGGCGTAAGGTGACCTAGACAAGTCTGTTCGCGGGATTCGGGTCACACTTGGTGTCAGACTCTGAGCCCATTGCGTATCTTATTCAAGGAGAAAACTCTGCGCGTTTCTGCGGTGCTGCGTGCTTTCGTGTGCAAGTACATACTGTTAGCTAACCAACGATCAAGTGTTTAGAACTCCCTTCTGAACAGTGTGATTGGACAATGCGACGATTATCACGGGCTACTATTCTCTCTTCGACAGCCGCGCGGATTCCAGATCCGCTTTCGTCAATTTCACGGTTTTCATACATCGCGGTGTGCTTCCGTTTCTCAGTGCTACCCATTCGGTGCACATCACGTTGCAGAGTGTCGCTATTCTTTCGGCTGCGAGGAGCGTAACATACAAATTTCTAACAGAAGGCTTGAGAAGGAGTCGCTGCCGCGAGAAAAAGGAAATGCACGCAGTATCTGACAGTGAAGCTGAGTCTGCTGGTCCTGGCGTTGGCATTGGCACTCGCGCTTGCGCTTGGGCCGACAAAGACTTCTATACCCCGTGCTACATATATTTCATCGACTACCCACGCATGGAAAACATGGCCCGGCTCCATTACTATGGACTAACGGCCAACAATAAGCGTTAGCTTCTCTCAGCCGAGCGCCTCAGTCTGCTACAGCTTAGCCTCCGTGGATGTCAGTTCAGCGAAAGAGGCAGGCATTGTGTTTAGACCGATGCATTTTCAGATATGATGCAATCTAGATAAGGTGGTATCGTAGCAGGACGCACGGGCCCCTAGTGCTGCCGCGAAGTGGCTGAAGCATACTAAAAACGCTTCCGAATCAATTCTTAGACGGTCCGCTAGGTACGGCGGGCTAGTCGCTGTCGTTGACTGCCGTAAGGCATCATACTCAAAAAAGATATCTTAACCAGCAGGACCGGTATCGAGCAGGTCGTCGGTTACTCAAAAACGCCAAAATCTTCTGGACAGGGCCACTTACGCGATTTAGAATTCCGGCAAGCCAGAGCCCATTTTTGAAGGGGACTTTCTGATTAGGAGACCAGGAACAGTTTATAAATTTGGCTGAGTAGATTGGATACCAGAGTCACGTCAGTCTAGATAAGACCTGATAAGCTGGTTGCTGAGATCATGCAGAGCCAGGTCATGTGATAACGTGATCATCTTGATCTCAGGTCCCGTGATCGTGATTGATGAGGGCTATCTATCATCGGCTTGACATTCGCCGCGGCCTGTTGCTATCATCGTCCGCCCATGACCCAACTCACCAGCGAAGGTGCACCTCCCCCCTTCGGTCGCCAGCTCCTCAAATACTTCGCCTTCGATCCCGACTATGTGAACCTCAATCACGGTCAGTGCATATCGCCCCGCCTGTTTATCTGCTTGTGAAAACGCATCTCATCGTCGACTCTCTACAGGGTCCTACGGATCGCTTCCCCTCCCGGTCCTCGCGGCATGCAACGAGCTGACGATGCGCATCGAGGCGAACCCCGACGTCTTCGTGCGCGTTGACCAGACACCCCTCATCACCGCGACGCGGGAGCGGATCGCCAAGTTCGTGAACGCGAAGACGGACGAGGTCGTGTTAGTGCGGAACACGAGCCACGGGATCAACACTATCATGAGGTCGTTCGACTTCAAGGAGGCGGATGTCATGGTCACTTGTGCGTCCGGGTCCTCCGCTCTCTCCTCTCAGCTCCCGCAGGCGCTCACTCGTTCGAACGCTGTGTGCAGGCAGCACAACGTATGATGCCATGTCCGCACTCGCGCGGGCCATCGCAGACGGCCCGACACACCCGACGATATCCCAATTTACCCTCATGTTCCCCACGTCCCACGCGGCGATCGTCTCCGCATACCGGGCGCACCTGCGTGCGATCCCGCGCCACCCCGGGCAAACGGTCGTCGCGCTCATTGACGCGATTATCTCGGTCCCCGGTGCGCTGTTGCCGTGGCAGGAGCTTGTGAAGGTGTGCAAGGAGGAGGGCGTGTACTCCGTCATCGACGCGGCCCATGCTATTGGGCAGGAGCCGAACATTGATTTGGCAAAGGCAGATCCGGATTTCTGGGTATCGGTGCGTCTGTGTCGAATTTATTAACCGGAACAGAAACCCATTTGGTGCATATAGAACTGCCATAAATGGCTGTTTGCTAAGCGTGGTTGCGCCATCATGTTTGTTGCAGAACGGTGGGCTGCTTGTCACGGTCTCCGGAAAGGACTCACTTTTATTCTAGCAACCAGGGAATTGTGCGGTCTTCGTTCCCAGTATCCAAGACGTACATTTCCACCAAAGATAGGAAGTTCCCTGGCGAGAGCTTTGTCGAGCAGTATAACTGTTAGCATTTGGTTCATTTTGGGATACTCTCCTCACGTTCCGCTCGCAGGGAATGGTACCATCGACTTTGTTCCTCCTCTGAGCATTGGTCCGGGTCAGTGATGCCCGTGCCAGTCGTTCAACAATTCAGTAATTATTTTTCTAGCCTTGGATTTCCGTAACTGGCTGGGAGGAGAAAAGAAGATCAATGACTATTGTCACTCGATGGCCATCAAGGGTGGTGCCCGTCTCGCTGAAATCTTTAGCACACAAGTCATGGATCAAACGGGTGAATTCGCGTGCAGCTTGGTTCGTGGATTTATCCTTTCTTTTCATCAAATGATTGCAACAAAACTATGCACCCCCCGAAAATAGGTCAATGTCCAGATACCCCTGCCGTCTTCCATCAAACCTACAAATGAGATCAACGACTTGTTCTACCAGAAGATGCTCGCTCCAACGAACCGGAAAACCAAGGTCAGCGCCGCGGTATACTATCACAATGGAGCCTGGTGGACCCGGTGCAGTGCGCAGATCTGGACAGAGGTGTGCTGATTTCTCGACGAACGACGACGTGGAGCATCATTTCTGATGTTTTCCAAGATCGAAGACTTTGAGCTATTGGGGGCTGTACTGACGGAAGTATGCCAAGAGGTCTTGACCGAGAACAGGGAGCAGCTGGAGTGAATGTAGAATAGATGCTAATCAAATACCCATGCCGAGTCTAACATGCAACTTATCGAGATCTACGGCTTTGCATTGCGATTTGTCATGGACTCTTCGTGCCAGAATGACCCGCCAATGGCTTCCCCACTGTTCTTCTGCGATTCTAAAGCGGACCTTTGCGCCTCCCCTTGCTCCTCGGTCATCCTGCAGCACCTAGCATCGCAGAGGTTTACCATTCAATATGAGAAGTCGGGTCTCGTCGAAGAGTAGACCTGGACAAGTCATTTGTGAAAACTCAGCCGCATGAGAGACGTAGACACGGCTAGGGTAACTCCTCCAGCGTAGAAGCCAGACAGTTCGTAAGTTTGCGAGCGGCCGCGTCAAGGTTGCCCCCACTCCTAGATCGCTGTCACGGGCTTCAAGGCATGATTAAAGATGACGCTACGTGCGGTGGGAGCTCAACGTGACACATTGCCAGAGGGCCCCACAGTCTTCTGGGACGGTGCATCTTGAAGAGATGGCCGTGCAGGGCTCGACCCTGGTCCCGATTGCTCGCCCCATTCCGGGATCGACATCGACGAGATACGCCCGGCGTGCGTGAACACACACAGAGGCCACCCACCCTGAGGGCTCAGCGATCGATCCTGTGCCTTCTGCCAAAATCTTAAGCTTGTCCTGTGCTGCGACCGGGAGAAGCCCGACGATTCTTGATGCGTTCGGTCGCACAGCTGCGTCCGCCTTATCTCTTGCCGGCATCCTGTTGCCCGTGTTCGCGCCTGGAAAGCTCTGCAAGGCCTATCAGAAGCGCTCTCCCAGACCCGCGAGCTTCAACGGGGCCGTTCACAAAGCTCCGCAGAAATGAAAGACCCGCCGACAGGACTCATGAGCGTGAACGGCGGGCCTGACTCCTGCGGGGTCGCGCATATACCCAGCGGGCGTGCCTGCATCCCAAATGTGGCGCAGGGTCACGGCGGCGGACAAGGAAGGGGGCTGACGAGCGCAGTTTCACCCGGCGCTTGCCGGTGCTGAGCAACGGGGCGCACGCGATGGCTAAGTTTCGGCCGCGATCGGTGCACAGCCTTGCAGGCGACCTTGTGATACCACGAGCCGGCGGCCAGGATGTCTAGTGCTAGTTCAGGCAGACGGAGAGGTGGTTGGTGGCCCCGGGCCCCCCGGGCCGAGCCGTGCGTTATGGTGGATGCGCTTGACCGCGGATCGGTCTACGCCCGTCAACTACCTTCCCGTGAGTTAGGCGCGGTCAGGCTTGCAGGCTCAGTCCTGCGCAATTCGTCGAGCGACTGACTGTACGCTATTATCGGGGAACCTTGTTGAGCGGAGACGAATTTGAGTCCGGGAATACCTCGTGGATGAGTGCAAGAAAGAGACAAAGCTTTCTTCATCGCCATGTACGCGAGCGAATGCGACAAAAGGAGTATCACTGGTCGGATCCGACCCTAGACTCGTGCCCAGCCGGCATGTTTGATCTGTTCTGCACAGCCTGAGTCAGCGGCAGCTGAAGCATTTTTGGCGTCTGGACACGCTGACTAAGTGCTACGGTTTCGAAATCTCTTCTGATATCCTCGGTAATAGCTTCGGTCTGGCGGGAAATGAACTCAACGCTGCGTGGATGTTCCACGGATCATCCTGATAAACACGTGATCGCATCTTGGAAAAAAACTGTCCAGTCAGTTTAGAATTGGGTGCAACCAGCACGACAGCGCGGTGGCGACCACAGCTGATAGCGCCAAAGCGATCGAGATCAGCGTGTAATTTGCGTTTCTTGTTGGTCAGCGCCACAGCCAGGCAGGACGAATGGCGACCGACCAAGATTGAATTGCTACCTTCTCTCTACGTACCACCCGGGCGATGCCGAGTAAATGAGCGCGAGTCGCGGGACTGTGGGATTCCTGCAGGACCATGATGTCACAGCGACGGTCCTCGGCGGGCGTCCGAATGCCCGGTGCATCACGCGACTTCATCGGAAAAACCGAATCTCAAAACTCCCAGTGCCAGGTTCGAGGGCCACATTTATTTCAGGAACACTGAATGCTGCAGCGCAGTCCAGCCCGCAGGTGACGTCGATATATTAGCGTGGACTGCAAATCCATCCGGATGGTCCCATCCGCTGCCAGGGCAGCCACCGAACACGTGCCGTCCATCCATTTGGGCGGCGCCAAATTCTGAGATTGTCCAGCACACATCGCCGTGGCTTCGATGGCAGCTTTAGGCCCGCCGGAAGCTGACGGCTGCCCTTACCGACCGATGGATGGTCCTTCGCAAGGCACGGCCGCGCAATCGACACACGGTATATAAGCAGGGCGCTCGAGTTTCGGAAGAGACATCCGACGTGCCATCTCTCTTTCTCTCTCGGGATCCGTCGTTGTCTGCGGCAGCGCACGCTCCCTCTCTCCTACCCACTACTATGTGCACACACGCCGCTGCCTCCCAGACCGCCGTGTCCGTCTCCGAAGACGGATCCCGCTCACATCACGCCATCACGGAAGTCGTCCTCCCAAAATCATTCAGCTCGGGGCCCCAGTGCTGCTCCTGCGGCTGGAGGGGCGGAGGACATGCGTGCGTCGGCTTCTCGTCCGCCGCTTTGTCGAGACGTGTTCCTGATTTGCGCGCACACAGCTGGAAGTGTCCTTTCAATCCGGAAACCTGCGCTTGAGTTTGTTCGACGGATCAGCGCCACCAACCCCACAACTCGCTGCGCACGGCGCACTATCACCTCCCTCTCCTCCTCTTACTCTGTTATCATATCTGTCTTCTTATCTCCACACTGTATAACTACCTCGGAGCTCGAGGCGCATCCGTCCTACGCAATGTAATCAACCGCCAATAGCATCTATTTCTGTGCAACGGCCAATACCAATACCACCCGGCACGATTCGCGCGAACAATGAGGCATGTTTGAACTCGGGACAACCCGGTTCCTGGCGTTCTCACGGTTCGCTCATCTCTGTTTAACGTAGGTTGCAGCCGAGTAGCGTTCGCTGTACGTTAAGGATTCGCGTGTGCCTTGGTAATATAGATCGTCTGATGATGCCTCAATATGACCCCGCGCGGCTTCATCTGAGTTATGAGCTGAGACAGCACGGGCAACTCGGGCATTCTCGATTTTCACACCCAATGCGAGGCAGACACAAACAGTTCGTCTTGATCCGATCTACAGTACATGACGACAAATCTACAATAGATGCAAGACATGGAACAGACACAAGCGCGCGCTCAGACGGTCCGCATCTTCAAAGTGAAGTACAATCTAGGGTTCGTACATGCAAATCAGAAAAACAAAAAGTTTACTGGCGGTGGCTGCGGACTCACGCGATGCGATAGATGACAGTGATGGCGATCAGGATCCCAGCCCATTTGCCGTATCCGATCGAGCCGATTTCAAGGTAGTTGAGAACATCTTGACCCGAAACCGTGCAGGTATCCGGAGTCGAGGATGGATAGGCGCAAGCGCAGTCGCCATTGATGCCTGCGGTAACACATTTGAATGAAAGACCACGTAGATCAGACTGCAGGAAGTTGAGCCACATGCCAAGTAATTTTGAAATTTGAATTCAGGTTAGAGGACGCACATTGACCAAGAGTTCAAACGCGTAGCGCTGGTAGTCCATGAAATGGAACGAGTAATACCAGAAGCGAGGAAGCGAGCGGGATTTAATGCTGATTTATCCACGTCAGTTGAGGCTGATTGAATGCACACAACACATACAAGTAACCCCCAACGCTCATCCAGAATCCATTGATGCTTTTCAAATCTATCAGCTAAAGCCGCGGGGGAGGGCAAGTGCCAACTCACAAAGCTCCGATGGCCAGCGATGCCACGAAGATGGGGATAATGGACGCGACGATGATGACTTGACTTTCGGCCGCCCAGATGGCCAAAAACAAGAACCCAAGGAAGCGAAAGAACGCCGCAGCACCCGAATGAAGCCCCTGCCATACATCAGGTCAACAGAACATGGAAATGAAGACAGCGCTTACGATGGCCCAATAGCAGATGACCGTGAACAGAAAGGCGCAAGCGAAGAGAAAGGGGATGTTGACCAATGTATTGGAAAGTACGAATGGAAGTGTCGAGTAGAGCCCGTTTTTTGATTCGCGATAATAGACTGCGCGTTCTTCCAGGACTTTATGAAGGGAATTAGTACAGCGAACCCATCTCGAGTAAGCAAATTACAGCCAGGGATGCCAGCGACGGACATCTGAGCGACAAGTCATTATCGACCGTCCAAGTACATGAAAAGAACGCACAAAAGCCAGGAATGCGACGCTGTAGAAGTGGACCGACAGGCGATCATCAATTTTGGAATCATCGGTGCCGAGTCTGATCCAAATAAGGCTAGAGTAGAGTTAGAATGGATTAATAGAACGCAAGAAGGGACTGACGCTAGCATCACACCCATCCCTGCGTACATGCCCATTCGGACACCATACGCCAACAGATTACGTGAATAATTCACCGCAGTGCGCTCAGACAGCACCAGCGTATTCCAGAGGAGAGTCGCCAGAACACCAGCTTTTCCATGCTCAGGCTCTCCAGCAGCGCCGACCAACGGGTGCAATTCGCTCTCATATCCGCTTTCATTGGAGCCGGCGTGCATCGATGTTGACAAGTAGAACTGTCGGAAGCTGTGTGCGTCGGTTCCCAGTTCTCTGCGCTCATCTGTGTCAGAAAAATCGTTGTTCAGGAAATTCATGGCGTGATCCGAGGGATTCATCTGTCAGATAAGAGAAGGTGCGCAGAACAGTCAGTCGAAGAAGGTTAATCACAGCAAGATGTTCGACGTACAAATCTGCCGACAGGATGGCCCCAACGCTGCATGAAGCCCGCGAGTTCGTCCACCTTGCCCAAGAAACATGTTTTACCCTCAGAAAGCAGGAGGAGATCGGTGAATTGGGCAAGAGTTTCGAGCGACGGCTGATGAACGGAGGCGATGACGATCATCCCCTCACTCACTGCTAAGGTTCTGATAGCCGACATGACTTCTCTTGCGGAGGTGCTATCCAGCTGGGATGATCATCAGCACAATGCAGCTATGAAACGAAGAAAACTGACACCAGATGTCACTTCATCTAACAGTAGGATGCGCCTGGGAAAGTTGTTGGAGAGTTTCATATGGAGCTATGGATGCGAATCACGCACGGGAAAGTGACCATAGCACAAGCAGCCGTGACGCGCCGCTTTTGGCCTGAGCGGGTGCAAAGTAGACGATTAGATTCACTACGATTCGGAGAAAGCAGTTAGCATAGCATGGCTCACCCCCCGAAACGCCCCTTGAAATGGGGGTCCCTATCCTCTGATCGGCGCAGGATTGAAGGCCCAGAGCTGCCAAGACCGTGTCGACACGCTCAGCAACCGCTCGACGTCCGAGAAGAGGTAAACTAAGCCGAGCAGATGAGCAAGACAGGATCAAGCCGAGGCCTGTTCGATAGACGTACTGCAGCCTCAAAGCATATGTGACACTCTCGCGGACCGTTAGCACGCCTAGCAACGCGTCCTCCTGCTCGACGAAGGTCGACATCTTTTGCATTTTCGTGGCACTCAGCGGCTCCCCGTTGAGACTGATCTGTCGACGATGGATATCAACCTGCTGCGCGGGAGGGGAACTACCGGCGACTTCACGAACCGACGCGCCCTCAAGAGCGGGCTTGCGGAATGCCATTAGGTCAAGCAGTGTACTCTTCCCTGCAGTGCTTCAGCGACACGCGACATATCCTTGAAATAAGGCGAACTCACCAGCACCAGATGGGCCCTGATTGGCGCCACCGTCAGTTCCGATAATGGACTAGCAGCAGCAGTAGCAGAACGCCGTGAGTGCACGCACCATGACAGCCAGGAGCTCTCCCGCTCGCACAGAGACCGACACATCCTCGACCAAAAAGCGCGACTCCCGGCCCTTCACGCCCACCTGGAAGCTCAGATGCCGGAAGTCCAGGCGCGATGAGCCCGAGTTGGGCAGATGGGTGAGGCTCTCCGCGCGGCGCGCGGCGGACTTTTCGTGGAGGGAAGTCGTGGAGGTGTTCGACATGGGCATGGCGGACGCGGAAGAGGGGTTGGGAGAACGAAGTTGAGATCACGGCACGGCGACAGGGATTCAGAGCGGTATTTAAAGCATGATTGACATCCGATGTGCCTTAACCTATTGTAGACATTCTATGCCAAATTGCCATTCGAACTGGGCGGTAAATTGATAACTCGCTTGAGAGCGAAGGAAGTAGCTCGTTCCGTGTCGGAGATGAGATGTCATGGGCAGTGGCTATGGTCTAGGCCTCGACGTCACGTGGAATCGCGACTCAGGCATGTCATCAGGATGACCATCTCCCGACTACGAGGATTGTGACTGTGACTATCATTGTCACGTATGCTTTTCTTGTACCCTTGCGACTGTGCCCCTGCGTCGCTCGTGTTGCTCCCGTCGAGCTTCTACCGCGTGCGCCTCAATCACAACGCAATGAAAATCACAACTCTCGCTTGTGTACTCCGGATTGGGCCGTGGAAAGACACCTGACAACCCATTCTAATCTCACTACGCGCCTCCAATGCCGACAGATGCTGTCGTGTTCGTCAGTTTTGGCACACTTAGCGAGTTGAATTGCAACGCTAGCCGTAACTTGCAGTGCTCCTATCCTTATCCGCACACCGACGCATCCTACAATCCGTCATATAATCTGCGCGACCATTGAAAAGCCGGACCTGACGAGTCACAGCTGTGTGCAGAAACACGCCACTTAGGGCTCGCGCCAGATTTCATCCACAGCCATCTTAATATCCCAAATCGCATGAACCCTTTTTTTCCGGTTCTTTCGACGATTTCCTTATATGCACTTCCCCTTGTCTCGCGTACACGAAATCACACTCACCTCGGGTCGTACGTCATCCCACCTTGTGTCGGTTTTGGACGCTCATTTGTTCGGTGATTGATTCAGGATGAATGGGGCTGTGACTCGGATGTGGCTGGACCTTGGAGGGTGCAGCATTGTTCTGTGCTTGCACGAGCCCTCTATATATGTGAATCCGGTCGGTGCGATCTTCCGAGCCGCACCCACCCAGCACCCACTGTATCCCTATTCTCCCCGTCGTCGCGGCGGGCGTCTAAACCAGAAAACCCCATATTCACCACCATGTCCTTCATGCTCCCCGTCCTCTCTTTCGTCTGTGCCGGCCTCCTCGCTGTATTTCTAGTTTCCCTTCTCCGTCAACCGACGATCAACACCGCCAACGTCGCTCTTGTCCTCTGGCTACTATTCGGCAACATCGTGCACGCAGTCAACGCTATCGTATGGGCCCATGGGACGGATGTGAATTTGCTCCCCGTTTGGTGTGATATCGGTGCGTACACCGTGAAGGCGCTTTGGCCGACACTGACAGACGTTCAAGTCACGAAACTGCTCCTCGGGGTGAATGTCGCCGTCCCTGGGGTCTGTCTGTGCTCTGCGCGGTACCTCGAGCTGCTCTCTTCAAAGCGTCGGATCTTTCCCAATTCGTATTCGCAGCGGCTGCACACCCTTTTCGACATTGCGTTGTGTTACGTCCTTCCGATCCTTTATCTCGCTCTTCGTAGGCGCGCTTTTTGTCTCTTTGGACTGTGCTGACCATCTGCTGCAGACTTTGCCGTACAGGACTACCGATACGACCTCGTCCAGGGCCTGGGCTGCTCTGCTTCTATCTTCAGGTCGATTCCCACTGTATTGCTCATGATTCTTCCCCCGCTTCTGTTGTGTATGATATCTCTCGTTCTATGCGGTGTGTGTACCGCTTTCGTCTTTGGACGTCCAACTCATCTCTGATCAGCTTTCGCCGTCTACCGCTTGGCATCCATGTCCAAGCCTCGATTCTCAGAGCATATCAGCTCTCGAACAGCCATCTCTTACTCGATGTTCATTCGGCGGCTGATCAAATCGGCGTTGCTGACCCTCTGCGTCACGGCAGTGACTTGTCTGCCGCTTGTTGGACCGATGCCATACTCGTTATCTCAGTTTTCTCAATCGCTCGGAGATGTGTCGGTTGTGACTCAGCGATGGCAAGTCCGTGTGGTGGAGTTAGTGTGGTGGTCGATCCCAGCGATGTCGATAGTCTATCTGCTCCTGTCTGTCCTCTTGGGAGACGGTTATGCCCAAGTCGTCAGCTGGTTACGTCTGAAAACAGGGTCTTCGAATGGCACGGTCCCGAGGAGCCCCGTTTTAGCGCTGTGAGTGTCTTTCGATCGGCTGTGCCTCCTTCCTCCTGCTGACATCGAGTGTGTAGGCCCATGACCTCACCTCCTACTCCAGTCTCCATCCAGCTCCGTTCCGGCTGGGACGGAATGCTGGATCTGGAATGCGGCCGTCCCAAACAGCCAGGAATGACCCTTGCTCGACTGTCAGTCCTTCTCCCGACTCAGCGCAAGTCTGTATCGGAGGCAGAGTCTTCCGACTCCTCGTCGGATGGGATGCTTTCCCGTAGCTCCAGCAAAGCGAGTCTGCCCCCGATCAATACTCGGAGTCTGGCTCGTTCTCCGTCGTCGTCGGCTGTGTCATCGCCGGAAGACGAGGCTTTTCTGCAAGCGACGTTGACTTATCTGGCCTCGCCTGTCGCTCAGCGGAGAGGAACGCCCACTCCGCTCTTGTCCACTCCTGTCCTCTCCCCCAACCCAAGTCTTAGCCCTGACCCACGGAGTCCGGTCACACCTCGGTCTCGGCCGACGACGCCACTTCATCCGCTAACCAACGATCTCGAGCAGCTGCCTCTCAAGCCCCGCCATGTTGAGCAGCTGAAACCCAAGCCGCAGCAGTCGATTCCAGAGGACACTGCGTCGACATGTTCCTCGATCTGGGATGCGCCTTGGCCATTGCCACCACTTCTTGCACCACCGCCAGCCGTTCCTCCGCTGCGACTGAAATCGGATTTGAAGCGCCCGATGGTGAAGCGCTCGCCGTCGATCTACTCGCACGCTGTGTCTCGCGCGCATTCCCCGACATCGTCTGTGTCCACCATCGTTCCCAGTGCTTACGCGCCCTCGCTGTACATTCCGGTTCTGGGCGAATCGACCACACCGCCTTTCGAGGGATCCGGTTCTGCTATCGGAAGCGGTTGTCCCAAGCGTGCAGCTCGGGGCGAGACGGTCTTTATCACCAGGACGGTCGAGGCTATCTAGTCGACGTCATTATTATTTGATTTACCAGATGCGTTCGTCCTCATCCTACTCACCTTTAATATCCCCTATATACGTACACCCTGTAGCATACTTGCGATCTACGGCAACTTTCGTGCTGTACTCGACCCTCCACTTGTATCATATCTATGTTCTCTCCATGCAATCTAATCAGGTTCCATGGAACAAATCCATCAATGACTGATTCCGCAAATGCTCCCGAACCCGCGGCATCTTTTCATTTTTGGAAGTGATCGATCGAGGTAACAATGGGCTTTGGAGAACAAAAAGAGTTGGCGGCATATAACCACGACGGTCTATGAGATTGCAAGTTCGTCTGTTCCCAGACTCACCGTCTCCCCTACTCTCCCCATCTTCAACCTGTGAAGGAAGATCTCGCCGTACGCTATCAGAAGTCGCACACAGACGATTATCGACCCACAGAGATCACCCGGGCATCGTGTGAGAGCCGGGCTACCGACACTATGCACCTTGCGTGACTACTCGCTACTCGAACCACACTCCCTGTAGCACGAAGCCAAACCCTATTCCGCCACGCGCCTTGTACTTTGCACACCAGCCGCTCGGCCGGTATTCCGCGCGTTGTGCCCGATATAGCCGCGACCTTGTCCCGCCACATCATCCATCAGTGCATGCATCACCTGCCCCCGGAGGCTCCTTCCGCATAAGGCCTCCTCGTCCAAATCCGGCAACGTGCTTGTGCTCGGTCCACTGCCCGATTTGGCATTCCCCTTGTTCCAACATCGAGCAAGATGGAAGGAGGTCGTTTAGCGAGGACAAGGAAATGGCTCTACCGGGACATGGGGCAAATACGCGTAGTTTTTATAAGACATGCGGGGCCTGCCTTGGGAAAGTCGATTACCATCCGCTCATCCCTCCCTCCGCCCTCCGCCTCGCCGCCGCCGCCGCCGCCGCCGCCATGTACTACTACCAAGGGCCTCCGACATGGGTTTTCTCCGCCTTCTCCTTGACGGCGTGCATCATGAACCTGATTCCCCTTCCGTGGCACTTGGAAGGTGCGTTTTCCCACCCCTTAGCGCCTAAGCCCCAGCTCATCCAACCCTGAATGCAGCCTGGAACGTCGGGACGTGCTTGTTCATGATATGGACCGCCATCGCCAACATGATCTTCTTCATCAACTCGATCATCTGGAGAGGGAACGTGCATAACTCGGCGCCGGTCTGGTGCGATATCGGTGCGTCCCTGTGGTTCCTTTTTCGCATGTGGTGGCTGATGGGTTTCGTCCCCGCAGTGACGCATTTCATGGTTGGCTTCAACACGGCGGTGCCTGCCTGCTGTCTCTGCATCAGCCGGCGTCTGTACAGCATCGCGTCGGTGAAGTCGGTCACGAAGACCAAGTCGGATCAGCGCAGGGCGATCTTGGGTGACCTGGCTATCGGTCTCGGAATTCCGATCTTGTCCATTCCCCTTCGTATGTCGATCCTTCCTCATGAGGGAGATGTTGGGTTCTTATGCAATGACAGAATATGTGGTGCAAGGTCACCGCTACGACATCCTGGAAGATGTCGGGTGCCTGAGCGAGACGTACGAGACCCCGGTTGCAATTGTGCTCTACAACCTCCCCCCGCTCCTGATCGGTTGTGTGTCCGCGGTCTACTGCAGTGCGTTGCTTTCCTGTTTTCGCTTTCGCTCCGCCAGCGGCTGACGACGGCCTCACAGCTCTTGCGATCCGCGCCTTCCACCACTGCCGCCTCCAGTTCAAGGAGCTTTTGTCGTCCAGCAACAACCTGAATGCGAACCGATACCTCCGGCTCATGTGCCTCGCCGGCACGGACCTCGTCCTGACGATCCCCCTCACCGTCTTCGTGCTCGTCGCCAACAGCCGCGTGGGCATCCAGCCGTGGATCAGCTGGGCGGACACGCACTCCAACTTTTCACGTGTGCGGGAGGTCCCTGGAATCTTCTGGCGGTCGGACCCGTGGAACGTCGCGAGCATCGAGCTGCTTCGCTGGTCCACAGTCGGCGCCGGCTTCATCTTCTTCGCGTTCTTCGGCTTCGCAGACGAGGCGCGGAAGCACTACCGTCTTGCCCTCCAAAGTGTTGCGAAGCGCGTCGGAATCTCGACGTTGGGAACGGGTACGCTCTCGTCCAATGGGTGCGTTTCCACTCGCTTGTCCGGGGATCTGTCGTCTGACAATTGGCACAGAACGAGCAAGGGCCAGAGCAGCTACAGTCGCGGCGCCCTGCCCGTCTTCGTCAAGAAGCAGGTCTCGCGCAAGCGCGACTCGCTCGATTCGTTCTCGGACACGATGGACCTCGATGGCTCGCTCGGTGCGCTCACCTACGACGGCTCGAAGGTCAGCGCCAAGTCGTTCGGCGATCTGTCGACCGAGAAGTCGTTCGGCGCTATCTCGTTCGGGGATGTCGGGGGCTTGCTCTCCGAAAAGAAAGGGGACGATTTCCTCGAGAGTCCCATTTCGTACTCCGGCTCGTCCTCCTCTGGAAGCGAGCACGGCGGTCTCTCCCGGCCGCTGACCCCCATTTCGGACGACGCGGACGACATCGAGGTGTCGTCCCTGCACCGGGCGTCGATGTACGTCTTGCCGGCCATACCGTCGGCAGCGCGCACCCACGTGTCCCGGACGTCGGATGTCGTCGATCCTGCGAACGCGGTGTAGATTCAATGGACGTTCTACCCCGTTTCGCTCTTCTTCGTGAAGATACTGTAGCATTAGCCCCCGTACATATGAACATCCATCCACTCACCCATCGCTTCTACTTTATCCCTCATTATACCAACCCTGCCTTCCTTTGTATCACTAGTAGACACATGTTTCAATATGATCGCGATGCCTCCGAGATTTGCCCAGTGAGTTGTGGCCTGGTGGACGGGTGACACAGGCTTGAGTCAGATGACATCAGGCGGTGTGATCATGTGACCTGATCCCAGTTCTCCTCACTGCGTGGGACTCCCGGTTGGGTTAGTTCGCATGATCATCGAGGACTGCCTGAAGCCGCTCGCTATACTTGTCCGTTGTTGCTGTATCTGCCCCGTTTCAAGTACATCGGGGGCATCATTGCCTTTTCCCTCCTTCACTGCTCTTGTTGGCCTGCCCATTGCCGGTCAAGTTCTGGGATCAAGCCAGGAGTGGTCGAAGCCAATCTTACTGGCAGTGGGCTCCATCAAATTATATGTCAATATAAGACTTGGTCCATACTGAATTTCGTCCAAATGAAAAATGCAAGGCTCAAACCAATTTGCTGGGACAATATATCACTTTTCATGTTGATCGTACTTCGGGCGCTGCTACGGTGGCTGTGGCGTGGGCAGTACATAGAACCCAAGGTAATTACGAGACCTGGTCGCGGAGGTGGGCATCTATAAATTGAGCGGAATCCTGGACAAAGGACGCCGAGATATTTTCGATGTGTGCATATAGCTGTACGCACTGACTCGTTCTGTTGTTTTCCCGCTTGCGATAGAGAGTATTAAGGGCGTCCGCAGATTGTGTGCCGTTCTCTGTTGATCATTATAAACCAGATGGGGAACAGGATCCCAATTCACACGCATTTTTGATCGTATATGTTCGCACTTAGTCTTACAAGTGCTCGCAACCTTGCGTTCAAACTGTCTTTGGAAACCTCATTCACACGACAGAAAAACTTTGCATCCCGTATCCCGTGACGAAAGTAAGGATATCCTCTCTTTTTACTCTTTGATATGCCCTGCTGAGATTTGAGGAGCGGATATGGACCTGTATGCGTCTCTTATTTTCCAAATGTACCGCCGTATTTGGCAATTTGTCTCGACGAGCCGTCGGCCGACTTCATCGGTTTGTCTCTTCAGAGAATGGATCGTGAACTGTATGAGGGGTATTCCTTGCAACCGTATTTGTGCCTTACTTGCGTGCTACTCAGCGGGGCGGGTGAACCTCATCTTTCCGGAGTAGAATGTTGTCGTCTGTTTGGGCACGGTTGCCACCGCGGACCCTGAAACGGCCCGTGTCACAGCGTCTCCGATGAGCTCGAAAAATCCGAAATCCAAAGTGGTCCAATATTTTCCTTTGGTCAACACGAAGCCCGGCTGCCGCTCTTTTTTTAATAACTTCCGCTCTGGGGACCTCGTTTTGATTAGGTTCATTTAGTATTTGTCCACTTCGATGCATCGCATTCGATCCTGCTTTGCCGCTGCAAACGACAAGAGAACGGTTGAATTCAACGCCGTGACGTAGATTCCGGACGAAGCGCCGCCCACCGGGTGCAAAAGCAGGAAGCCGGCGTGACCGCATCCCGTGAGTCACTAAATTCCTCCGAGGCTGTCCGGGCTTCTGGCTCGGTTGGGGAACTCTGCAGCGGCGAGCCGTACGCGAGCGCGAGACTGCGGGCGTTCGATCGTACGTGGGGAGGCCCAGCATGGCGCCTGTGCCGGCGTTTCCAAATTTGCTATCGGAACACGCGGCGTAGGGTTTGGGGGATTGCCGATGCGGGCGGCCGGCGTTGCCAATTTCAGTCTACTTCGGTATCGGATCGTCCGTGCGCGGCCGCATCGCCGTGGTGAAGCCTAGTAATGTGCAGACCGGATGAAACAGAGCACTCGCACGAAATAGGAGAGTTGCTATGTACACATTTCTGCAGACTTGATCCAATAGAATTACTCGCGTAAAACAAGATACTCGGTATTCTGAATGAATGCGATCATTCGGTGAAGCACGGGAAAGCAGAGCAGTACATTGTTCATGGCTATCATACAGTCGTCGGGTATTAACACTAACATTAAACTCCAGTTCTCGGATATGGGCGGCAGGCGGTAAATGAAGCTTTCGCGTCGCGATGACATCAGCCACACGTGGCCGGGTTGAATGGACATTGCGGGCTGCGATAGAAGGTCCGATGAGGATCTCGCTCCCGTGACCGGCGCTCGCAGGGAACTCACGAGTGGCCTCCCCTCCATCCACAGTGCGAGCACTGCGGGTCGCGTGCCGTCGGCCCAGTCTGCGCATCAGAGCAGGCCTGGCCGGCAAGGGTAATGTCCGCGTGCGTCTGGATGGCGGAGCGATTAGGGGTGACTGGACAGCACATTGGGAGGTGTAGATAGTGGGATTGTGGGAGTGCTGATTTTCACCGGTCTTGGGAGCTCACTGGATAAACCGGCTGGCCTTAAATACAGGTTTGCCGGTTGTGAGCTTTTTTGTCCTGCACGTGTGACCGTCCCATAAATGCGCGCCGGGACAAAGGGGCGTCCGACAGTGCTCCGACAGTCCATCCGCTCGGATGGAAAGTGCGTCATCCGCGGACCCATTGTTCGCCATAGCCTGGCCAGAGACAAAGAAAAGTTTGGTGTACCCGGTGGCTGTTCGGGTGCCTGGAATGCAATGGCCCTTCCATGTGCATTGTCAAAGCTTGAAAAAGAACACGTGCATAACACGTGGCTGATAGACGCCCTGCCTTCCATCTCGCGCGTCGAAATGAAACTCATGGTGTGTTATCCACTGGACATCCTGAGAACGAGGTTGAGCTTCGACTGAACGCCGGAAGGGTCTGTCCAGTGTCTTTGTGCAGGATAACTCCCACGTGACCACCGCGTGAGATGCGGTCACTGTGACCCCTCGCGTTCTCTGTTTGATCGTCCACCCACGGTCGGAGGCAGATTCTGACATGGACATCTCGTCAGACGCAGATTCTCTCCGTCCCAGCAAGCGTCGCCGCGGTCCAGGGTACCAGTCCGAATGTCCGCTCAACCGCCCATCCATGGACAAGCACCTGTGGCTCCCCGACGGCGACATCGTTCTGCGCGTGGAGGGGTGCGGTATGAGAGTCCACCGGAGAATATTGCGGTGCTCATCCGTCTTTGGCGACATGTTCTCCCTGCCCCAGCCCAGCCACCTGGATGTGGAGCAAGTCGACGGATGCGCGAGCGTAACGTTAGCAGGCGACAAGGTGCACGATTGGGACGTAGCGCTGAAGTGGCTGTATGAAAAAGAGTGCGTGTGCCCGGCTCCACTCACCTTCTGCGGCTCGCTCACGGATCCTCCCTCCAATAATCTCGTACTCAGCGCGTTCCTAGCCCAGATTGTGACGTTCGACACGATCGCTGGCGCGCTGCGACTTGGCACCAAGTACGATATGGAAGAGCTACGAGGATGGGCGATAGCCCAGCTTCTCTTACGTTGGCCCGAAGACGTGGCCGAAATGCGTCTCACGTCTCTGCCCCACGCAGCGGGTACGTGGCTCTGCCAAGCCAGCACGCTCTGCCTGCTCTACGCAGTCGTGTGCCCCCTTCGCCACTGCGCGCGCTGACGCCACCCCACGCAGAAGCCATCGCGCTCGCGAGGGAATGCTCCGTGGCACGCATCCTGCCGGCCGCGTTCTACGCGCTCTCTGTGCAGAAGTTCTCCACCTTGGCAGACGGCGGCCGCTCGCACTGCGTGCTCTCGCCGCCCGATCTGCGGCGTCTGCTAGCGGGCCGGGAAGCTCTGCAGGATGTGCTTCTGCGCATCCTTATCGAGCCGTTGACGGAGCCTGGCTGCCCAGCTTCGGATAACTCCTCCTGCTGCCAATGCGCTGCCCGTCGATCGCAGTACATAAGAGCGAAGTTTGCTCCTGAGGCGTGCGCCAAGGCACCCTGGGGACCCTGGCTCGTTCGGGAACTGGAAGGGATGGTGAAAGACGATGTGTTCCTCCGCAGTCTTTGTTCTGATTGTGTGCATGCGCACTTGACCACTGCGCGGTGGCGTTTAGGAAGGCTCAGATGCGACATGGCGGCTTTCTTTTTGCTCTGATGATTCTCTGGGTGCTGCCGTTTGCTGATTATGAACATATTCTATACTCACCACTATTGCTACTCTAGTTGAAGGATTTCCTGTTAGAGCGCACTTGCAGAAACTCATGAAATACTTATCGGCAGGAACCCTGTGTTGGAGATGGGGCTGCCTCTTTCCGTAACACCAATCCGAGTGAACTTGGCACCCCCAGGGTCGAAGAGACTCCACGGCCTCGGACATCGGAGGGCAAAGACACGTTTTTCACTCAATATCATGGAGGTCTTCCATGCAAGACTGATGCCCGTGGACTGATATAACCGACCAGATAACGCGGACCCTCGTCCACCAGCACTGATCGGAGTTTGAATTCGGAGCACCAGCTGCGGTCCTGATGAGCTGCAACATGGGACGCCTCAGGCAAAGATCGCACCGTGCAAAGATTCCAATATGTAAGTGCGCCGAGTCGGACATGTCCACACCCTTGCCCCGGTCGCCGAATGCCCGTGTCCGAACGACGCCCGTAATTTAGGCTTACACACTCTACGGCGCCACATATCGGCGCGCCAAAAAAAGTCTCCGGCTCGGTACATATGTAAGACACCACTGAGTCGTGGTTGGAAAATTTTACAAGCTTGAGAGTTTTACAGCATACAGTCGGTTGGATGGTTGGTTGGTTGAGGTTCACAAGGCTCGATCGCAGATCTCCGGTACGGCCGCGATTAGCTCGGTGAAGGCGCTGGCAGGCTGTAGCGAGACGATGATGCACGGAGACAGGTTTGCAGCTGCCAGCGATCTGATCATTGATGTGCACTGTGCAGCTGTGGCTGTGCTTGATTATGGGAGAGGGTTCATATCGGCATGTGCCGGTGACGATCAACCGGTTTTCATCAGTGTCACGCTCAGAGCTCGTGACCGCGTGTCGCTTCAGGTTGAGCCACAGCCGAACAGCACCTCGGTCGGTAAAAACACAAAGAATAGCGAGACCATAAAATGCCCTCGGTCTATCCTGCTGACACGAGACGGGCGCTAAAGTCACTGACGTTTTCTCTTAGATGATGAACCGCAGTTGCGGTCCTCGCACTGTGCATGGTCGTCAAGCGAGAAGGGTCCATTTGCGTGTGCATTCTGTAACCAAGTGCACGCCTAATTTGGCTCCATTGCCGAGATTTCAGGTTTATCTCACATCGATTCGACTCGAAAAACTAATCTGGTTGCTCGTCGAACTGGTTTTATGCGCCATGTACTACTGTTGCCACTTGCCAGCTCCTCGGAATCGATGAAGAAGCTGTGGTTCATCACTATCTCTTGATGTGGTACATGTGGTGCTCTTCTCCAATTGATAGTAGGACGTGGTCCTTGGATGCGATATGTTGACTTTTTGTCAGCATCGTGAAACTTCGGTCAAGTGCATTGACGTTGGATGACCGTCTTGTCAAAGCGTCCGTTCGCGTTTATTTTACGGTGTGCTCGGACTATAACCAACTTGGCTCACGTTATTTGATCCGGGGACTTATCGAGGATCGGTCGGCGGGAGTGGATCTGTTTTTGAAGCAAACAGGGTAGGGGGCAACATGCAAACCATGACTCTCTCGCACATTTTGTGGAGCACTTTGGGCCATCTTCCGCCGTCTGATCTGATTCATTTTCGATCTAGCAGCACTTCCGCAGCACTGGTCAGAAATCCCTCGATCGGAGACCCGGAATGTTCGCCGACTCGCAACGTTTGACAACTCAAAGTCCCTGTTTGCATTACGCGACGATTACAACCTTCTTGCAGTAAAAATTTTAAACATCTCCCATCTTGACCCTATCCCTGAATGACTCCATCTCGTACCCGTTGTCCCTCACCACCTCCACCAAGCGCGAGACGTTGACGCCCTCTCCTCGAGCTGAGGCATGCGCCGGGCCCGTGCTGATTTCTGCTGACGAGGCGCGTTCGCCGACGAGTCGGAGGAGGATCATGTTGAACGTGATTCCGATGAGGGGAGACGTCTTCCGAGGTTGGCATCTATTAATGGCCACTAGCGAGAGAGAAGCTGGAAGACGCACCAGATCTACGATGATAAATTGCACATTTGACCCGAGTTGGTAGGTGATCAAAAGCGCTATCAACGTCGAGGAGTAGAGAGCGGCAGATTCAAGGAAGATAATCTACATTATCACGCGATCAGCACATGCAACCGACAGACACTGGACGCGACCGATGCACTCACCATCGCTGACATAACTCGGCTCTGCGCTACCCGAGTATTCCGCACAGCCATCTGAGACTGCAGAATCCGATAGGCAATCAGCACTGGCGGGTGCGAGCGATTCGCCGCATCAGTTCGATTTCATCGCCTCAAAAAAAAGAAACGAAGCGCGCACGTGTGCAGATGACGTTCGTAGCCAGCGACGTGGAGAAGAAGGTGGTGATCCAGGGTACGAGCTCTGCCAGGAAGATACCGCCCTGCTTCGTAAGGGAGAGCGCGTGCGTTCCGCCGTACCCCGAGATGCCCGAACACAGCCAAAGGAGGACGGGGAAAATGACAACGAGGTACGCTTTTCGCCAGACGACCCAGCATCGATATATCTGTGTGACCGCAAGCCGTTAGGGACCCCTGGATAACGCCTGTTCAAATTGGAGACATACCATGAAGCAATCCCCAATCAACGTAACCGTGACATAGATGCCTATCTTGGCCGCCTCCAGAGAGTCCGAGATGTCTGCAAGGTACGCTATTCGGTCTGGCTCGTGAAGGAATGCCTGCTCTATGCGGACGATGTCGACTACCCAATGCTGTGGCTGGTCAACGACGGGCGAGGATCGATGGACTGGAGAGACCCACGCCGGCGGAGAGGATCCATATTAGCGACATCACCGGCAGCGCCAGGCCAAAGGAGTTCCATCGGAAGGAAGCTTGGAAGAGCACGATCCGGAGCACCGCTGCGAACATGGCCGTCGAGATCCCGAATATCAGAGACTCTATGATGATGGAAACAAGCTGGACTTGAGCAATTAGCTGGGCTTTATGAGGTCATTCCACTCGAGAGACGCACCCCGACTTGATCTAGTGGCACATTTCCCATCTCGTAGACAAGGCAGGACGCAGACGGGAGGGCTACGACCGAATGGTGATCCAAAAGTTCAAGTAATTAGGTCCCCGAGGGAATGTAGAATTCGAGCTGATCAGTGAGGAATCAGGACGCTTGCTGGCACCGTTTTTAAAAGACACGCACCCTAAACGACAACAGCAAAGACCGAATTTGAAGGAGGAAGAAAAGGAAACCGGTTATGCAACGAGGTCACACACAAACATACCCATTGGGCATGATTCTCACATCCTTCGCGGACCCACGTGAGAGCTGCGGAACGGAAGCTCCCAGTCGACATCAACGACCTCGGTGACCATGAACGGCCAGTTACCATCTCAGAACGGTCGCCAGGCGTCGGACTCGGTATCACATGCCAGTCCCGTTTTCAGTCGACGAGCCCACGCCAGACCTTTCGAAGCCGTGTGGACGACAGGTGTGTCACCGAAGCAGATCCGCAGAAGCAAGCGGAGGCCGGGCGTGCGACGGTCAACGACCGTAAACCTCTATTTTAAGCGCGCGCAGACCATTTTTGGATCTGCACTTCAGACCTGCGCTCGAGGCCTGTACATCTACCAACGACCACCCACAAATGCATCCGGTACGAGCTGCAGACTTTCAATGTCCCACGGCCGGGGGCGACGGCACATTTCGTCACATGCGATTGCGACGTAGCGAATAATCGATACAGGGATTTACGCTACCGGGGCGTGGAATGACTTGTGGACGGCGGCCAAGGAAGGGTCCGGCGCTTGGCTGTGCATCTTGACGGCGACCGCCGGCCGATGCGCTTGTGGATGGCTACACATAACGACTCGATTCTTGAACCAGGGCGTCACCAGGTCAGCGCTTACGAGACGTTCGAGGCCTCGAGTGCTTACATAGAATTTCTGAAGCACATGTGCCATCGAAACACTATCATACATATGGATGCACTTCTGCATTCGAAGGTTGTAGGTCCTGGATTGCCTGTTGAATGTATTCGCAAGCATGACTCCGGGAGGAGAGTAATTTCACCCAGTCAGGAGCGTGCTGGTGACCTTTTCCGTTCAACCGAATTGTTGATTGTCACGAAACGATATCGCGCTCTTACAGGCCACGCATAAGTCATCCGGCACGATCACGCGCCTGATCTGGACCTTAGTCCGGCAACCATCAACTCACCGCATTACGGTCTCCTGCAGTGAAAATAAACGAAACTCGAATTCATCCATACCTTCCAGCTTGTGGTAATAAATAATGACGATAGATCCAAGCACAATCTACACACCTGTACAGAATCTGCTACACAGAGCTACACATTCGCGTCGATCTTTACGGGATCAAAAGAGTCCATCTCATGCACATTGTCCGTCGTCACCTCGACTAATCTCGATACATTCACGCCCTCTATCCGTGGCGCCGCCACGCGCACAGGGCGGCTGCCGCTGATCTCCGAGCCCCGCGCAGCGCCCGTAACAGGGAGAATGATCATGCTGAATGTAATCCCAAGCAAACTGCATGTCTGCACGGCTTACTTAGTCCTTTACTCATCGCGCATGACAGGGCGGGAGACTTACCGCATCAAGCACGACATATTGCACATTGAGCTCGAGCTGATGGGTGACGAGCAGGGCTATCAGTTCCGCGGAATACAGCGCAGCGGACTCGAGGAAGACGACCTGTTATGGCTGAGTAAGGTGGATTTACAAACGCGGCAGCGTGACGCACCACGATCGACATCATCCGACTGTTCCCAGCATTCATCTTGCGAACGGCAAACTGAGACCGGAGGATGCGGTAGGCAATGAGTACTACAGGCAGATAGTTCAATCTCCGTAAGAGCCTTGAGAAACACCTGACGCACTGGTGCAATACCCATTGGTGGCCAACGAGAGGGCGATGAAAGTTGGAATCCAAGGCACCAGGGGCGACAGTTGTGTCCCTTGTTTTGTCTCGTACAGCGCATTTGTCCCGCCGTATCCAGATACGATCGAAGCAATCCACAGAACAATGGGAAGAGCAACGAAGCGGAGTGACCTTTGCCAGATCATGTAAGTGCGGTAAATCTGGTGAAGGAGATTATGTGACCCCGGCGGATTGAGCTGAATGCAAGCGACGGACCATGAATCCGTCACCAATGATCGTGGCGGTGACATACAGTCCAACCTTCGCGACTTCGACTGGAGAGGAGATGTTTGCGAAAAACACAGCAGCATTCGGTTCATGCAGGAATGCCGTCTCGGCGCGTAGGATGTCTAATATCCAGTGCTGAGGGTCAAATGAATCAGCACACCGATGAGACATGGAAGGGAGTTAAGACACACTGATATCGCAAGCAACCATATAAGCGATATAGTTGGCAAGACAATTCTCACTGTTTTTTGGTTGGAGATGGCTTTGGAGACGATGAGCCGCAGAACGGTCGCGAACATCGTGGTGAATATGCCCAGCAGAAACGTCTCGATTATTAGGGAGACGAGCTGAATGCGGTTTCTCGTCACCACCGCCGCCACTGACCCGAGGATTGAAGCACTCACCCCTATCTCATCTAAAGGCACATCTCCCATGAAGATGTAGAAAGAGCGGAACGTGATTCTTCACTGGGCACCATGGCTGCGTTGAGATGGGTCTTAAGTATCCGCGTCTAGAGGAGCATAGATCTCGTTGCCGCCCGCCAATCAAGAATTTGCCTGTCGTTCTAGCCCTATGGTTTTCTCAACCCGCTTTAGGCGAAGGGGAAAGCGAGCGTTCAGGAACTTGGGAAGCTGCCGCCGGGGATGGAAATCCCACGCATTGCCGTTATGTTCTTCACGGATACCACCCGATCAGACGAAGACGAAGCGCCAAACGCAGGGTGGATGACTTGGTGCGTTCGACAAGGAAAACCTGGGACTCGGATTCGCCCTTGGCATTTGGATCCTCATGCACAGCGCCCTTCCACAGCACCAGGTTCGTCGTCCGGATATAGGGTATTTCACAGCACGGAATTGATGCAGGACTCGAGTGTAAACCGACAGAGCCCGAGTTAGTGACAGCATGTTGTGATGCACGTGGACAGCGGTTCGAGACAGCGCGTAGAGGGTGCACACAGCTCGATTGCTCAGAAGTCCGAAGCTGGCAGCAGCCATGATCCCAGGCAAGGCGACTGTAACCTGTCGATGGGACGCAATGTGCAATGGAGACTACACGATGATCGATGCGGATTGTCGATCTGAGGATTGATTAGAGCTGCATGGAGGTCCAGCACTGATGTCTTCGACATCACCTCGGAATAAGCTTTTGTCCCACTCCATCGGACGGAGGTGCTTCTACTACAGTTCCTCTGCTGTGAGATGCTCTCAAGCAATCATTTTGCGCTGCATCGCATCAATCATTGGTCAAACAGGCCGGACAAACAAGAGAGTAGTTACCTCGGTGGCTTGGATCGGGTCTGACTCTCACAGTCAGGGCTGGATGAAACTCAGTCGCTGCCGTCGTCGTCCTTTGGTCGTCACGGTCTGACTATTGAGCGCGGTGAGCACGTGGCGGAGGGTCCAGATCGAGCCTCAACCCGACTCGAAGGCCCATCGACCCCCGAGTCCCCCGGAGCTGCTCACTCACGTGGAAGTTGTGAATGAGGCGAGATGACTTCGAGAACGGGGCGGGCTTAACTTCACGCGCAAGAAATAAATCGTGTGGTAGCACTGGCGGGTTCGCGCCGCATGGTAAGCAGGGGACAGGCAGCTTGCAGCGCTCCCCACACCCATGTGGAGGAAGCTCGCTACACTAGTCCGAGCCTATGGGGTTTGTGCCATACGCCTAGTGGGAGTGAGACATGGAAGGACCAGTCGGTGCTAGTGCGGGCCGGCTCGCCGCTCACGTGATGAGAGATACCATCACGTGCCGAGTCAAGAAATGTCACATGTGCGATCAAGTCATGTGCCGATTATCTCTGCACGTCCTGGTTGTGTGATCCTCACTTACAGGCTCGTGGATCGCGGCTCCACAGCAATATTTTCTGGACCAATCGTCAAAGGTGAAATTTTTCTGACCGAAGTCAATGAAAACGTTGCTACATATGGGTGCTTCACCTGGCTCTGCTGCGCTTAGTTCTGAAGACTTTGTTTTAGACCACTGTGATTTGTGACTCAATCTCTGCCGTATGTGGAGAAGGAAAGGAGTCCTTGGCTCACTCGGCCTGACACAGGACTCGCAATTAAAGAGAGAAGAGAAGCTGCACGCTGCTCGTTCGCATCTGAATCAAGGGAATCAGGTCGGTTTATCGGAAACACAAAGGTGCATGTCAGCAATCAATGCACTTTCCGAAGCTCTGTTGAGTTTCTGTGTACTTATCGGCCATGGAGCGTTGAGCGCTGGGGCTTGGTGAGACCGTGATACAGTGACATAAGCGCAATCAGCTTGCCGGTCCGGCTGGCTCCGACATCTCTGCTTCTACTCTGATGACGACTGTATTCTCGAATGCCTCCGACTTGCGTCCTGGACCCCACTCGGGCTCAAACGAACTGATTCATCCTCTTCCAGCTCAAGAATGACGGCCAGGGCCCTGCATATATGCTACCGGCTTTCAACACATCCCGATCTCGCACCGCGAAGACCTCGTCTACTCGGTACTCTTCATCGCACCTGCAGTTATCAAGCTTGCGGGATTTTCAAACCTTATCTCACGGGATTTGATTGTCCACATATGATCTACGACACATGGCCTCCGCGTTCCGAGCCCCACCGTCATAAGTCTCCAGTCTAGGTCGCAGATCCTCGCCGCGTCGCGAGTTGGCGGAGCTCCGTCCCCACACACCCATATAAGCAAGCCTGAACATGCAGCTGACGCCAAGCAAGATGCTCTCCACGGCCTTCGTTCTCGCGTCCCTCCTCGCCTCCGCGCGCAGCGCTACGGTCTCGTCCACCCCTGCGCAGACGTTCCTCGGCGTCGGCGGGTCGGGCGCCTGGTGGCCGCACGACCTGTACCAGTTTCCGCCCGCGGCGCGCGCGAACCTCTCGAACCTACTTTTCTCGCCGTCCGGCCTCGGCCTCAGCTCGTACCGCTACAACGTCGGCGGCGGCGGTGTCGGCGTTGGGAACCCGGGCCGCGCGCCCGAGACGACGTATGTGAGCCCCGGGGTGTACAACTTCAGCGCCGACCCGCAGGGCGTGCTGTTCATGCAGGACGCTGCGAGCTTCGGTGTGCCGATTACGTTCTTTGTGAACAGTGCGCCCTCGCCGTTTACCACGAACGGGGCCAGCTGCGGTGGATGGTTCGTCAACGGTACGTCGACGTTGCCTTCAGTGAAGATTTGCCTTCGCTCAATGCAACATCTATCTCAGGCACTGGAATTGAATATGGCAAATACCTGGCGGACGTTATCGCGTACTGGCACGGGCAGGGCGTCCCGGTCAAGTACATCTCGCCCATGAACGAGCCGGACAACTCCTTCGGCGACCCGGGCTCTTGCGGTCAAGAAGGGATGGAAGTCGACGCCAACCAGTGGGTGGTGCTCAGCTGCTCAGCTCTGATCGCCTCTGACCTCGTCGGCTGACCAGGCGCGCGGAAGTCATAAATGGGCTGTGGGCCGGCTTGCAGTCGGTCGGGCTGGAGAAGACCGTCGGCATCCTCGCTGATGAGTTGTCTTCGCTGTCGCGTGCCATGAACGAGTATCCGATCTGGCTCCCCGAGGTCGTCGACAAGGCGAGTCCGCCGAGCGAACCACCGCGGCAGAGCTTCTTCTGATGGAAGTGCATTCACACTAGATCGCAGCTCTTGTCCATCATACGTACGACTTCCCTTCTGATGCGTCGTACTCGAAGCTCGTGGCCGACGTCGCCGCGCTCGCGCCGGGCAAGAAATCCTGGATGTCGGTGCGTGATCGGATGCCGATCGCGTCCTGTCCTGCCCTGCTGATCTCGTGAACCGTCATTGACCCTGGTCACACAGGAAGTCTGCTGCTCGCTTGGACTCAGCAACGGAACCGGGAAAGGGTGGAGCGGAGGATACGATCCTACTATCCAGAATGCCTTGATGTTCTCTGGGATGGTGTTCCAGAGCTTTGTGTTTGCTGGCGAGCCGCACTACGACGTAAGCTGTCCTGGCCGTTGCATCTGCTCATCTTTCTCACCGACTCCTACAGTTCTGGACATTGGTCTCGGGCGGTCTGCTCTCTCTCTTGAGCGAGTTCTCCGAGTCACTCACTCAGTGAGAACAGGAATGGGATGCCAGCCTCTAAACAACGCCACTTGTGTAAACACTCCTAACCCGGATGGATGGACCGTCAGTCAATCTCTGGTGCTCTTCGCTGGTGCACTGACAGCGAAAACTTGTAGGACGGCATCATCTACTACGACGCTGATTTCGCGAATAACGGCAACTACGACCTATGTGTGTGGTCGTGCTGTGTGCATGATACCCCCGTGATCTGATGGATGTCTCTCCAGATCTGTCCAAGCACTACTGGACTTACAAGCACTTTGGCAATTTCGTCAAGCGTACGTGCTAACTTTGCCATCGCTGGAACCCTATCTCATCTTGTGCCCAGCCGGAACGGTCCGCCACCCGCTCGTCGGGCCGGACGTCCAGGAGTACATGATGGCCGTCGCATCGGAGAAGACCTACTCGCTGCTGCTCATGAACCCGAACAGCACCGACTCGGCGCTGGACGTGACCTTCCACGGGCACGTCTGCCCGCTGTCCGCCGTGCGCACGAGTGCCACGGAGGACTTTGCGGCGATTGCTCCCGGTGCCAAATCGAGTCCAAGTGTTTACACGCTGCCTCTCAAGGCTGAGAGTCTGACGACCTATGTTTTCAAGCGGGGCCATTGCTGAACGGGATGTGCCGGATACAAGCAAGCATATATGTAACTCGACGATAAGTAAAGCGGGGTTGTACAGACAGTCTGTGTGTCAATAAATACATGCATAGGTAACATTCTAGGGATAACGACGAGCTGGACAATCAAACCGGGGCCAGCTTGTTACGGGCCCACAATCGACGAAGGACCGGCCACCAAGCCGTCCTTCGAGACTTGGCGGGCGGAGGCTGCGCCAAGATGAGTGTGTCGTTGAGCATCTGCTTCAGCAGGGGGGCGATGATCTTGCCAGACGCCAGCCTCGGGATCTTTTCCACGATATAAACGTCGTGCAGCCACTTGTAGCTCGACTGCAGTGGTAGCGCGGTCAGACTAGATGGCATCGCAGACGGGGACGAATACATGACGCACCTTGGCCTGCTTGACCGAGTTCTTGATCGTCTCCTTCACCACACGCGGATCCTCGGCGGCCCCCGAGGCGGAGAGAACGATGAACGCGACGGGGACTTCGCCGGCACGCGCGTCGGGTTTGCCGATCACGCCCGCGTCCAGCACGACGTCCATGCCCAGCAGATGCGCCTCCAGCTCCGCAGGAGAGACCTGAAAGCCCTAACCTGGCGTATCAGCAGCGCTAGTGCAAGGACGCGGACCCAGACAGACCTTGTTTTTGATGATATACTTCTTCCGATCGACGACGAAGATGTACCCGTCCGGGTCCCGATACGCGATATCGCCGGTGAGCAGGAAGCCGTCCGCGTCGAAGCTCTCGCTGTTCGCAGCTGGGTTGTTCAGGTAGCCCGGACACAGCTGTGGCCCGCGCACGGAAAGGAGGCCCCGTTCTCCAGCCGGCATCTCGTTCCCCCGTGCGTCAGTGATCTTGATCTCCGTCGCATCGAGCACCCGACCCACAGAGCCCGGCAGCGGATCTGCTCCGAGCGGCAGCGCAGTGATCAGCCCTCCGCATTCCGTCATCCCGAATCCCTGCGTGACGATGAACCCGGGTCCACCCACGCGCTGGAACGCGCTCTCCATCTCCGCATCGAGCGGCGCCGCAGCGATCATGGCGGACTTGAAGAAGCGGAGGTCCACGTTGGCCGTTGCGGGGTGCTTGACAAAAGCGCTGACCAGGGGCGGGACGAGAAACAGGTGCGCGATGCGCAGGCGCACGACGGTCTCGAGGAAGACGGGAAAGGACGGCATGCTCTTGAAGGCGACAGTGGCGACGCCGATGTAGGGACAGAGGTGTACCAGAGTCACCAGGCCGAACATGTGAGAGAACGGAATGACACCCAGTGAGCGGTCGCCCGGACTGGAACATGCTGTCGGGACAGCCGAGTTCTTCACCTGGCTTACATTCGCAATTATGGAGCTGTGCGGGACGATAACAGCCTGTGACTAAATTACATCCGGGACGAAAGCTCCAGTCGAGTGTGGCGCACCTTGGGTAATCCCGTCGTTCCGCTGCTGAAGCAGAGAAACGCGACGGGACTCGACACGACATCGAAAGGGCGCGAAAGCAAGCCCAAGCCACACTGGACTAATCCGTCGAGTGTATGAATGCCAGCCTCTTGATACTGGTCCGGAAGCGACCAATCAGACTGATCGGAGAACGCCACAATATGACCAGGAGTGATCCCACACTTAGCGGCCGCTTCCAAGACTCTGTCAAGCGCATCCGAGTGCACAAACACGGTCCTGGCATCCGACAGGGTGAACTGGTGACTGAAAAACTCTGGGTCAACACGGCATCGGCCCTGGCACGAGGGAAGAGAGCAGCACGCACACAAGCTCGTCCACGGTGCTCCCGCCGGTGCACGAGGCAACCGTGCATCCCAGGCGGTGTGCGGCCCACACGACGGTCCCGAAGTCGACGGCGTTGGGCGACACGATCGCTGCGACGTCGCGGATGCCGCACGCCTCGTGCGCGTGGACGGCGCTCGTGTGTGTGCCCAGCCCCAGCACGGCTTGCAGCCCCCGCGTGAGCGCGTCCGTCCGCGCCTTGATGTCCGCGCCGGTTATTGCCCTGCCGGACTGGGCATCGACGAACCACGGTGAGGCGAGATGCGCATCCTCCCGCTCGAGCATGAACTCGTATAGTGTCATTGTCGACAGCGACATCGCTAGCGGTGGGGGGGACAGTGCCGATGCGGAGAGGGGTGAGATGAGTACTTTTGAAATGCGGGTGGTATTGAATCCATCAATCAACGGGAGGCGCGGGACGGTCCATGCATAGATCCTTGCTGGAACCGGTGCACGTAAACGTGGCTGCTGAGACGCGCAACGAACTGAGATGATAGACAAGAAACAATGTCAGTGACTACAGATCCCTTGGAAGCTTCCTTTGATGACTCCCAACTGTTCTCCTGCTGCGGAGATAGTCGGGGGAAAAGTGGCACAATCCGTCTTCGAGTCATCCAGGACAAGTGGTTGTGCTCGAACAGACAAGTCGCCGCTGGGGCCTGCGGTCCAAGGTCAGAGGCTGGTGCCAAGTGTGACCAGGAGGAAGAAGTGCATCGTGACCCGGCTATCAGTCACAGCACGTCAAACCACTCTCGAGTCGCCGCCATCCATCCATGGCCGCTGCCGCTGACAAGGACGTCAAGCCCGATATCTCCAAGCTGCACATCACGGTCTCCTTCAACCAGAAAAGTGGGCACTTGCCTCAGCCGATGTCTCTGTAACCGCCCCCAAGCGTCCGGACAGAGTTGATCTTCCTGTACAAGAAAACCAAGCCGCTGGAGAAACTGCTGATCATGTTTTGCGTGCGTGCTCGGATCGACTGGCTGACAATGTGTTCTGATGCGGCCCGTGTGCTCATGCCATCGTTCCACGCCTCCACAGGAAAAGATGAATCTCGAGCGCAGTCAGTCTCCCGGAAAGCCCATCCGACAATCAAGGATCCTGATCCCTCGCGTGATTCATTTGCAGAATCGATCCGGTTCGAATACGACGGGTCGAATGTCCGCGGAGGAGACGTCACTGCAGAAGAGGCGAGATTCTGCGTATGTTTTTTCCGGAGATTGGGGCTGAGTCGGGGTCCGCTTGATCATCTAGCTTGACATGGAGGATGGCGACGAGGTCATCGGGCACATCTTCCAGGTGTGTCAGTGCCAGCTTGTGGTGTTGCTAGTGTCCTGACCGGTTATATCATAGGAGGGCGGTTTTTGATTAATCTCACTGCCCACGCGAATCTTGACATCCTCGCGCACGCAAGCCATCTAGCTCAATGTATCACAGTACAAATTTCTTATCGTATTCTTCATTTCACGGTACGGTTGTATGCTGCTCGCTTCAAACTCCCCAGGATACGAAAACGGAAGCACGCTATTGTACGACGCGTTCGACGCAGAGCCACGCGCCTTTCTCTCCCTGGTCGTTGCACGGCAGCAAAGTATTCGTGAATTGGCTGCGAACCTGGAGCGCGGGATCGCTGGGGATCGAAAAGACGAATTTCGAGATGAGTTCCGCGAGGATCACCTGCATCTCGAGTACGCTGTCATGGAAAGTTGCGTGCCATGAGCAATGTGCAATACGGGAAGCTCGTCGGACTCACGCAAAGCGCCAGCTGCGAGAGAGTGGGGTGATCGTCAGACTGCCCCTGCACAATTCGGAGAGAGTCTCACCCAAGACAGACGTGCGGCCCATTCGAGAAGGACAGTCTGAGAGCACATCAATGTCGACTCGGGGGGACGGGAGAGCAAGAGTACAGATTAGAATAAGGACTTGATGCCATCGTTTCTCCCGCCGGGCCAACCTGATCATTCATCCACCGGTACGGATCGAACTCCTCGGGTTTGGGTCCCCAGCGATCAGTGCTCCTGCAAAAATTGTCTCGATTCGGAGTATGATGGTGCGCGTGTCACGTCGTGACATACCGGTGGTAAGCACCAAACTCGCAGCCGATGTACTGCCCTTTGCGAACAAAGAGCTCTGTGACGACTCTCCCATCCTTCAGTGTGGTTGGTTTGCCGAGTGGTATGGTCAGGTCCACAAGCGCCATCTTCTCGGATACGGGCTCGGCAGGGTACAGGCGGAGAGTTTCCTAGTGTGATCGAATGGATGGCGAGAGTCAGATCTGAACAAAAACAAATGTGAGTGCATTGTGGAGACCGACCTTGATCACCGCGTTCAATAGCGGCAGCGAGTCAAAGCCATCTTCGATCTCAGCGCCCGCGTTGAGGAGCTCAGCTCGGAGACTGGCCTGCACGGCAGGATTCCGCGCAAGTTCGATCAGTGCAAATGCCATCGTGTTCGTCTATCCAACTCAGCGCCTGTTATACTTGGCTTCTTGAAATGGGCACCAACTCACAGTCGTATCCTGGCCGGCTATAAGTAAGATACTGGTCTGATCAACGAGAAGATCCGTCGGAAGCGATTTGCTTGAGTTGCCGGCCACTAGTACCCTATGAATCATCCAACTTGGCGCCTCGACGACACTACGCTCACAGATTTTAGCAAACAAGTGATTCCCTTCGACGGTATTATCGCTTGCGGTCGACTCAGTGACGATTTGTTCTCCCAGTTCCGAGCAAAGGGCCTTGGTTCGTCGGGTCACGGCGAACATGCGCAGAGGAGCCTTGCTGAACAGCCAGTTCAGGAAGGACGCCGGCAGATGCGATGCGAGTTCCTCAATCAGGAACTGTGGATATCCAAATCTTGAGGCGAGCGATCTTGCAAGAATTCGATCAGCGATAAGATTTGCATATAAGAAAGATGAAAACAAGCTTCTTACAATACACCAAAAAGAGCTTCATTCAACCCAGGATCGAGATCCTCCATCGAGCGGCCCACGGCGACTGGAAATAGACGTGATGTATCTCATGTGCGAAATAGAATCCGCTAGCGCGCACCTTGTCCAATTGCAGACAGTGTTCCCACAGAGAGGTCCGGAATCAAGTCGACGACTGCCCCCGGTTTGCGTTCTAAGAGCGAGTCGGCGATCTGTTAGAAGGGTCAGACACTACTTGATCAGAAACAGCGTGCAAACCTGAGAGGCCACGGCTTTGAAGGTATCCAGATATTCTTTGATCACAGCTGGAGTGAATCCAACGCTGAGACCGGCCCGGAGTCTCCGATGCGGATCGTCTGAAATACATGATTACATCAGCTCTTCGCAACGTAGCGGCATAGATAACTGATCCACCTTTCAACGACATCGGATTGCGCCAGCCATAGAGCGCCGTGGCAAGGGCGAGGAGCATCGGCGCATAATAAGCGTCGTCGTTCTTGAGTAGATGATTGAGCGCCACGGGGTCCGATACCATCAGACGCGTTTGCTGATGGCGACACGGTCAACTGCTCTCAAGCCGAGATCCGCGGGAAGTAGCATCCCACACTCACGCCGAGAACACCCTGCAGCCGATACACTCCGCCGTATTCATTCGCCCAGCGATATTCGTGGTCGCCGTAGTTGTGCGGGAGGAACATCTCGGGGAGGCTACCTGTCGCAGTCGATCGTCCATTGAGTGCGCCATATCAAATGACGATCAGTAGTGCTAGACGCACCGAACAACCAGGACGCGGGCGAGGGCCCGCGAAGCAGATTCACGTCGTGCGAGCGACTGTCGAGTGCTCGCTTGATGAGATAGGTAGCGGTGACGACAAGGAATGCAGTTGCGCATGATCCTAGAACGGAGAAAGGCATCTGGTCGAAGTGGGGGTCGGGAGTCGGAGTGCGAAGCACTCGCACAGGCTATATAGCTTGATCGATAGCCGATAAACAACCTAGCGGACAGCGGGCGATAGAGTACTTATTGAGCGTTCTCAAGGTCCATTATGCACTGTCAGATGATTCGGACGCGGCTGTGGCGCGAATTCAAACGGTTGACATGAGCATGGGAAAAGCTGATCTGAGTACCAGGGAGCGGATACTTGCCGGATGGCAATGCGCACCTGATTCTCACTCTTTGCTTCCGACTCTTGTACTTACAGATCTTGTGCACGATGAAAGGACGCACGACCCATCTTTAGGAAACATCGTTCTCCCGCTCGTGAGTCGTTTCCCTACAAGATGACTTGCTTCGCCGCAGTTCTCGGTGACTCTTAAATGTAAGTATTTCAATCTGAACCGAATCTTATTTCACGGGTACGGTTGTACGCTGCGCACTCCAAACTGTCCGGGGACGTCACACGCAACATAGAAAACGGAAGCACACTATTGGACGACGCGTTCGACGCAGAGCCACGCGCCTTTCTCTCCCCGATCGTTGCTCGGCAGCATGGTATTCGTAATTTGGCAACGAACCTGGAGCGCAGGATCGCTGGGAATGGAAAAGACGAATTTCGACACCAGTTCTGTGAGGATCACCTGCATTTCGAGTACTCTGTTGCGAGAAGTTGCGCGTCGTAAGCACTGAACCATGCAGGAAGCTTGCCGGACTCACGCAAAGCGCCACCTGCGAGAGAGGAGATGTTGTCAGACGCCAGTTGCACCGCGGGCACAGGCAGACTCTTACCCAAGACACACGTGCGGCCCATTGGAGAAGGACAGTCTGAGAGGACATCAATGTTGACTCGGGACAGAAAAGCAAGTTTACAGATTGGAATAAGGGCTCGATGCCATCGTTTCCCCCGCTGGGCTAACCTGATTGTTGACCCACCGGTATGGATCGAACACCTCGGGTCGGGGTCCCCAGCAGTCCGGGCTCCTGCACAAAATGTCTCGATCCGTAGTCTGGCGCGTCAATCACACGACATACCGGTGGTACGCTGCAAACCCGCAGCCGATGTATTGCCCTTTGCGAACAAAGAGCTCTGAAACGACTCTCCCATCTTTCAGCGTCGTTGGTTTGCCAAGTGGTATGGTCAGGTCCACAAGCGCCACTTTTTCAGATATGGGCTCGGCAGGGTACAGGCGGAGAGTTTCCTAGTGTGATCGAATAGACGTAAATCAGATAGGAACAAGAACAAATGAGAGTACATTGTCGAGACCGACCTTGATCACGGCATTCAGCAGCGGCAGCGAGTCAAAGCCACCATCGGTCTCCGCGTCGAGGAGTTCAGCTCGGAGACCAGCCTGCAGGGCAGGATTCCGCGCAAGCTCGACCAGGGCAAACGCAAGAGTGTTCGTCTTTCTTCCAGTCAGCGCCTACTACACTATTTCTAGACATGGACGCAAACTCACAGTCGTATCCTGGCCGGCGATTAGCAAAATACTGGTTTGATCGACGAGAAGATCCGTCGGCAGCGATTTGCTTGAGTTGCCGGCCACTAGACCCTATGAATCACCCAACTCGGCACCCGAACGAAGGCACACTCACAGATCTTTGCAAACAAGTGATTCGCTTCGACAGTATCCTTGTTTGCGGTCAACTCCGCGACGATTTGTTCGCCGAGGTCCGAACAAAGGGCCTTGGTTTGTCGGGTCATAGAGAACAAGCGCATAGGAGCGTTACTGAACATCCAGTCAAGGAAGGATGCTGGCAGATGCGATGCGAGCTCTTCCATGAGGAACTGTGGGTATCCATATCTTGGCGCGAGCGATCTTATGAGAACGGGGTCGGCGATACGACCTCTAGAAGGGAAATGTAAAACCAAGCTTCTCACAGTACATTGAAAACAGCTTCATTCAGATCAGGGTCGAGTGACTCGATCGAGCGGCCTACGGCGGCTGAAAATATCCATAGTTGTTTCTTTTGTCCCAGGAAGAACACGACAACGCGAACCTTGTCCAATGGCCGACAATGTTGCCACCGAGAGGTTTGGAATCAGATCAACTACAGCGCCTTGTTTGCGTTCTAGAAGCGAGTCGGTGATCTGTAGGAAGGGTAAGCCCGTATTTCATAAGAAGCAGTGAGCGAACCCGAGAGGCCACGGCTTTGAAGGTGTCCAAATATTCTTTGATGACAGTTGGAGTGAATCCAACGCTGAGACCGGCCCGGAGCCTCCGGTGCGGATCGTCTGAAATATTTACATCAGTTGGTCACAAGTTGTCCGCGACATGGGGTGTGAAAATCACTGATCCACCTTTCAACGACATTGGATTCCGCCGGCCATAGAGCGCCGTGACGACGGCGAGGATCATCGGCGCATAAAAAGCGTCGTCGTTCTTGAGCAGATAATTGAGCGCCACGGGGTCCGATACCATCAGACGTGTTTGCTGATAACACCGCGGTGAGCCGCTCAAGGGCCGAGATCCGCGGGCAGTAGCATCCCACACTCACACCGAGCACACCCTGCAGCCGATACACCCCGCCGTATTCATTTGCCCATCGATATTCGTGGTCGCCGTAGTTGTGCGGAAGAAACATCTCAGGGAGGCTGCCTGTTGATACTGATTGGCACAGTATCTTGGGGCTATGAGTAGCACGTACCGAACAACCAGGAAGCGGGCGAAGGCCCGCGGAGCAGATTCACGTCGTGCGAGCGGCTGTCGAGTGCTCGCTTGACGAGATAGGTAGCAGTGACCACAAGGAAGGCAGTTGCGCATGATCCTAGAACAGAGAAAGGCATCTGGTCGAGGTGTGGGTTGGGGTCGGATTGCACAAGAACCCTTGCAGAAGTTATATAGCTTGATCGATAGCCCATAAATAGCCTGGCGGACAGCCGATGACCGAGTGCTCATCGAACGTTCTCAAGGTCCAGTATGCACTGTCAGATGATTCAGACGAGGTTTCGGCGTAAACTTGAACGGCTGACATGAGTATGGGAAAAGCTGTTTGAGCACAAGAGTACAAGAAAGCAGAGAGATTTATCTCACTATTCCCTATATGCAATGAGTATTCCAAAGACAACCTGACTGGCAGCGACTCCATGCACTTCCAGATCTGTACGCGCAAGAATCGGAAGCAAATATTGAGAATCAGGTGTGCATTTTAAGCCGGCAAATATCTACTCCCCCATTCCGGATAACAAATCATATTGGATGGCCACTGTCTCGCTCTCAGTTTTTCAGCTGCTGATTGATACCCCACGATTTTCAGCCTTGTATACTACGAAAGGACGCATGACCCATCTATAGTAAATGTCTTTCTCGTACTCGTTTCCCTACAAGGTGAATTGCTTCGCCACAGTTCTCAGTGTCTTCTGTTCACAGTCTTTCAATCCGTACGGAATTTCAAGTATAACAGCGCAAATTGGTGCCACATTAATTTTCGGGGTGTGAAGTTCATCACACTAGATGTAGTTTCGAGGGAGGAGGGAACGAAGAATTCATCTACGTCTAACATCAACTAACTACTGTTTGACCCGTTCTACATGGAGCTATGTACCTCTCTCTCCTTTTTCATTGTAACTGACTATCGTGTTGGTGAAAAGGCTGCGAACCTGCAGCGCTGGATCATTGGGAATCTCGAAGACGAATTTCGAGATCAGCTCAGTCAGAATGACTTGCATCTCGAGGACACTGGGAGGGGAAATTTCGAGGTGAGATTTAATAATCAAGTTACTCAAAGTTGACGACTCACGCGAAGCGCCAACTACAGAGGGGGAGATCTAGAGTCAAAACGGTGAAGAAAAAGTACGTCAATAACTTTCTTACCCAAGACACACATGCGGCCCGTTAGCAAAAGATAACCTGATTGAAAGCAAACATACGTCAGCTAGAGTTTATTCGATCAAGTACAGAATTCAGAGCTTACAGACTGGAATAGGGGCTAGACGCCATCGTCTCTCCCTCTTGGCCGACTTGATCTTCTATCCACCGGTATGGATTGAATTCTTCGGGCTTCGGTCCCCAACGGCTCGTAGTTCTGAAAAGAACCGTTGAGGTTATGGTCTGGTGCGATGTATATCGACATACCGCTGGTACGCCCCAAACTCACAGCCGATGTACTGTCCTTTGCGAACAAAGAGCTCGTTGACAACGCGTCCATCCTTCAAAGTCACTGGTTTACTGAGTGGCACGGCCAAGTCAACAAGCGCCACTTTCTCCGATATAGGCTCAGCCGGATAGAATCGGAGGGTTTCCTGTAGACAGTCAAAGCTTGTGAGCTGAGCCAACTGCTGCGGACGGCACAACGGACCTTGATGACGGCATTCAACAGGGGCAGCGAATCGAACCCGTTTGCGGTGTCTGCGCCAGCGTCGAGAAGCTCGGCCCGGAGACTAGCTTGCAGGGCGGGGTGTCGAGCAAGCTCGATAAGCGCAAATGCCATTGTATTCGACTTTCCTCACAATCAGCGCTGGGCAGATGATTTCATAAACGCTAAAAGACGCACTGTCGTGTCTTGACCCCCTATCATCAAGATACTAGTTTGATCAACGAGAAGATCCGTGGACAGAGATTTGCTCAAGTTGCCGGCGACTGGGGATGAATGAATCCATGTCTCATTGATCAAAAGACACCACACTCACGGATTTTGGCAAACAGGTGTGTGCCTTGGACATCACCCTCGTCTGTAGTCATCTCTGAGACAACTTAGTTGCCCAGCTCCGTGCACAGAGACTTTGTTTTCCGAGTCAACGCAAACATCCGCAGCGGAGCATTGCCAAACATCCAGTTAAGGAAGGACGCCGGTAAATGAGATGTCAGCCCCTCGATAAGGAACTGCGGGTATCCGAATCTTGACGCGAGCGACCTTGGAATGGCGATGCGCATTATCTGAGTCATATCGTTTCCCGGGCATTACGTGAATGCGTGAGTCAACTGACCTCTCAGCGCCATCGGATTCCGCCGCCCGTATAGTGCCGTAGTCAAAGCAAGAAACATCGGCTCATAGTAAGCGTTGTCATTCTTGAGAAGGTGGTTGAGCGCCACTGGGTCTGATACCATCAGTCGTGGTTGCTTTTGTCAGCGCGGCCCGTCAGCATGATTACAGCTCCCGATATCTGGCGAAAGAACCTACACTGAAAACACCGCGCAGCAGATACACCCCTCCATACTCACTCGCCCAACGATATTCGTTGTCCCCGTAGTTGTGCGGTAAGAACATCTCGGGCAGGTTGCCTGTCACAGTCGCTCGATGAGGGGAGCACTATGTCCGACCAGGACGCTTACCGAACAGCCAAGATGAGGACGATGGCCCAGGGAGCAGTCTCACATCCTGCGATCGGGCGTCTACTGCTCGCTTCACAGCATAAGTCACTAAGACCAGAAGAACAACAGTGAAGCCTGTTTCCATCATTGAGAAAGGCATCCCGTGCGAGTCAAAGATCGAGGGATTGAGCTGAGTATTCGAGAGTCCATGAACAATCGAGACAGATTTATAGCGAGCGTGGTTGGGGGAATACGATTTTCCGGACAAGCAAATGCTGAGAGGAAGTTAGCTCCCTTCTATCTCAGTACCGACACACATGCCCAAAACGGGGCATTGGCGTCAGCTTACCAGACGACTAGTGTGAGACCAGTGATGGATTCGCGGTACTATGCGACTTCGGCGATGTCGTGCTCATCAGATGCAGCCGAGATTATATATGTCTTCCGCGTGAATCAGATTTGTTTGCAGTCCATGGATGACCTCCATCAGCCGGATATTTCACAGTCTGGATACCTACACACCTTTGATCATGGTGGCTTCCACACGAAAATCCAGGGATTCAATGAGGCCTGTCTGAGTTTGCTTCTAACGCTTCACAGAACTTCTTCGCCTCATCGAATCACATTATTCTTGACAGGTTGAACTCAATATCACACCGAATTGACAGGGGAGATGTTCCCGACGCTTGCCGAAGGACACAGTCTTTGCTGTAGCGAGAGTTTACTACTGTCCTATGGGGCTTCTTATCCGAATTCACCAAACCACAAAGGGATACTGTTTTATGGCATCCTGGGTATTTCATGTGAGAGATTCGAGGTCGCATCTGGTTTCTTGCTAGAGAACTACCGAAAGCAATCAGCCTATTCGGTCGAGAATAGATGATCTGTGTCGCAATCGATCCGCATCGGATGCTGTTAGTGCAAGCGCGGTTTGACAGCTCTCTGATTTCTTAGACTTTCAACCAACTTCGAGGTCTCGCGCCAAGTTGTGTGAAGTCACCGAACGTGCGAGTTGAGACGACCTCGGATACACTCTTATCACGAGAAGTTGAGGGCAGAAGATTCAGAGTACGAAACAAAGTCCCAAGCGACCCTTCTAATCAACGATTCCTGGTGTTGCATTTCTAGCGACAGCTACGTCCAGCGGGCGTACGATCAAAAGCCTAGGACGCTCTGGTAGAAAATTGCAATGGAATACCGAAGATATTTTACGTCTTAGAAATGGCGTTTTTGGCGTGCTATCTTCGCAGCTGTCTGCTGCGACTCAAACCACCCTCTTCTGTTGGATGCTCCAATCTAAGCCCGAGCAGGCTTTCCTGCGCGACGAAAGTCTAAGATACTTGAGATGGCGCCATTAATACTTGATAAAGGATAGGTAATGGTTGTCCCACAAACAATCGCAAAATCACAGCATGGAAAGTCAAAAGGGGGCGGAAATCCAATACCGACATTTCATAATTGCGCCTGACGGGATCACGGTATTTGCCGAGTAAGTCGTTGAACCTTCTCGACTGCACTATTGAACAAGTACGACTCAGTGCTAATGAACTCTCCCATTTCTGCCTTGTCTCCACCTTGTCTTCGAATGTTCCACATATAGGACGAGGCTTCACCAAGATAAAAATCTCTTCTTCGACTTCTCCTTCAGCGGGTGATTCTTTGCCTCCAGTTGACATTGTCATTCGTAATGTCATTTAGGATGATGAGGCAACTCGTTCATGGCATGTAGGCTCATGTGGCACTTGGAACTACCCTCAGAATTCCGCAGTGCTCGCCTGTCCACGGCTTTGCAAATTTACAGGCCGACGGCGCTGGTGGTAGCAATCAAGGAAGCTGTGCGCATCGCTTTTGACGTTTAGGTGCGTCCTTCATTTTTACCGTTTGAGCGGGTTTCGATCCTTCCCGAGGCTTCTCGAGAGATGTCGATATGTTATTTGACCTTCGCGGCGTTCTCCACATACCTCCTATCCAGTCTTTGGCGCAAGGAAACGCACTCCATCTTCGCGTAGCGATCTACGGCCTGCTCATCCGGCATGGCTGCGCTCGACCTCGGCCTCGCTAAACGCAGAGTGCCAACGTCAGCGCCCACCGCATGAAGAACAAGGGTTAAACTTTTACGTTCTACTCCGCAAGGATCGGGTGTCAGGTGCTTGATGCAGTTATATAGCACGGGCGAGCCGAGCTCACACTCCACCCAAGCACGCTTCCAACCTTCTGCACCATGGTCAACCTCCTCGCGCTCGGCCTCGCCACCCTGTTCCCCGCGCTTGTTTCGTGCACACGGGAACCCGTCCAGATCTCGTCTTTGGCACAGGACGCGCCGAGCGTTGCGCGCTTCACATCGGAGTCGAGCGGCCTCGACGCGCCGATGGTGTCTTCGATCAACGGGTCCAGCTTCGACTGGTGGTACTTCGATGTCGTCTCGACCGAAGACGCGCAGCCCAAGTCATCCGTCGTCGTCACGTTCTTCACGAGCTCGCAGGCGGCTTTCCCGCTGCTTGGGCCTGCGCCAAACGGGAATGTGCTGCCGGTGTACCTTTGGGTGAACTACCCGGACGGCACCGAGCAGACAATCATCACCTATGCAACGGGTGCTGCGGTCAGTGCAGAGGGGGATCACGCGAACGGCGTCTGGGAGGGCACGGGCTTCAGTTTCACGGGGATCGGCAAGGGCGGCAAATATGTCGTCGAGATCGATGCACCAGAGCTCGGTGTCAAGGGGTCCATCTCGTTCCAGCCAGTGTGTTGCTCTCTCGCTTCGTGCTGCTCTAAAATTTCTGACGAAGGCTGGGTCTAGAGAGCACCGGCGCATTACCCCTGCGGCCCGGTCAAAGCTGGCCAGAATCTGCAAGTTGGCCCGCACATCGGCTGGTCCAATGCGATCCCGGATGCCAAGTCGAAAGTTCATCTCCTTGTAAACGGCACCACACTTGCATTCACCGGGGCTGGATACCACGACAAGGCTAGTGCCGCCCTCAATACCTGCCCACAAACCTTGTCCTGATACGATTAATCTAGAACTGGAGCGACCAGCCGTTTACGACTGAAGTTGCCTCTTGGTACTGGGGCCACGGGCAAGTCGGCGACTACTCTATCGTCTGGTTCGACTTTCTCGACACTTCCGGCGCGGAATTTGTCAGTGCCTACGCTTCGAGGCTCGGGAAAGTCGTTTCCGAAAGCTGCGTGCTCGGAAGCATCTCGGTACGCCCTTCCGGCGCCAATGCAACTTATCCTCCGACGATCTCAACACCCAATCCCACTGGCTATGCCATCACGCTCCCCATCAAGGGCGGGGACGTCCTGAAGGTGGATGTGTCGGTCACACAGCAACTCATCGGTGCCAACCCATTGTACATGCGCTCCGTAGGAACGATGTCGGGTGTGGTGCACACCAAGCACGGAAAGAAGAAGGGGGGGGATATGTCTGGAATTGCTCTTTTCGAGCAGTTCAAACTGACGCAATAGTCGGCGGGACGCGAGTCACCCGAATTGACTGAATCTGTCACCTGCTCTGTGAAACGGTAATACATCGGTGGTTTGCGGCGAATAGCCTTGTACTAAGTATATGTTGGCAGAATCTGTGATATATCATCGTACTGTAAACATCCCCATTGCAATTAATGTACTCCTCTATACCATACTTACTCTTGATATCGTGTGCCTTCGCGTGATCCTCCTAACATGTTCTGTTCTGTCCCCCTAGAAGCTAGCGCTGCGCCGGATCCCCGGCGACTGTGAAGCTCACCTTTCATGTAGATCCACTCGGCGATTCCAATCGAAGTCAAGGTTGAAAGCCCCTCTCTTAAGTTATATCAGTGCTTTCGGAATCCTCTTCTTCGTGACAATGATCGTGGAAGTCTGCATGTAGATAGCTCTGATTCGGTCCTCTGATTCCGTATAGATCTCCGCCTTGTTACTTCCGTGGATTCAGTGGGCTTGAGACACCCGGGACGTCAACTCAAGATCTAGATCAGTGTCTAACTTAGACGTTAGGCAGAGGCTTGTGAGGATGAGACGCGAGGATGCATTGTGGTATATCCGAGGAACAGGCACTAATCACTGAGATATGACAGCAGAATAACTCAAGTCAGCTAGCCAAGGTTCTCTTTTCCAACAAAGACTTGCCGCCCAACCCGGACCGCCCCTCCTCGCGCCGCGTTTTCCATTGCATATCGCGACAGCGGCCGTAGCCGGCGATGCGTCTGGACTTTGCTCGTGTTCTCGGAGTTCCCCTTGGAGTTCCTCGCCACCTTCGATTTGAGCGCTGAGGCTGCACAGTTGTTCTGCACTGGTCCGAGGACGACACGACCGCCACTCGATGCACGCGCCTTCTCACCAGCGATTAGCCCCACCGGCGCCCTCGTCTCTGCGAACCACGCTAGCTCGCGGTGGTGCTTCTCCCAGGCTCTGACCGCACCTTCGCGGCGCACCGCGTCGTTCACGTCTACCGCGCCATGCACTTCAACGCGCGCCATCAGCGGCTGCGCAGACGGATGGGTGCCCACGAGCGCATCGGCAGCGGCATGCAGCCCAGCAGTGGCTGTCCATACGTCAGCCGGATTCAAGACCAACGCGGGCGGGCGGGCAGCGGTAGCTGTGCGTGGCAGGACCTGGAGGTCGATCTCAGATTCAGTGCAGGCGGAGGATTTCGACAGAGCTGGGCCAGGACGCTGCGAGAACGGCTGCACTGGGCCGGATACTATCACCAGAGGCTTGAGGTGAAACGGGCGGCTACGCGCAGCTCGGCGTGCCTGGCGATCGATGCTTTGTGAGCAACGCAGTGCCTGAGGAAGAAGAAGATTGTGGGCCACAACGCACCTCCCGCCGTCTAACCATCACCCGCCGCCAGGACATCGCCAGAGCACACACGAGCAAGCCAACGCCTATAAACACCGCGCAGGTCCTGAGAAGATCGTGGATCTGCGGTGTCGTCCAAGTGCGCCCGAGGAAAGACGCGGCGTGTGCAGGGGGCGCGTTTGCATCGGGGGAACTGGGCGAGGGCACAATCATGGTTTGTGTTTCCGTAAAGACAGTAATTTAAAAGGAACGGCGGCGCGTAGGTGTGAAGAAAGACAATGTAATGGGGTAGAATAGATTGCCTGTGAGAGAAGGAAAGCAGAGTTGAGATAGGAGAAACTCAATAGCCTCAAGATTCAGGAGCATAACTCTGTCCGTAAACGACATATGTAGATCCCTGCCTCAGCGCAGATTGCATGGAACCGCAGGAGGTAGGACGCGATCTAGTAGGTTGTAGCACACGTCAATTCAAGGGAAGAGTAGTGCGCTTGAGCGTGAAGGTGGAATAGAAGGCGACTGGAGATGAAGCGGGTCTGCAGACGCCAGGAGACAATCTCGCATTCCGCATTAGGGCGGATAGACAGTCGAAGGAGGCGTGGTCGTCAATGACGAGCCGACGAGGCGGTTTGGATGTGTTTTTGATTGATGCATGGATGCATGCGTGAGTGTGCTAGATCTTATCGATAAAGCCTGCATGATTTCCGCGTATGAAGAGTGGAGAACACAGAGCTAGTACGAAAGCTATTTAACTAATCCCAAATACAATAAGGAGTAACGAGAACGAATGGAAAGGTTTGGAATCTCTTTTATACGTAGTGTCTTTGTCACTAAATGTCTTTTGGCTTGGTCGTAAGATGGATGGATGGACGTAACACAGGCATGACATGAGCAACAGAGAATTCAAACCGCAGAGTCACTGAGTCCACTGTTCTTCTGGGAAGAACCGCTGTCTTGCTGCTCATCCTTCATCGCGGCAGGGACCTCGACCTCTTCCCACTGGTCGAGTGTCTCCGGGTCGTGCTGCTGAGCCATCTCGACTCGGCCAAAGCGTTCGCATAGCCTCTGGCGAAGCATGACTATGCCCCGCACGATGCAGAAGAGGATGATCTGACCAGCGGCGATGCCGATGATGTATGCTGCGAGAGTGGCATGCTGTGTCTGTGGGTCCAAGAATCCATATGCTTCATTTGCGTCTCCGATGAGCTCGCGAGAGGCGCATAGAGCCGAAGCACGTACTGTAGAATCCCTGTGTCTTGTGGGTGATGTAGGCGACACCCAGATAGCCTCCAAGCAGTACGATACCAACCACCGAAGATATCCACGGGGCCGGCGGCACATTAGTGAAGACGAGATCGAAAAACGCGAAGACACTGTTGAGCGCGTGGATCGAGATGTTGCCCCATGCTAGGTATGCGCATCAGATGGGAGAAGGAAGCTCGGTCTCGCTCCACATGCGCACCTGTTCTTTTGGTGGCAAATGTCGACGGACTAGATAGAAGAGACCAGAACACCGCCGTCACGATGAACGCTGACAGGGCATCAGCGTCCTTGTGGGTGAAGACAGCAAAAAAGAAGTTTCGACGCACGGAAGGTCGTTATGGTACCCTGCAAAAGCACATGGGCCGCTTGGAGCGCTCTCGGCCACCTCTGCAGCACGTAGCCACGGCTGCCATACCGCGCGTACCCGACCGTCTGAACAGCGGCCGCGATATAGTACGCTGTAAGTCCGATGTAGGACAGGTCCGTGAAGAAGCTTAGGAAGCTGCATCAAGTCATTCAGCAGCCCGTCACCCTTCCCCGATCCATTTCACGCACCTCGGCCCAGATCCCTCCGCGACATCCAGCCCAAGCGTCGTGCATATCGTGCAAAGGGCGTACAGCGCGATGAGAGACCGCAGGGCGGCGAAAACCGGCAGTGGGAATAGCGGAGAAGTGACATAGCGGTGTGTCGGGTCGAAGGTGTCTGCGGCGTAGCGTGGCACGCCCACGATGGCCCATCCGCGGGGAAGCACCGGTGATTTCATCCAGGCAGCCAAGAAAGAGAAGTGCGGAGGAGGAGAGGAGGAGGAGGGGGAGGAAAGTGGAAAAGGCACGCGTCCGCGAGTCGCCTGATTGGGATTTGAGTGCGTGATGGTGATGTGATGGCTAGAGCGCCGATCCATCTACTTATCAATTGCTGGGACTCGGACTACCTATTTTCGGACAGTGCGCTTATATCCGCTACTCAGAGTCATAAATAAACTGAAGATTCGAGCTCGCGGGGGTTTCATGCGCGAAAGGTTTTCAGCCACGATGTCCCGAAGCCTCCAACTTACATAACGCCCTCGCCAAAGTCGGCCTCCGGACACCAATTTTGCCGAATCCCGACAGCTTAGACGACGTTTTGACGTTTTGGCTGCCCGACAACCCGGCCAATCGTGACTGACCGCCTTGTTGCGTCAGACCCAGCTGATGGTCGTGCGGCTAGCTCGTGTTTAGTCACTAGTCATTGCAGTGAAGGCCCGGTCACGGATGATCCATGTACTCCATTGCAGGCATGTGAAGCAGCTCTCAGCTACATCTTTCGGAAGCATATCGCGTGAGACGGTCCTATCCCCATCGGCTCAGTCCGCCTGCGAAGGACACAAGCACGTCACTCGTCATGCGGCCATAATGCAGATGAAGGAGCGGCAAGTAAGAAAACGTGGAAATGAAATGTCGCGTGAAGCAGCCGTCTGCTTGTCAATCTAATCGTCTTTCTCGCTCGTCCAATCGTATTCTTCGTTCCTTGCAGCTAGGTCTGGACCGATCGACAAAGTCGGTATGATGCCACGGAAGCTCAAAGCTCGTGTCTATCGAACGATAGATATGCACTGAACCATTCTCGAGCCGGATTCCACCTCGAGCTTCGAGGGAATGCTGTGTGCGACGTTTCACTTCAGCGGTCACTGAACCTAGCTTCAGTCAAAGAGACACTGATTGAAACAGTTTGTGCAGGTTCTTGAGAGCCGAGGCCCAGATAGAAGATGGCTTCCAGCAGGGTGAGTGCCAGATGTCGCCAAAAAGTGGACGATAGCCGCCATACAATTGCGAGATTTGAGAAAGTCCAGCAGGTGTCTAGCTTCAAAATACAATGCTACGTGATGCAACGAGTGTGATCGTGTGTTGAGAATCAAGACTCCTCTAGTTCAGAGGGACAGGGAGAGATGAACAGGTAGAATGCGCTGCAGTGATCCATGAGGTCCCTGTGCGACCCAGAACAATGCCGCCAGTACTTTTACGAGCTACATCAGTTTCAAATAGACAGAGCGCGCGTTCCTAGGCTCTGTAGTCTGTCGACTTAGCGCAGATGCACATTGTGGACACGAAGAGAGTTGATCACACCTGTGACTGTCACTTTCTTCTCTGCTTGCCAAAAACCATCAGCTGCAGCATGTTGGGCATCACCGTCGTCAGCCACTGGATCGCGCAATTCAATAGCCCCATATACGAATTCAGCCTCTTGCCTCTTTCTCAATCCGCCGTCCTTCGGAACTGTTCTCATAACTGCTCGTGGGCGAATCTACTCTACTCGTAATCTGTCATATGAAAAGGTCCAAGACAACGCACGCGCTTGATTTCGAGAGACCCTGGCGACTCAATGGTCGAAGCTATACCTCTGACTCTCTGCTCTGCTCGGATGCGTCTGGGACACGCTCTCGCCTCCGAATCGCCTGCGCTGATCGAAAACGCTTGCCGCAGCAACTCGACACCCTCAACTTAGTCTATCGATTCAGCGACTTATGATGGTATTCACTTGGGAAAGAGCGGAGAGCAAGCGCGAGCTGTCGCTGTGGTTGCTGCTCGACGTTTTGTGCGGTATCATCAGGTAGCGGCGGCTTGCTATTCTCCATCGGTCAAGCATGCATCTCATCCCAATTACTTGGTGTCTTCAATCAAGCTCTTTCGGCAACCATGCGCTACCCCAAGCAGACCAATCGACCAGTTAGCTCTCTCGCTGTGTCTGCGGTCGTTCTCGATGCTTCTCCTCGGGCCTGTCCAGTACTGGTGCCAAAGAGCTTGCCGGTTTCCATTGGCCCAGTGCTCTTCATGTGTTTATGCTCAGCTCAAGAGCGGTGCGGTACATCGTTCCTCGGACAAATGAGTCAGTCAAGTGCCATCTTCTCAGCAACTCATCACCTGTCGCTGTCTCGTATGCGACCGGACCAAAGCGCGGGTCCAATCCGAGGCGCGACCTTCTACCCGTCCACGGATTGATTACTCTTTTCTGCTTGCTCAGACCGCTGTCCGTCGCTTCCAGTATCCCGCTCGGTCGGAGTTCTCGAGTTCCATCTGCAGGCTACCTGAACGATACAGCTGCCGAGTACGTCATGGCAAACACATGTCTCGTCCGCGTCCTCTTGCTCGCGATGTCGCGTGTTTTATCAAGCGTTCAATGATCCGCACAGACCCAGCTCTGCATCGCAAGCACCCCACTGGTCGCAAAACCGATTCCTCCGGCTTTCTTCTGGTGCCAGACGCTGTTGCTTACCCACCTCGTTAGCGAAGAATAATCATCTGTCTGTCAGAATCTGCAGTGCGTAGCTTCCATGTTCAGCTCGCCATCTACTCGTCATCTAGGCCCTGCGTGTACTGATCGCATCTATGCAGCAAACGAAAAGCCCTACGTTCTCAAGATTCCCTAAACCGGCCGTCAATGTATCTGCGCTGGACTTTATCGGTATCATACACTTGTACTGTTGTAACCCGACATCGAATGTACCACCGATCAGATAGATATGAGCCTGCGGCGTTTTGCGAATGTCGCGCACGCCTCGGATAGATCTTGTCAGGACGTGCTTGTGCGATGAATTCGGGTGTCTCGTGTCAGACATGGCTAGATTGTATGTCGGATGCGCAATGCAACGGATCGTGTTCTTCACAGCTCCCTGCGTTCTTCCTGTCTTGCATTTTGCGACCCAAGAACGGCGATTGCAATATACACTCGGTCTGGATATTGGATACCGTATCAGTATATCATGATTTAATCCGTCCTCGAGGCTAAGCGGACCGTCCACCGTGGCATCACCATTCATGACGTTGAGTGCGAACGGCGCCCATCTGTTATCCAGGGCCCATAGATATCCGCTTCGACTTCGGTTGATGCAGCGGGCCTTGTGCGCCTTAACCTATAAGTAGCTGTCGACACCCACAACGGGCTCGTCATTGATCGTGATCTTCTTCCTCCTCACTTCCTCCCTCCGCTGATCCATGGACGCGGTATCATCGCCCATCGGTGCCGCCTGTACCGCCGCCGCCTTGCTGGCCGCTGTGTACTTCGTCAAGCAACGGATTTCCTATTCGCGGCGCAGCAACGTGGCCCGGATCCCGGGCCCGCCCTCGCGCTCGTGGCTGCTCGGTATGTGCGTCGTCCTCGGGGTGCGTGTCGAGCGTGAGGCTCATCGTCGAGCCCAGGCAACATGATGGACTTCTTCCTCCCTCCGGAGTACGGCACGTACGAGATGGCGTGGCAGCGGGAGTACGGGCCCGTGTACCGGCTCAGTGGGTGTCTCGGGGTGCGTCGTCCACCGCACGTGTCCCTCCCCCCAAGATCCCGAGATCTGACTCGGATACCATGCGCGTCCAGACGGACCGGCTCATGCTCTCTGACCCGCTGGCGCTCCAGGCCCTGATGCACGGGCACGACTTCGACCACGATCGGGTGCTGGGGACCACCGTCGGATTCATCTTCGGCAAGGACAGCGTTATCGCGACGCGAGGTGGGTCCAATCCGTGCCTCTCATCACCCGGTGTGGAGTGCGTGTCGGATGGAGATGCTTATATCGCATCACACTCGACAGGGGCTGATCACAAACGTCTGCGCGCGGCCTTGAGCTCGATGTTCAACGCCGGCGCGACGCGCGGCTACGTGTCGGTCGTGCAGAAGGCGGCGCTCGAGGTTGTTGAGTTCCTGGACTCACAAGAGGTGGACGGCAGGGCGACGGATGTGTGTCCCGCCCTGCACTCGGCTGCCTTGCGGATTATAAGCGAGAGTGCGTCATAATCGATCATCTTATCTGATCTCGCCACCGACTCGTGCTTTTTGACCGCTAGTCGTGGTGAGCGATCCGGATGCGGTGAGCACGGAATACTCGCATGTGAATGCCCAGCTCGCGTCTGTCACCTCCTGCTGACGCTGTATCACCACTCAACCAACTTGATAGCGAGCTGCCGTGCAACCGGACACCCGCCAGCCTCATCACAGAATGCATCATGTCGCTGCTCCCGCCCGTCTTCATGGAATCCATGTTCGCCTACGCGCCTGGCTCGCCGCCTAGCGTTTTCAGACAAGCTCGCGATCTCGGTACGCGATTCGGCCACGATATCGTGCGTCGCAAACTGGAGGAAGCGGAGGCGGATGGTGTCGAGCTGGATGGCGATGTCCTGGGCGAAATGCGTGAGTTCTCGACCTCTGTGTTTCTGCGCTCGGCTTTTGATGAACTGCAATCGCTAGTCAAATCAGTTCGCACGAAAGGGAACAAGCACCAATTGACGGACGGCCTCATCGCTGATCAAGCCGCTGTCCTCATCTTCTCAGGACAAGAGACTACTGTATGTCTGCTGCTCCTGCTGTGGCTAGACAAATCTACTAATGTCTCGCTCGTCTAGGCTTCGACGTTGACCTTCTCCCTTTGGGAACTTGCCCGCAATCCGGAGTTGCAGGCTGAACTGCGGGACGAGATCGTGTCCAAGGCGGACATAGACCCAGATCCAAGCGTTCTCGAAAATATGCCCCTACTGAATGCCTTCATCAAGGTCCGTCTCCACGCATTTGATTGCAGCTACACTCCTGATCTGCCTCTCAGGAAGCTCTGCGTCTCTATCCCGCTGAGGCTTCGACTGACCGCACGGCAACTGTCGATACTGTCCTCCCCATGTCCCAGCCCATTCGCACACCGTCCGGGGAAGTGATCAGCGAGATTCGGATCCGGAAGGGTCAATTGGTGACTGCTGCCATCGGATCTTACCAGCGGTATGGCTGGCTGACCCGCTCGTCGAAAGCGAGACATTGAGACATACACACGTAGATTGGAATCGTGCTGGGGTCCTGATGCTCAACAGTTCCGACCGTCGCGGTGGTTGAATGGCGAAAATTATCAGGCGCAGACTTTGGGTGCCTATGCTAATCTGTTCGTCTTATTTGCTGTATTCTAGTTTTTCTCCCTGACATTCAATGTAGGTTCACTTTCTGGGGAGGGGCGCGTATGTGTCTCGGGTTCGTCTACCGCGCTCTACTTTTGTTTTCGCTCGACTGGGACTGATGATTTCCTTCACGCACAGCTGGCGACTTGCGTGAGTGCTTCCATGCTTTAATTCCCTGGTCTGTGGAAATCTGACTGATTGTCTTTTTCTGAACAAGCGTCCTCGAGATGCAAGTCATGATCTTCGAGCTGCTACGTCGATTCACATTCTCCGTCTCACCTGAGGCGGAGGTGAAGGTGCTCATGGGCCAGATTCTCGTCCCGGTCTATAAGAACAAGCATGGGAAACGAATGAAGGGGATTCCTCTTCTAGTAAAACGACTCGAATGAGCTCTGACGAAAGCTATGAGACACGACTACGGACGTTGCTTTGATTGTTTATCTGGTTCTACGACATTCTTATTGTTGTATATTCTCTGTACGTGTTGTTGTTGTGATCGGTAAACCAGTAGCTGTGGACTGAGCGGAAAGTTGCTCGACCTCTGCTCAGCTCTGCACGCTAGGACAGCATAAACAGAATAGATGGATTGAAAACCGAATCGAACCCTACGGAAGGACATAATTGATAGAGATAAAAAAAATCCGAAAGAGACAACAGCATAAGTAATGTGGCTAACAGTACAGGGATGATGCGATACGAAAGAGAGAGATTGTTTACAAATGAGTGTGCAGTGCCATGGTAAGTAGAATGAGTGGAAGGGTGTACAGGTCTTGTACATGGCACTGGTGAAGTCAAACGATATTCGTCATGAGATAGATAGAACTAGGGGGCAAGTCAGCAACAAGCCAGAGAAGAAGAGCAAGTTCGACGCACCATGAGCGGTACCAGCCGCTTAAGCAATGACACAGTAGTAGCTGTCCCCGGTATTGGGGCTGAACTCCATGTCGACGGGAACGTCCGACGTGTCGGCAGAATCAAACGAGACGGGGGATGGTTGAGTGGCAATGGGGATTCCGGCGCATGATTCGACGGCAGCAGTCTCGAACGCCAATGTAGCAAATGAGTCAGACATGTCACGGTCTGGTGTGTTGTGGGATCGGTTGGGGTGGTGAGGGGTGGATAGTATTTGAAGCGCTGAGCAACGAAATGTTCGAGGGTGTCGAGAGCTGATGGTGATGGGAGTGAGAGAAAGGGTTGTTTGTTATCGCCTGGCTTTATAGCCTGCGTGTCTTTGAACAATAGGCTTACGTCAGTTTGCACGCTGGGCTGAGGATACTTAATGGGAGCGCATTGTAGGTTCAACGGCATCACTTGCCGAATCGGGACTACAATGCGGCGGAGTTTGAATTTCCGGACCCGATGCTCTAAGCGCAGCAGGGGTTATCAGCAGATTTCGAAGACGCGTCAGCCAGCACTATTGTGACTTTTGAAAGCGCTATACCGGTCACCGCTCTCCGGACCATGGGTCAATGTTTGTCGTCGAAGGTTTGGCTTCCCGCTTGGCCAGTCATCAGTCACGTGACTGAACCGATGCCCTCATTTTGGTCGAACCAGAACCCATTTCACCCATAGGCCACGATCCCACACGAGAGTACAGATATTGAATGGATTTTAATGGGATATTGGGTCCTCCGCTAACTTTAGAGGATTCTATCGTTCCTTCATGTGAATATCCCGCCAAGTATCAGTGTCTCGGTTGAATGTGTCAAGTATACAGTATAATGGGTGCCGGTATGTAATATGTGTGGGTGTCGTGAAGTATATCAAGTACTAGCGTTCTGAGTATGGTATACATGAGCGCTATTATCCTCGCAGGTATACAGGTGGCATATCCCGAGCGTCATAAGCTGGTAATGCATCTTTGTCTGCCGGACTTCCCATGCGCCGCCCACCGTCGAGAATATTGGGTCCTGTTGTTCGAGCAAAGTTCGCAGGGATATGGGCAGTTCTGGGATACCTAAGCCCACTTTCGAGATGAGCATAGCTCCATAGATCGAATGTGGTGAGTGGGCGCTCAGGCCATCGGCTGTCACTGTTACGCTCCATAGACAGCTCGTCCAGAGATTTCCGGTCGCGGAAGATGCTGTGAAGGTTATCAAACGCGAGAGTTTGTAATGTCAAATGCGAGGCGAACCTTCTCCAGAGCAGGTAAGCTACAAGGATGACTACCTGATTGAGCGGTGCGAATCAATCCTGCGATACCATGGCTTGGGGAGCGATTGAAATTACCGCAGCAATAAAAACCCCTTCAATTGCGGACTGGCATACAATTTCAGTGACGAGCCGGAAGCCCAAAAAACGAGTCCCCACTCTCCGTGGATTAGGACCGGAGCTTGTGTTGTTCTGATCGGAGCCGGATGGGGGAAAGACCAACGACGCCAGCATCTCTCTTGTGCTGAAAGGCGCTCGCCCAGCCAGTGGCTGAGCAGTCATCGCAGTTGCTTGCGGCGGCTTGTCGTGAGGCCCTTTGATAAGTCGCTCTGCTTGATATCCGCGACAGTGCGTCAATAACTCCGGAGTCAGTCGGGAGGAAAGGACTGGCTTTGTGACTCCAGATGAAGTAGGACGTGGGGTGGAAGGACGCTCGTAGGGGCATGGTTCTTCAGCTCTTACGTCCTTATTAGTATTCTCCTGGCAGGATTCGACGGGGTTTGTCAAAACGGGCATTGAATTGCTTCAAGTGAACTATTAAATGCATCCAACGAATTGCCTGATGTGCAGGAAGGCTTCAGAAGCCGGCGCAGAAGGGTTCCTCGGGTGAAGCAAAGCTGACCTTCAATCGATGTCGACACAGAAGAGTAGAGGAAATATATACATTCATGGGGATGCGGAAACAAGAACCCGACGGTTTCTGGCTCCAAATGTCGTTCTCCATATCGAATCGAACTCCGCACGGTCCTGCACGGTAACGGTTCCGGTCATCTCAGAAAGGGTTCGGATCACTGCGCACCGGCAACAGCCGGCAATGATAGGAAATTGCCGAGCGTCACGACAGTGTCACGCGCACTAGGCACGTGCTCGCTGGGTGGCCAATGCTGATCATGATCGACCACTGCACTTTCGTCTCAGGCTTGGACCGACTTGGACCTGTCACCTGTCACCTGAGATAGTACGAAGATGTACGCTTCGAATCTGTTTACCCCAAACTTCGACCCTACGGCCGCGTAGGTGCAGGCATGCCTCTCGCTCTACGCCGCGCGTCGAAAAAGGATCGCGCTCTCCAATACGGCGCAGTCGCTTGCGCGTTCTTGAAGGATGTTGGGAATGCCTCAAATCAGCCGTATCTGCAGGTCATGGCGAGCGTAGCGCTGGTGATCATGGAAACGGTTCTAGTGAGTAGTGCGCTTACTCTCTTCCGAGTAATTCTTCCTCCAACTTCCCTCTTCCTGGTGCTGCTTCTGTAGAGAGTCCAGAACAACAAAGATGGTAGCTCCGTGCTTCAGCTTCCCTCGACAGCCGCTGATTCTACTTGAAGCCTGCGAAAGGATGACTGAGCGCGCGTACGAGCTTGTCTGTGCCGTGGTCAACATCTGCTGCGACTCAGAAACTGAACTGTCGCCTGCCATCATTCGGAGCATCGTCCAATTCACTGAGTACGCCACGCCTTTTCACTAGCTAGCCAATTCTGAGACCGTTTCAGGACCCTCGAGAAGATCCTCACTTTCGTACGCAGCCAAGTGCGAGGCGGGCTCTGGCGGCAGGTCTTTCACTCGATGGACGACGCAGCTCTGATCACAGACTGTAACGCTGGTCTCAAGCATGCCCTCGATGTCTTCGGTGTTCGTCCCTCAGGCGTCTTCCCCATTATCAATCGTTGACCGCTACCTTCCAGGTCCAATCTGGCATCATTGCAGCGATGACTATGGCAGAGATGCAGGTTCGTTTCACTTCTTGCGGCGTTTGACGGTCGGCACTGATTCCTATCATCAGAAAGACGCTACACTACGACATGAAGAGCTTGTTGCCATCCTCAAGGAGAAGCGATCGAAGCGAAATCCTGCCCGTGCTGATGACGCAGCACCCCTGGACGAATCTCCGCGAAAGAGGCGTCCAGCCAATATAGAGGTGCCTTCCGGGTACGTCCGATTCCATTAACGTCCCCATCAGTCCCATGACTGAATCCGAAACATCTCAAGTATCATCTCCATGCTGCCTGCCTCGCCCAAAATCTTCTATGGTCGTGAAGCTGAGCTGAAGCATGTTGTCGAGGCTATCACAGCCTCTCAGCCAGCTCGTGTCAGCATCTGTGGACCTGAGGGCATCGGAAAGACTGCAATTGCGCTCACTGCCAGTCATCATCCAAAGGTTTCTGCTATCTTTGGTAGCCGGCGATTTTTCATAGAATGCGCTGGTGCAAACAATCCAAAACATCTCGTTGCTGGCATATCGCAGTGTCTTGGTCTGCAGGGAGCCAGCCGAAAGCGCGTTATTCGCTACCTGGTGTCTCTGGCGGCGGAGAAGATGCCAATCCTCCTGGTACTGGATGGCCTAGAAACCGTGTGGAAGCCCCACAAACACCGTGATGATGTGGAGGACTTTCTGTCGCTCTTAGTGGATATCAAGGAGCTCACGCTTATCGTATGCTGTCGTGTTTCCGCTCCTACAATAGAGTGCTCATCATTTGGAATCAGGTGACGATCCGTGGCAGCGAACGACCTCGGCAGGTTCTCTGGACACGGCCATTCCTACGCACTCTTGATCCGCTCAACGATTCAGCCGCTCGCGACACTTTCTTGGACATCTCGGACGTGTCTCCAGACGACGACAGTCTGACCGAGTTGCTCAGCTTCACCGAGAATAACCCAGCAGTGCTCACGCGCTTGGCCGGACTCGCTTCGTTCGAAGGTTGCCCGTCGTTGGTTGCCCGTTGGCATGCTGAGGGTCCTGCCCTACTGCTGGATCAGAAGAACTGCGTGGTCTCTGGACCCACGGGTATATCAGATGGTCCGACAGATGAGCCGGAAGAGATGGATGCGGACTGCGATCAGATTACGCGGGTTGGGTCGCAGTCCAGTGTGCGTTCAGGCTCGTTTGGGGATGACAACGTTGAAGCTATCGACTCGACCATCACCATCCTCGAAGGACCGCTCACTGAAGAACCAGAGGACTTCGAGATGACGACCAGCATACCAGCACGATCGTCCGATACGACCACACGTGCGGGAAGTGTCGTCTCTCCCAAGTCGAGCGTCTTCTTCGCAGAACCTATGGTCGATGAACGTGACGAGTGGTGGGATGGAGAGATGACGCGTTCCGGGACTCCTGTGGACGACAAGGCCCAAATGCTTCGCTATCTCATCGAAGATCTCACACCGCTGCTCCGCAAACACCAGCGAACACCGTCCATCGAGAGCTTGCTGTTCTCTATCGACCGAGATGACGTTCTTGTCGAGATCACGGCCAACTAGGCCCAAAATTGTTCCAAGCAGTGAACGACGCCGACCCTCATCCTTGCACTCACTGACACCTATGTACCCTGCCATCACCAACATATGCGTCTCTTCTTACTCTTGCGCGCCCAAGGCAGATCGGGCCTCGTCTCCCGTTACTTATGAACATATGCTATCCCTTATTGCATTCCAATGTACTGCTACACATTGTATCTCTCGACTATATGTAATCGACCTCAGGGAGGACTCTTCATTCCGGAAATTAGGTTACACAAAGAGCTCCCTGTCCTTCCCAAGAAACGTTAGCGTGTGGTGGAGGGGCGTTGAAGCGATAGTTACTCGTCGGGTTTTCCGTTCTCATTTTACAGTACTGTTGTGCTCAGTAGGATGTACGTCAATAGCGTCTTTCCAAAGACTGGCAATGATACAAGGGCACTACATTGGCATTGCTGTTCTCACAACCGTTTACATGTGTACAACATGTCAATACACTATCGAGACCATCGAGAAGCAACCAGACCCGCTGACAAGCTTGCTATCCACAGTCCCTAGTACTCCCGGGTCATTCGATCTACATCTCGCCAGTTCTTGAGCAGCGTTCTCCTGATGGTCGCCATCCCAGGTTCAGAGTCCGGATGCGCCGTATGGACGTAGTCGGGCTGGAGCGCGACCAGCTCTTCCGCACTGCGTCGGTCGGCCGGAGCGAACGGTTGGTTCCACGAAGAGAACAGGAATGTCTGTGGGTCGGGCGTGGTGTGCTATAGATTGGGGTGATTGTCAAGCCACGAGAAACATCGAGAGAAGCCGAGAGAACGCACAGCCGTCACTTCGTGCAGCTCGCGCTGGATAGCAAGACAGAAGCTATCCAGGTCGAGGTCGTTCAGATCGTAGTTGAATGGATTCTCGCTGCGTTCATGCATGAGTATTCACAGCATCAGCACGCCCAGTACGTAGAAACCCACATCTCTTGTCCAATCTCCAGGAATCCGAGCAACAAGAAGGACGCGAAGGCTGTGCCCGGGATGACCAGGTAACCGAGCGGGCCGACGACCTGGAACGGAAGCAGCAAGAGATAGAGCCAGAGCGACATGCGCAGGTGGGCCTGATACGCAAACGGCAGCGGCGTCGATCCGATACGGTCCAGATTGGAGAGCGTGTCTTGCAGACTGGCGACGTTGTTCATCATACCGGTGGCAAAAGCAGGCTGCAGCCAGCCATTGCGCAGAAGGTCTAGAAGGATATCAGACGAGCATAAGGATGGAATGACAAGACCGCACAGGCGAGGTAGCTAGAAAAAACAGGCTCGTCAGTAGGCTGCAGACGAGGTGAGACTTTCGACGCACTTGTTCAGATAGATCGTGATCTCCAGCGGCACATTGCTCTCTGCTAAGGCCGGCTTGATCTTCCTCCCCTTAGCATCGACCTGGGCTTTGCCCTTCCTACTGCGCCGGCTAAAGCACTTGGTGAAGACAGCGAAGATGCGCAAGAACGGGAAGAAGTCGAAGAACGACAGCGGCGGCGGGTTGCGCGCTGGCTTGAGCTCGCGATGAGCCTGGACATCCGCAAGAGCCTTTTCGGGATCGAACGGCGTGGTCTTCCTCGATGAGCCGAACCAGCTGCGCGATTTGTGCTCAGACGCGATCGAGACGGCCGCTGTGCCAGATCGGGTGGTGGACCGGGATGGGGGTGGAGCGTCACGCAGCGGGCAGTGTTCTTCGTCTTCGGACGCAGCCCAGAGCGGGAGCATGTCGGCGTCGGTCGGCGGGACCGCTGTGGCGCCAGAACCGGAGCTGGCGTACCGAGGCAGGATGCAAATGAGCGGGAAGAGATCCTCGTAGTAGATGCCAGTCTCGCCACGAAGGAAGTGCTGCGTCACGATCAGCAGAAGACAGGCCGGACGAACCAACCGAACACACCTTGACAGAGACGGAGAACCCCTGCACCAAGTTGATCATGGACTTTTTCTCGATGATGCTCTGCACGGTGGTAAGCTGGTTCTTGTCCTTGTCGACACGATCAGTCGGGACGTGTATCCAGATCTATCTCGTATCAGTCCTGCAGCTATGTCGAGAGAGTGCATAGGACGCACAATCTGAGCAATATTCCGGGAGGCAATCTGGATGTTGGTCCACATCTTGCGGCCTTCTTGATACCTGAGCTCGGTGTTAGGCCAAAGGCACCGTTGTCACACGACATAGCATAACTCACCTTTCGTAGGCCGAAGACGTCCGGAAACTGATGACCAAACCCAAGACAGTACCCAGCACTGTCAGGAGACTGCTGTTCACGGATAGGTTGTATATCTTCATTTTCGTAATCAGTGCCACCACTGTGTGGGCTGGATCAGCACCGCCGGGCAGGCCACGAAATAGGAAGCAACGCACTGGTAGCTACAAGCGTGAAGAACATCGTCTCAGGCCATATATCGTTGATGACCGTCGCATTGAATTTCTTGATCGACCACCCGCCATAGAACAGTGGATTTTGGCTGACCATCGTAGCACAATCAGGGAAGGTTTTTGGGAAGAGGTACAGGCGTAGGAAGAGAAGATTGGAGGGGACTGAAAGAAGTACAGGACGGCTGCAGACTAGGCTGCGACGGTCGTCGAAGGAAGGAAGGAAGGAAGGAAGGAAAGAACAAAGGACGAGAATCTGGCGCTGTCCGCGTGTTTTGTAGTATATATGAAACCCGGGGAAGAGAAGGTTCTGTATATGGTCCGGATCAAGGGACGCGCGAGCTCACTTGACACCGGGCGCTGCTTCGAGATTGAGATGATGCACCACTCACTGCACGCCCGATCTGCGTGGGAGTCATAGGGCCTGCGGTTCCACAGAGCTGAAAAACAAGCATAACACGTGTGCGCAGGATGCGTCGGTTGAGCTTAAGTATCTCGCGCTTCGGTCATAGGATGTGAAAGAGACGCAGTGCGGGGAAAGAGCGCTCGGAGTCGATGCACAAGCTCAATAAGCTGGGATTGACTGATCGGGTCAATGTGTCCATCCATCAAGCGACCATTTGCACGCATGCAATGCAAGGAAGCATGCTTCTTCGTCAACCATCAGCGCTCCGACTTGCAATCCCGACCGAAATCATCACATATGCGTTACGCCCATGAGCCTAAGGATCAGATCACGATTGCATAGATTCACCCCAATGTGTAACGAGGCTCTGTAAGTACCTAAATACGATCCCCAGACGTTGTCACTGTGCAAGTAAGCACTGGGCCGGATTCGATCCTATCATTGAGCTTAGGGGATCTCGCCATTGAGCACTGAGTCTGAATTTGACTCGTCGGGCTGGACGTGGTTCGAGGATCTCTGCTCCTCAATCATTCGTGTGTATATACAATGATGACCGTACACTTCAATTCCGATCGCATTCGTCATTCCTACCTCGCAAGCAGAGCCTGGTAGTCTCCTCAGCGTCACCGAACGAGAACGGAAAGCTCTAGACAGTACTCGCCTCTTCTGCTTTCGTGAAATCAGCCTGTCGCAACTGGAAACATTGGGCTAATCAGGATCTCGTGACACCATTTGGGACATGACTGTGCGCACTCTGCCAGACGAACTGAGCTTGACAAAGAACGGTGAAATATCACGGTAATGGTCGTCACGGTCTAACGCAATCATCGGTGGAGGCGACATGGTGCTGAGCAGTTCGTCGATGACCGCATCTGCCTCTGGCCAGTCCAAGCTGGGGAACAAGAGCGATGGGAAAACAAATACCCTGACGGTATTCTTCTGGGTCGGTCGGAAGACATCTTTGAAGAATCGCATGAAGGACGTTAGTGCACTAGGGAGTAGAAAAAAGTTCGGTCTCAGACCGATGACGGACACATTGGGGAAATCAGCCATGTCAAGTTTCCAGCGAACCGGCTTCCGGACCGTTGTGTAAGTACTCAAAACCAGGTAATGAAAAACAGTAGCACGCACCCCCTCAGGCGTGGGTGGCTCGATCTGCAAGGCTTGTAGGGACTGACGTGCATCGCGGATCCCTGGCCGATCCAGAAACTCGCGATGGGTACAACATAGAGTCTGCAGTCGAAGCAATGAGAATCGTGATCCTTCACGATGGCTGAAGACGTCGACGACTTGAAGTGGTGACATCGCAAGATCCAGGCGTTCTAGGAAAATCGTACTCGGTGCGCTCACTTGCTCATGCTTGATTCCTTTCCTTTCCAGATTTTGATATTCAGCCTGAGGTATCGGAGAGAGGAAGAGCATCGCGCGAAGATGCGCTGGATAGTATTGTAAGATGAGCCATCGGGTAAGCTGAGGGCCAATGACACTCTATACAGGCGGGATGCGCTGAATATCATCTGCTGCAACGCATCCACAACCTCCTGGCCTGGCATTCCCTGTGGAACGACCAGGAGCGCAAATTCGGAAAGGCTATGCGAAACAGCTCTCGGTGGGCCACCGTATGCTCTGAGGTCCTCAAATCGAGACTGCGAACGTGCGAAGCGAGGTGGGTGGAGTTGTGGAGACTATCGAGGAGTCGGTGGAATCGTGCGGGCCTGATGTCGGAGTCGAGTGAAATCCTTCTGAAAAGTAGGGCGGCTTGACTGGGATACGTCCAAGCCCTCGAAACCACTGCGCAGGAAAGGACATCCCGCCCCTGTACACCCGCAACAAAAAAGAGGATGCGCTCTAAAAGCTCGGGGAGCGCCAGTGGATCCATGGGTTTGGGCATCCGAAGGACAATGCACACGCGTATGCCAAGCGAGATGTAGACTGATCAGAATTCTCTATGTCTGATACAGAGTCGATGACCGAGAGACCCCGCAGCCTAGGCTCATTTCTTCCTTCTATAAATAGAGTTTTGGGCTTTTGTGCAGGTTTTCGGACATGCAGACGGAGAAGAGACCGAGGTCATTGATCGCATCAATTCGGAGTTTAAATCGCACTACCTGTGCCGAAAGATGCCGAAATCCCTCGGTCGCACTGGAGGATGACATAACGCAGAAAATGTAATCGATAAGACCGTGGACAGAACATCCAGAATTCTACGTACCGGATTCAGAGTGCTTTCTCGCAGAACTCAATACTTGACTCGTTCTTCTCACTTTCCTCTACAATGAGTCTCATTTCCAGTCTAGAGTTGTGTGCATTGCACATATGTCTACACACTTGCAATCCAAGATGCAGCCTAAATTGGGACTGGACTAGCGTGTTTCCAGTGCCAGTATAGAAATACGTATATGTATGTACACGGTCCGTGTCAGAAGCGCAGGTCACAATGGCGGTTGGGACCCCACGAGTAGCTGATCATCCCTCTCATCTCCCTGCCAATAACAGTCGCGACTAATAGATGCCCAATCGATTCCACAAAATCCCATCCCGCAAGCAAGAGGACGCGGCCACCAAGGTCGCAGGGCACAACAATCCCCGATGTGTGGCCGGGGACAACCCCCTAGGACTGTGCGATGTCGCGGGCGCGAGCGCGGGGGACCCTTGAGTGGGGCGATCACCGACATCGGAGCTGGGCAACCCGCTTCGACTCCAAGCAACGGTGGCACAGGCGGCGGAGCTCCGGGAGCTGCCAATGCGCAGGGTCAAGGTGGATCGACGCGTGGGAGAGGGCAGGCTGCGTCAAGAGGGAATTCCAACACTGGAGCTGGAGAAAGACGAGGAGGTCGGGGAGAAGATGTAACAGGAGGCAGAGGGGAGGGTGATGCCAGCCGTGCTAGTGGCAGTGGCTAGCTGGGCGGAAGGGATGGCAGAGGCGCCGAATGGACTGCTCGTGCTGGACGCGCCCAAGGCCGCTCAGGCGGACGTGGTCGTGGCGTAGGACGTGGAGAGGGACCCAGAGTCGGAGGCGGTCGTGGCCATGATTCAAAAACCGATAGCGACTCAGTTTCCGACTTGCGCGGACTGCTTTTCGAAATATACACTGGCTTCGGATGTGTTCCCGGCAGGGGCTGCAATGCACAGCGATCTTGACTGCCCCGCCGCTCCTGGCAGAAAATCAGAGAAAGTGTCCACCTCTGGATCCATGCCCCATTACGACTGCCCGCTGCGGGAATCACAAGCTCTCCCGTGCCAAGTTGAGCATTGGCACCGAGCGATAGCTCAAAGCAGTCTTCAAGGCTAGCAGGGACCGTGCGTCGAACAGCTTGAGAGAGGGAAGTCGCATGGGATCGAAAGCCGGTGGAAGGTCGGGAAAGGTATATGGGTTCGTGGACGTGCAGACTTCGCATGACACAACGCAGTCTCGCGATTCCAGTATCTTTCAATGGACTGTCGAGAAGCCCAGTGTTCGAGGACCACAGAGAACTGCGCACCAAAGATCAATATGCCGATGCGATGTGTACAACCCAATATTTCAGAGTTGATGATACGACAGATGGCATGGCAGGCCAGAGAGGTGTTCTCGAATGCCGAGGACTCAGTCTGTGAGGATGAAGGCGGTCCACGCGAGACGGCGAAGGGACGAAGGCTCGAGGCAACGAGGCTGACTGGTCCTTCTCGAGAGGATTCAGCGCCGCTTCACGCGATCAACGGTTCATACATACCCACCCATCGAGGATGCGAAGCAAGACAGGGTCCCGGTTCTATCCCTGATTCCAGTGCGTGCATCCTCTGATAGTCAATCGTGAAATGCTGAAGTGTCCGGGAATGCTGCACACGACCGATATGAGGTTCGACTACGAAGGTGGATATTGAGTGGCATGACAGGGACGACGTCATTAGCTAACCTCTGGAGCTCTGCAGGCGCTTCGGGACGGCCCTGAGTGTGTGTGTGGTAGCTGTGATCGGACAGCTCGCACTTCAGAAATCGTGGGCGATTGGTTTTGGTGAGAAACAGGATGCGGATCAATCAAGGCTGCGTAATGCTGCTGCGGCACGGCTCGTTGGACAGGAGGAAGAATTGCAACGTTGTGGAATGCCGTCGCCGACGGCAGACGTTGCTGCCAGAAGTACTTATCGTCCGGGCAGATGAAACCGACAGTCTGCAAGACAGGATAGACAGCTGGACGCTGCACTGAACCGGCATTCGTGGCACCGAAGAAGCAGCCCGGGCCCAGCTGTCGATTGATGAGACGGAATGGCAGAGCGAGGGAATCATTGGGCGGGTCTCCTGTGACACTCAAGGTTCATTCGGTCAAGCGGCCACTGAAGGATTCGAAAACGATTGAAATGTCGACCATGAGAGTAGCAAGTCGATCGTGAGTCCTTCAAGCATCCTCAATGAATTGTGGAATGTAATATGGTGTTGGAGCCGATAAGGGAGGTAAATCCTGGCGCGAAGCACCAAGAACTGGGTAAGATCGCTGGGGCACGGCGGATAGAGCAAACTAAAAGCTCCGAAGGGTGATTGCTGTGCTGCTCCTGAAGTCCCCGAGTTCCAGCACAGAGTGGAACCGTGTAATCCAATGTTCAGGTCCGCTTGTCCTCCACGTCATGAAGAATAACCTCCGCGAACTCTGTTCACAACCAGATACGGTTCCGAAGTTCCTGCGCGACACCGTTTCGCATAGAGCGACATCACAAGATCGGCCCCGCTGTGCATGGACGGCAGTCATGGAACACGGTACGGGCATGCAAATCGATGTCTCGGGACCACGTGCCAAGCTGCTCGAAATGCGAAGCGGAAGATGGGGTGGAGAATCGACATTGGCAGATGGGCAAAGCTCCTTTCTTGGGGGTGGACGAACCATAGCAATCGAAGTCGTTGCATGATTCTCAGGAGCCAAACATTAGGCTCATGTCGAATGCCGTAGATTTCATGGAAACTGGGTACACCTCGCACTAGGCTGAGCGTGGGGAGAGTGTCCATGTCAAGGCAGGAATTCATGGACTGGTGTATCGTTCATCGATGAAGGGAAGCTCGAGAGCCGATAGAAACGCATTCGGCGCATGCTCGTCGTGAATAGCTCGGCGAGTGTGAGAGCTGACCGCAACCATTGGGGGGACATCGTCGGCTCGAATGCGCTGCTTGGCTATGACACAGAAGACGAGGGGAATCAGTTTGACATGGCGGTACGCGCTCTCGTCCGCTGCCTTCGGGGAAAGGGCCCAGTACTGTCCACGAAGTAGATTCACTTCCAGATAGGGTGCGAGGCTCCTGAACCGATGGAGCTGGAAGATCTCCTCCCCAGCGCAAGTAGCCATCAAAGCGCGTGCAACAGCTGCTGCGGGTGCAATACGTAGGTAGCCAACCGGGACTTGCGACCCAAAGAAAACGCGACGGATTGGCATCTGCGCAACAGACAGAGAGGAAGGGACGTGTATGAGAGTAATGGCGAGATTCACAGAGATCTATGCTTGGGTCGACAGCTGCCGAAGAACAACCGCGTGGGAGTGACTTGAAGGCGGGCGGGGAAGGGTTACTGCCCTGTGGCAGAGGAAGCTTGGAGTGAGTGCCTGAATGCGATAAGGCGGACACAATTGGAGCAAAAACCGGTGCGGGAATGAGCCCCCAAGCCATTTGCGGGGAACCGGGCGATTGGGGTCGAGAATGTATGCATACGTCGGCGCGGTGCAGCAAAACGAAGGTGGTCGGTCACAAGCAATCGACGCAGCCACACCACGTGAGCAACGGAGCGATCACGCGAATTGCAAATAAATTCAAGGTTATAATATTACATTTGGATTAAACACGGACAATCGCAACAAGGATCTACTTGACGGCACCGGTCACGTCGAGCATCATAGCAACTATCTCCGCTCAAGCAACGCCGACATGCTTGCATGAAGGCAGAGAGTTCATCTCGTAATCGTCGGAGACCACTTCCACCAGTCTCGACACACTGACACCCTCGACAGCCACCCGGGGAACGGGACGCGTCGATCTGGACCCGCTTGCCTGAGATTGCGAACGACTCAATGTAGGCAAGATGATCATGCTGAAAGTGATGCCGATTAAAGCGCAGATCTGTGCGGATTGGTGTTACGCGATTGCCACTGCCAGTGAAGGAGTGAGGACGTACGGAGTCCACAATGACAAACTGGCCATTAGTATCCAGTTGGAACGTTATCAGCAAGGCCACCAAGGCGATTGAGTACAGTGCGGCCGACTCGAGAAATATAATCTGTAGTGGATGCAGTTGATGATGCCAAGTTTCAAGCACTAGGACGGACCACCACAGATAATACTGGACTTGAAAGTTTCTGAGAGCCACGTACAGCTAATTGCGAGCGAAAAACACAATAAGCAATGTACACTGGCCAAAGATCAGCTCCCCGAAAATTTCTTCAATCATTGCAGACACACGGGTGCAGAATGCGTTGGCAGCTAACGTTGCGGAAAAGAATGTCGTAAACCATGGGGAAAGGTTGTTGAGAAACCCTTGCCGATCCGTGTGCAGCTGAAACAGTAGTCGTGTTGCGACGGAGCCAGAAACTCCAGCCGCCAACCAAAGTGCCGTAGGGACGATGATGACAGGAAAAGACTTGTGCGCGACCACCCAGCAACGATATATCTGTACGTTGCCTTAGTATGCTTTGGCCATCGCGAGCTGCGGACACAGACCATGAAGCAATCCGCAAGCAGAGTGACCGTTACATTCATCCCGATCTTGGATACTTCGGTCGCCGTCGAGAGGTCCGACAAGAATGCTATAGGATCAGGACGGGGTCCCAGAAACGCGAGTTGCAAGCGGACGATGTCTATAATCCAATGCTTGATCAAATCATTGTCAGTCAATGTGTACAAGGGTAAGAAGTTCGTTGGGACATACGGCTAGGGCGAATAGCCATATGACCGAGACTGTCGGCAATACCAGACTGACGTTCCTCTTCTCCACCACATTTCTGGAGAGAATAGGTCGCAGGGCTTCTCCGAACATGGCTGTAAAGATTCCGAAAAGAAATGTTTGGACGACCATAGAGATGAGCTAGGATTTTGAATCGGTGGACTTGCTGACACCGAACTATTTGCATGTGAAGACTCACAGTGATTTGGTCAAGAGGTACATTGCCCATCGTGAAGGTGAGAACGGGAGTAGACTCGGTTCGCAGCGGGTAGGGATGACCAAGTATTTAAATCTTCCCCAGGATCGGAGACTTTACTGGACGTCCGGCTGGCATAGATGCACCTCCTAGATTCGGCCTGTCTTTACGACCAGCGAGAAAAGTACGTAACTTCCGGAGGCTGGTCGACCTCCCGAAATGGCCGCTATCCCTCTGTTGTCTCCCGGTTGCACTTTCCATCTCTTTCAGAGTGTAACTGACTTGTTCAATGAATATCGAAAGTTGAGAAATCGGGACAATGCAGGGCGCAGCAGGCGGAGAGTCCTGTGAAATTGGTTACAATTCTGATTGTGATCAAACTGATCGGTCGGGCCCGAAATCTTACCGTGGACCAGTACTGCTGCGTATGAGGGTTCTAAAAGACTCAGGGACCACCCTGAATAGCCACCGACTGGACAAGACGTGCGATCGCTGCCGTTTCTCCCCGATTCTCCGACATATGTCTTAACAGCGAACACACAGGGTCAATACGTACATCCGCCCAGTCTTCGCAGCAACTCCACTCCGCAACAGATCCTTTGCTGCACTCCGCAGCAGTTTGACCTGCTCCCGCCTGACGGAAATTGTTCAGAGCTTTGGTTTCGGGGTGCTAATAAAGGAGCGAAACATAAATGTATGAGATTTGTGGAATGTTTTCATGCACACAAGTCAGATCAGGCGTTGGAGAGAAGACGTCTCCCGTCGAGAAGGGAGTCCGTAGAAATAGAGCAGGAGTCCATCAGCCGCTTCGTAGACCATGAAGTTCAGGCGTCACAGCGTTACCCAGACATCCGAATCACGTGCGGGATTTTTGACAACTCCTTTGGAGTGGAAGTCAGAGACCTGCCAAGTCGGGTCCTGCATTACTACTGACCTCACTCTGGCGTTGAATAATATTTGAACGAAAGCTCAATCTGCTCGTTCGTCGACTGAGAACCAGGACCCCGAGGAAAACTTGATCGAGCTGGGACGCAACAACTCGTGGATCAGGTTGGTGGGAGGGCAGGCCGAGTCCACCAGGCTGATTTTTAAGACCTACGTGATAGGCACCAAGGTGTGCGTAGCCGGTGGGGATGCAGACTAACTGAAAGCCAAACGCGGAAGAGTTGTGGGCGCTTGTAGACGCACGTCGGGAACAAATTTCGTAAGGCTCAGCGCGAACGGCTCCGCAGATTTCAGAATCGCATTTGACCGCTGGATTGCGCCAATACAAAATACCTGCATGACCGTAGTGTCCGATCTCAGGTCAATGATCATGAGTGATTGGGAGACGGATAACTTGGTCATCGAGTTGGATGATCACAAGGGAGGGATCTCTGTCATGTGGCGACTCGAAACTGTAGCCAAAACCGGAGAAGCTCAATAGAATAGCCCGCCCCATCAAACTTTGGAGACATGCGGAATCGAGACTGGGATTGAGATAGCTGGCAAAAGCTAAGCAAAGATATCGCAATCAACGGACCAAGATGAACCGACGAATGACTCGATCCTTTTCAGACAACTCGGAAGGAGGGATTGTCAATCGGCCGTCCCTGATGTCCATGACCTTGACTGAGCTCGAAAGAGAACATCATTAGTCGAGAGAGTTGACTGCAAAGCGAACAAAAACTCTTGCGTGTAGGGCTCTGGACATGCCTGTGGAGTAAAATAGCTCTGCTCTAGTGCGCAAGTCTTGGCGTCAATAGGAATTTGGCTCAAGTCTTTCGAAGCCGTGTTAGTAACACCTCGGCAATCAGTCGGCAATGGGGACTGTCGGAGTTTCAAACTCGAAGCTGTGTCCCATTATCCTGCTCAATGCGGATGAGTACAATGGGGGGCTTTCCTCCTTCAAATACGCGCGTTCTCACAATGGGACCCTTGCACGCTTCATCCCCCACCTCTTTCCATCATGTATCGTGAATTTCCGCCCGTCGCTTTTCTCGCTGCCTTTACCCTCCTGTTACCCCTCCCAGGGCACTGGCGCGCTAGGAATGTCGCTACACTTTCCATCATCGTCTGGCTCTTCATTTCGAACCTTGCCTTCGGCATTGATGCTATTGTCTGGGCGGATAGTCTCAGTGTTGGGCCGGTGGCAATGGTCTGGTGCGACATAAGTCAGTGTTGCCTGCTCTTTGTCTTTCCCTACCTGTGCTCACGGGTTGATAGCAACGAAGCTCATGATCGGTTCCAACTTCTCCCTGCCTGCTGCGTGCCTTTGCATCAGCATGCATCTGGAAAAAGTGGCCTCTGTGCGATCGACTCAAGTCACTGCCTCAGATAAGCGACGGAGACAGATTTTCGAGCTCATCATGTGCTGGGGCTTGCCCTGCGTCTTCATGGCCGTCCGTGCGTCTTTCTTCTTCTCTCAGTCTCTCGGCATTCTAACATGATCTCTTTCAGACTACGTTGTTCAAGGGCACCGCCTGGACGTTATCGAGAGCTTTGGATGTCGCCCTCCAACTTATTATTCGATTCCCTCCATCTTCCTTATGAATGTCCCTCCCTTTCTACTCTCTGCAGCTTCCCTGGTATACGGTGGTGAGTACATGCATGCAGCGTGACTGCAGTTACTGACCCTCGTTGTAGGTCTCGCACTGCGCCACTTTATCCGTCGGCGTGCTTCATTCGCAGCCCATCTTAGTGGCTCAAACTCTGCTCTCACACCTTCCCGTTATATCCGCCTCATGTTCCTCTCCATTGTCGAGATGGTTTGGTCCCTGGCTGTAACGGCTTACATGCTCTATTTCACAAGCATCAATCTGCCCTTGCGTCCTTGGATCAGCTGGGGAAACGTACACTCGGACTGGAATCGGGTGGACACATTCCCCACCGTCTTCATCCAACAGCACACCCTGACCCTGTTCTACCTGGCCTGGTGGTTGATCCCGATTTCCACATTCCTCTTCGTTGGGGTGTTCGCGTTCGGCCAAGAAGCCGTTGACGACTACAAGCGGTGCGGCGCTTTCGTGTGGGAGAAGCTCACGTTTTGGCGCGGACCCTTGGCGTCGCGTGCTACGCGTGGTAACATCATTTCCGGGAGTCGTCCCTCGCAGCGGACGGGCATCGAGCTTCCCATCTACGACGTGAAGCGCCAACCATCGGAACTGACATCCATCGGCGCATCCTCTCCATCGACTTCCAAGTTTAAGGAGGCTTTAGATAGCTCCTACGATGAGCATTCCGACGCGTATTCTGCGTGCACTGCCGGGGATCTCTCAGTCACCCCGTCGCAAGACATTTTCACGCTCCCGCCACTTCCTTCTATGTCGTCCGACAAAGCACTTCCGTCGGCCTCCCCCCTATCTTCCAAACAAACACGACCAGTTACGTATCCATCATTTGACCCGGCTCATCGAGCCCTGGATCCATTTCCCCCCGTGTGAGAACACCCGCTCGTCTCATAACACCATACTATCCTTATTCCTTGTTGCTTGCAACGACCCCTCACTTGTAGCCTTATCTCATTTCCTTACGTGTTTACGATCATGTTTCATCACGCCGTGCTCTATCTCTTTCGTATTCAATGCAATGTCGTTACGCACAGACCCTTCAAATGCTGATGTGAACCGGACAACTCTGAGTATCCTATGTCTGCGCACAGAAAAAATGGGAGTGACAACCGAGTGCGGGAGATCGGGACATGGTCTTGTGACAGAGATTGAGGGGTGGCTGTCCTCATCTCACTTTTCTCTCGCAGCATCGCTCAACTCAAACGAATCCATATTCCAAATGAAATCTTGTCAATAAATCAGAGTACCTCACGTATTTGCGTAGGAGAAAAGGGAGACCTTGTCTCAGATCGGACCATCGACGGACTGGTGCGCGGCCTGGGTCATTACCGGCCTTCGAGCCCTTCAGTGCGGGCTTTCTATTTTGACAAAGTACTCACACCACGCATGAGCCATTTTTAGACACCAGGTCTACAACAACTGAAAAATCAAATTTGATCAAGAAACAATCCATTTACATTGAATGAAGCGCAGTGCACGCGCAGTGTGGTTCTGCCCAACTGGTCAATGCGACGTGTGACGTGACCATTGTTTTCGTCACGATGGCATCCTGTCACACTTCGAAGGGACAATGCATTGTTCTAACGGGCAACAATGGGCGGGGATTGGACTATAGATCATCCGCATGGTCTGTGGGGAGTATAAAAGGATGTACCATCTTGCGTCAGGAAACATCGCAAAACCTTCTGGTTCCTTTCGCGACATTCGGCCTCTGCTCTTTCTGCGCCTACTCAGCTCCCACCAGCGCCTACAACCCCCAGCTCCCCAAACCAAACACAACCTCCAGTCCTCCTCCCACAACTCTCAAATGGACTCCTTTACCGACGTCGTTTTTCTCATCTCCCCTACCGCCGCTGCGGACAACTTCCCTCACATCGTTGATCAACCTGTTGTCGACAGTGACAGTATTGCAGCCGACTACGGCTCATACTGTGTAGTCTCTTGAGTTGGTTTCATCTTCCCCGCTTTCATGTTCCTCCTGTTCGTTCGTTTCGAATTTTTTTCCTATCGTTTGAGCTCATCACCAACACAGACTTCGCTTTACGTCTGTTGCCTACTTCGCATTGCTCGCCCTGGTGGCGCACACGCTCATTCAACGCCCACACTCATCGATCAGCCTTCCACATACGCTTCATGATTCACGGTATGCCTGCTCTTTGAGGTACTCTCCGGCAACGCTAATATCTTCCCCTAGCTCATTTGTCCTGTCTGTATCCGTATTGCCCTCTCATCAGTGTTCTTTATTACTACGTCTATCTATGTAGTCTCCTACTGGGTTGTTAACTATTATTTGTCAATTATCTCACTTGTTTCATTTCCCGCCACCCCTTGCGACTTCGTTCCATAGGCCGCGGGGGCATGCTATGCTCCCTTCGTCATTCGACTCCATCTGAGTAGAATGCAATGCATCATATCGTCAAGATGTGCAGGGGACGGCGCTGCTGCGGTCTCGGGTCGCCACCACGTCGAATGTTCGATAGAAAGCACGCAAGATAATTTTCAGAGTGTTCCCATATACCCGGGTAGCTACAGCATACCCTCTCATGTCCGTTGTCGGCCACTGAAGTCCAGTGGACGTCGACGGAGTACAATGGAGGGAATCTAGGCAAAGCGAGCGCCACTGCCTACCATTGTTTCGGCAATGGTTGACACCATCAGCCGGTGCCGCACGGTGCCGAGATGCCGGCTACTACCTCCGCGTGTATTACTGGCCTTAGAAATGCTTGTTTCCGGCTGATCGCCGTCGTGATTGGATCGACAGGCTGACGACTCGACACACCGTTTTGCTCTGCCCTGTTGCTACCTCTGGTCGCTCTTTTGCTGGGTCCTCCAACCCTCCCTTTCCCGCTGCCGCTTGAGAAAAAAGAAGCTGTTAACATGTTATTCAAGCGATGTCGTTACCTGAGGTGTTTTCCGCGGCCTTCAGAGCCATGATGCCTACAAGCACTATCATGACCTCAGCTTCGTAGCTGGGGAGGTCGACGCAGTAGTCATCCCCGTTGACACTTCGCGTCTTTGGAACACGCAGGGACTTCCGAACGGACCACATATCTTCGAGGCACCATACCCTCCTACTTCAGTATCTACACCAGCTAGACCATGAGAGAGCCCGACCTCTCCAGCCAATGCTACCTCGATCCCCTCCGTACGATTCCCACGCCGAACCCGCCGCTGGAATCATCTCGCTGTTGTCACGGGTATCAGCCCCGCGGCTCTCTCTCTCCCCCTCCCACCCCTCCCGCTCGTGCTGAAACCTTTGCATGCGATGCTCAACTTCTTGCACGAGGACGAGTCCGGCGTGAAGCACATTGGAACTTGGGACGCGCTGATGCAGATGAGGTTGGCACAAGAAGGCACTCGATGAGGTGCCGCAGGGGATGACGTGTGGAGAGTGACGCAGCGCCATGGCTGGCCTTTGGCAGGCTCACCCCACACAGCACTCCTCGTACGGATTGAATCCTTGACGCATGGTCGCAGCGTCACTGGGTTGAGAGGGAGCAGGGAAAGCTGTAAGCTGTATCAAGTCAGCGAGCGGGAGACGAAGGGGATCTCGATGTATCGGAATGATGCCGCTCATTTCTTTATCGACGCCGTCACGATAACACGGTGTAAGTTTGAGAACATGCGAGTCAGTATGACTCACTAGCACTGGCCGTACGCATCATTCTTGAGTGTTCCCTTCTGCCACATACTTGGAGTAACTGCTGTGTCGCTAATACTTGCTGTCATGCATCGCACCTTCGCACATTCTAGATTTTTAGACCTTGCATGCAGTGGCTTTCAATATCAGATTCTTATGCACGCTGACCGGCACTTGAATCTTTTGTGATGTCGAGCAGCGGGTGTCGGTGATCGCGGCTGAGTCCCGCCCCCATCACAGAGCAAAACCTTACTCAAGCTTGATCTTTTCGCGATTGTGCAATCATGAGCGGCGAACGGGGTGAGTCCCCCGTGCATCTATCAGACATAGGCGCCTGTATGCGCTGACTCGGGAACGCCTGGACAAGTCATTTGACTAGCTATCTGGGCAGTCACAGGTCTTCTGGATAGGATGCTATGAACGGGAGACGATCAGGCGTTTTTTCACGTCTCGGGTGCGTGTCCATCTCAGCTCGGCACCACGACCTCCTGCTCATTGCGCAGTGTGAGTGCTTCCGGCGGGATATTTTGGCCGGCTTCTCGCGATAGCGAGGTTAGTCCCGCACCGCCCATCGAATTAGTCCGTTTACGGTGGACATGGTTGGGCATGCGTGGGGGCCGATGACTACCATGCCCACCTTCTGCCCGCGCTCAATTCAATGCCACGCGAGGATCAACGACATTTCTACCGCCTTCTACAGCTGCGTAGGATCAGAAAGTCGAGAATGTTGGTACTCACGTCATTTCGTCGGATTAGGCACTTGGGGAACGAATCTGAGTTGACATGCTGTATTGATTTCTCTCCGGCCGACGCTACGGGACAATCATCCTCACGGTAAGGCTGTGCAGAGCCTCGTCTCGAAGGCCGGCGCCTCAAGAGTAGCATGGGTCACGCCGTCGATCCACATATAGAGCGAGTCACCGCGTTGATAAGGACGGGAGTGGCTGGAAGGAAAGGTGTGTCTTTCTTGCACCACTCTGCGTCACTTCCCTGGCTCCCTGCCTCCCGCAACTGACTCGCTTTGCCTGTGCACTGCATAATGCGTCGATTTTTCGGGCTGGACAATGGCAAATCGTCGCCGCGCCCTCCTCGGCCCCGTCCGTCCCTCCGCACCACTATCGTAAGTGGCAGTGTCCGCTCGACGGTGGGCGAGGCATTGACAACGTCCCTCCCCCCAGAGCACGTTCTTGCATCCGTCCTCGGGCTCCCAGGCCCCGACTCGCTCTGCGATTAACACCTGGGCGCCCGTCAATACTCTGACGAACCAGAACGACGTGCAGATCCTCATCAGCCGGATTCGTGCGCGGTTGCCTTCATTTGTCGTCGTCGTGATTGCCTGATTCTTTGAATTGTAGGCACTGCTGCTGCGTCGACCTCCGAGACTGGAGACCGAGAGCTCGTTCTCGAGCTCTGTGATCGCGCGTCGTCGGAGGAAACCGCACGAGAGACGGTCAGAGCATTGAAGCACGAGTTCGAGTGCGTGTTTGGCGCTCCTTCCGCCTCAGAATCTGCTGCTCATGTCCGCTAATGCAGATCCGGAACTACTACTGCGCAACTCAATGCTGCTCGGGTATGAATCAGCCTTGTGGCTGCGAGACTGACCGTTAGCTGACACGATATCATAGCTTTGGGCAATCCTGCTGCGCAATTCTTCATCAGTTTTTCAACAGCATTCGGTTGCGGAGGACTTTCTGGCCGCTCTCGAGCGACTGATGATCTCACCCGAGACGTCACATCTTGTCCATCAGCGGGTTCTCCGTGTCCTGGGCGATGCTGTATTCAACTATCCTGATTGTAGGCGGATGCTTTCGAGCACTGGCCAATTCTGATCGTTATCAGGCTGGCCTTTCCGGCGTCTCTGGCGCATGGTGAAAGGGGCAGACCAACCGGATGATGGTGCATTGTATAACGCGTACGACGATGTTCTGAGGCCTTCGATTATCATCGATGCTCCGTCGAATCAGGGCACCACCATTCTCGACGACATCAGTCCTCGGGTCAGCCCATCACATCGCAGTTGCCAAGCTTTCACTGATGGGCGCGTTTCGTGTAGTCTCCCATTCACTCATTTCCCGATGAGCGCTTTCCACCCCCAGAACGAATGCGGGCTGTCGGACGGCCGGACAGCGACCAGCCGCCTCCCTATCTGCATGCTGTTGGTGGGACGAGAGCGGGTGACGCGAACGCGACTCGGGCTTCCCCTTCGCTGCGCCCTCAGGATGAGCAGAGAGGCAATGAGGCGCCTGATATTCATTACCGTCGAGGAAAGAGGGCCGAGGGGCTCCCCAGCATTTCCTCCGCTTCAGATGATCCTTGGATGACTGTCGGACCGTCTACTTCGCCGGTGCCCGCTTCTCCATCGACCTACCGCATGGGCCTAACCCACCAGCCAATACCGGCTTCCTCCTCGTCTTCCACTCCGGACCCCCCGCCTCCGTCGCGAGAAATGATAGTGTACCCGGGTAAAGTCACTCGAAATGGAACGCTGGATGGTCCCAGACATCGCAAATTGCGTGAGTACAAGTTTACCAGCTTTCCGCACCTTCCAAATCATTCCTAGCCCTTGTCCCCGCCGTCAACGTGATGTTCCGGGGGAACAACATCCACACACCGCCAAACTCACCATCTCCTATGTCGCAATCCTCGGGAGAGCAATCGCCTGAGAAGGCTGTGCGTGGAAGTTCCGAGCGCAAGATCTGCTCCGTGAGTCGCCCTCCTTTCCTCTGATGCATAGTCTCAGAATGATGCAGGCAACTTTACTGTATCTTGTGGACCGCGCCTATAACATGGACAATTCAAAGTTTGATCTCACCTTGAATGGTTGGAATGGCGATAGTGACTTTCCCTCAGCACACTGAATCAATTGGGAAAACTGAGTCAGGAAATGGCGCTTCTCACGCCGAAAGCTGCTCTCGCTCATGCGGTAAAGTATCGGGACCTGCTCGCCCAGGTTCGTTGTTGCGGTTCTTAAATCGAATGGAAGTTCACTGCTTTGATAGATCGCATCAGACATGGGGCTGGCAGGGACAGAGGAGCTCACTCAAGCGTCGAAAGAGGACGAGGAGACCCTGGCCAAGATTCTCGTCAAAGTACTCAACTCGACGACAGATGTGCAAAGCATCCTCCATCTCAACGGCGCAGCTGCCCAATCTGTTCTCGATATCATTCAGCATGTAAGCAAGAACAACCCCACATTCGACGTTTGATACCGATGACTCGTCAGATCTCGGACCACGAACTGATTCGCACCCGCCGAGATGTGAGCCTGCGAGCGAGGAAACTCGTGATCAAGCTGGCGCGGTCATGTGACATGCTGCCCACCTCATTGATGATTTCCGGCGTGTCGCAGCGCAGAGTGCAGGCGTCGTTCTGCGGTGGCTTTGGTGACGTGTATCAGGCGATGTACCGGGGCGAATTAGTCGCACTGAAGCAGATGCGCGTTTTTCAAAATTCGGATCAACGAGAGGTGCGAAGGGTGAGCGATTGATTGGCTCTGCGATGTCGTTCGTCCGTTGACTTTGTCGAAGAAGTTCTGCCTCGAAGCAATGGTGTGGCAACGTCTGCGCCATCCGTGCATTGTACCGCTGATTGGAATCGATACGGAAAGCTTTCCTTCGATGCTGTGCATGATTTCGCCCTGGATGAAGAACGGAACTGTGCTCACGTATCTTTCCTCGGTCCCCGTGGCTAGTCGCGCTGCACTTGTAGAAAAATTTGTAAGTCTTCGTGACTCTCGTGATTATGTTGGCCAACTGCCCTCCAGATACGTGAAATCGCAGAAGGCCTGGCGTTCCTGCACGATCAGAATGTCATTCACGGGGACCTTCGCGGGGTACGTATCGTCCACTCTGTGTGGGATCTAGTACTGAGATCCAAGCAGTCCAACATCCTCGTCAACGACGAAGGGCATGCGTGTCTCACTGACTTTGGTCTCACGGTCCTCCCGGACTGCACGATCAGCCAAACACACAATGGTGCCGGCAGCGTGCGGTGGATGGCACCCGAAACCCACAACCCGACCGACTGCGGCCTACCCCCTTCTGGGCTTACGCGCCTCCCGGCCAGCGATATCTACTCCTTCGCATGTCTGTGTTTGGAGCTCTACACCGGCTATCCGCCGTTCCACAACGAGTTGATGCGTGATGGGGGTGTGATTCTGAGAGTCATCGAGGGTGAGCGGCCGAGGCGGCCTTGTGGTGGGGATGTCAATATACCGGATTGGATGTGGGGAATTATGCAGCAGTGTTGGCAGCATGATTATGCGGATCGGCCGAGCATACTGTGGATTCTCCTGCAATTGGCTCCGCATCAGTCATCTGCTATATTCATCTAATCCTAATTTTCGTGGTGTACAACATAGCAAGCTTGATGGGGCTCGATAAAGCTCTTGAAATCCCATGAAAACGCATTCGTTATCATATTCACCTTGAATGAGTATTTCATACAGAACGGCCAAGAATGCCGTTGAGAGAAAGACGATTTCGAAGCTGTATTTACAGAAGGGGGCCAAATATCTTTCGGAAAATCGCTTGTTCGTGCCTGAAGCTTGAAGCTTCGAACTATCCCTGTTTTGAGTGTTCGCAAACCATTGGGAAGTACTGCTCGGTGCCTTGAGAATATCGTGAGGATAACATCATGCCATTGGATGACTCGACGTGTAGCTACTAAACTCATATGCTAGCACATCATTATCCGCATGAATCTACATCGAGCAGGAAAGCTGGAGCATTGAAATCTAGGCTCGAGAATGTGTGCAGACCCGAAATGGGTCGAGTGAAACGATCACGTGCATCCCTTATCGACGTGCAGTTCAAGTAATGCAATAGATATTCGAAGGAACGTCCCAAGACCCATAATAGATTACGGCTTAAACAACACTGGTATGTTTGGATGGTGGAAGAGACTTCATCTCGAAATCATTATCAGAAACCACTTCCACCAATCTCGACCCAGTGATACTCGGACCCTCAAGGGTAATCCGCGGTGTGACCCGCGTGGATATCAACCCGGTTGACTGCGACTGCAAGGGGCTCAGGATAGGTAGAATGATCATGCTGAATGTAATTCCTATCAAAGCACACATCTGTGGAGAGTCGTAAGCACTCTCCGCCGGCAGCGACGAGCGCATGCGAGCACTTACACAATCCACAAGAACAAACTGGCCATTGTAGTCCAGCAGAAAAGTAACCAACATAGCTACCAAAATCGCCGAATACAGGGCGGCTGACTCGAGGAAGACGATCTGTTTCATTTCCCGACCTTTCAGAGGGTGTAATGGAAGGTCAGATTGGCACGTACCACCGCACCGAGTGCTCGACTGTGCAGCCGCTGAGACGTCCTTACGGCAAGAAGAGAGCGAAGAATGCGATATGCAACGAACACTGTCCGATGTTAGCCAACAATGCTTGAAATGCCCCGACTGACTCACGTGTGCAAAACAAGTTGGTCGCCAGTGTTGCAGAGAGGTAAGTGATGATCCATGGCCCGGCGACCTCGAGAAGAGCCATGTAGTCTGTGTGCAGTTTGAACAGAAGATACGTCAGGCCCGAACCAGCGACCCCTGCTGACAGCCACAGGAGCGCAGGGATGGCGATGATGAGATATGACCTCTCCCCGATCACCCAACAGCGGTATATCTACCAAAAAGGTTAGTCGACTGGCTATAGCTTCCAGGTTGGAGACAGCCAACCATAAACCAGTCTGCGAGCAAAGTGACTGTCACGTTGATGACAGACTTGGCCGCGTCGATCAACGTCGAGAAGTCCGACAGATATGCAACGGGATCGCTGGGATGCGACCCGAGGAAAGCGATCTGGACTCGGCTGATATCGATTATCCAGTGCTGTTCTCGCAGTGTTCAACATGAATGCGAACAGACAAATTTCTGGACGTACAGCGAACGCGAGGCTCCAGATGACTGAGACTGTAGGCAGTACCCTAGTACCGCGATGTATGTTCTTGGACGCCTTTCTGCCAAGGAACGATCGCAGGATCGCCGCGTACATGGTGGTAAGGACCCCGAAAAGAAAGGATTCCGTCACCATCGAAATGAGCTGGCCGTGCATATCTCATCAGTCGGCGATCTGCCTCGAACGAACGACTCACAGCTACTTGGTCCAGTGATGGGTTGACCATCTTTAGGAGGGCGAAGAAAGTTGGTGCCTTTCACGGAGCGGGAGACTACTTAAAGGTCCAGAGATTTACTGGGCGTGTCACGGCTGGTGTGGAATCCGTGTGCATTGCCTGGATTCAGGCTGCCGCGCCACAGTAAGCACAGGCATGCGATCGGAGCCGACCTAGAGAGGCCCCTCAAACACCCACAAATCAATTCAAAAGGTTGGATCACTTATCAGGTCAGACACACATCGAGCAAACAGCTGGCACCACCGCCATCCTACTGTTCGCGAATCTCAGGGACCGTCAAATCGCGGACCCGCGAGATCAAGAGCAATTCTCTTTGACGTCGCTGACGTGCGTCTGCACAGGAAGGATACAGGGTCCAGATTTCACTTTGTTCGAGTTTTTCGTGATGGCAATCACGCGACCAAAGCTGACCAACGGATGCCGCACATGACTCATCGTTCTGACCGCTTCACTCATTGCCTCCGTCTTTGACGCCTCCGACCCGTCACCCCATGGCTGCGCCAGAGCCTTGGCCCTGGGTTGAATCCCAGGATTTCCTCGAGAATTTGTAGTCTCACACGGCATTTAAACTCCAAGACTCACTAAAAATCAAGCTACCCTCATCTCGGTTTTGTCTTACTTCGGCGTGAAAATATCAACTGAAACCCGGCAAGGCGGAAATAATCAGTTACTAGCTCTCCTGACACTACACCCTTCATCCTTTAATATTTTCCACTTCACGGGAGTGGACACTGTATGTGCCCATCAATCCCTCCGTGACAAACCACGGCGCATGTGGCGCCGACCATGCCCGGGTATCATGAGCACCGAAACGCTCAGATTGGAGTCAAATGCACCCTGACGAGCTAAAAAAACAGTAATTTGTATCACAAATCAAATCCCTGTCTACCTGCTTGGATGATGCTTGGGACACGGTGTTCATAGTTTGGACCATTTTCGTAATATGATAGTAATAGTGAAAATGGGAACAGTGGCACGCCACATGCATATGGCTCAAACACGACATGGGCCCTTGAATATTTTGTACGTGAATACTTGAAAAAAACAATATCTGTTATCTATCAATCAAGCCATTCTTCCAAAGAATTATAGCACAAACGGTCATTACCGGGAAGTTCTGAGGGATTTTGGTCCACGAATAGTCGGTCTATATGCACGAAAAACATGAAGATTCGTATGATCAGAAAGTTGAATAAAGAGGCCATCTACGCCGCTGCTCGTTTCCTAGAATAAAAATGAACGGTTTTCATTTATTTCCCCGTTAAAAAATACTCGCAAGTCCTTCACATGCCATCAACCATGGGATGTCAAAACCCGAACGAGTCTTAGGACTCTCTGTTTCCCATCGGGATTTCAAAACCCATCCTTTCAGAGGCATGTTACAGATATATTATGATGCAAAGGAGCAATCTTGCACCTGTGACTGGATATAGCTACTTGTCGATTAGACGACACTAGTATGTTTTACTGGAGAAAAAGAATCCAGCTCGTAATCACTCTGTGAGATCACCTCTACCAATCTCGACACGTTGACGGCCGGCGTATCATGTGCTGCTGCTCGCGATCCGTCCCTCGTGGATCTCGAGCTGCTTGCATTGGACTGCGACTGTGAACGATTGTGATTCGATATGATGATCATGCTGAAAGTGATGCCGATCGTGGCACATGTCTGCGAGTACTGGTGAGCGTCTGTCACAAGCCGCGATGCAGGCCACAGCCACTCACTGAGTCCACAAAGATGAACTGGCCATTATAGTTCAGTTGGAAGCTGATCAATAGAATTATCAATAGGGCCGAATAGAGGGTGGCCGATTCTAGGAAGATGATCTGTTCATTCCCAAATCCATGAGTTCCCACTCAGCGTCACACGGTGAAGATTGACACGGACCACGACATCGAGTAATCCATTTTGCAGAGTCTGGATTTTGCGGACGGCCAATTGCGAGCGGAGAATCCGATAAGCGATGTAGACTATTTTGGATCAGCGGCAAGTCCTCGTAGAATATCAATTGGCTCACTGGTGCAAAACAGGTTCGTGGCTAATGTCGAGGAGAGAAATGTGGTAATCCACGGTGCAATGGTGCCGATGAGGACTAGATAGTCCGTGCCGTGTAGTTGGAAAAGCAGGCGCGTGAGGACACAGCCCGCGACACCTCCAGCGAGCCAGAGGACCGATGGAAGGAGGATGATGCGGTACGACTTGTCTCCGACGACCCAACAGCGATATATCTACGCACGTAATCATCAGACCGGTATGATCTTGAAGTGGAACCTCACAAACCATGAACAAGTCCGCGATCAGGGTGACCGTCAGATTGATACTGGACTTGCCAGCGTTGATAGATGTCGAGAAATCTGACAAGTATGCAATGGGATTTGGCTGGGTCCCGATGAACGCAAGCTGGACACGAATGATGTCAAGAATCCAGTGCTACAAGCCAAGACCGATCAACATCAGAGCGCGTCGAAGACTCCTGAAACCTACAGCAAGGGCGAAGGTCCAGATGACGGACACGGTCGGCAATACCATAGCATAGCCCCTCATATTTTTGGACGCATTCTTGGCAAAGGAAGATTGGACGATCGTCCCGAACATGGTTGTAAGAACTCCGAACAGGAGAGTCTGCACAACAATAGAAATGAGCTGGTCGCATCGTTTGTCAGCAGCCTGCGGACTTCCGGAAACAACCCACAGCGACTCGGTCTAGTGGCAAGTTACCCATTATCGAGATGGAGAAGAGGAAGTAATTCCGCTCTTAGAGAGCGGAGGACTATTTGAGGGCTCAACGCCTTCACTCAACGTGTGACTGGCGTGGAATCGCTACAAATTTCCTGAATTCGGCCTGCCGCGCGACGGACCAACGAGAAGAGGGCCGACTGGCCATTTCTCATCGTGATCTCTTGGAAGGACGCCAATCGGGCTTTCAAACGCCCACAAATCAATTGAAAGGCTCGATCGAGTGGCGCCAGGTGTGATCACTGTGCAGCCAAGGCACACATCGAGAACATCGCGACATACCAGGGTGCGTTCGTTGACAAGCCTCAGGGACCACCCCGAAATCGTCGGTCGCGGAGCCGTGCAATAGATAAAAATTAGTCTATGACGTGTGGCCTAACAGCAGGGACGCAGGGTCCGGCTGGTGGACGTTTGGACGCCGATCAGCGTTGGCAACAAGCTACAGTCACCAGGACACATCTCCATGCCTATGGGAACGTCAATCCTGAAGAGAGATGTCAGGATGTTGCACTACTCACTCATAGATCCCGTAGGATTCGGAATTCAACGAAGACTAGGCATCTCTGCTCAGAAAAGCGCTTTCGATGGGATCAGAGAGTCCCAATCATGAGCGGCCAGCCGAGACAAATTTCGTCACGTGGTTTCCTTCACCCGATTCTCTCCCAAACCCTAGTCCGTATTTGGCACCTTACCATTTACCAATTGAAGGGTAAGAAAGCGCAGCTGAACACCCGTTGGCCACCCATTCTCATGTCTTGTGTCAACTGAACTTTTATCTCAATCCCATGTCCACGACCCTCGCACGTTCGGCTTCAGCTCGCTACGTTTCCCGACGGGCCAGGTCGCCAGCCCTACTCCTGCCGCACGCACAATCCCACCTCCGCTGCCCGGCCTCTCGACGCCCCGATGGCGGCGGACAGAGAAGCTCGCTTCATACGACATCCCCCCGCTCTTCGCGCTACCGGGGATACTCGATGCACGGCACGCTGCGCGAGTGGGCGCTCCGCATGATCGGGAAGGAATTCAGCGCGAACAAGCGCCGGGGGAGCGTCACGCCGCATGCGGACACGGAGTATCTCATGCGCGAGGCGGACGCGATGGTCGAAGGGGTGCTGCATCGTAAAGAACGCAAACATTGGATGCCGCGGGGCAAGAAGGGTGCATACGTGCAGGTGGGGGACCGGCTGGCACGTGAGGCAGGGAGGGTCGAGGACGCGGACATGGACATGGAGGGCCTCAAGATCGCGAAGCTGAGGGAGGCTTTGGCTCTCTACAGGCGTGCCGCGCAGAGGGGGGATGGGAGTATGCCGGTGCTGGCATCGCACATGTGGGGCACGAGCCTCGAGCTCACGCGGAGGCTGCAGAAGACTGCAGATAAGCTGGAAAGGGCGGAGACGAAAGCAGCTCAAGCGAAACCTTACGAAGTCGAGGAGACGGATTGGGGATTGAAGAAAGCGAGCACAACGTCAACGGGAGAGGATGCATCCCACACCCTGCAAGTTCCCGTGTCTGTTCAGACAAGACCGCCACGTACTGCAAAAAAGCACGGTGGTATACAGTATAAAACGAAATCACTCGCGCCGCTCCCCGCCCTCGCACCCTCTGCTGTCGCTCGTTCCCGAATGCCTCTGCTCTCTGCCTTCCCCGGGATCGGCGGCCTCCCCGACGGGACCGTGCTTTCCCCTGCGCATGGGGTCTTCACTGCCCGCGGTCTTCTGGGCACGCCGTCCCATGCGGGATCGTCGTATTCAAACGATACTCTGCATCTACCATCTCCGGCCCAGCACGCGCCTTATGCACCAGACGAGGTGGCCCAGCCGCAGCTCCGGCCACCGCCGTTTGCTAATCAGGGCAAAGCCCTGCGGTGGTTCAAGATGCGCAAGAAGCGAACGAGGATGATGTATCGATACTATCCCGCTCCGAGGATCCCACCGCCGTTTCCGGTTTCGTGATCTCGGATCCTTCCGCTTGGGTGCTCTCACACGCAAACTGAAACGGGTGCTTGACCCACACCCTTCGCCTGATTTGATGAAACACAGGCGTCGCTGCCGAGATGAACAAGGCCACACGGCGGGGCCCGCTCAACACGGCGGCACATGTGTGATGGAGGGTGGAGGCGCTTTGATGGATTCTCGGACTGAGCCAGCCGTTCATCTGTGCAATTCGGGATGAAAACCCCAAGCTCGTTTATTGCCTCCTTGTGTCGACATACATATGCATTCTGGTGTCACGTCTGGAGATTTGGAGACACGATTCAGCATCACGGTGCCCCGATCGTCGGCTGCGAAGCGTCCCAGGGTCCAAACGTTGCCCGATCCGATGCTGCGAAGATGACATCCCAGCCCGAGGCGGTCATAGCAGACGATTGACTCCTCGTGTGCGTGCCAAGAGGCCAACGAGGCGGCGACCTACTTCCTGATGGGGTGTATATCGATGAGCGGCTGCAAATGTGCGGGCACAGCCGGGCAACTCGGCGACGTCCACCACCCGTCGCAAATAGGCAACAGGGAAAGATTGAAATAGTATCTCAGACGTAACTTATGTATCGCATAATAGTCTGGGACTGGGTGCAATGGCAAGGGCGGCCGGGATGGCGCAATCACTGATCCAGACCTTCAACTGAATGATTGGGCGATCAGGCGGTTCGAACTTTAACGCCTCCACTACTTACTTATGCACCTCGCATCCGCGTACATGAATCTGATTATCTCGCGCATAAAAATTCCGCAAGGCATCGGACCGGCAGCACGCACACCGAGATGCCATGAGGACTGTGGAGATATCCAACAGTCGTTTCCTTAAAGCCTGGGCCGGCGGAGCCAGGTATGCGCTTTCAACAAATCACATACTTAGCATGATTCACGCCCACTTCACACTCGCTTCTGCGGCAGCAGCGATTGCTTTCCTTGCACTGCACGTCTGCCGAAAGGCCGCAAGAAGAAGGACAGGGGATATCGCAGGACTGCGTGGTCCGCCCCGGGAGTCCTGGCTTTTTGGTGCGTCTTTGGATGGATGACATTCGTGCACAACGATCCAGGCTGAGCTCCAATGGAAGGGAATCTTGCGCAGCTGCTGTTCTCCCGCAACTACGGCGACTACGAGTTCCAGTGGCAGGAGAGCTACGGCGATATATACGTGATACGCGGTGTGCTCGGGGTGAGTCAACGACCGACCGGCCTTGAACGCGTCTTATTCACGCTAATACTTGCCGCAGCAAACTCGATTGATGGTCTCGGACCCTGTTGCCCTGAACCATCTTCTTCGGAACGACGACGTCCATCTTGCACCGATGATGCTTGCGTTCAATCGATCCCTTTTCGGACGGGAGAACGCGATGGCGCTGCGCGGTTGGTGGTGCTTCAACGCGTCCGCAAGTCGTTGTGTCTCATCGTTCGACCAGATGCAGCCCACAGGAACCTCCGCGCTGCCCTGAATCTCGGTTTTTCGCCCTCTGTTATCGAGGGATATCGGGATCACTTCGAATCCGTCGCCCGCACAGTAAATGCGATCAAAATATTCCTTCTCCCCAGTCACTCGTCTGCTGACCAGGGCTGCTTTTCTTTAGATAACGGTCCAATTCGGAAAATCTCGGAAGAGCCCGGTCATGGATGTCATACCTGCGCTTTCCATGGCGACATTGTCTGCAATCTCTCAAGGTGAGGCTGGGACATTATTATGGGGCAATCGACTGATAAGAAATATCCTCGTAGTCACACTAGGTCAGTCTACCGAAGCGCTGGGTAAAGAATTGATCCAAGCAAATCTATCGATCCTGTATTGTTTCCCCTCGTGCCAATAAATCCGCAGTCCGTTCTCATCAAACCCCATTCAGTGCATGTGCTTCACGATTTGGATCGGCCCAGCTCCTAGCCGAGGGCGTGGCACCGTATCTACCCGCCTCATTCCTGGACTGGATATTCCGACTCCCGCTCCCCATGTTCGCCGACATTCGCCGCGCGTACACTCTCGCGCGGCAGGTCGGAGAGCAGGTCATTCTGGAGTCTCTGCACACAACGGCCGGTGACGAGACACGGGAGGAGCATTTATATGGCAGGATTCGTGCGTGTCGTTCCGAATCGGCTGTAGTATATATCGATCGATCTTCAATCGCCCGTTGCAGTGGCCCAGAATCCGAGGAAAAGCCTATCACACAGCGAGCTCGCTACGCAGACGAATCTCATCCTCGTGGCCGGCCAGGATACCACAGTAGGTGTTTTACGAGCATGAGTGGAAACGGATTGCAATTCGTGAGCACTAGACGAACACGGTCGCGTTTGCTCTAGTCGAACTGGCCCGACAACCTGTGCTTCAGGATGCCGTCCGTGCCGAGATCAGCGCGGCGCGTGCGCGTGCGCGGATCCAATATGACTCCCTGCCGTTGCTGAATGCATGCATCAAGGTCAGTATGTCGCAATGGCCCGTATAAATTGACTCGCTGAAAGCACCGATACCCAGGAAGCGCTGCGTCTCTTTCCCGCGGAACCCGTCGCCGATAAGATCGCGCACGTGGATCTGACTCTGCCGCTCAGCCGGCCAGTGACTCTCTCAGACGGGAGCGTCACCGATACGATCTTTGTGCCAAAAGGCCAGCTTGTGGCGTTGTCGTTTGCGGGCTACCAGCGGTGTGTCCGTCTGCGTTTCTTGATCGTGAGCTCATTTTGTCGCCCAGGGGCCATGAACGGTGGGGTCCAGAGCCCGAAAAATTCAACCCCTATCGGTGGATAGAGGGCAAGGTTGCCGTGAATCAAAATATGGCGATGAGCCCGTATGCGCATTTGTGAATTACGGGTGACAGCTTGGTCAAATTGATTGTGAACTGAATCTGTTTGACAGGCTTTCCTTCTCCAACGGGCCACATGTGTGTCTTGGGTGAGTTCCAACGCATCCTGGAGCCCTCGGCATTCCACTAATATGGACGTTTTTTTTAACTCCAGCTGGCGTTTTGCGTGGGTTTTCCTGGGGCATTCTTTTCAAGGTTGTCCGTTCAATTTCTCTCTCCAGGATTTTCGAGATGCAGGTCATCCTCGCTGAGTTGATCTCAAACTTCGTCTTCGATCTGCCCGGTGACCCAGCCTTGGAAATGCACTCAAGATTTGCAAATGCTCTGATGCCTTGCGATGCAACTGGAGATAGATGTGCTTGGCTTTCTGTAAAGCATGTGCAGGGAGACACCTAGAATGCAATGCAGACACGGATCAGTAGAGCCTCCCTCTAGTGTATTAGTTCATTACTTACCTTCAAAGCATAGTATGGTTCATGGGGTGTAATGCATTTTTTCAAGTCTGAACTTGCCTTGTTATTTACGGTTGGGCTTGGGCTCAGGATTTTTCCAATCCCCAAATCCAAATAAAAACCAAGCAAAACTTGAAGCTCCCTCTTTGCAAACCTGTCATGAGGTCACCCAAGACACTCCTCATCCAGTGTAGTGGCATACTCTCCACGCATACACTCAAGGTCTCCGGTACAAATTCCGAAACATTCACTATCATCTCTTTGGATTCACAAGAGCCCAGTTGCATTGATCTTCTGAACATTTCACATCAAATGATGGGGAGAGGTCGGACGGAAACAGTAAGACTTAAAATGTATACATACACAGAAATAGACCTCGGGAAGTACTCGAGCTATTTCCCACTCCGCGTGGGGACCCCTAATATGAATCGTCCTTCAGCATGTCAGCTCTGAGGGCGAGCTGTTGGAATCGACTGAACGGTGGCGGCTTGCATGCCAAAGACGACAAGTACCCGAGTGCGAATCATGCCATACATACGATTGCACCGCAACGAGCGGTAGACCCAGGGAAGACCTGGCGTAGGGGGACGTGCTCATGAATGACGCTGCTTGCAGGTGCCGCGGGATGTCATGTGCATTGCGCGATAAGGAAGAAGAGCGAGCAGGCGGCGGCCGTAGGGGCTGTCAATTCGAGGGAATGACTGAACGCTACTGAATGACTTATTCTCACAGTTCCCGGTGCTCCATCAAGACGTGTGGAGTGCCGAGAGACAACGGACTCGCCGCATTTCGTGCTGGCTCGCGCTGTGACTGGGGCCCCCGCTGCGTGGTGGCGGTCATCACGCAAGCGGGGCTTGCTCTCATCGTCATCCCGGCCGGGAAACTTTGATCCGGATCGCCGCCAGTCGCGTGGTTTGACACCACCCTGGCCGCCGATCATTGCTGCTGTCAGTGCTGTGCAGTGCGTTGATCCACTAGCACATACAGCTTGGCTCCTGATTCTCCCGTGGGCGGGCGACGGTTATTTATGGCGACACGTTGTGGCACCTTCGACTCTCCGGATCTGCCACGGGTCCCTTGGGAGCGCCGCGGAAATCGTGAGAGTGAGAAGAAGAGGAGGCCCGGCGTGGGTACAAAGACCGGGGCAGCTGGCGTATGCAGAGTTTCTCGAGCCTACTATGAGTCTCTACAACCTGACGCTCGTCGCAGCAGGGCTTGTTGCCCTGGGAGTGTATCTCACCAGCTCGGTCGCAAGGAGGCGAATGCGGGATGTCGATGGACTGCCTCGTCCACCGCGAGAGTCTTGGCTGTTCGGTCAGTCCAAGCATGGCACTCCTACACAACGAGTCTCTGAAATCCACTGTTCCTCATTCAAGGAAATCTTCCGCAGCTTTTCCTTCCGCAAAACTACGGTGACCATGAATTCGGGTGGCAGGCGGAATACGGCGACGTGTATGTGATACACGGTGTTCTAGGCGTACGTTGTCGGTCGAACGGGGATGCGTTTTCTGACGGCCCCCCAGCAATCTCGTATGATGGTCTCGGACCCCGCTGCCCTGAACCATCTGCTTCGAAACGACGACGTCCATCTCGCCCCGATGATGCTCGCGCTCGGGCGTTCCTTGTTCGGTCGAGACAATGCGATGGCGCTCCGAGGTCAGCCACTTCAAGGTGTCGCCGACTTGGATCTCACTGAGCTTTGTCCCAGATGCATCGCATAGGAAGCTGCGCGCGGCTCTCAATCTCGGCTTTGCCCCCGCTGTCGTGAAAGGATACCTGGAAACCTTCGAGTCCGTCGCTCGTGGCGTACGCATAAACCACGTCCCCGTCTTGCTCTGAAGCTAAACCCCGGTCCGTACAACCCAGATCACCACCGCACTCGACTTGGGCGACGGCCAGGAGGGGTCCGTCGTAGACATCTCGGAGCCGCTCTCCACGGCAACGCTGTCCGCGATTTCTCAAGGTCCGCGCGCGTGAGCGGATAAGATCGAGTGCTCACGCTACGTGCTTCAGTCATTCTGGGTCTTTCCGTCGAAGCGCTGGGCGCAGAGCTGATACAGGCGAACATTTCAATCCTGTTGAGTGCCTTTCTAGCCCACGCACACTGATTGCTTCAATTCGCTCCCCCAGCGCAGAGGCGGATCGCTTCGGACGGGCGCAATTCGTCGCCGAGGCAATGGCGCCCTACCTGCCGGCTCCATTCCTCGATTGGATGTTTGGTCTTCCGCTGCCGATGTTCGCTGCAATCCGGCGCGCGTATGAGCTTGCCAGAAAGATCGAAGACCAAGCTATCCAAGACCTTGCACAATCAGAGGACTCGAATGAGCGGAGCTTTGAGCACTTGTATGCGAAGATCTGTGAGCTCGTAGCTCGTGGTATCTGAAAGGGATGTCTCGCTGACAGAACCTCGCACAGTGGCGCAGAACTCGAAGAGGGCACTCTCACCTGATGAGCTCGCTATGCAGACGAATCTGGTCCTCATCGCGGGTCAAGACACGACGGTTCGTGTCCAGCTCGAAATGTAACCCTGTCGCATCATCAGCTCAACGCAAATCAGGCAAACACGCTCGCATTCGCGCTCACAGAACTAGCGCGACAACCGGCGCTGCAGGACGCCCTGCGTGGCGAGATCCGCAAGGCGCGGTTGGAGCCTGCCACCGATTACGACTCCCTGCCACTGCTCAACGCAGTCATCAAGGTCAGTCACTCGCTGTTCGAGGTCAATCTGCTTAGGGGGAGCGTCTTCGCAGGAGGCCCTCCGGCTGCTCCCGGCCGAGCCCATCGGCGACAAGATCGCACACGTCGACCTGACCTTGCCGCTGAGCCGCCCGGTGACGCTTTCCGACGGGCGAGTCGTGGACCAGCTGTTTGTGCCCAAGGGCCAGCTCGTGGGATTGGCGTTCGCCGGGTACCAACGGTATGTCACTTCTCATTGCTGTGCGTCAGCGCTGATTTCTGCCCACCCCAGCGGTGGGACGCGCTGGGGCCCGGAACCTGAGGCGTTCAATCCCTACCGGTGGATCGAGGGAAAGGTCGGAGTCAGCGAGCCGATGGCAACAAGCCCGTATGCGCATCTGTAAGATCCTCCCTGAACACGGTCGGGCACACAGTTCATTCTCGCCCGACAGACTAGCGTTTTCGAACGGTCCGCACGTGTGTCTTGGGTAAGCGGAAACTTTTATTCCCCGCTCCCCTCGATCTGGCACTGATCGTGTTGGGACTACTTACAGGTGGCGATTTGCGTGAGCGCTATTGCCTTCGTCTCACCACGGTACTGAATCCAGCTCTTCACTGCCGCAGCATCCTCGAGATGCAGGTCATCCTCGCCGAGCTGGTCCCGAAGTTCGTGTTCAAGATCCCGGACGACCCGGCTTTGGCGATGCGCTTCAGGTTCGCCAACACGCTGATGCCGTGCAATGACAAAGGAGAGAAGCGTGCCTGGCTTGCTGTGGAGCGGGTACAGGACCTGTGAAATTGTCAACAAGACTGTACAGCTATCATATACACGAGTATTCTGCATGTTAGATGGGAACTGATCATATGACATGCCTACGATGTGTGCCTTTGGATGTCTGATCCGAAAATCGCCGTTTCGGTCACGTCCCTCTACGTTTTTGTTAGCAAGTCGTCAGGATGAACCCCATCATCGTCCGAATTCGGATGCACGCGAACCCATGGAGCCATCTTTCAGACCGATTCCGTCTGCATCAGTTTGCCTCCAAAAATCCACTCTCTCAGAGTACATGCCATCAGCAATTTATGCGGAAACGCCTGTGAACAGCGCGAAATCGTATTTGATAGGCTTCAAGCTGAAACTCAAGCCTGTTAGAATCAAGGTATGCAATACTTGGCTTCGCCAGCGATAGCCCTGTCGCTTCTTCGGGTGCAGCGGGCCATCCAACCCTGGATGATCATGATTCATGAACGGCTCGCATTTGGTCCTTCGAGAATCTGACGCCTCGCACTGACGAGAAGATAGATGCGCATTGGGCCGACCTTTCGCCAGGTCCCATAAGGTTCCAGGTGTGCTCCAACCCTTCTCCACATTCCTCTGGAGCCCCCAAAGATGCCGCTACACGAAGATCCCGACCTGAATAGCCTCTCTGCTGGATCGTCAAATGGCCTTGGCAGCGGCAAAGACGGAACAAAGAGGAATCTACGGGTGAGCCGTGCACCTAGCATCATCTCGCGCGCTGAGTCCTCACGACTGCAGCCTCGACATATACAACTGATTTCCATGGGCGGGGCGATCGGCACAGTCATGTTTGTGCAGATTGGTTCTGCGCTGGCGATCGGTGGACCAGGGAGCCTGTTCGTGGCGTTTCTACTGTGGTCGACAGTCGTACTGGCGGTCAACAACTGCCTGGGTGCGTCGTGGCTTCATAATCCGAACACCCTCTCCGATCATGCTGACTAGCCCTCCAGCGGAGATGGTTTGTTGGATCCCGATCTCTTCACCCTTCGTATGCGTGACTCCGCCCAGGCTACTTTCTCTTCTGAAACTATGCCACCAGGTTAGATTCGCAGATCGCTTCGTCGATGAAGCTCTCGGCGTCGTGAGCGGGCTGAATCTCTTCATCTACATCGCCATCGGAATTCCATTCGAGATGGCGGCGACGAATCTGATGCTCCAATTCTGGACGGACAAGATTCCAGTGCTCGCTGTTGTGGTGGCTATGATTATAGCCTACACGTACGATGATTCTTCTCCACAGCGGACCGCGCGGAAACTGACTTGCATCATCAGGGCCTTCAACGTGTTTGCCGTGCGGCTGTATGGTGGTAGGATTCTTCCCACATAGCAGAAGGCTTGGCGGCTCAGGGATGCCTTCAGAGGTGGAGTTTTGGCTGGCGATTGGAAAGATTGTCTTGGCCGTGGGACTTTTCCTGTTCACACTGGTGGTGGCCCTGGGTGGCAATCCCGAACACGATCGATTTGGATTCAGAAATTGGGATAGTGAGTTTAAGCAAACCTGTCGATCTCATTCTGGTCTCATTTTCGAACAGGCTCCAAAGTCCCGGTACGACCGATCTCGCCCGCCATTCTCACCCGATGACTTACCAGATCCAGGGTGCTCCTTTTGCTGCGTATGCGTTTCCGGGTGCGAGTGGTCGTTTCACCGGTTTCCTGAGCTGTCTTGTGCAAGCGGCATTTACTATGTCCGGTACGTACGAAGGGAGTGTTCTGCCCCCTGAGGAAGCTGAACTGCAGAGCCAGGTCCCGAGTACATCGCAATGACCGCCGGAGAAGCTGCGCAACCCCGTCGCACGATGCATCGAAGTTTCTCCTCCATCACATTCCGCCTGGTCATGTTCAATGTTCTCGGTGCCCTGTCTGTCGGGGTGCTTGTTCCACACTCCGACCCTGCCCTGCTTGGAGCCTCCGAGCATGTCAAACGGGGTTCGGGAACGTCGCCGTACGTCATCGCGATGACGCGCCTGCGAATCCCCTTTCTACCCCATGTAGTCAATGCGCTGGTGATGTTGTCCATATTTTCTGCAGGGAACAGCTACGTGTATACTGCCAGCAGAACGCTGTATGGGATGGCGTTGGAAGGACAGATGCCCCGCGTCTTTTCTCGCTGCAGCAAGAGAGGTGTCCCGATATATGCAGTTGGGGCCTCGATGTTATTCTCCTCGATGGCATTTCTCCAGCTGAATAAAGCAAGCGCTGTCATCCTGCAATGGTGCGGAGCCTCGATTCTTCGTCTCATTCAATTACTGAGAATCTGGTTCGTTCAACCAGGATCACTCTTGTCGCCACTGTTGGCCTGATGGTTGACAATGCAATAATCTCGCTCACATACCTGCGATTCAGAGCCGTGCGTTTTTATAGAACATCATTACGTGGCTCGAATTATATCACAGGCCCTCGCCGATCAAAACATCCCTCGTTCGTCTCTGCCGTGGTTCGGCCGACTGCAACCATTCTGCGGGTTCGGATCGGCGTCTTTCTATCAGCGAGCACAACTCACGCTTTTCAATTAGTTATTACGCCCTGATTGCATGCACAACGATGATATTTCTCTCGGGATACGCCGTCTTCCTTCCCGGTCACTGGAGTCTCACCACCTTTATTTTCTCTTATGTTTTGATTTTGATACTGCCTCTGGTATTTGTAACGTGGAAAGTGGCGAAACGAACCAAGGCTCGTGTTCTATCATGTCTACTGGATGATTTATCTAATCTGTTTGCAATCCAGCTCCGCAAGGTGTGCGAGATCGATTTGTTCGAACGGGAGAGGGCAAGTGTGGATGATCGGGATTGTATGTAATTATTCAACAAATACGGAATCTACCATTCAACGAATACGTATTTAATTTCGCATGCCTATGCTGCCCAGGGGGACATCTACGGTCGATTTTCGGATGCTGTGTCCCAACTAGAAAGCGTCGGCTCCGCCGACATTCTGCCTTGCTATTTGATATCAAAATTGATTATAATTTTTTCTTTGATACGGGCAACTACGATGGGTCGAACTCGAAACCGACAGGAAGAGCACGGAGAGGAACGGAACAGCGGGGGAAGCCGGGTCCGACGAAATCGAGCCAATTATGAGGGTGGAGAAGCCTTAACAAGCAAGGCAATCAGTCGTTGTACATAGCTTATTACAAAGCCCGGCTGCTTCAAGCAGGGGGCAGCATATTCTGGAGGAAGTATTTTTCACATGAGCCATCCAATTTCTGTTTCCGATTTATAGGTTTCTGCTGAGTTTGATGACAATTCCTGCAGTACATCTCCCACCGCCGCCCGAAGCAAAATGCTTGCGTGGCTCTTGACATCAGTGATTCTATCTTTGCCAGTGTCACATCATCACTCATCAATTTTTGCTATCAAACATCAAATTCGATATCACAGCCACGACTTCTCCTCCTTGTCTACGTAATGTATGCAAGCAAGTTACTCACTTGCATGTGTTCCAACGCTTCCTTCCAATCTCCAAAAATCATTCTCAGTGGACGATCAATCTACTGTTGGAGTGCACCGCGAGGATCAACTCGGGCATCCCCCAGATACACTGGCAGAAACCTGGAGGAAGCGATTTCCAGTCTTGTTTTGGAATCGGATCACACGCATGGGCCAGATAAGGACCATTACGTCAACGAAGTTCAATGACAATTGACCAGCCCGCACACCGAATCAAGCGGGAGGCCCGGCAGAAATCCCTGTCACAGTCCGTCATCATATTTGATTGGGCTTCACACTCAAGCTCAAGTCCGTTGCTATCAAGCCCTCGGAATCAAGGAGCGATACTTACTTCCCTTCGCTCAAAATAACACCTGTGACTATTTTGGGCACCGTGGGCCGCCCTACCGTAGAAAATGATAGACAGCTCGAATCTGGTCCTTCGAGAACGCACGAGCGAGAAGATGCACATTGCGCCGACCTTCCTCCGGATCCCCGAAGCTTCCTGGCGTGCTCCAGCCCTTTCCTCTATTCCACCTCACCCCCGGCGATGTCGCTATACAAAGAGTCAGAGTCGAACGGGCACACGAGTCCCTCTCCTGAATCGCCGGATGGACTGAGTAGGGGCAACGATGGAACGAAGCGGAATCTGCGGGTGAGCCGTGCATTCAGTCGCCTCTCGAGCGCCGGGTCTCTTACGACACGAGTGAAGCCCCGACATATACAACTCATCTCCATGGGCGGGGCGGTCGGCACGATCATGTTTGTGCAGATCGGGTCCGCGTTATCGATCGGCGGACCCGGGAGCCTCTTCGTAGCGTTTCTGCTCTGGTCGACGGTCCTGCTGGCGGTCAACACCTGCCTCGGTATGTCGCGGCTCATCTCTCGTCACGATCGGAACCGCGTCCTCGAAATCACGCTAACTGGCTCTGCAGCGGAGATGGTCTGCTGGCTCCCGATCTCCTCCCCGTTCGTGCGTGTCTCTATAAACTTTCCCCGCTCTCTGCAGTGACCGTCCCGCCCAGGTCGGTTTCGCCGACCGTTTCGTCGACGAGGCCCTCGGCGTCGTGAGCGGGCTGAACTTCTTCATCTATATTGCTATCGGCATTCCTTTCGAGATGACGGCTGCGAACCTCATGCTTCAGTTCTGGACAGACAGAATCCCAGTGGCCGCTGTCATAGTGTTTATGATTGTCGCATATGCGTACGACGCTCCCTCTCTCGAAACCAAACCAGACCTCGCAGAAGCTGACTTGGGTCTTCAGGGCCTTCAACGTATTCGCTGTGCGGCTTTATGGCGGTAGGAGCATTCCATGCATGGCAGAAGGCTGTGCAGCTCAGGGTTACACACTCAGAGGTGGAGTTTTGGCTGGCGATTGGGAAGATCGTCCTGGCTGTGGGACTTTTGCTGTTCACGCTGGTGGTCGCTCTAGGGGGCAATCCTCAACACGATCGATTTGGATTCAGAAATTGGGATAGTGAGTTTTAGCAAAACCTTTTGATCTCGTTCTGGTCCCAATCACAAACAGGCTCGAAAGTCTCGGTATAACGAATCCATTCAGCACTCTCTACTGTTTAGTGACCATTTTCAGGGCGCGCCATTTGTCCCGTACGTGTTTCCTGGCGCTACCGGTCGCTTCATCGGGTTTCTGAGCTGTCTTGTGGAAGCTGCGTTTACCATGCAGGGTACGTATGAAGGCGGAGTCCTTGGCCCCTAGATAAAAGAGACTCAAGTTCGGAGCCAGGACCCGAGTACATCGCAATGACCGCAGGCGAAGCCGCGCAACCCCGTCGCACGATGTATCGCAGCTTCTCCTCCATCACATTCCGCCTGGTCGTCTTCTTCGTTTTCGGCACACTGTCCGTCGGGGTCCTCGTTCCGCACTCCGACCCTGCCCTACTCGGCGCCTCCGGACACGTCAAACGGGGTTCGGGTACGTCGCCATACGTCATCGCAATGACGCGCCTGCGCATTCCCGTTTTGCCGCATGTGGTGAACGCGCTCGTTCTGCTGTCCATATTCTCCGCAGGGAACAGCTACGTATATACGGCAAGTAGAACGCTGTATGGGATGGCGCTGGAAGGACAGGTACCCCGTGTTTTCGCCCGCTGCAGCAAGAGAGGTGTCCCGATATATGCGGTGGGGGCTTCGATGTTGTTTTCTTCGCTGGCGTTCCTGCAGCTGAATAGAGAAAGCGCTGTCATCTTGCAGTGGTCTGGTGGTTTGATCCACGCATCTTACTCAAGTACTGAGCTATGTTTAATCAGGATCTCTCTCATTGCCACCGTTGGCCTGATGATCAACTATGCCCTAATCTCGCTCACATATCTGCGTTTCAGAGCCGTACGTCTCTCTGGCACATATATAACTCCCTTATCTGAAATTTACCACAGGCCCTCGCTGAACAAAATGTGCCTCGCTCAACTCTGCCGTGGGTCGGTCGACTGCAGCCATTCTGCGGGTTCGCCTCAGCTTCTTTCTGTCAAAAAACGAAACTCACACTTTCCGATCAGCTATTATGCCCTCATTACATGCACAACAATGATATTCCTCTCTGGATACGCCGTCTTCCTCCCCGGTCACTGGAGCGTCACCACATTCGTTTTTTCTTACGTCTTGATTTTGATCTTGCCTTTGGTCTTTCTTACGTGGAAATTTACTAAACGGACCAAGGCTTGTGTTTCTTCGAGTCTTCCATCTCGTTTGTCTGACTGACGTGCAATACAGTTGCGAAAGGTGTCCGAGATCGATTTATTCAAACGCGAGAGAGGGACCATGGATGATCGGGATTGCATATAATCATGCGACAAATGTATAATTGTTTCTACTTTTCTATGCTATTAGCCAGTAGGGACGATCGCTGTCCGAGTACAACGAGTGATTTCTCGGATCATGCGTTCGAATCAAGTGCCAATAGGAAACCCGCGACAACGCGAATCTGGAGAACTGCCGTTGTGAGAGATGCTCACGGCAAATTTCATGTGTTTAATCTGAAGTAGGAGATATTTCCCCAAAGAGAATAGGCTTTTCTGTCCGTGCGTACAACAGGTGGCGGATCCATCAGATTAGATGCTATCGATAACATCACGAGTCCCATCCTATCTTATCACAATCGTTGAACGTCCTCGGTCACATCGCGGCCTTCACACCTCGCGCCGACCTCTTTTCGCACTGTAAACTCGAAAGGCCTAGTTATGTCGCAGATTCAGAGTGGAATCAGTCCCCGATCAGACTCTCTTGATCGTCAAGAGGCTCTCGATTTCTCGAACATCCTTTACCCCAGGTTCTGCATTGCAATACCCTCGGTGCATAATTGTCGCAGTGTGTTTTCATGTATCTTGTTCGCCGACGGGGGCACGATTCTCCACGCCCGTGGGCTCTCATTGACACCCAACTTACAAGTCTAATCCATGGCGCACATTGATCCGACGCTCAAGTCAGCCGAGCCATGGGCGAGAAATAATTCAGTAGTTTTTCAGCGCTCTGAACTGATACAATTGGATTTGCTCTGAATATGTAGCATCTCCAACACCACTCTTGTTCCAGCTCTCGGACTCTTCCCTAGGCTGTGGCTCCAAACATTGCCCGTTCAAACCCGTCCACCGCGGCCCCAGCGCACGTTCGACGTCCGGTCCTGATCGGGCCGCCAGCCGATACCCCAGAACATCAGTGCCATCCATATCTAGACGCTGGCATTTCGAACGTGCCCAGCGGCCTGGCTGCGCCAGTTAATACTTAATCATCCCAGACGCGACTCTCTTTCCGTCCCTCCTTCCAAAGGCACCACACCACGCGGGCCCGCCGCCGCCATGTCCTCAACGACGACCGCCGTCACATCCTCCTTCTTGATGAAGATGGCCCAGCTCGCGGACACTGATTGGGACCACATGCGCGAGGGGTCTATCTTCCTGCCGACCTTCGTCTTCCTCTGCGCCGCGTATCTCCTCCTGGGGGCTAGGTTTCCGGTACCGAAGCAGAGCGCCTGGGTGCTCAGCGCCATTGCCAGCGGATGCATGACGGTGGCGTCGCTCCCCTTTGTATGGGACTACTTCATGCGCGGGGATGGAGGAGTGGGCCAAGTGCGTGATAGAGGAGTGTATGGGGTTGCCGTGAACCGGTTCTTCCAGGTGCGTGTATGCGCTGTGAGCGTAGCGTCTCCCCCTCACCTCGGGACACTAGGGTTACCTATGCGCCGACTTGCTCATGGGGGCCATATACTACCGCACCCAAGTGAACCTTCTCACGGGCTGGATCCACCATATCGTTTACGTCGGAATCTGTGAACTCGCAGTGCGGAGGGAGTGGACACACGTTTTTGGGCTGGCCGCGTGCATGGAGGTGGGTGCGGTGCTTCTTTTGTTCTAAACCCTCTCTGCCGCCATCCTCCCGGCTTGATGCTGACCGGATCTCTCTCACAGTTCCCCACCTTCCTCCTTGGGGCCGCCACGCTCGACCCGCGCTTGCGGTCCAACGTCGCGTTCGCCGCCGCGTTCTTCATAACCCGCATCTTCTTCCACCTGTGCCTCATCGTGTCCTACGTGCTGCCCCACAACCGCCCCTCCGGCAGCCTCGTCCCGTGCGGCATCCTGATCGCCGTCTTCCCCATGCACGCGATGTGGTTCCACGGCTGCATCCAGGGATTCATCCGACGCGCTAAGCAGGTCGCGGGCAAGGCAGGCACACCACCATCCACGCATCCACTGTCGCCCGACATTCACACCGACGCCCGCGCCTTGGCCCGCCACGCCGCCCCGATGGGCAGCGTGCGCCCCGTCTGGGACGTTACCCTCCGCCTTCGCCGCTTGCGGTCGCGCTTCATCGCCGGCGGCGCGTCGCATGGCGAATGGATCGAGGGTGTGCGAAACGGAAGCTGGGTCGACGGCGTGCGGGACCGTGTCGTCGAGCGCGCGGTGCGCATGCGCTCGCGGCTGCATGCGGCGACTGCGACTGGGGAGCGACGCCCGATTCGGCCCCGTGCGCTCGCGATGGGCCGGCGGATGAGTGCTGGCTTGATTGCCGTGCTGCCGTCACTACCCACGAAGGAGTTCGTCCTTGATTATGTTGGGCTGAGTCGCCCGTAGACGCTGAGTACCCGTAGACTCCGTGCCGACAGCACTAATACACATCGCTGATGCCAGGCGCTTTATGATTCACGATCTCCTCCATGCCATTTTGTTGTTGTAACGGTAGTCCATGCATTTGTTGTTTGTAGTTTCAATGGGTAGACGGTGTGTACGTGTATGATCATCAGTTGTTTGATAGTCACAATTCCTCGAAGGATCAGAAGTGCCTGTGGGATGTCACATGTGCTGCCTCGACAAGATGCTGTTGTGCTCTAGGTAGAACAGTTCGGTACAAAAAGAAATTCCCATAAATATTTACCCAGAATCTACAGAATTTACGTGCTGTTATGATGGCACTTTTCGATTCTAGCTTATTGACAAAAGTCAGATTAAAATCTCGAACAATAAGCGTGATAGTCGAAATTTCCCGTACCTATGCATCTGACCAGCTTTTTCACCTGATTTTTCCTTTACTAGAAAGTTCTTGCCTGTTCTCGCCTCGACCCCAAACCACTCATGGTTCTTGGGACCCGGATCTTACTACTGAAAAGAAGCAGATAACAGTCCGTGATCTGCACACAAGCCACCTCCCAGTGCTACTCGGTGATTCCATCGACCCCTCGCACTTCTTGAGCACGCTCTCTCCATCGATTCGCGAACATGAAACGCCTGAAGCATCCGGGGACAAAAGAAGCACCTGATCACCCTACAATGAGGAGTCACGCACCAACACTATTAATAGCGCCGACCGTCCCGGGAAAACTGTGGAGAGCTGATTAAGTGCCCACTCTGAATCCACATGACTTGGAAATGCTCGCCTGCGGTAGAACCCCGGCTCATACGCGAAAGGCAGCCCCCTGTGGCCAGACCTGAATTCTTGTTCAAGAAGGTTCGGTCAAGATCCCGCATTCTCGTCTCGGACGCGCGTATCTACCCTACGTAAGAACTCGTTTTTTTAAGCTCTGGCAGCATGTGTACATGCAGGATTGCGGCTACATGCTTTCCCGGGCGATATGCGACTCCAGCTTGCATTTTGTTTCCAGGACAGTAATTCCAATCCGGTCGAGAGGGTCGATCGGAGTTTCAATCGCCGTAGCCAAAGCAGTGAATCCCCCGTCGCGAACGTTTGCTGACATGCTTGAACGTGAGCGCTGGAGAAACACAGCAATCATGACGGATTAATGATGTCATGTGTCCTAAGTACCAACTGACATTATGCAAGAGAAAAGGGGATTATGGATTCCAAGGAGGAGACGCGAGGGGACCTGATTCCACCGAATCCGAGTGAAGCCCGGCCACATTCCGGGGAAATCATGCTGCATCCCAGTCTGATCCCAGTGTCGAGGTGCGAGGCCTGGATCTTTGTTGAACACAGAACGATATTGTGCCAAGTATTCAGATCAAATCGGCCAAGAATTTACCCACATAGCGGTTAACCTTTTGGCGCATGAGCCGGGGTCCTCAGTTGGTACTTAGGTCACCCGATGCACGAGGAGAACAGTGCCGAGGCCCACGTTCGGGATCGAGGTTCGCCAGTCTGAAAGTCCATCTTCGACCTCGCTTGACCCAACGCCGCAGGTCCCCGCCGTGCTTCTTCAATTACCTCGGGACCTACTACCCTTTTGTGCTGACCGCTCTAGGCTGAAGTAAACAACTGGCGAGATCACGCTGCTCGCGATCATGAGATGCTTTCCCGCATACTTCCAGACGAGACGTCGAACGGTTTTGCCGCGAGGGCGCATTCGGCGTCAATAGACCGACAGCCTCTCAACTCCCGTGTAGTTCAGCAATCTGTCTGTCTCCGCGACCCAAGCACAAGCAATTCATACAGATAGACTGATCTTGTAATCTTTTGCCCGAAGATCAAAGAAGCGTTTTTGGCGTGTGCTTAGCAACCGGCTCGAGTCTCATGACAACAGAGATATCTCAGGATCGGCAAGCCTGGACTTCCAACAGGCGAGGTAAGTATCTCATCGGTGGGTGAATCGGCGCTCATCATTTGAGAGGGGGGACTCTAGAGTTGTGGAGCAGAGCTGGGGGGGAGAGGCAAGGCAGTTTACTCCAATAGTTGAGGGGTTTCCCAAGTAGGACTTGGATCACGAACCAGGGCTAATCAGGGCGGAGATCGTAATCATATCTGATTGTTTGGATCACCTGCCCTTGGCGTCCGGAGCTATCCGGACTCGAGCATTCCACGTGCGGCCTTGCTGGGTGAAATCTACGAATGACATACTACGAATCGCGAATATCCAACAGCTCGGACCCAGTCCACAGGTGACCACATGGGTGCGCGGCTCGCGTCGACGACGAATCGCTCCTCGCTGCCGGCCCGGGGGGTGCAGCGATAGTCGATATAAAATGGCTACCGCGACTGCGATTATCTCAGTTCTCTCGTCGCTCTCAGTCCAATGCCTTCCATCACCACTTTCCTTCAACTCTCTGCCCTCGTCGGCGTTGCGCTTGCTCTCCCAGGCAACCTGACGCTCGTCGAGAACGACAAGCGCGCGTCCTGCACGGTCAACAGCGTCGCCAGCGCTGCTAACTTGGGCAGCTGCACCAGCGTCGTCATCCAGGGCTTCACTGTCCCTGCTGGCAACACAATCACCATCGCTGTGTGTCGCGCCCTGAATTCCCTCGCGATTCAATCATCTGACGAGCGCTGCAGGCCGCCAAGGGCGCGACCGTGACCATGACCGGCGATGTCATCTTCGCGAAGACCTCGAGTACGCCGTTTCGACTCTCGGGCACGACAAATACTGATCCCCCGCTCAGCTGCCGGCCCTCTCTTCACCTTCAACACCCCCGGCATCAACTTCAATGGTGGAGGTCACAAGATCAACGTAGGTCTTGGCCTTGCGCCTCAGGGGCCACTGTTGCATAGCTAAACTCTGATTTTAGGGGAACGGTGCCTCTTACTGGGATGGCCAGGGCACCAACGGTGGCTCATTCAAGCCCCACCCCTTCATCAAGTACGTGCACGGTTGATCCGATCCTGCTAAATCTCTAAACACTGCTCGATAGAGTCAAGGGCTACGGAACGATCCAGCAGTTCACTGTCCTCAACTCGCCGGCGCAGGCGATCTCTGTCGGAACCAGCGGTGGCACAACCACTATCTCGCATGTCACCGTCGACAACTGTGAGCAGCATACATGCTTGCTTATGCTCTCCCGCCTGCTGACTTTGGCCCCTCAGCGCTTGGCGACTCCAAGGGCGGCCACAACACCGACGCCTTCGATGTCAGCGCTGACGACGTCACGATCGCATCGTGCACCGTCATGAACCAGGACGACTGCCTCGCCCTCAACTCCGGAAACAACGTCGTCTTCCAAGACAACTCCTGCGCCAACGGCCACGGAATCTCTATCGGCTCGATCGCCACTGGCAAGAGCGTCACCAACTTCAAGGCGCTGCGCAACACCGTCACCAACAGCTTGTACGGCATCCGCATCAAGGTCCAGGCGTCCGCCACTGGCGCCAAGGTCGCCGGTGCCCTCTACGACGGGTGAGTTGCACCGTCCCCTGCCCGCTCCAATGTCATCTGAGCCCCTCCCCCTCAGAAACAAGCTGTCTGGCATCACCTCTTACGGCGTCCTGATCACCCAGAGCTACCCCGCCAACAACGGCAAGCCCGGAACCGGAGGACCCATCACCGGCGTCCAGTTCAGCGGCGGTAAGACCACCGTCGCCGGCACCAGCAACGCTTACGGCCTCGTGATCGACTGCGGCGCCTGCACCGGCACCTGGGACTTCTCCGGTCTCGACATCACCTCCGCTGGCAAGGGCCACGTCCTCACCCTGGACAAGGCTAAGGTGAGTTGCATCTGGTCCTCATGCGCATTGCACTGTAACTGATGAGCATCGGGAAGCTTTCCGGAGGCGTGTACTAAGTCTCTCATTCTCTCAGTCAAAACTACTTACCTTACTTGTATATGAAACACGGAAATCTATTGATCTGCTTCTCATGGCAGAGCCCAACTCTGAATATTGAATGCTGGCCGAAGCCTGAGTGCGATTAGACTATCTCAGTCTATCTAACATGACTGGTCCTGCGGGAGCACCAGGTGGCTATGCGTAAGTCCCCCAACCGATCGACAGAGGGGTTAGATCATCCAGCAACGGACGATCGATCGCGTTCTCGATGCTTCTTACGTGCGAGGACAGCTGAGAGATCGGCTCACCGCAGTCCTGACTCCTGAGATCCAAGCACACTCTGACCAATCGGAAGGAATGTGAGTGCCGGCGCGACAGATTGACGAGCCCCGTTTGGGATACAGCTCCTGGAGTATCGAGCCTGATGGTAGACACATGCATCGGAAAGTTCAGTGCAGAGATTAACGACATCGGAATGCCTCGAGCTCGACCAGTCCCTGAATCGTCTCAGGGCTGCTGTCCCAAGTTCGCAGTACCGCTACATCAGTCACAGCCATGCAGTGTTAAAGTTGGTCCTTGTACGATGAGCCAGCACCGCAAACAGCAGTGCGTTCTCCTGCGCGGGGTTCTCTATCGTGACGAGCTCAAACGAAGTCCAATCCATGCCCAACTCCTGGTTGGCATCCGCCTGAAGGCGCTTCACGTCGTCCCAGGGAAGGCGTAAGACGTAGCGGTACCCAGCATGCAGGATCAGCATCGGTGAGACGAGCACCGCCCACGAGAGGCGCCAAAAAGCAGCAAAGACGTGCCAAGCGAGCAATGCGAGGGCCAGCAGAAGAAGCTCTAAGCACAGCGGGCACGCGAAGGGAGTATCCCAGATATGAACTAGCCGAGGGGAGGCGGATGAAGGGCAGGTGCCCTGGTCGGAACCCAGATCCCACCCGGTGCGACGATGCGGAGACTGCACCATCTTCGCAGAGGATGATTGATAAAGATCCAGGGTTAAGGTGGTTTGCCTTTGCGACGACGAGATCCAAGATCTGCTGGCCTGCGCGCCCATTACGCTCTTTTCTGTCGGGTTCATAGGCGTGAGTTGCGGATGAAGATGAGGCGGAGGATAGGATGGGGCAGGTGATTGAAGAGTGCGGTGAGCTTGGCTATGAGGATAGTGTCCAGTCTCGCTTGCGGCGAGTGGGTAAAGCTTGGATACGAGATATGTGCGAATCACGACGCTAGAATGTTTGGATGAAGCCCCCCTGACGCGGCCTTCGAGAGCCCCATTGCCAGTGAGCTTTGAGATGACGATGCCAGCGCGCTGTCGACACAACAAAGGAGCGTCCAGCGCGACAGGCCGCGCGACCTGCCGAATGTCGGTCGTGCCGAGCAGGCAGAGGATGTTGTGGATGAGTGTGGGTGGAGGAGAGATCTTGGAGGGGACCTTCGAAGTGAAGTGACAGTGAGTGGGTTATGGTGGGGGACACGGAAATACACTTCGATTGCACCTGTTAGCGCCAAAGGACTTCAATTGATGCATACTTTCAGGCGCCTTCCTTGGCTTCCGCACACATGACAGCATAGTTTCAGTCTACCCGTGGCAATGTGTGAAGCTGCCATCCTCCCCTGCGAAGTCCTGGAGAGCCCGGAGAGTTGTGTCAGGATGGGCGTGGGCCGACCGGCGGCCAAAGGTCAAACGCGACAGCAGAATATTCAAATCTCTGCTGGACGTGGAATCGAACGACCTCAAGGCTCGGAGCAAGCACAGGAAGACTGCGATAGTTGCATATCTCGAAGCTGATCGATGTGACAAGTGCTGTGCCATGTTGTCACGATGCACGGACACGGACATGGTAATCTCGCGTTGTCAGCGTCATGCTTGACACGCTCACGTGCGAACGACGTGCTGAGTTGGAGATATCTGATTACTTCAGGGCCAAATCCTTGCGAGCAGATCAGAGATTCCTGGACACGCCCAAACACGCCATTTTCCTCCTGCCTTGGGGTTCTCTGCAATCTAATTACTGTAGAAACGTGACGACTGTGAACGTTGCACATAATCTCAGGGGATGCGTAAACTAAGACTGATATCTACTGTATCTGCGGAATTTTCTCTTATCCTACTAACACAGAGGTGTAGATTATCTGCAGCTCTCAAGATGACTCAGATCCACCACCGCTTCCCCGGTGCGGACAGAAACTGCCTCGCTATTGCAATCAGGATCGTTCCGACCAGCAGCGTGAGCCCGGCGAATAACTGCGCCGCTTCGAAACCATGTTTGGCAATGAGAGCTCCTGCGATGGGAGGCCCTGTCAACCCGGCCAGAGAACTGATCGGAACGACCGCCGCGTGAGATTAACAACGGAAGTTTGATTATGCATGAGGCTTACCTGACACTGAGCAACTGTCCCACGGCGACACCGGTTTTGCTGGGATCGTCCTTCACAGTGCACGTCAGTTAAGGTGACCATCGAGAGTGATCGACACACCATGAAGGGTGCTACACAGGCCCCCTGCAACGACAGAATGTTCCCGCTCGTGAACCCGTAGAACACTGGCACGAAAATTTAAATGAGTCCCCGTCATTGATTTAGTATCGTACCGGCAATGACAAGGATGCTCGCCTCATCTCGAGCGGCAATAGACGCCAAAGTGAGGACTGAGGATGCGAGGGCTGTTGCTACCATCATATTGAAGCGTCCCCAGCGGTCAGAGAGGAACCCTGGCACAATGCGGCCAAACTGATTCATTTCAGAACAACGATCTTGTGGAGGAGGGCAGAACTTGACTGACCAGCGACGCAGCATTCATCACCGAGACTGAGTAGAACGTCATGTTGGAGTCGAATCCATGGAGTGCACCGTAGCTTGGGAGGAAGAAGGTGAGGAAGAACAACCCCCAGACGACGAAGTACATCCCAATGCTGAATCTATCATCGGATCGTGCAGAAAATAGGAGCATATCATCCTGCGCACCAGAATATCGTGTATCCGGGCTTGGCGAACAACTCGAACGCAAAAAATGTGCTCCCCTTCCTCGGGGGTAGCCGTCCCTTCACCAGCGCCGCACTGATGAGACACAGCACCAAGGAAATGAAGCCCATGATGCGCAGTGCCCATCCGAAGCCGACCTTGAGAATCAACTTGTTCGTGAGGATGGGCCAGATCACGCCGCCGACGGCGGAGCCGCTGGTCACGACGCCGAGCGCGAAGCCACGCCGCCTGAGGAACCAATGCTGCGCGGCGGTATATGCCGGGGAAAACACGCACGACAGCGCAATGCCCCCCAGGAGCCCTTGGGAGAGGAGGAAATGCCAGTAGTGCTTGCTGATGGACTGGAGCATGCAGCTGAGAGTAAAGGTGACTCCCCCGATGACGATGAGGAGCTGCATTACACAGCGCAAGGTCAGTAGAGTATTTGGAACCAAGGATAGAGGCTTCGTGACTAACCTTCGCGCCCCATCGATCAAACAACGCGCCGAAAGGTGTTCCCATGCAGTAAAGACTGTCATTGATCGTTCACGTATCGACACGCGCGCCAGAATCGGCAAAGACGTACGAGAATGTCTGGAATGCGCCAATCCACGAAATTCCTGACGAAGACATACTAGAGAGCTGGTTGACCGCATAGTAGCTCTGGAATCTGAGTAAAGGAGGGAACAAGTCGGTCAGTAGTGAATGAGACTTCGAATGAGCCACTGCCAACATACACTGGACACAACATGAAGGTCAACGAAAGCGGCCAGTAAGTCGCTCACCTCCAAATGTATTCAAGAAACCGAAGGACACGAGCACAGCGAGCCAAGCACCAAACGCGACGGTCCAAGCTTCGCGGCCGCCTTCGGGGAATGGGGGAGGCTTTGCTACGCTGATTTCGCCAGCTTTCTCGTCGGAGGCGGTCACGGTAGCCTGTGAGCTCTGCTGCTGCTGCTCGATGTCTGACATAGCGGAAGGGATGCACGATGTGGGAATTGACAGCGACCGTGTCGATTTACTACTTAGAGCTTGTCGCAAAACCACGCCCACGTAAACTCTCACACACCGGTCAGATGCCGATCGCAGGCAGACCCGGCTTCGGACTGTCCAGTCATCCGTTCTGACTATTATCTTGCTTCAAGTAACCTTCTCCTCCGTCAATGCGTACCTTTTTCGGTTGAGATGATGTGGGCACGGTCCGCGTAAACAAGCTTACAGTGATCAAACCACACGCGATTGCATAATCAGTCTTAGTCTAGGGACTTTGTTTTGGAGGCGTTGCCTTGATATCTATCCTGGTATCCAGTTTGCGCGGATTTCAATAGCACGCTCTGATCGCATAAAAGAACAATGTGTTGTATTATTTCAATGAAACCATGTTGAATGTTGAATCGAGACGATGGTCACAAAACTTGAACCACGGTCGCTGATGCTCTCTAGAACAAAACCTAACCGGTTGCATGCTCGGCAGAGCTCAAGGTAGTAAGTACTCAGACCGCTCAGTTCTGAGACTCGATCGTGGTTATGAGTCCACGTGATCGTTCCTAGATTGAGAGTTCGGCGCATTCCAATGGGTCAATCATGAGGTAAGATGAATTTGTCGACTAAGTTCCGTCTACCCAACACGCTCATCAAACTCAATAGACCATATATGCCTTCATCTCTATCAATCTCTATTTCAATTTAGTGGACATTCTCGGTCGGATTCCGTCAAGTACGGCTTGGCGGGCGCGATTATCACTGCTGATACTATGCTCTTCCTCAACGAGCACGTGACTTTGAGACCCTGGACGCCCAAGATCGAAAGCGGAATTCCAGAGCACCTGATGTCAATTTCCAAGAGGGAACACTGGTATAGTCGGCGAGCCGGGCATGCATTCCCAGTTGCAAGCCACTTAGGCTAGGGGGCGACGCGGCCACGTGACGTGATCCAGCTGTGACTTCCTTTCGCGCGACGCGTGTGGTAGCCAAGTTCATTGGATAGAAGTGGCGTTTCTGCAAATTCACTAGCCTCTATGGGTAAATATGAATATTCAGAGGATCGAGAAAGCCTTTTCACGCACCCAAAGCACCGGAATCGAAGCTCGGAGGTCTCAAAGCGCGCTTTGAGAGCAATGCCGAAATACTTATAACGCAACACATGAAAATTCCTCGATTCGAAGGCATCTTGAACGATGCCACCGCAGAAGCGCTCAGCTCTGTATCGCATCCCTCGGCGTCGGAACAGACGTAAATTCCGGTCGTTCTGGGCCAAATACTTCTGATCACGTTGCCACTGGTCGTGTTACACGTCTGGAGATTCCTGGTCTTGCCCTAGATGACGGGGAGACAAGCTGCGCTCGAAACGAGGCAGTTCGGGCAGCATGCCAAGCTTCAGGTTGATGCAAGCTCGCGTTGACACGCAGAGTTCTTTGCTGGGCGCTGATGATGAGATACAGACCATCATGCTTTGATTGTCGGATGATTTCGGCATTACATTGATGGAGTCTAGGATATATGCTGCTGATGTACAGGACTGTAACGATGCTGAGATACCCGAAGCAACGACGACGATCTAATTACATGTTGGGGCGTATAGAGTTGCTACATGATACAAAACAATGCGAAGAAAGGAGAGTTACAGAAATGCGGCCAGCAGGCACATTATACCAGCAGTAATCAGATATATTAGTCTACATTCTTCAAAGGAAGATCTGCGCCGGTGCACAGGCGTCCTTGAGTTTCTTCAAATGTATGTCCATGAGCGGAAAGGGAAACAGGCGCATAGCAGCGACGACGATGCCAATCGCCTCGACCAGGCTCTGCGTATCGCCGCTTTCAGCACGCCGGCGCGTGATCTCGGAGACGATCACCTGCGCGGCGGAAGCCCATAATGGCTGCAGCAGGTATCAATAAGAGAACAAGCCCAGGGAGCAGAACACGCACAGCAAGAATGGGATCGATCACACCAAGTTGCGGCAGATCTGCTTTGACCAGTAGCTCGACAATCGACCGGGTAGCAGCGAGAACGCGACCGCGTGCCTGGGAATGCTTATCGCTCAAGGCCTCGAACAGCTTGATAGTCGCCGAGTATACGAGAGTATGAATTACCAGTCCGTCTCTCGACTGAACGGGGGGCAGCGTCGATCCGAAGGCCTCGATGGTGCGGGAAAGGGAAAGGGAGGACACTGATGTATCGGAGGGAAGAACTGCGCCTGCTCGCACTCGGGCTCCGATCTGCGCACTCAAGTCTAGCAGTATCGACGCCTTAGCTCTCAATGCGGGGATCGACGAGGACGGGCACGGCCGTTCAGTGAGAAAGCGAGTAACCGTGTCGGCATTCCGCGCAGGCAGGAGATGTTGATTCTACAGCTCAAATGGTCAGTTATCCGTGAACTTCCTGACCACGAGTGACGACTCGCCTGCATATAATCACCCGGCTCAAGCGGCCACGGCGTATCAACGGTAAGCGCAGCCACACCCGACGAAGGCGACGATTTAAAGAAGACCACATTCGGCTCCATCGCACCGCACCCAGCCCAGCCCCCGCCCAGTGCAACGGCACTCCAGAACGCGCTAATCCGCTCGCCCTCCTCCAACGTACCGACATCTCCGAGCGCCGAGCCGCCCTGCGCAGCGCGGCCCCGGATGCGATTCAGCCCGGCGCTCAGCGCGGTGGCGATCGCCACAGACGTGTGGTACCGCGCCTCCAGCCGGCGGGCGGTCCGGAAGAAGTACACCGCGAGCAGGACAGATGCCTGGATGCTGTACACGACTGTCCGCGGGTGCGCGCCGCTGAGGCCGCTGGCGGTGCTTTTCAGCGCGTGTGCGAGGAAGGCTGGCTCATACGCTGTGATGCGCGGATCGTTCGAGAGATGTACGCCCCAGAGATACATCACGTTCAGCAGGATCTGCGGCAGATCTTGCGCCGAGGGACTGGTGATGGCATCATGAAACGTCTGTGCGTCGAGGAAGAAGCCGAAGCAGCTTGCGTTATGGAGGAAGTTGTGGACACTAGAAGATGATATGAGTCTAGTTCAATGTCACGCCACGAGAGACCGGTTTGACTTACAGCGCTTGGAGCACAATGAAAGGCAAGTCCGTTGGCATAGCTTGCAGCGCTTGTTGATCGACGACATTTCCAGAGATTTGCTGATTGACTGAGCGGAAATGCTGTCAGAAAACAAAGCTGTTTAATGAGGTCCAGATTGAACATACAGAAATAAGAAAGCAAGGGCCCAAGTTGCATTGTATTTGTGGGCGATATTTGTCTAGATTGTTGTTGTGTGGAGGCTGGCTGCTCCAATTCATTGATCCTGGCCTGCAGAATCGCGATTTGTTCTACCAGAAATCAAAATCAACTTCAGGATCGGAAACCAACGATGCAAACACGTCACCTTCGAGGACATGCGTGCTGAGAGGACCGTCTCCCCCGTACTCACAGTCGCTGAAGGCTTTGTATCTTGTGCAAGGCCCGCACTTTGGTTGCGCTCCATCGCATTTCTATCGGAAACAGAGTGATCAGGGACCAAGACAACCTACCGAGAAAACACCGGGAAGACGCACGATCTTCCTGCGGCGGCAGTTCAAACACGCCTTGCCTTTGGGCAGCGCGGCGAACGAGTTGGCGGCGAAGACTCCTTGAACGCTCATTGCAGATATCAATCAGTCCCAGACCAAATAAGTAGGTAGTAAGGATGTTTAGTCTCGAATGTGGGCTTTGCTTGGAATCAAGTAGCGGTCGTTGCTCTGTCTTTAACCTGACCAGTCTCTCCCACCCACCGACTCGGAGTCGACTCACCATCCTCCGCGTCTTTGTCAGTTTTGATGGAGAAGAGTACAGTCAGCGAATCCTAAACAGGGATGGGCGCAGAACCGGCATTCCGCAGCCGCAGTGACGCTCAAAGGGCGCTTGATTGTCTGCTTGCTTACCTGAGTCAGGTTCGCGTTGACGTGCTGGCCAGACGTCGGTCCATCAGCGGCGCCGCGTAGGCATCTGCGGGCTCAGCAGTATCGAATTCGAGCGGGAGCTTGCAGGCTATACACGCGCATAACCTGAGCAGAAATCGGACCGAACGCATCCTCTACGTCCTAAGAACGCGGATGACCGTCAGAGGAGACCGCAATCAAGCGCGCCGCCGAGCGCAGAGTTCCCACAGGACGACGCGCGTCCTGCTGCCGGATCTGGTGCGTGGCAAGAAGACCACGGAGCTCGGGTGGTCTGCGGGCGAGATCGCTGAATGATTGATAAGGCTTCATAGGATGTCCCGTTAATGGTGGAAGAGAGCCTGCAAAAGTCCCCAGGGGCTGTGCTGCTGATAAAACAACTTGCTTTTCCGGGCCAGTGAGAACCCGGATGCCAGACACGTGCGACTTGCGTCACAAAAGGATCCGTTCCTGATCCTTACTGCCTGGATCTTCGAGTCATGGATGACATGGGTAGTGAAACTCTCCGCGGAACACCCGCAGTCGCCCACGGGGCCCAGTACGCTTTATAATTGCTGCCCCACCGATCTCTGTACGCGTCCCTCTGTCATCATGCAAGTCGTTCTTATTACTGGCTGCTCGAGTGGTCTTGGACGGGAGCTCGCCCTCGGTCCGTCCAGATTCTGATGACCCAGACGCGTCTTCTGGTCATCTCATTCACTGCTCACGCACAGCTGCCCTGAACGCAGGAATGCGCGTGATCGCGACTGCGCGCCGGATCGACACCCTCTCAGACCTCGCAAGCCGCGGCGCGAAAGTGCTTCCCCTCGACACTACCGCGAACCCGCGCGACTTGGCCCAGTTCGTGGAACTCGCGATTGGGCAGTAGTACGTCATGCTGGTCCCCTCTCCCGCGCTCGTCAGGCTGCTGACATCCGCCTCCAGCGGACAGATCCACTGCCTCATCAACAACGCGGGATATCTCCAGGGCGGCGCGCTCGAGGAGATCGACCACGAGGCCAACATGGCCCAGTTCCACACGAACTTTTTCGGGGTCCTGAACCTCACGCACGCGCTGCTGCCCCATTTCCGCTCCCTTCCGCCAAAGACCTGCGCGATCGTGAACATCAGCTCGCAAGGCGCGACACTGAACCTCGCCGGCGCCGGAATCTACTGCGCAAGTAAGGCCGCGCTGGACTCGGTCACGGCGGTGTGGGCAAAGGAGCTGCAGCCGTGGGGCGTGCGATGTACCGCGATCCACGTAAGTCCCTTCACTGCTCCTTCCTCCCTCGAAGGTCTGCGGTCCTCACAGAAAGCTCATCCCAGCTCGGGGGTTTCCGGACAGCAGTGGGCACTAGCGCGAACGTGAAGACTGGATCGCGCACGATTGAGGGGTACGACGCGGCGCACGACTGGATGGAGAGTTTCAGCGCTGGCGCCGGGAAGGAGCCGGGAGACCCGATACTTGCTGCGAGGAAGATAATCGACTTGATTGGGGGTGACAAGGGGAGGGAGTGGCCGCACACGTTGGCATTGGGTGACGATGCATATCAGAATGACAAGGCTTTCTACGAGAGCTCGTTGAAGAAGGTGGAGGATTGGAAGGAGTTCTCGAAAGGGACAGATTTTCAGACTTGAAGGTTCTTGGAAGATTCTCAATGTACAATAGAGCGTTGGGTTAGAGAGTTGTCAATGTACATGGTAGTAGGTCGAGGAGAAATGATCCGATCATGGGATGTGCCGGGTGTTCGCCGTCAGTCACTAGCTTGCCACTCCTGTTTCTCTGCCACCACATCACCTACCGATCTACACCTGTACAAGCTTCAGACAATGCTACCAGCTCCGCCACTTATCACCCCCATCGTCCCGAGCGAGCAGATGAAGCAAGAGCTGATACCTGTAACAATGCCGGGATTGAGTGCAGTTGGCATGCGAAGAGCCCAGCGCGTGTCAGCGAACTCCCGAAGCGTTATACATGCGCCTGCAACCGGAAACACAACGACTACGCAAATTTGTCGCGCATGGCACGCACGCTGAAGTCCCCTCGAGGGCTGTTGAAGACACACTGGGAGTCGGATTCGAACAACGAGGAGTCATAGTCTGCTGTCCCTTGGAGCACGGATGCGATGTGCGTCGACTCTCACAGCTCTGCATTTTCTATACTGAGCGAAGCACAGCGATGATCTGCGTGACCATTTCTTCAGTCCCTGAGAACGATTGGCCACTGGCACCACTGCAAGAAACTCTGAAAGCACTTTCAGCAGCAAAGAGAGCATCTGTCGTCCGTGAGTCACTTGGCCTTGGCTGTTTTCGCATGGGCATGACTAGCCATGTAGTTAAGGAAGCCAATACCAACTCCGCCGTGGTCCCAGCAAACACAGAGTCGGTCCCCCCTTCATCATTCGTCCCCTATCGCTCAAAGCGACTCAAGCAGGCGACGTTCCAGCCTGAATCTGACGAAGAGTCGGACGGATGTGCAGAGCCTAAATCCAAGAGCGATCGGCCATCATCCACAGATACTTTTAAACCTCAGCGTGCAGTGGAGCCGCAAGACTCCTCAATCCGTGAGCCGTCGCATCCCCTTACGCGTGCAGTAGGGCCCTGATACCCACATAAGTGGTCCAGGATATCGACACCAGTTCTACCTACCGTCGCCCCAGGCGCAACGGCCGCTGCCACCGCATCTTTCTCTCCCCTCCGTTCTACGCGTCGCAAGCAGACGGTGCGCACGCACGAATCGGACGACAAGTCCGACGGCGACGACGACGAATACGCGGAGCCCACTCCCCTGTCTCATTGCGCAAACTCAAAGCCGTCACCGTTCCAAGTGCAGGCGATGAGGAAGATTCATTCGTGTCCAGTTACGAGATGCGATGTCTCTCTCCTTTGCATGTCTGAATCGGCACATCTGCTCCGTCCATCGGGAGAGCCAGGCTGGTCTGAGGTGTTACGTTTGCGGAAGAGCCGTCTCGAGAACGGATGCTGCAATACGGCACCTGCGCAACAAGCATAGGGTGGATAGAGATGCTGAGGTGATGCTGAGGGGTGAGAATATTTTGCTGCCGTAAGTATACTGGATTCCATCCATCCATCGGGCATGCGTGAAATACCCGAGTGGGTGGCGCATACTGTGCTAGATCCCCACTGTTTCCTTTGAAGAACCATATCCGTGCGATTTCAAGTACCCCCTGCTGTGCAGCAGCAGTATGAGGATGACTTCTCCTTCACAGCCCCGTGAGAATATTCGCCCAAACAAAGATGGCCGCTTGACGTGATGGGCCAGGTACTTGTCAATCGCAAACGATGGCTGCTGCCTCTGAAGTCGTCCGACAAGATGCTACCAGTGATTCCCGCGCGCCTTGTGTCTCGCTCTCACCATGTTTCGACTTCCCACTGAACTACTCCACGACATTCTCCTGTTTCTGGACGATGCGGAGCTGTGGACCATTCGACAGGTCTCAAGCCTTGTCCTTCCCCATGCATCGCTGCTGTATCTGCGACGCGCCGGCGTCGATATCCAGACCTTAAGTACGACTGCCGTGCTGAGAGTCAACTTGAAGCAGATCCATCTCTCGCTGATGGTGTCGCGCTTCGTACGAGTCACGCACCTCGTTCTCACCCCATGCCTCTCCCAGACGATCATCCTCAGCCACACGCTCACTGCGCTCATGGCCCAACTCCCCCATCCCCTCAACAAGCTCACGCTCGATGGAACGCATCTCGAAATGTTCGTTCCCGATAAGTGGGGTCGGCACCACCAAGAGAGCGCACAGATCTTCCAGCTAGTCGGAGCAATGGCCAAGCACCCTGACCCCGCATCACTGCCTCTGATGGTCCGCGACGGCACTCGGGCCTCCATCGTCTCAAGGCGTCGGGTGGGCCCCGTCTTATCGGGTGTGGCCTTCCCTGACGGCTCGGGACTCCTCCACGGCTCGATACGTGCCCCACCGCCAGCCCCGCAGGAAGCAGGCTGGTGCTTGGTCCCTCTTCTGTGGCTGGCTTGGGTCTTCTACTGGACGGTGCAGGGCATACTCTGGGTCTTGTGCGCGCTTGTCTTCCTGGCGGAGGCCGCGTACTGGGTCACATGTGTGCTACTGGTAGATGTGACGCGTGCTGCGTTTCGGACGGTTTTCCGCATCCCATCGGATGACGCAAAGCGCCTTCAGGCGGACATTCCGTTCAATTACAAGCTCAAGTGGACAGGCTTCGAGCTTGTTGCTGGCAAGGATGCATCGCTCACGGTGCTGGCTCAGATCAGAGCTTTGGTGACGGCTGCCGCTGGCTATCCGCTGGCAACTCGATCCGGGCATTGGCGTGTCATCAGACCTCGTTGGCCGCCGACGGCTGTACTCGTGGAATATGCAACGCTGTAGATAAGCATGATTACGGACAAAGGATACAGCTGCCATTTTAGATCTTTCCGGCAAGTGGTACCTCAACGAACCCGAAAACCCCCTGCGACACTGCACCCAGACGAATCACTTTGTCAGCGCCCTCTTTGATATCCGCATCCTCCAGTCCGCTGAACGTCTCCGTCATCCCGCCGACAGAGGCAGCCGCAATCAGCGAGGCGGGGCTCTTCGGGTCGAACTTGCGGTGGTAGCCGCCGCGCCAATCCGTGATGAGGGTCTGAAGGGCGAGGACAATGCTAATGAGCGCGAAGAACGCGGTGGGGATGAGGATGAGGAACCCTGTAGGCGAGTACTCCCAGCCCATTGTGGCTGTCGTGGCATTTCCGCGTATTGGGCGCACGATGTCGTCGGCAACGATCGGGAAGCGGGTTGGATCGGTGTTGTTTCCGCTGGCGAGATATATCTTGGATGCCTAGACAATATAGAACGCGTGGTTAGATTTAGGGATATCCAACAACGAGGACCAACCGTTGCGACGAATTCAATCATCCCTGTAATGTACGCTTCCTGTTAGGATGAGTTTTAGAAGCTGGGTGCAGTCCGATCGCAACACACACACCCAGATCTTTTCATACGGAACCGTACTGTTCGGATTGGCTTGATTAGTGTATATCGATTGCACGGCATCGGCCACGGAGTTGCGGGTCTCAGTCTGTCCATACAAAAAGGCCCACGCGAGGGCATTGACAAGCGAATAGCTTATATTCGCGCTGGTGGAGACCGGGGGGTCTGCGGAGTGGTCAAATTTCGTCCAAATGTACCCAGGGCTTTCATAGAGTGTTGCCGTCGTTTGTATTTGAGGTGAAATGTCGCATACAATCGTAGAATAAGGCCAGGCATATGTTCCCTGACCCGTCAGAATTGTTGCTGGTGAACGAGAATGATAAGAGCTTTAATCGACAGTAATGTCAGTTGATGCACGTACTATAATTTTCTGACAACGACCCTTCTTTCCCACAGAAGAGGGCAGAAAAGACGTTTCCAGAAGTCGAGAGAGTCACTGTGGTGCATCAAGTCTGTAATACCCGGGACTCGACGGACTTTACCCACCGGTTTCGATTGTACCACCGTCACATGAACTTGAAACATTGGTTATAGAATCATTATATACGGAGCCCCCGACGGTGAGTGGGAACGGTTGAGTGACCACCAAAAGCGACGGAGTCGAAGTCGAACTCAGGATCTCAGACCGGCAGGACACGGCGCCGGAAACACCCTGTTGCTCCATAGTCATGTTCAGGGCAGTCCAGAAGGGCGGCAACGGTTCGGTGTTGTACATAACCCCAGTCGCACCCTCGATCCCGCTCTCCAAGTCGGGGTTGAATCGTAACCCTATCGGTTGTATCCCGCCTGATCTTCTGAGATCAGCAAGCGTGGAGAACAGACGACCAACTCAACTGGTCGAGCTCAAAAACGTGTAGAACTGGTAGTCGATCATACTCGGGTATCCGACCCGGCCCAGCGCGCTCATTGAGCCGCTCATGTCGACAAGAGAGAGGAGGGCAGATTCCACTGATAATGAACCTGAGTTTGATAGTACGGTGCGATCAGACGGTTGGTTCGTACCGTAAAAGACCAAAGTCTTCTCCCACACTTGCACGAATTCAGCCTGCAGAGTGGGACTGCTCAAATCGATCTCTCTCCCGAATATCGGAGTGGAGACGATGATATTCGTTGGCGTCAGGAGTGCGTTCCAACTGGGTATCGAGGTGAGACTCGGGGCACGACACTGGGGAAGTGGAAGGGCATTGTTGATTGGCGTACCCTGCTGTCTGACCGATACCCGCAAAGAAAACTACAATCATGAAGATCGTCCACCAGCCCTTGAAGGCAAGACTGAGAGACTGAGCGGAAACCGTCAGTGCGTTCTCGAGCGACGAGATCTTCAGTCCCTTGCTCGGGAGCGAGAGTTGCGCAACGAGGGTATGTTGGATTGATCGCGCAAAGAGGCTGGTGTAAGTTCAGAAGCGCTCAGAACAGAGATGAGTTATGGACGCACAAGGATGATATCGCTGCAAGTGCAGTCGAAATCAGCGTCACCAGATAAGTTCTTGTAAGGTGATTGTCCATGACGGGCTTGAGCCCCAGCGGCAAGGGAACTTGGCCGGACTTCTGGACCAGGAAGAAGAAGCTGAACGCGAAAGCGAGCAGGATGGACTGCCCCGCGATGACGATCAAGGGCCAAAGGAGCACTCTGACCGTGCAAGCTGGCATCAGATAGCACACCGGATGCGGATAGTCGTCTTTCGCACCTGCTCTGGCCATCCAACCGTCCGGTTCCATCTCGCGTGGTGGGATGTCGCTGATTGAACTCCTTGTTGCTCTCCTTTTGAGCGGAGGGGATGAGGGGGTAGGATTCCATGAGAGCGTGTGAGTCTCACGTCGAGTCGGTGTGTTTTTATGACTCCGGTAAGTTCCGGTGTTGCACCCCCTTGAATAACCGTATCATCATGGTTCTAAGCGCCCAAACTTGCGCTGTTGTCCAATTTTAACGATGGGACACGGGGATTACTGTAGTCTGGTAGACGAGGGCGTGTAATAGAAGGCAACAGAAGAAGAAAAATCAGCTGCTAAGAGTAGGAGACTGGAAAGCAAAGCTTTGCCGCACCGCTGACCGTTGGAAGGTTCGCGCGTTGGCAGGATGAATGTTGCCTCGGCCCAGAGCAGCCATCAGTGATACTGATACCCATCAATCTCTTGCAACATCGATCTCCTCCGCCCTGCAGCTGCACGGAAGCCGCGAGGCTGAAAGTCATTAGAAACTCAAAGATATCACGTACCCGTAAGTGATCGGCGGCTATGGATGAGAGATATGTAATATAGAGAGATTGGTAAGCGAATTACAACACGTTGTATGCTGTCGCGGCTGTAGACAGGATAAATGAGCTTCGTCTGATCTGTCATAGTCACGTGATCGCGATGCGCTGGCTGGCCGCTTCGTCCAAACCCTTCCTTCGCGCGCCGACGAGTCAAAACACGAGCCTCAAGCCGACATCCGTGTTTCGAATGAGGGAGAGCATCTAGTATGATCTTTTCATCGCCTGGCCCATTTCGATCGACTGTTACGATACAGCGAGAAGTTCCCACCCCGAGTCCAATGCACATAAGGGCATGTCGTGATCCCCGCTGACATCGCAAGGCTTGTTCGTGAATCGTACAGGTTGAAATGCTACATGAGCCTCTGATGAAACATATTGCCCCATCTTCTCAAGATTCGACGTCGGGGCTGTGCGTGGAAGGGCTGAACAGCTGAGCTGACGTCATCGATCTCGCAGCTTGCCGCAGGATGTAATCAGCGGTATGAGCCCTGTGCATACGGCACAAGGACAGGCCGGATACCTTCCCTCACAAAAAGCCCTCCACTCTTGTGGCAAAATAAGGGTGGCCTCCTCGCACAAACTTTAGGTGGCCTGTTCACAATCGATCGAGTGAGGAATGATCTGCGGTTCGATTTCCTGAAGCCATTGTGAATGCTGAGTTGAGAGGAGACTTCAAGTGAACTTCTCGAAGAAAGTTCACGTGGAGAGCACGATGCGGACATACCGAAGCGGAGCCAGTGCGTCCGTGACCGCTCATTCATTCCGTAGATGTCAGTCTCGTCCGGTGCGCGCCTGCGCAGACAAACGCAAATGGAACGCATGATGCGAGCCCTCCAACAGGAGCACACTCTACACGGGTCGTGGCGTAGGGCTGCTAAATGAATATATCGCTACGGATGGTCGACAGCTTCGAGCGACAGAACTCTTACAGAACAGAAGAGGCAATCCCATGGAAGGCTGCACTCCCTGATTCACAAAACATATGAGGAGAAAAGGTATTAGAATTGATTACAGGATACGTCTCGATGTACAAAAGAAAGTGGTATTGTCTCAGTTAACATTGTGATCCCCAAAGCCCAAAATTTAGTAAACTCCTCCAGAAAGCTGAAAATACCATCAGATACAGCGGTGGAAGAAACATCACAGCGGAATAGACCGACCTTGGCCTTGTCCATGGTGAGGATGTGGCCCTTGCCAGCAGCGGTGATGTCGAGACCAGAGAAGTCCCAGGTGCCGGTGCAGGCGCCGCAGTCGATCACGAGGCCATAAGCGTTGCTCGTGCCGGCGACTGTGGTCTTTCCACCCGAGAACGCGACACCCGAGATCGGTCCTCCAGTTCCGGGCGTGCCGGCGTTGGCGGGGTAGCTCTGGGTGATCAGGACACCGTACGAGGTGATGCCCGACAGCTTGTTTCTGAGGGGAGCATTTACACGAAAGCCCAGCGAGCAGAGAAGCATGCGACGTACCCGTCGTAGAGCGCACCAGCGACCTTGGCGCCGGTTGCAGAGGCCTGGACTTTGATGCGGATGCCGTACAAGCTGTTGGTGACGGTGTTGCGCAGCGCCTTGAAGTTGGTGACGCTCTTGCCGGTGGCCATCGAGCCGATAGAGATTCCGTGGCCGTTGGCGCAGCTGTTGTCCTCGAACACGACGTTATCTCCGGAGTTGAGGGCGAGACAGTCGTCCTGGTTCATGACGGTACATGAAGAGATGGTGACGTCACTGGCGCTCACGTCGAAAGCGTCGGTGTTGTGACCGCCCTTCGTGTCGCCCAACGCTAAGGATCGGGAAAATTGAGTACGTCGAACAGACCTGCGAATAAAGAGGAACGCACAGTTGTCGACGGTGACGTGGGAAATAGTGGTCGCGCCGCCGGTGGTGCCGACGGAGATGGCTTGGGCGGGGGAGTTCAAGACAGTGAACTGTTGGAAAGTTCCGTAGCCCTTGACTCTGCGTGGCAGTGTAAAGAGATTTTAAAAAATTGAGATGGAAAGTATACGCACTTGATGAAAGGGTGGGGCTTGAAGGTACCGCCGTTACTGCCCTTTCCGTCCCAGTAAGACGCACCGTTTCCCTGAAAACGGGTCAACATCGGAGGATGGCTTCCCCGAGCGCAAATGAACGTACGTCGATCTTGTGGCCCCCGCCGTTGAAGGCGACAGCGTCGGTGTTCAGAATGAACAGAGGACCCGGAGCTGAGAAGTAAGAGTCAATTACGAGCTGCAGAATCCAGAAATCCCGTACTCGTCGTCTTCGCGAAAACGACATCGCCTGCCAACGTCACAGTCGCGCCCTTGGCAGCCTGCACCGCCGGTCAGATCGAGGAGCGCGAAGTAATTTTGGCGCAGGACATACGGAAATGGTGAGCGTGTTGCCCGCTGGGACAGTGAAGCCCTGGATGATGACGCTGGTGCAGCTGCCCAAGTTCGCGGCGCTGGCAACGCTGTTGACGGTGCAGGCGGCGGCGCGTTTGTCGTTCTCGACGAGAGTCAGGTTGCCCGGGAGGGCAAGTGCGGCGCCAACAAGGGCAGAGAGTTGAAGGAAGCTGATGATGGAAGGCATTGGAGTAGAGGAGACGAAAGAACTGAACTGAGGATACTGGATGGCCTGTGGTGGTTTTATATCTTCTTTTCATGCACCGACGTGCCGGCAGTGAGCGCCAGGTCGTCGACAACTCGACTGCTGCTACCAGTCATGGTGTGTCTGTACATTGAGTCCGAACAGGGGGCACAGTAACTCGGCCTATTTCGCCAAGAGAGGTTCGCGGGTGATGCCGTCAGCCCAGGTGATCGCTCATTTATTTCAGATGGAGCGATCACCGCCGCGTCCTGCCGTGGATGAATCTTTGGTCGGATCCATTGGAGTGAGGGTTACGGAGCATCAAGAGTCGAGCCGGTACTCGACCCAGATATTTCATCAACATACCTTTAACAAGGCCACCGCACCACATCAACCCATTGTCTCAAACCCCTCCTCGTTCTAGCTGTCGGCGCAGTCTCGGTTCCCGCTGCCCTCGAATCTCAGTTGCCATGAGACTGCTTGTCGAGGATGCCGGTTGCTACCCACGCGTCAAAAGCGCTTCTTTTGATCGGCAGATACCGAAATTCGGTCTGAAATTGATTTTGCAAGCTGAAAATGAAAATGAAAATGAAAATACGCGGCACAGGTTACTTGAGTTGCATTGGCGCTTGTCCTTTTGCCTTGGGAGATGAACCTGTCGAAAACCTTCCGATGGGTTTCGAAAGACGACTGACTGCCTGTCCTCATCCTCTTCGTTGACTGCCGGTCTAGAACGAGCGGGGGTCGGGGGCAGAACTCGGTCTAAGCATGTTTGAGTTGACGAGAGGAGACGTGCCTCAGGCGCCGCACAGCGCACCGGCGTATCGGGAGAAAGACGGCGAGATAGATACGCCCCGCCCTCATACGAGCCCTAACTTGTAACCGATTAGACTTTACCGCTCCTTCATCTGAACACTTGTACCGAATCCTCCTGCTAGCTCACTCCAATCTTGGTTGCCCAAACCTCTGGGCGTCTGCCCGGCGCATGCTGATGAATTGTGAAACGTTCGAGTCAGCAGAGTTACATCCCGTCTTTCCGTCTCTGGTCAAACAGGTCTGACTCCAAGAAGCTTGTTTGCGGGTCGGGAGATGAACAACGGACACTGCTCCGATGATGTTATGCACATTGTAATCATTCAGCTCCGTAACAATTCAGCTCGCACATATATGCCAAGACCGACAGAGGCCGGCCGACCACCTTGATCTTGTTCTCGAGACCGGTCGAGAGGCCCAGACACTGCTGATCTTCTTCATGTGCTATGCTTGCCTGAAGGGTTCATGCGTTGTTTTGTAGGCAGTTATCAAGAAAACTCGCTGCTGATGTGTTTTCACAATTCCCGAATGCCGTTGAGCGTGGGGTAACAAACCAAAATGCCATAATCCAGTCGACGAAAGAGGAGGAGGAGATGGTGGTCCGTGTGGTAATTGCTGCGCTCTTTCATCTCGCACCTCTCAAAGTAGCATGGCGGATTACGGATCCTCATCTTCCCTTCTAGAGGACAAACGCGTCCCTCACAACACTGAAAACCGCCGCTCACAGACTCGTCTCGTGAGGAAAGTGCTGCGCATCGATGCGGAGAAAATCTGGAAAAATCCCGCTCGGATTGTCACCACCCGCGTGGGCGAGTGTCAGCGAATTGATTCAATGAGTAGGTCCATTTCATTATCTTATTTTGGGGAGATGAAATTCCAGCCTAGACTCCGTGTGAACGGCCACGGGACCGAATTCACACTGCGAGATTCAACAGCCGAATCCCCGGAGCCCTTGCCACTTTCCTCGGAGCCTCTGCTCTAGCCCTTCGTTGGAGCCATCTTTCCTGGTCGGCTGTATGGAAGACACGGCTGGGAAACCGACAGGTTCGAAAATCTCCGGCAGCTTGGGGATGGTCCTCCTTTTAGAGCGAAACCCGGAATCAATCGAAACCAGTCGACTTGCGCCTCCGAGAAAGTCAGTTCAGCTCTGCCGGCAAAATAAATCATGTCTTTCATGGACTCTCGGTACCTTCCGATCAAAAGAAGCGCTTTTGACGCGCGGGTAGTAACGGACATCTCGACAAAGGATCTCATGGCAACTGAGATGCGGAGGGAGCGTTAGCTGGCCCGCCGGTTTCTGGGCGTTCAAAGCTTTGGGGTGGTGCGACGAAGTGAATATAGTTGGGAGAAATGGCCAGGTTCGTGCCGTCCGATCTTCTTACATTGTCAATCACTCACCACAATGGACTAAACAAAGGATTCGTCCACGCACGAGGCGGCGGCTGGCGGCGGTCATCGCTATGTCTGATACGAATTAGGATCGCACGGCCTTCCTGTCCGGGCTGACGGCATCACTGGCACGGTGCATGCACCCGCGGACCTCTCTTGGCGAAATCGATCAATTTACTGCGCCCCAGATTCGGACTCAGTGTACTACACAACATGGCTGCAAGCACCGTTCGAGTCGTCGGCGATTCGCCCGTCGGTGCCGGTCTGGGGCTAGATCGAGGCTGGATATAAAATCACCACAGGCCATCCTGTATCCTCAGTTCAATTCTCTTGTTATCTCTACTCCAATGCCTTCCATCACCAGCTTCCTTCAACTCTCTGCCCTTGTTGGCGCTGCACTTGCCCTCCCGGGCAACCTGACTCTCGTCGAGAACGACAAACGCGCCGCCGCTTGCACGGTCAACAGCGTTGCCAGCGCCGCGAACTTGGGCAGCTGCACCAGCGTCATCATCCAGGGCTTCACTGTCCCAGCGGGCAACACGCTCACCATTTCCGTACGTCCTGCGCCGAAATCACTTCGTGCTCCCCGATCTAACGGGCGCTACAGGCCGCCAAGGGCGCGACTGTGACGTTGGCCGGCGATGTCGTTTTCGCGAAGACGACGAGTACGGAATTTCTCGGTTCTGCGGCTCGTAATTTACTCCTAATTCTCAGCTCCGGGGCCCCTGTTCATCATGGACACTGACAATGTCGTCTTCAACGGCGGAAGCCACAAAATCGACGTATGCGCAGCTGCGATGAACCAGACGTCGGACGCTCATTTCTGATTCATTGTTAGGGTAACGGCGCGTCTTATTGGGATGGGCAGGGCATCAACGGCGGAGCCTTCAAGCCCCATCCGTTGATCAGGTGAGTGCGCATCCCGCCTGGATTTCATGGATGTCTCAACACTGCTGCTCAGACTCAAGGGCTACGGAACTTTCCAACAGTTCACTGTCTTGAACACCCCTGCCCAGGCCATCTCCGTCAGCACCACCGGCGGTGCGACCACCGTCTCACATGTTACCATCGACAACTGTAAGCGGCCTTCACTGTGCGGGTCAGCTCAACTTTCTCACCTTCCCGATCATCAGCTTTGGGCGACACGAAGGGCGGACACAACACCGATGCATTCGATGTCAGCGCCGACGATGTTACGATCTCCTCGTGCACTGTCATGAACCAGGACGACTGTCTCGCCCTCAACGCCGGAGACAATGTCGTGTTCGAGGACAACAGCTGCGCCAACGGCCACGGTATCTCTATCGGCTCCATGGCCACCGGCAAGAGCGTCACCAACTTCAAGGCGCTGCGCAACACTGTCACCAACAGCTTGTACGGCATCCGCATCAAAGTTCAGGCGTCGGCGACTGGCGCCAAGGTCGCTGGTGCCCTCTACGATGGGTGAGTCACTTCGTCCGAGTCGTCCCTCGCCCGCTGCACTGCGATCTGAGCCCCTCCCCCCTCAGAAACAAGCTGTCGGGCATCACCTCGTACGGTGTCCTGATCACCCAGAGCTACCCCGCCAACGCCGGCACGCCCGGAACCGGAGGACCGATCTCGGGTGTCGCGTTCACGGGTGGAAAGACCACGGTCGCCGGCACCAGCAACGCCTACGGCCTCGTGATCGACTGCGGCGCCTGCACCGGCACCTGGGACTTCTCTGGTCTCGACATCACCGCCGCTGGCAAGGGCCACATTCTCACCATGGACAAGGCTAAGGTCAGTTTCCTCCGCTAGGATCTTCTTTCCACCGTTGTATCTGATGGCGTTTTCAGCTTTCTGGCGGAGTTTACTAAATTTTGGGCTTTTAGGATTCCGATGTTAATGGGGACCAACATCACATTCGTGTATAATATCGATACCTATCGTGTAGTATAATATAATTTCTTTTCCTCTCAAGTGTTCTGTGGACGAGACAGCGCACGGTTTCAATGGGAATTCCTCTTCTTCTTCCGCACCAAGGATCCCGTCGCTGGCTCATTTATCTCAGATGGAGCGATCACCGCCGCGTCCTGCCGTGGATGAATCTTTGGTCGGATTCATTGAAGTGAGGGTTACGCCGGACACCAAGACCGGAGGATCATAATGTGCATCAGGAATAGCGATGACCGCCGCCTCGCGCGTGGATGAATACTGGGTCTAGTTTATCGTGGTGAGTGACTCGCAGTGTAAGGAGACTGCATGGCACAAATCTGGGTATTTTTCGAAACTGATTTTGCTCCATCGTACCAGCCCACCACTTCCAAAGCCCCCAAACCTATGTCCCGACTACCGCTGCCCCCGCATCCCAGTTGCTATGAGATCCTTGGTCGAGACGTCCGTTGCTACCCGCGCGTCAAAAGCGCTTCTTTGATCGGCAGATTCCGAGAGTCCATGAACGAGATGGTTCATTTTACCAGCGGAGCTGAACTGACTTTTCAGCCACGCAGGTCGCTTGGACTTGATTGACGCCAGGTTTTCGTCTTGAAGGAAGCATCCTCTCCAAACTTCCGGACGTATCTGAACCAGTCGGTTTACCACCCGTGTCTTCCATACTCCGACTAAGAAAGATGGCTGCAACGAAGGGGTGGAGCAGAGGCTCCGAGGAAAGTGGCAAAGGCTCCGGGGATTCGGCTGTTGAGTCTCGGAGCGTGTATTCGGTCCCGTGGCCGTTCACACGGAGTCTAGGCTCGACGTCTCTCTCCCCGAAATAAGATAACAAAATGGTACTACTAATTGAAGTAATTAAATGACATTTGCGCACGCGGGTGGTGAGGATCTGAGCGGGATTTCTCCAGCTTTTTTCCGCATCAATGCGCACCACCTTCTTCGCGACGTTGGTCTTTCTTTGAGCGACGGTAAGCAGTGTCGTGAGGGATGCGTTTGTCCTCTCGAAGGGAAGATCAAGATCCGTAAATTGCCATGCTGATTTGAGAGGTGCGAGATGAAAGAGCGCAGCAATTACCACACGGACCACTATCTCCTCTTCTTTTGTCGACGAGATTATGACAGTTTGGCCTGTTACTCGAAGCTCAACGGCATTCGTGAATTGTGAAAACACATCAGCACCGAGTTTTCTTGATAACTGCCTACAAAACAGTGCATACACCCTTCGGCCAAGAAAGCACATGAAGAATCTCAGCAGTGTCAAGGCGTCTCGTGCGGTCTCGCGAAGAAGACCAAGGTGGTCTACCGGACCCTGTCGGCCCCAACACATACGTGCGAGCTGAATTAATTCCAACGTACATAACATCATCGGACCAGTGTCCGTGCTCATCCCCCGACGAGACCGACGTTTTGGGCATGCCAAACTGGCATTGGCCCGCGCAAACGGGCATTTGATGGGCATTTGACAGTTTTGGCTTGAAATTGATGCGATCAGGCATGCATGCCCGTTTGTCGGCATGCCAAGCCGACATTTTGGCATGCGCTCAGCCAAGTATAATTGCTTTTCTTCAAGTCTTTAGCCGTCCAGGATATATACTGACTGTTCCTAGGCTCTTAGGAAGCTCCATATGGGACTCGGAACCAATTGTTCCTATCATAACAGACCCCAGCATTGTTGGATGCGACATCGCGTGGTGTCAAGCCTGTAATGTCGCTCATAACGTGCAAGCCATCGGGCTTTTCATCATATTCTTATTTTATTCATTGCATCCTTCCGATGTGCAATGGTCAACACTTTCTCCATCGTGCTGTTTACCAATTTCCCGAGATGAATTGGAGATATATTTTGTTCATTGCTAAGCACAAACCTTCCTAATGTCTTCCCATGACTTTGCGAACATCGAATCGTAATAGATCACACTGCAGATGATCCTCCGCGATCTTGAGGCTGTCTGTCAACGCGCATGCCACTACCTTGATCGCATGATATCACATTAAAGCGGCGCGATCTTGATTCCCTCGCCTCGTTCACTCTGAGCTTGGTTCTTAGAGACAGCGGCTTGAAGATAAAGCGAAACTGGATTGCTAAATGGACGAATCATCTTTGGGGGTTATGATCTTTACCTCCCAAGTCTTAATCAAGCCCGTGGTCCGACGGAGTCATGGCGGTGACGTTGAGCTCATGTTTCAGGAAGGAGAACGTGAGGTTGAGTACTGGGATACTGATTATGCGAACTAGAGCCCTCAACGCCGCAAAATCTGAGTTCTAGGAGCATTCCGTGGTGTCCGAGGGTGGTGGCGGCGATGGCGACTTACCACTGAGCATCTCGGATATTCAGATGTTGTGCCCTTATGCTGTAAGCGATATCGACGACGGGGAGCGCTGCCGCTATCAACGACGAGAGCTCAGGGAAGAAACTGGTCTCAGAAAATGGGCACAAGCCATGCCCATGCCCATGCCCGCCATCAAAAGCCCGCTGAGCCAAATTCAAACTCCGCTTGGCGCGACATGCCCGTTTGCCGCGCCCATGTGATAAGTCTGTCCCCCGACCCGCATCGAGTCAAGTCAGCTGAATGCCGTCAGACTTTTGTGTACTTTTGCTGACAACAACTTACAACTCGTCGGATGACCCCAAATGGTCGGGGAGACGCCAGGTAGTTTGCACAACAAAGATTGGATTGAGCTAGTGAGAGGATTCGGTACAAGTGTCCAAAGGAGGGAGTGGTAGGTCTACTAATAGATTACAGTCAGGGCTCATACAATGGCGGGGCGCTTTCACTATCAGCCCTGGCCCGGGGTTGCATCTCGCCGTCTTTCTCCCGATACGCTGGCGCGCTGTGTAGCGCCTGAGGCGCATCGCCTCGGGTAAGCTGGAACAGAGCCGCCGCGGACTTTTCGTTCATGCTTGGACCGAGATTTGCCCCTGCCCCTGCCCCTGACCCCGCTCGTTCAGTCCTGGCAGCCGACGAAGAGGATGAAGCCTCTGCCGCTGCTGAGGACGACGACTGTGAGAAGGGATGGATGCCAACCAACGAGGGCCGGGTCCAGCCATACCCCAAACTCGGCGTCGGCGGAACCAGCCCGCAGGACGCTGCCGACGATCCCGAGGGCGAGTTGGGCGTCTGCGGCAGCGGGGACAGCGGTGCCGGGGACAGTGGCGGTAGCGAGAATGCCGGCGTCACAGGACTCGGTGATCCGGGCTCAGCGACCAGGACGTGCCCGTTGGCCAGCGGAGACCGCAGACGTGTTACTGCTTGGGGAGGCGGCGAGATGAGCGGAGTCGCGCTCGAAGGGGAGCGGAGCCCCGAGTACTGGGCCGGAGGGCGTGGGTACTTCTGCGGGGAACTGGGGCGGTGAACGGGCGCTACGGCTCGGGGAGCGGTATCGGACGCCCAGCTCGAGGGCGGGGTGTATTGCCTTGGCGCAGCCTGCTTCGGGGTGCTGCGTCCCCATTCGACGGAAGCCTGCTCCCATTTCCGACGCTGTTTCTCTCGCCGCCGCCGTCGCAGACACGTCGACATGAACACAATGAACAGTGTCAGCATGGCAGCGGAGAAGATCCCCACGATGAGGATCATGCGCTTTGTGCTGGCGGATAGCCCCGACTGCCCAGGCGATCCCGGGGCTGGGCTCGTCGTTGACGGCATGGGGGCTGATACCAAACTCGTAATGCCGTAGTCAGTACCGACGTTGACCGGCGCATAAGCAAGGACGGGGACAGAGGGAGACGTTAAAGGAGTGGAAGGTGCAGATGAGGATGGGATGAAGACGCCCGCGGTCGCAGCCGCGGTCAGGGATATCATGGACACAGTCCGACTAGCAAGGTTTTCAGGAGCCGCAGGTGAGCTCTTGAGATCGACGCTCGAAGGTGTTGGAGGCGAGGTGCTCGTGGCTTGCGACTTCGAAATCGGGCTAGATGGTGAGCCGGCGGATATGGATGATGCAGCTTGACTGGCACTCCGTGCTCTGGTCGTAGAATGGATAGACGCGGCGCCAGCCGTTGCCAATGAGAGTGTGGAGGAAAGCAAAGCCGATGCGGACGCCGAATGAACATCGGAAGTGAGAGTGCTGGAATGAGCACTCGCAGGCAAGCTCGTGACACTGATGAAAGACAGAGATGTCAGGCCAGAATCTCATGACAGAGAATCCGCTTACATGAGATCAATTGCTTTCGAAACCGCAAGACTCTCCTTGACCGTGTCAGGGACTATCGAGGCCGACGGAGTGGAGACAATCGCGAGAGTGAAATCTCGGGAGGCACTGGGAGGGATTGGTTCGGCGTGCGCCGGGATAGATCCCAGGAGAACAGGTAGAGAGGCGGGGCCGAAATGGATGAGTAGCGACTGAAGTTTCATGATAAGACTTGTGTGTGCTGGAGGGTGCAGAGGCGAATAAGGCGGGGTTATGACCGTTCAAGGCCAAAAAAACAAAAATTAGGAAAGCAATCGAGCGTGAAAAGAACAAAGCGATGCGCGAAAAGGTAAGAGGAGATGAGAAAAGGCACGAGAAAGAAAGAAGGAAGGAGTAGTGGACGCACTGCATTGAGCCCCGCCCAACAGACCACCCACTCCCACTCTGTCCATGTCAATGCATGTCGAACCGTCAAGGGTCAGACGCCATGATACTGATACTCCTACGCTCGAAGTATCACGTCGATCTTGTCGAGTCAAGCTACTGTTTGACGGATACACATGTTCGTTGCGTAGGGCGCAGGCAGGTGGTACGGCGTTTTCGAGCGAGCGAGCTGCAGGGGATGAGTCGAGCAGCGCGCGCCACTAACGCCCGTCGTCAGGTCGGAGTAGCTGCAGCTCTGCATGCCGTGAGCTCGAGCGTGATAGATGATGTCAGACTCGTGGTTGCTGGAGACCTAATGCACGTGATATTGACGTGTTACGAGCAAGTCACACTTTTAGTCTCGTGAGGTGAACGAGCAACACAACACATTACTGGTGACCGGAGGTCTCATCCTGTCTCACCTCATAGACAACTTCGGCAATCCTCTTTTCTTTCCGTATGATGACAACATTCCGTGAGAATGCCCGGCAGCGATGAATCAACGACGGAATTTCCTCTGACCGAGCTATTTAAAATAATCACCGTAATCCAGTGCCTCAAATGGTCTCACCCTGGATCACCGAGCTCTTGCATTCACCGAAAGCATCAGTGATAATTTTCATAATTTGGCGGACATCACTGCTTGATAGTACCGGGCACCGATAAACCAACGGAAGATTTCTCACTGGCCACGCTCTTCGGGGAACAGATGCCTCAAGTGCAGCAATCCGAAGCCTCGAATTCCCTTGGCAAGAAGGTTCATTGCCAAACTCTTGTGCATTGTTTGTTTTTTTGATGCGCTTCGCGCTTCGGTACCCATTGGCAGTCTGCTCACGCATTGTCCTTTGCAGCGCAGTTCGCTATAAAGGAATCGACGAACATGGAGCGAGCTCCCAGGCTTCCAGCTCTGCCATTCTCAACGAAACTTTGTGCAAATCATGTCTGTACGTCTATGCTCTGGTATCCTACTCTCCTAGGACACGTGTCGAGTCCCACTCAACAGAATACATTCGTGGATTGGTGGCACGAGAACACCAATGCCATACGCGTCAACCTCCCGCCGTCCAGCGGGGTTCAACATGTCATCGCCTTCATCCCAGTCTTCAGTCCCTGCACCTTGGGCGTTGCGGTGCTCAATCTAGAAAATCAGCGAGGCGTGATGCGTGGTGAAGAGCGGCTGGACACCCTTATCCCCACCCTACGGACTGTTGCGGGGTTGCCGGTCGTCAATCTGACCATTGAAGTGCGTGCTTCAAGACTGAGGCTCTCAGCAGCCATTATCTGATACTGATGTCTTTGGCATCGACAGTGGCCCGGATACAGAAGCGTCACCTCCACCTTGCGCCTCCAGGAGCACTTATCTGGTGAATTCAGCACACTCAAGGAGCTGGGCCAGCGGATCGCTCAGAAATGGAATACCTACGCCGTGGTGAGCTTCCTCTCCCTCCCCCCGAGTTCCTATGTTGACCTCACATGCCACCAGGACCGCGCAGCGGAGCAGCATCAGAATCCCGGACTGGTGCCTGGATGGCCTATCGGGCACCCCGGCGATATTCAGTACGATCAGATCCGGATCATGGCGCTCTACACCGTGGATGGACTGAACTGGCGTATCTGCTTTGCGGTCGTGCAGAGCTATGCGACTGTAAATGCGTAAATTCTAGTGTACAGTGTTACTGAGCTCTGAACTCTATACCTGAAATTTTCAAAGTTGGTTGGTTGTCACACATTGCACTGGTCTGCACTGGTCCAGAGTGAACCGAGTTGACGTCACAGGCATTTCCGCCAGCGACATTGATAAATTCGTTCATTGCGAGACTTATTTTGATGATTCTTATTGTTGACTGTACGTGTGACCCGGCCTCGAGAGAAATACTCCATCGTTCATATTCGTCACGGGTCATACTCTCGGCCGAATGGATTGGAAGTCTGGAGTGGGCTCAAACAGGGCGTTTTGTCGCAGTCCAAAATGCCGCATGATAGACGTAGCCGAGCATCCCACGCGCATTGTTCGTATACGTCGTATCGATCGTGCGCTCGTTCTCAGCGCCGCAAAACTAAGCCCAAGAATGCCAACGAAAGCGATTTCACTTACGGAAATGTCGAAACCAATCGCGCGAGCGAGTTCCTTAACTTCTTCGAGTGTGAGCTCGATAGACGGGTCATTCGTGCTGTTGTTTTCCCAGTGCCATAAGAGAGGACCTGTGCGCGGGGATTCCGATTCTGGATCAGCGAACAAACTCTGATGTTGCCTTTGCGCACCTAAATTGATCCAAACACCGCCGGGAGCTAGGATTTTGTGAATGATGCGCAGATAGTTCACAACGTTCTTCGCCTATCAATGTCGTGATTGAATGACTTGACTCCACCGAGAAGTGGCAACTAACCGTGTCAATGAAGAAACAAGTAAGAATGGCATCCCACTGCCCGGCTTGAGGCTCATCGGGACTGTGTCCATCCGCACCGTAGATCTCTTCGAAGTCTCCTGATCAGACATGAGCCCCAGTCTCACGGTAAGCAAGTAGGCAGCGTGCCTGCCACAAGCGAAAAGTCGACTCCTCGTGGAATGCTCGACGGGAGGACGTCCGGGATAGTCACTGCTCGCAGCATCGATTCTGTTGTGTCGATATTCGAGAAAGAATGCACGTAAGGATAGATCGTGTGCTCATTGATCTCATTCGTTCTGCAAGTGAGACGTTATTGCACAGCATCAGGCGGAAATGTTGTTAGTTACCGATTCAGGATGCAATGAGAGGCCAGAAGCATGAATTGAGAGAACTCATTGCCCTGACATGCGAAGCCTGGCAGTCGACCACACATGTCAGAAATAACATTGCAATAGAGTGTCAGTGGTTCTCACCCAGAGAGGCAACGTCGTGCGCAAGTCGACCTAGACCGCTACCGGGAACTAACACTCGTAGCTTTCGTCTGATTATCAGCGGATGAGCACGACCCGCCAGCGGAATGCCCGGGCTCACCGCTCCATCTCAGACACACTCGCGTAGTGCCGTAAAAGTGCGTCCTTGATCGGCTGGTAGCATGCATCGCGCTCCACGATCCCCTGCTCATATTTAGACCAATCAGCGGAGGATCGGTCGGTCAGCCCCACACCTCTTCGCTCCAATCCCGCACAAATTGCTTCAACGTGCTCCGTAGTTTGTCCATATCGAAGTCCGTGGGTGTGTACGGCTCCGCTGAGCCGGCGCCGTGTTCATGGTTATAGGAATGCCCATGCAAGTGCGAATGTCCTGGAATGGCGTCCGTATCACGGCAGATCAGCCGCCGAGGAGCCCACCGCACCTTCCGCACGCGGCTCCGCATACTCCTCGCCCTCCCCAGCCTGCCCAAAGATCTCCGGATCCTCGACAATGAGCCCGAGAAAATCCGCGTTCGCCTCGATCGCCTCGTCGACGCGGTCTAGTTTTGCTTTGTACCCCAGCGCCGCGAGAAGTTCCCGGTCAGCGCTCGGGAGCCGAAAAAAGTCTTTCCGACGACGGTTGTTCGCAGAAAGCTAGACACGAGCCATTCAGTGGGGTCTGTGTGTCTCCAAGTGGTTTGCTCATGACGCACGGAGTAGCGAGCATAATATCGGAAGGCTGCGATTACGTTTGCAAAGTGGGCTTGTTCTGAGGATGACGAGAGAGCTCGGAAGACCACGGCGATCAAAGATGAAGCGCACCTTCCGCATTCTCGAGTCCGGAATGGTCATGGTGGTCGTGCTCCATTGGCTGGTAGAACTGAGCGCAAGTGTAGTTATCAGCGGGTAATCACATCGATCGATTGCCTAAAACGGTCGGATGCATCAGATGGATTACGTGGATTTTCGAATCGGTCTGAAGCGTCTGTTCCTTTGATGTGATCCAGCAAATGACCATCGAGCGAAGACTCAAGCTCTTCAGCAGTCACTTGAATGTATGTGGGAAGGGGAAGGTCAGAAGTCACCTCCGATTACAACGCTTTGCTTTCCCAGTTGATTGGAAGGGAACTCCCCGCCGATGGGTCGATTTACTAGCTAATCGACAATGTTTGGCTCCTTCATGTGCTGAAGACCGTTCACTAGCGTACACGGAGTGCTCTAACCGCTTCCGACTACCAAAGCCGTCAATATCGAGTCCACTGGAACACTTCCGACTCGCGCGTTCTTGCCTTACGGTAGTGCTTACTGCAACGTTGGGGTGGGCAGCCAATTAGAAGACGCCTGGAGAGGGGGACGAGATCAGAATGTACGTCCCATTACTTCGATCGAAGACTCTGTGCCCTTTCTCGCCGCACCTCATCACACAAACCCGTGTGCATAAGAATGCAGACGTGTCCCGAGTTCGACGAATTCCACTATGTCTGCAGTCCCCGAAAAAACAACAGTTCTCGTCATCGGCGGCGGGCCCGCCGGGTCCTACTCTGCCTCAGTGCTCGCGCGACACGGCATCGAAGTGACGATCCTCGAGGGCGCCAAGTTCCCGCGGTACCACATCGGCGAGTCGCTCCTGGCGTCGACGAACTACTTCCTGGAGTTCATCGGTGCCCGCGAGAAGGTGCTGGCGCATGGTTTCATGAAGAAACCTGGTGGGCTGTTCAAGATGCGTCGCGATTTCCCAAGTGCGTCGTCAATACACCTATCGAGGCACCCACTGACTCTGCACGTTAGCGGTGTACACAAACTTTGTCTGTATCGCACGGCCTCGTCAATTTATATTTGCTCTGACCGGAACCTTCCAGGTCGACCACAGCACAGGAAACCACGCCGTGAACGTCGAACGTGCTAAATATGATGACATTTTGTTCCGCCATGCCGAGTCCCAAGGCGCGAAGATCTTCGACGAACACAAAGTCACCAGCCTCCGATTCTCGCCGGACGACTCGGACAGGCCTATCGCTGCCGAGTGGTCGAACAAGTCGGGTGGCAAGGGCGTCATCGCTTTTGACTACCTCGTCGACGCATCGGGGCGCTACGGTGTGATGTCGGACAAGTACCACAAAGATAGGAAGATCACGGAGAGTCTCAAGGTGCGTTGCACTCTCCTTCATCTGGGCGGGCGATCAATCATTTCCCAGAATATTGCTATCTGGGGATACTGGAAGGGAAACTACAAGCACGGCCAGGGAACTGAGCGGGAGGGTGCAATCCTCGTAGAGACTCTGCACGGTGAGAGACGTTCCTTCATTTTCTACAAATCGCTCACATGTGCTTCGAAGACCACACCGGTTGGGCGTGGTTCATTCCTATGACAGACGACACTGTTTCGATCGGGGCCTGCATCCATGAGAAACACATGAAGGAGAAGAAGGCAGGCAAGACCCAGGAGCAGGTGTACCACGAGGTTTTCAGCCAGCTTGAAATCATCAACGAGGCCAAGGCCGACACGGTGCTCCAGCCCAACAAAGCAGGAGGGACGAGTCCCGTGGCGATGGCGAGTGACTTCAGCTATCTCTCCGAGAATGTGGGCGCGAAGAATTACCGTCTCGTCGGAGACGCCGCTGGTACGTAATTCGATCAGTCCTTCCGTCCACTTCTAATGATATCAACACCCCAAAACTAGCTTTCATTGACCCATTCTTCTCGAACGGAGTGCACATCGCGTTCGTCGGTGCGCTGTCTGCCGCGCTCTCAATCATTTCCGTCATGGAGGGGAAGGCGACGGAGGAGGTCGCCGCGGACTTCCACACCCGCGAGCTTAAGACCGTCTACATGCGCTTCTTCCTCGTCGTCGCGGCCGCCTATCGCCAGATGCGCGGGGGCGAAATCGACATCCTCAATGACGTCGACGAGAAAACGTGCGCTCATATTCCACGTCACACACCGGCAGTGCCCGTTCTTCGCTGATGTGCCTTACCCCAGATTCGACCACGCCTTTGAACTGATCCGTCCCGTCATCCAAGGCACCGGGGACATCGGGCAGGACTCGAAGAGCAGCGGCAACGCGCAGCTGACCGACTCCGAGCTCCACGCGGCGATGGAGTTCGTCTTCAAGCTTTTCCCGTCGTTCTACGATCAGAGCACGGACGATCTCGGCACGGATGCGCGCGAGCGGCTCGCGTGTTTGCGGGGGCAGCTCGCGTTCGATGGGCAGCACCAGGGCGTGAAGATGATATTGGACGGGGCGTTCGAGTCCATGAAATGCAAGGTCACGGCGGCGAAGGTGGCGAGCTGAACGGGTTGATTGCCGCATCTCGATTGCAGGATGGGATCGAGACGAAGGCTTGTTGTTTGCTTCTTAGATAGGTTGTGTGTGTAGTGTACTATGTCGCGACGGGGTTGGGGTCATGTCAATGCTTTCTATTTCACTGTGCAGCGACTTCCTGTCCTTAGATACAAGTCAAGAACACGGTCCAAGTCTACCTGGGAGCAAATTCTGCAGGCACTGTCCCATTTTAGACCTTCGTTATCTCATAACCGCGTTATCTATTCATTGTTGATATAGACCCGAGCTTCGAATGGTCGGAGTTCCACCTTTGTGCCTAGTTCTTCTCGGCCATAGTTTCCCAAAAGAAACCTGAAAGGGCTCCATTCTTCTCCAGGAACCTCGTATGCCACACCATGGACGGTGAAATTCAAGAGAACGAGTGCTTTAACACCGCCGTACGATCGCGTATAGGCGAAGACTGCTTCATTCCCCGAGGATAGCAAATCGAACCTGCCATAGATCTATGCAGCTCGTTCAGCAGCGTTCTGACAGACGACTTCAGCTTAGGTGCTTACCAGAACTTTGTGTGCCTTCCTGAGACGCACTGCTTCCTTCCAGAAGGCCAAGGTACTCCCTTCATCGGCGGATTGACTAGCGACATTGCATGTGGAGTAATCATCGTTGACGCGCATCCAGGGTTCGCCAGTCGTAAAGCCACTGTGCGCGGACGAGTCCCACTGCGACACGTCTGATGACGTGCGATAAGATTTAGTCGCCCGGGACGCACCTGCATCGGGACACGGGCGTGATCTCGAGCTTTTCGCTGCAGCCCGTGCATGATATCATCCATATTGACCTCCTTTGATCCCGACTCCCGCTGCCGCTTCTCGAGAACTCTAATCCAGCTCAGCAGGAGGAATCCACTCAAAGCAGTTGAGGCGGGGGACTCACTCGTTGTACCAATTGACCGACGCGACATCCTTGTACTCCTCGATGCCCCACTCGCGCGGGAAGTTCTTCATGCCCAACTCCTCGCCCTGGTAGATGTACAGTGTCCCGCTCAGTGTTGTCTGCAGCACGGCAAGCATCTTAGCCGACAAGCTGCGCCACTCGTCCGAGTCGTTGCCGAAGCGGGACACCGATCTCGGCTGGTCGTGATTCTCGATGAACACGCTGCGTGCGAATGAGGCCAAGTGGCAGCCGTTGAAGGTTCAACCGACGCACGCATTCCAGTACCCGTTCTCTTGCTCGAGGGTCTGCCACTTGTCCACGACAGCCTGAAATTCGGACAGCTTCCACGGTTTGTGCGTGAAGCGCATGCCGGGTTTCTTCAGCCCATCGATGTCCATGATCTCGAACTGGAACACCATCTGCAACTCCTTGTTGGCCGGGAGGACATATTTCGCTAGTTCTTCGGTGGGGTGGGTGAACGGCGTTTCACCAACAGTCATTAGATCGTGTTCTGCAGGAAAATCAGCCTTGTGTCGAGCTGAGGAGTGGAGTAACTCACTGGAGAGAACCTCCTGATTCATTTCCTTCAAAAATTCGTGCACGCGTGGGCTGGATAATTTAACTTGAAAGGTTCACAGCTGGATTGGGACACGTACCCATGGACGAACAGCGTCGACGCGTCCTGCAGCTCGTCGGTGGGAACCGTTATCGGCGCATCAGGCAGTCCCTCTAGTTTCGAGATGAGGTTGATCACGTCCATCTGCGTGTTCGATCAGTCATTGCCTTCCAGAAAGCCTCGTTCCAAAACTCACCCGAAACCCATCGCAACCTCTCTGCACCCACCAATGCATCATTTTCCAGATCGCTTTCCGGACCTCCGGGTTCTCCCAGTTCAGGTCGGGCTGCTTGTCAAGAAAAAGGTGAAGGTAGTATTCGTCCGTGCCCTCATCGTACTCCCACACCGAGCCTTAAAGCCGCGTTCAGCTCTGGCCAGCCACGCAAGGCTGACGCGCACCTTGGAAAACCGCCTTCCAGTTATTCGGCGGCCGTCGGTTCCCCGCGGCGTCGTACTTCGGTGGGCGCCAGATATACCAGTCGCGTTTGGGATCGGACTTGGACGACCGGCTGGACGTGAACCACTTATGCTCGTCGGAGGTGTGGTTGACCACCAAATCCATCCTGCGTCCGATTCAGTGAGCGGGAGGAGGACGGTATGATGCGGGACGAGACTCACACGAGCTTCATCCCACGGCTATGCAGCTCCTGCACGAGTCGGTCGTAGTCCTCTAACGTACCATAGCGCGGATCGATGTCATAGTAATCCGATCTGCAGTCGGGGTCCATCCGGAGGCTGACAGATCCAAAAGCTCGCAACGCACATATCGTATCCCATATCGGCGAGCGGCGATCGATAGATGGGCGAGAGCCACAGCACATCGACGCCCAGATCCTTCAAGTAGTCCAGCCGCGAGAGGATCCCTGGGAGATCGCCTAGTCCGTCGCCGTTCGAGTCCGAGAACGAGACGGGGTAGATCTGGTAGACGACCGCGGATTTCCACCAGGTTTCTGGGAAATCGGACATTCGAGGGAGGTGGAAAGAGTCAAGTATGAGCCTGCGAGGAGGCCCATGGACCTAACGTGTTTTGGTCAGGTGCTCGATTTTCGTCGGACAACGGCCCGTTTAGGATCACGTGGAATCCGACGGGTGCACCGGGTTCGAATCGGGCTCAGGACAAGATGGCATGACATTTACGCAAAAACCTTGCCGCAAGATCGAAGGCTGACAGGGTCTGGCGCCACATCTGTTGATTGTTTGTAAATTCTTACATTATACGTTCTATCTCTCACTACCGCTATCTGAGTTTGAGTGCCGACACGTGCAACTGCACAGCCAAAAAAAAGTGGAAACAACCAGCCGCTCTCCAGTGTCAACCCAGCCCGATCATACAAACGCCTACCACACCACCGCCAAGCCCCTCCGCCCTGATCAATCCTCCAAATGCCGTCTTCTCACGCAAGAAATCGACCCGCTTCATCCCCTTTTTCTGTTCCTCGGCCTCCCGCTCCTCCACACTCGCAGCACCCCCACGGCGCTGCGCCTCCGCACGACACCGTCTTCTAAACGCACGTGCGACACCCGCCTGCGCCACGTGGTCCAACGCGTCCCAGTCCGCCTGCGCGACGCGCTTATGCAGCGTGTGGTGCACAGCGGCGAGAATGTCGCCGAGCGTGATCGGCGGCGGCGGCGAGCGCGGCGTCTCCCCGCGGAACGTCGCGCTCAGGACGAGCGCCGGGTTGAGGTGCGGCGCGGGCTCCGGCAGCGCGAGCTCGATGTCCCAGTCCTGTGCGGCAAAGTCGTCCAGAACCAGCCGCAGGGACGTGCGCGGCGGGTGGAATGCGCCCTCGCTGAGCTCGTCCTGCGATAGTGCTCGCGTATGGCTGGGCTCCCCGGGAGCTTGCGGCGCGGCATGGAGTGGAGTGAAGGCGCTGTGGGCCACATCGAACGTCACCGCACCTCCGTGCAGGAGCGGATGAACCTGGTGTCCGTGCAGGATCCCGTCGCCGCCCTCGCCCGGTAGAGACTGGTACAAGGCCCAAGTGGGTGGGAGCGGGATCGACGACGTGGACGACTTGGCTTTGCGGTGCTTCGGGCGGTACCCGCCCTGCGCGCCGGGATCGCTGACGGTGGTCCCCGCGGGGCTGCCGTATGAATGCGCGTGCAGGAGACCGGGCGAGGCGACGGGCCCCCGCGGGGCGTGCCACGACACCGTGCGCTCCCGGCGCGTCATGGGCAGCCCGAGCAGCGAGTGCCCATTGGGCGATGCGGCTGCGTGCACTGGGATCGCTGCATCCGTGCGGGGAGATGGTGGATAGAGATACGGTGACGGGGGGAGGAATGGGGACTGGGGGATCTGTGGACTGGCGTAGTACGCGTTCTGGAATGCGATGGGGGTAGATGGGCGCGAGAACGATCGCGGCAGATGGAGATGAGGCTGAACCATGTACCGATGGAGATTTATGAGTCGCTTCTCCAGTCCCCCAAGGAGAGATTGAGGTGTTTGAGATGCTGGTCTAAGCCAAGTCAGTAGCGACCGTAGCAGGTCAGATGCAAGTCGCACTCAATCAGGCTTCGGGTGCGATAGATTGGGCATGGGCGCTGATCTTGCTTGCACGCATGGCAGGGAACATGGATGAGATAGATGACTATCTCAGATGTCGATTGCGTTACCGTATCTGCACAAGAATTTGAGTTTCGGCAGCTGCCTGGTCAAATGTACATGTTTCGAGCCTTCCATCCGTAGGCAAACAGAGTCTAGAGAGCTACAGATATCTTGTGCTTCCCACCCGCCAAAGTAAAGTGTGGCCCCTCAAACGCCGGTGCCCGTTTCCCGTCGACCTGGACGGATCCCCCGGCCACCTCACTCGGCAAGACGACCAGCCCCGTCGTGCCAGCGGGCACATCCAACTGGGCACTAAACTTCTTCCCATTCCACGTCCATTTAGCGCCGAACCAGCCGAGCGGCGTCTCGAATCCGCCCTCCGCCGCGGGGAGTCCCGCCAGACTCGGTGCGAAGGACCATTCAGAGCCCTGCACCTTGGTCACAGACAGCCCGAGGACGTAGATCGTGAGCGCAGACGTGGGCCCGCTCGACCAGCCGTGCGAGTGGGACGTGTATGCTGGATCGTGATTGTATCCGACGATGGCGCGGTAGTCCAGCCCGCCGACCGCGGTGAAGCCCTCGAGCATGGTGCTCTGCACGGACAGATTCGTGTAGAGAATGAATCCCCATTCGCGGTGGAGCAGATCGAGAGCGCGAGTCGCATTCCCAGCTACAAAGTGGGCTTGCAGCTGAGTTGTGTTTCGTGACCACAGAAATCATGACAGTGGAGACAAACGCACCTCAAATCCGCCGATGAACGGCGATATGGTGTTGGGGAGCTCGGGGGCAACTGCGCCGAGCTCGTTCCAGTTCTTCTCCAGCCCGGCACTGATCTGAGCGGGCTTCTCCGGCGAGTCGGTGATATTGAAGAGGATCGCAAACGAGTTGGCGTCCTGGGGCGTCAGCGTCGTGGTGAGGTTGTCCTTGTACATCCCGGCCTCAGGAAGCCAGAAGTTTTTGTTGAAAGCCGCTTTCAGGTTAGTCGCGTTGGTCGCATAAGCAGCAGAGAGATCGGGGAGTGACATGGCCGCAGCGAGTTCGGAGGCCGTCATCAGCACCTGCAGATGGTCAGTCAGCAGAAGCAGAGCAAGAACGCAGGCCACCCACCTTGTACAAAATCGCATTTCCCTCTGCATTGAATCCTCCGCCGCCTTGGCGCGCCCAGTCTCGCAGTCCCGTGACATTCATCAGCCCATTCGTCGCGTTCACTTTCCCCTCGACGTACGCCACAGCCTTGGTGTAGTTCGTCCAGATCCCGCTGACCCACTCCAAATCGCCGGTGTACAGCCAGTAGTTGTCTGCCGAACAAATCCATCAGCAACCACACAATACCCCCAACGCAGAAACAGAGACGCACGGGTGCCCACGAGCGTCCAGCAGTGGTACGTGTCGCTGTTCAGCTGGCTCAGCGGCGGGCCCGACTCGGGCAGCGCGCCTGTCGTCGGGTTGATGTGCGTGAACATCGTCCCCAGCGCGTTGCGCGTCGGTACGAGGTCATTTGTTGACACGAACTGCGTCGGCACGGCAATCCCCATGTCGCCCGGCCACACGGCACGGTCGCGTTTGGCGCCGTCGACGATGATGGGGCTCCCAATGCCGAGGGTCGCGTTGTTGGCCCAGTCTGCGGGGTCGTTAGAACCGACAGCCGAGCGGTGCGAAGGATCACTTACGTCCAACTGAGACCATGGGGATCTGCCGCCCAGTGTTGACTGGCACGGTGTTGGTCTGCACAGTGTATGCTCCACCCATCCACACTGCAAGGGGCGTCAGAGCGAGACATGCGTGATTTCTAACGACAGACACACCTTTGGTCAAAAAGTCCTCGTCATGGAAGCCCGGATCCTTCGCGTAGAAGTACCCCGTGTAGTTTCGCAAGTCGTTCGCGCCCCAGTGCGGCATGAACGAGATGGCCGTGCTCACGTTGGCGATCTGCAGCGCCGGCGAGTTGGACACGATCGTCAGGTAGCGGAATCCTCCGCGGAGAGCCGTTGGAGGTTGCGTCCAGAAGGAGGAGGTGGTGCTCGCGGCGGCCGTGACGGGGAGGATTCCGTCGTACAGCGTCGTGGCGTTTGGGAACGTCGAGTCGTCTGAGGCGGTTGGGCGGATGAACGACGGGGACTCGGTAAAAGACAGGGAGAAGGAAGGGGCAGTGGAACTGTTTGAAGGGAGGATGTTCATCGAGATGAGCCCGCCGACCTGGAGGGAGCACAATCAATCACGTCTGCCCCATCTTTCTCGTCAGGCGGAGCACACACACCTCGACACCGAAGTCCAGCGTCACATACGATCCCTCTGACAGCGCCGCACCCACCAACTCCCCTTTACTTTGCTTCTTCCCACCCTCCAGAAGCAGATTTTCGGCGCTGTCGACGGTGCCGACAGTCTGGTACACCTTCGCCGGGTACACCGTTTTTGATTTTGGCGCATAGTTGAACTTGTCCCACGGACCCTTGGGTGCAAGCGCCGTCGCGGGCCCCGCGAGGAGCGACAGGAGCAGCGGAGGCAGGAGGAGGACGCGTGCAGTGGGCATCGCGGGGTATGGGGTAGGCAGCAGTGGCGTGCGACGTGACCACCTTATACGCGGGTTCTTGGGGAGCACTACGGCAGCATTCGAAGAGCGGCGCGCGTCACGAGGGTTGGCGTCGCGGGCCGGGGGGATGTATGGGCGGGGTCATGCGCTCGCGGTCTGAGCGTCGAAGGTCAGTCAGCTGCGCGGCCGTGGGAAGTGATGGGCATGCGGGATGGCGGTGCCGTGATCGGCTTGGCGTGAACGTGACTTTCGTTCAACTTGATTTCGGGAATGGAGATCGCCCATGCTGGTCATTCAGAGCAGGAAAATGGCCATTCAGAATGTGAGACATGGAATTTGTTGGGAAACCCTGTCTCATTCAATTGATCATTGCTACAATGGATAGTGCCTCTCAGCCCGGTTCTCAGCTTCTACGAATTACTACTGATTCCTCAAGGTCGATAGGTTTGTATTGGGTTGGAGATCATAAACACCACGAGAAACTATTCTATATTTTTCATAAGATGAAATATCTATCTCTGAAACTCATTCTCCCAATTTTCATGTCATTTGAACTAGTCAACGCTTCACAGTTCTTGAATTGAACTCCCACGTGATACAGTCTCAAATGCATGTGAGCTGATAGGATTCGCGCGATCAGTGATTTGATTCTTTGCGGCACTTCGACTTCTTGTCTTCGACGCACCTTCTGCACCCCCTGACTATTGCCCAAGTCCACCTCCGAGTTAAATCCGTGATAGGATTCTCGCAAGGACATCACCTCTGCACGGCCCCTTTGCGCTACTCGCTAGTGAAGAGCATCGAAGTTTGTGCACCTACTCCTGATCGATTCCAGGTTCGACAAAGTGAAAGGCTCGAACTTCGACGGCCCTCCTCCAGACGCGTCGATCTATCACCGCGCCCTTCGAATCTCATACAGAGCGCGAATCATGCACGGGATCATGTGATAGAAGAGCCAGCCAGGAGCGTATGGATGGTGTCATCGCTCCCCAAGCGTACCTGGTAAAACCAGCGCTCCAGCTTCTCTCATACTCACCTCCCGCTCCACCCCACCATGAAACTCAATGCCCTGCTGGGCACCGCTCTCCTCGCCGCCGCCGGCGCGAGCGCCAAAACACACACGCAATCCCACAGCACCTTCGCGGACCTCTCCGCCGCCTTCCCGAACCTCTCCGCGCGCGCACGCACGCCGCTGGTCGCGTTCGACAACTATAGCCTCTCGCTCGCGGGGCAGCGCGTGTTCCTGCACTCGGGCGAGTTCCACACGTTCCGCCTGCCGGTGCCGTCCCTGTGGCCGGACATCCTCCAGAAGGCCAAGGCCGCGGGGCTGAACGGGATCAGCGTGTACACGCACATGGGCGCGATCAACCCTGCCCCGGGCGTCGTCGACTTTAATGACTGGCGCGCGCTGCAACCGCTGTACGAAGCGGCCATGGAGGCGGGGATCTGGGTCGTCCTGCGGCCCGGCCCGGTGAGTCTGATTACATCGTAAGTGGGCGCACGGACACTGATTGGGTTCTGCAGTACATCAACGCGGAGACGACTGCCGGTGGTATCGCACACTGGATCACGACCCAAGTCGCGGGTCAGCTGCGCACGAGTGCGGCCGATTGGGAGGCTGCGTGGCAGGCTTACATCGCGGGGATTATCAACCAGACGGAGCCGTTCCAGATCAGCCACGGCGGACCGGTCATCGGTGAGGAGCAGCAGCAGCATTGGAGCGCGAATGAAGAGCGCTGAGATTCCATTCCCCCCAATCAGCTGTACAGATCGATAACGAGTATCAGCAGCGGTCGACTACTTCGCCGTATTACACGCTCCTCGAGGAAACGTACAGGAATGCTTCGATTGATGTGCCGCTGACGTACAACGACGCCGGAGAGCGATCCAACTTTATCAATGGCTCGGTGGGCTTCTCTGGTCCCTATGCCGCTATCGCTACTTACAATTCGGCAGGGCGCAGTCGATCTTTACGGGTGAGCTTGTTCCGACGGTTTGTCTCTCGACACAACCTTGATCATCCATAAGATTGGATGCGTATCCGCAGCTGTTCGACTGCGCGCATCCAACGAAATGGAATCCGGTGGTGACGAACTACCTATCCTACCACGAACGTGTCAAGTGCGTCTCCGCTGCCCCTCTCTTCCACGAACCATACAAGGCCACTAAATGCACGCAGCCCAGCCCAGCCGTTCTACTTCCCCGAATTCCAGGGCGGCTCGTTCGATGCATGGGGTCCGGGTGCACCCGGCTACCCTGCCTGCGCCCAGCTCACAGGCCCCGAGTTCCAGTCGGTGTTCAACAGGCAGCTCTGGGCGAGTAATGTAAAGATGCTGAGCTACTACATGTTGCACGGGCACGTCGTTCTCTTCCAGCCCTTTAGCAGCTTCTCACTGAGCACACGTAGCGGTACGAACTGGGGCGCATTCCCCTTCCAGTGCGTGTCTTCTTCTCAGGCTGGTCTGTCTGCAGCCCAGCTGACTGATGAGCAGTGGGGTGTACACTTCGTATGACTACGGCGCATCGATCGCGGAGAACCGCGCGATCTCGACGAAATTCAGCGAGCTCAAGCTGCAGGGCATCTTCCTGCGCAGCTCGCCGGCATTCTACAAGACCAACTTCATCGGCGATACGAGCGCAGGCGGCGCGCTCCCGAACACGACGAACGTCGCTGCGTTCGTCAGCCTGTTGACGAATCCCGATACCAAGACCGGGTTTTACGTGCTCAGGCAGACGGACGGGACCTCCACGTGAGTAGTGCCCGACGCGATGTCTTCTTCCATCTGAGCTAATTCGCCAAGCGCGATAACGAATTTCAACATGACGATCGCAACCTCGCTATCGCCTACACTGAACATCCCGATTGTGACCCCAACGCTGACGATCTCTGGGCGCGAGTCGAAGCTGATCCTGACCAACTACGCATTCGGAGGCTCGACGGTGGACTACACGACCGCGCAGGTGTTCTTCGCGGGCAAGATCGGCACACGCGACGTGCTGTTCCTCTACGGCCAGCCGACCGAGTCGCACGAGCTCAGGCTCGCGCTGACGGGCACGCCGAACACCGCGCACCAGTCGGCGCAGGTGTCGCGAACGAGCAGCGTCAGCGGGACGACCATCCTCGGCATCCACACCGGACTCACGGGTCTTTCGACGCTGTACGACTCGTCCACGCAGCTCGTGCTGTACGCGGACTACGCTACCGCCGCGACGTTCTGGGCGCCTGTCATTTCGTCGGGCGGCCAGTTCGGCAATTTCTGGAGCATCGGGTCGAACAGCACCCTGCTCGTCGGCGGGCCGTACCTCGTCCGCACGGCTGCTGTCTCCGGCAGCACGCTCGCACTCGTCGGCGACCTCAACGCCACGAGTAGCAGCAGCAGCAGCACTGTTCCCCTCAGCCTCATCGTGCCCCCCAGCATCAAGTCCGTCACGTGGAACGGCGCCGCAGTGGCCGTGCAGGCGGGGATCTCGACCGTCGGAGGGTGGACAGGCACGGTGGGCCCACGCGCGGCCGCGACGCAGGTGAAGATCCCAGCGCTGACGGGGTGGCGGTACGCGGACTCGCTCCCGGAGGTGCAGTCTGGATTCAGCGATGCGGGGTGGGTGACAGCGAACCACACGAGCACGAACATCCCGTTCCCGATGTATTACGGCGACGGAAGGGTGCTGTATGGGTGTGATTATGGCTTGTGAGTGGTTTTGCTTCGAGGTGCTGCGTCGGTGGGTCTGACGAGGGGCTGTGTTACTTCTAGCTGCGAGAATATCGTGCTGTGGCGCGGGCATTTCAACGCAGCGACATCCCCACCGGCCAGTGTCAATCTGTCGATCAACGGAGGCGAGGGTATGTTTCGCTAATCTAACTCAGACACCGGAATGTTGACAAGTAGCGGCAGCATTCGCGGCGAGTGTGTGGCTGAACGATGTTTTCCTCGGGACGTCCTTCGGAAAGTGAGTTGCAAGGCCCCCTAGTAATGACAGAAGACATATTCCGATAGCTCCTCCAACAACCGCCATATCCTCGAGGAAACGGACGACAAGTTCACTTTCCCCGCCGGTTCGGTCAAGACGGGCGACAACGTGATCACGATTGTCCAAGACAACATGGGACTGAACGAGACCATCAACGGCAGTAAGCAGCAGACACACGTAACCTGCACAATGAACTCACCCACACTCCACCAGACGCCAACACGTGCAAATCCCCGCGCGGCGTCCGTGGCTTCGCGCTGTCCCCGAATACGACGTCCTTCGGGAGCTGGAAGGTGCAGGGCAAGGTCGGCGGGTACCTCGGCTTCCCGGACAAGACGCGCGGCATCATGAACGAGGGCGGGCTCTTCGGCGAGCGCGCCGGGTGGCACCTCCCCGGCTTCGATACGTCGGCCTGGGTCAAACGGGATCTGCTGCAGGGCCTGCCGGGCGGCGGCGCGGGCGTCGGGTTCTTCGTCACGGAGCTCGACCTCGCGATCCCCGCCGGCACGGACGTGTTCCTCAGCTTCACGTTCGAGGAGCCGCTCGGCCAGGCGTACCGCGCGTATCTGTTCGTGAACGGGTGGATGATGGGCAAGCGCGTCGCGAATCTCGGGTGCGTCTCGCTGGCTGTATGCGGGTTGGAGGCTGACTGACACGCGAACAGCCCGCAGGCCAAGTTCCCCGTGCACCAGGGAATCCTGAACTTCTCGGGCAAGAACACGGTCGCGGTCGCGCTGTGGTCGATGTCGAGCGCGCCCGTCACGCCGAACCTCCAGCTCGTGGTGGACGGCGTCCTTGATGGCGGCGTCCCGGGCGGCGTCACCGTGAACAATCCCGCATTCTCGAGTGCGGGCAGAGTCTGAACGAATATGTAAAAGCTGTAATTGAAAAAATACTCGAGATTGAACTGTGGAGTTTCAAATGCAAGAATGATTTTCTGAATTCCGTATCATTTATTGATCGTGATCGCGTGATCTCCGGCCTGCTCTATGCACGTGATGGTATGTGGCTGTAACCGGCCATCAAATTCTATCGCAGGCCCCTGATTGTGCCAAATCAGGCCAGCGCCCAAACTTTCGTGATTAACCCAAGTTCTGTGCGGCAAAGTTTTGGCTCGGAATGTTTTTCCGGCACTGCGCTAGCCGCTATATTTCGTTCTGACTATGATTCTGCTGAATTTCACTATGTTTCTTGATGGGGAAAATGGGTCGAGGGGTCGATTAGATAATTGTAGTGTAGGTTTGCAATAGCAATGAGAATTGAACTTGAATTGCTTTAGGGCAAACTGATGCCCGTACACTACATACAAGCTTAGTTATATAGTAGTAATACTAGTAATCTAGAATATTCTTCTATTTACCGGTATATGACTAAAGACAACTATCTCATGATCTGGAACGTTCCGGGACAGCCGAGCTGCATCCCGGGAATACTACTGAAATTCAACATTTCTCTCTCGCAACGTAGAAAAAGTCACTCTTTCAGTACTTAGCTTGCGATTGTTGCTTGTTCGAGCAGCCCCTATGTTTTGTTGGTGCTTGACCAAATGGTGGCAGCGAGTCAACAAATCTTGTTGATGTACGACATCAGACAAGATGCACGCGTCGATGCAGCGGTTCTTCAGGCGGGAAGCTTTGACCGGAACCGAACTGGGCAGACCCGTAGAAAGAAATCACATTGCGAATGTGGGGAGAAAAGATTTCTCTCTCGTAAGTATACCTTTCGAGGGCCAAATTTTGTCCAGAAACTGGCGATGGCCCATCTCCGGGGTTTTTTTTTTTTGACCTCAATCCTGGCGTAACTGTCCGGCCCCGTTGCTAGGCTTAGCAGGGATAAACAGACCTCTAACGGGTGACTGTGCCCCAGTTCAGTCGTCGGAAGAGGACTTGAGACAGGGCGCATCGCCTTTCGTGAGCACAGCTACGGGATTTTAATGATCGTTTTGTATTTCGAGATGGACATTTGCTTCGCCGGCGAAAGTTCATCCACAGGGGTCATACCACAGCTTCTTCGGCTGTCTTCGATGCGTAGCACGACGGACACGGCCCATGCCATCCCAGACTGCCCTGGACAGATCATCAGGCACTGATCTGGCGCGGCGTTTCCCAGCCCATAGCGCAACTGAATGTAGCCGGCTGTACCCGCGGAGCTTCGAAACTCTTTAGATCTCGGCAGTTCTTCGAAACATTCACGATATCTGATGGGAGTGACGCACCCCGATTGACATCCCTTTTCTTGGGTTATTTTGTTTGGCTTGAGTAGCGCAGGCTTTTCACATGCTGTTTTTGAAAAGGTAAATAGCTAGGCTGAGATGTATACACTCGGTGAGTTCAAAGAATCTGAAAGTCAAGACTGAAGGTCTTTCTCGCAAAAAGACTCTTTGTCACGGCAGAACCAACCCATACACAGGAAAAGAAACGGAGGATTTAGAAACGGCCAAAAAGACTGTACCTTGTCCACATCACCGCTCCTGTCCCTTGATCTGTGTCGAGGATCCAAAACTTGGAGTACGTGCAACCCAATTCTTGGCTCATGAATGGGGTTCACACGGTTTTGATAAACGCGCCAGGTCTGGCAGTTGCCATCACGGTCGAGTGATGGCGAGCAGTCTCCGAGACATCTCCGGTTGAGGACAAACGAGCACGACGCTGCAGGGTGCGACTTCATCCTGTGAAGTGGAAGAAATGTAAAAGATAACAGAGGTGTCATCTCAGAGTACATCGTCTTCTGGTTGGAACGTATATACTGGAAGAATCTCCTTCAACTACTGGGAAGTTCTGGATCAAATCTCTGCCGTAACATACAGGACTTATATCGATTTTCCAGCCAACATTTGGACTTTCTCTTGCTTAAGATCGAAGTTAAGCACTGCAAGATCGAGTCTCTTTGTGCTCACGAAACATAGATGTTCCTCCTTGCCGTTAGTCAACTTGGGTGAAACGTGATGGATGGCAACACCCCAAATTTGCCGGGCTCATCAAAACCTCGAGAACCTGCTTCATCAGCCATGAGTTGAGCGAACCCAGTCATCTCTGAATGTATTTCTGATCGTAATCCAGAGGGTGTCAGAGACAGTAATATCGGAGCCACGTCACGACCGGTGTTCAGTCCGAAGCGCGTGTGACCATACCATCTCTGTCCGGCGGTGCAATGCGCCCATCGGCGCGTTTCAAGTTCGGAAACCCGGACTTCCGAATGCCGGGTCGAGAGTATGTGTGAGATCTCCAGGCGTGTGCTCGGACTTCGCACCGCCTGTAAAGGCTATCAGATCTTTTGGCACTACTAACAGCAGACGCCGTCATCACGCGGCGGTGAGATGATCAAAGATGACTCGCTCGGATCAGACTATTTGTATGCTTAGACAAAACTTTGCCCGTCATGTATTTCGTGGAGCACAATGCCGGCTAGCGCTGTGTTGTTTCGTTGGTAAGCGCACCCTAGTTGGCTAATAGGAAGGTGTCAGGATCATGAATCATCCCCCGACCACGATTGAATCAGCTCTCTCCCATCTTTGATGACGATACGACACCTGAGACGTGCCGCGCCTTCGAACCCGAATGGTCTTCTCAAAAGAGATGATAAAGGCGGTGAGTTCCATCCGGTCACCGAACGCCGTTGGTAGCTTTCCACGCAGATGCCACGCGAGCTAATGGTGATAATGATGTCTCTCACGGCTCAAAGCAACCGCAATTGCGCTGTACGCCTGCCGCAGCCGTCAGCGCCAATCGTTTCGATTCACTGGGATCGCAGGCCCCCTGCTTACATGTCTCGTAGACGAGAGAATGCGATTCCGACATCTCGCTCCTTCAAGGCTGGTCTTTGGCGATCCATGTATATAAAAGCAGCGTCTGTATTCGGGACTCCTTGAACAGCCTGAGAAGACCTGATGAGCTATTCGCCCACACCTCAGGAGCAGCTTCAGGAACGCATCGCGAAACGACGAAACGAGACGGCATGCATCAATTGTCGGAAACGAAAAACCAAGGTCCGTGTCTTGTCTGGGGTTTGTTGAAACCTGCGGGCTGCATCAGCTCTGGTGCTGCATGGCTGACGGATACCGTCCAGTGCATGGTCAAGGAGCAGCCCCCAGTGAACCCCTGCCAGCGCTGCATCCGCCTCGAGCTCACATGCATATACCCTGATACGGCGGAGCCTCTGTCGGAGGCTGAGCCCGAGGCTCACCTCGTCTATCAACACGCATCCCCGCCGGGGGTACCAGCCGCGCAGCCGCTCCGGTGGGCGCCAATCAGGACACCGCAGACGCCTAGAAGCAGGAACCCGGTGGTGCCAGATCCCGCTCACATCCCCATGAGCTCCCCCGGGCACTTCATGCCCGAACAATACCCAAATCCGGCCTCTTATTACGCGGAAGGCGCGGCGTCGGGCTACCAGCACCCGATGTACGACAATTCTGCGGCGTATGAAGGGGGACAGACTCGTGGCCAGGCATATGCGACAGAGTACGGCGGATACGGGCAGTATGGAGCGCACTACTCGCATGAGAATATGGCTCAGGGACAAAATCAAACCCACAGTCAATCTTGGTACGATCCGCAGTGGTCTAGTCAGCAGACAGAGTATCGTCCGCCAGGATTTTAGTATTCGGCATTGTAATAAGTACGTCGCGATGTATATACCCACTTGAAACATCACGCCGTAAAGCTAAGTACTCACCGGGATTCGAACCCGGAGCTCAGTTGTCAGTTCCGGATTGACCCGACTGTTCCGCATCGAGTGTGGGTGCCACGCTCTGTGCCTCTCATCATGCATCGATGTCTGGCCCTCCCCGAAATCGCAAGCCAGATCTGCGAGAATCTGCGTACGTTTTTGTCGGGCTTCCCCGATAGGCTCGCCCTCTCAGTCCTCGCGCGGACCTCACGTGCGATCTTCCTGGAACCGGCCCTGGACGCGCTCTGGCGCCAGCAAAGCACGCTCGTGAATCTGCTGCGCTGCATGCCGAAAGACCTGTGCGAGATATCCAGCGTCTCGATGGATCCGCATGAGTGTCTGCTGCTTGTCGTGAGTGGTCTTTTGTGGGCGGCAGCGTTTTGTCTCATGACGTGCGTCTTTGTTTGCCGTAGCACTTCCGCCGGCCGATCCGCGAGTCGGACTGGGACCGGGCCACGTACAATGCACGTCGCGTGCGGGTGTTGGATTGCTCGGGCAACGACGAAATACTTTCCCAGATATTGCCTTTCCTGCAGGACGCCCTGGGCAGCAGAGCTCTCTTTCCTCGGCTCCGCGAGCTGGTATGGCTCGATCATCCTGAGTCCGACTTGAAGTACCTCCCTGTGTTCTTTGGCCGCGATTTGGTCACACTGGTCTTGACCTGCAGTGCGCCGAACCCAAATCACGTCGCTCTGCTGGATACGCTTGCGGACAGAAGCCCCTCATTGGATTCGCTCAGCATCTTTGGAACTCCGCTCTCGACTGAAGCTTGTGCAATCATTCGCAGGTTCCGCCATATCACGTGTCTCAATTTGGCTGCGGCGTCTGCCGCTGGGCTGATTCACTTTTCTCACCTTCCCAATCTGGAGGATTTCAATATGCGTGACATTCCGGAAGACATGGCTGCATCGGAGAACGAGATTGAGCCCCTCGCCCAATTGACCAAGTTCGCAGCAGGAATGAGCTCGTTTAGCGCCCTGCGCACCGCTCTCCCGTTGTGCGCAGACTCACCCCTCCAAACGTATATGGTCTCGATTATTACCCCATCGCCGGGCACCGAGCTCGAACGATTTTTCTCCGAATTCGCACACAACCGCGGCAAGCACGCGACGTCGCTCGTCACGCTGCAGTTTATCGTGCCATATCAAGCCTACGAGGAGCTGCCCGGCTCGTCGGCCGAGTTCATGTTCCCCGCTTCCGCCCTGCGGTGTCTGCATACCCTCTCCGGTCTCGCGCACGTGCATATATCCGCGCTGGGATTCGATATCGACGGGAGAGATCTCCTGGCGCTGGGGCGAGCGCTGCCCAATCTGATCAGCCTTGCACTCGCCTCGCTCCTTCCGGCCAGCACCCCGCCACGCCTCAAACTGTCTGCGCTCCCCTCGCTGGTAAACCAGTGTCAGCATCTGAAGTTCCTAGACCTGTCCTTCGACACGGCCGAAGTGGTCCCTAGCCGCCCTTCCAGATTGAGCCACATAGAGCTCAATGTGGGACTTTCTCCCCTAGAGGATGGGGACCAATACGGAGTGATGGAGTTTTTCGAGTTTTGTCTCCCGGGCGTCCGGTTGCGTGATCCGTGGGCAACAAGACACGACGGTCCTAACCCAGACCTCAGCGAGGAGGTTCAGCGATGGAGAGATGTCGCAGCACATCTTGATAGAATTTATAAGAATAGGGAATAAGCTGACTACAATTACAAACTTGTGAGTTGGTCTGGTATCGTAAAAGTAAATTTGGCCGGAAAATATCCGCGTGGGACGAATATAGCTCACGGTGAGAGAATGCAACCTCCCGTCTGATTACTGACCTCGCTCTTTCGATGCCAGATCTGCTCCCGGACTGCGGTTCTTGATATCCGTTCACGAAGAGACAAATAGCACTTTGGCTTGGGGGAATGAGGGTAGGAGAGGCTGGGAGATATTAATTATCAGTACCTCGATCAATGTAGCTGGCTGACACATTTACTGATAAGACAGCGACTACCTATGTACAAGCACCAAACCTTCTCTATTGTCATGCGATCATCCATCACGGGAATTTGCGGGGTTTCACACGCCGTTTTAGACATAGCTTGTGCTCTCCTGATCATCATCCCTTCATCCAACGATTGTTCTTCCATGGCGCCCGTAGCGGTTCTCCCACGCGTCTTCACCCCATCCCACTTCAATCCACCGCTCTCAACGGCAGCACGGGGTTATCATGTTCTCCCGGTGGTCCTCCACCCCCAAGGCCATAACGGGATCTGGGGCGGACGGCGGCACAGGACGCGCAGCACACGGAACAGGGAATCGTAGAAGCAGGGGCCATACCCGGGGGATCAGTGAGTCGCCCATGCTAGGAAAGCAAGACACAGCGGCACCCACTGCGAGTCGACTCAATCGCTTCCTGAAAAGCCACGACAAGAAGCTGCGCGTGGAGGACACTCCGTCCCAGCGCCCTGGCTCCCGCGCCACGCACCAAGAGGGGCCCCGCCACCAGGCTCCATCGGCAGCTATCGTGTCGTCTATGCTCGGGGCGCTGGATCCCGTGCACAACGTCAGCACCGTGCGGGGGCTGGACGTCCCGCGCCGGCACCACGCGACGGAATCAGTCTCTGGCAGCTCTGGGAAGGGATCAGTCACCGCCGGGATGTCGCATGAGGAGGGTCACCAGATGCGCGGGCCGTCGACGCCGCCCGCTGAGTGGGCTGTTCCGGGAACTCGAAGCTCGCAGGGTGTCTCTGATGTGGGGCACCGATATGCATCTGCGTCGGCGGCGCCGAGGAAGGCGCCGCACTACGTTCTGGCCAGGCAGGCCGCAGGCGCGTCCGTGCCGAGAGGGCCGCCGTATACTGCTGCAGTCGCCGCAGTGCAGCAGGGATGGGGCACCGTGTCGAGCTCGTCCACCAACTCGTCGCTTCCCCCGCTCTCCGTCAGCAGTTCTCCCTCGTCGCATCGCGTAGCTACAGTGCCTCGCGTCCGGACGCCAGACCCGGACGCCCACGAGCGTCCTGCACCAGCACCGAGCCCTCCCTCAATCCCGGCTCGGCGGCCCATCTTGCCACTCGCCATTCTACGCACACCTGCGGATCCCACCATGACTACGGACTCGGATTCGGACTCAGACTCGGATTCGGACGACTTGGATTCGGACGCTGTGTCGCACGCGGGTGCTGCGGGGAAGGGTCCGCGTGAAGGGCTCAGCCCGCTCTCGGGAACGTACCGGCGGGAAGCGGGGTGGAGCGGGGAGTGGAATGTATCTGGAGGCGGCGCACCGTTGTCGGGTGACGATTCTATGGGTGGGATGGGTGATGTGGTGAGTCGCCTGCGGGACTTGCGCGCGCGTTGAGGCAGAATGGAAGCTATGACTATGAACCGCTGCAAGGGCTGAAAATGTATACGATACTATGACTTCTGCTTTATAAACGGTACACATGGGATTCAAGACAGGCACAACCAAGTATCAAGACGGTACATACAACGATAATGTATTATTCGGGCCAAGACAGGCCACCTGACGGGCATCAAGTCTCATCGACGAGCACCAGCTCCCCAAACTCACCCACGAGCTCCTTCAGCTCGCCCCGCTCGCTCTCCGCCAAGCCATTCAGAGTGACTGCATCAAGCTTCAGGCAAGCCAGACAACTCCCGTTGTCTCGGCATGCTGTAAGGAGGCCCGTCAAGGCTTGGACCCAACTCGTCGGGCCGTTCCAGGGGCGCCGCACGACGTAAGGCTCCAGGTCGAGCGGGACGCACACTTGGATCTCCCTGACGCCCATTTGAGGAAGACAGCTCCGCAATGCTGCGCACACGCCAGCGCCGGTATCGTCTGCTGCGAGTCTGACGATCTTCAGAGCCGGGAGGGCAGAGACGATGGAGTCCCAGACCATGGGAGGCAGATCAGCTGCCCGTGCTTCGAGCTCAGAGACGGTGACTAGGGGAATGGCATTGAGGACCGCCTGAGACACCTCGTGCATCTGGCCTGCAGACTCTCCGTATCCATCTATCGCAAACACAGGAGAGTCAGGACTCGACTCCCTCCCGCTTGTCAGGGAAAATTTTGGAGATATGAGCGAGAAGGAACACTTGTGGAAGCGGGACTCATTCAGGGTAGTGATCATTAACATTTCCGGGCGCTGTTCATTGACGCTTGTGATGATGTGGTCGCGTATGGGCTTGAGAACCGCTTCGGCTTGTGAAGCAGTTCTCAATAGTACTGGGTGCAGTTGTAAGCGGGTCTTCAGAGGGATCCGGAGTAAGGTCAGAAGGCCAGCACATTGGTCGCACGCTTCGTAAATCATAAGCTTGGCAAGTTTCGATAGTGGTACGGACCCAGAGTCGCGGTCTGCAGACAGTCGGGCGGTTGCTCGATTGTCGAGTGTGGCGAAGAGCAAAAGGGACGTGAGATCAGGACAAGCTCGCAAAACGTCCAAGAGAGACGCAAACGACCATCTCGGGTACGAGGCACGATCGAGATGCAGCTCTTGTAGCTCCGACAAGCCCACTGGACATACAAAGATGCGTCGCAAACGGAGTGAGCGCAGACATCCCAGACGGACAACGAATGCATCAGGAATTCGTGCAGGACGGGCCGAAACATCGGGTGGTGCCTCATACACACGACACTCCAGCCGCAACATCCGCAGTGCACCAAACCGGCCATGGTTCTCTGGCGCACATATCTCTTCCACCAGGACGTTCATATCCCTACTCGGGCCCTCTAGCTCCAGGCTCTGCACGCGCTCCGCGACGCTGAGGATGGGCGATAGATCGAACGGGCTGTCGAAGTCCCCAATGCGCACGTGAAGAGGAAGCTGCGCCGAGCGCTCGATGTGCGCCCGCAGGAACGCGCGGGAGGGGGAGGAGGCGGAGAATATCGTGCACCACATCGCAGGTGTATCACGTACGAGCGCCGCCCACGCCTTGCATGTGAGCATGAACGTCTGCAATTGGTAGTCGGAGTGCGCCCAGTGCGGGTCGCGCATGATCCGTGACAGGATATTGACGGTGAGCTCGCTCGGAATGGAGAGGATGGGGGGAGGCACGTTTCGCTGAACGAGGCGCGGCATTATGGAGGAATAAAGGCAGGTTTCCCGGTCTTTGGACGGCCGAGCGCAGGTGTCACAGCTTTTACGCGTGTCTTGGTTCATGAGGTGACGATTCAGGTATCCACGAGTGGTTCCCGTATGAGTAAGGTCTGCCACGGGCACAGCTCACCCGGATCACCCGCGGGTGTCCGCCCGCGGGTCTTGATCTGGGTTAAGTGACACGGATGACGCGTCACAGCTCGCGTCACCCGTGCGCCTGTAACCGGGCGGGGCTCCGTCCAACCATCATCCGTACTTACCCGCGGATACAGCAGATTTCAAATGATCGGGCGGGTTTTGATCGCGCATGGCTGCTCGTTTTTGTTTATACACCTGATGTAGCGTGCTTGGTACCGCTCCACCGGCATGATGGAAACGCAGCCTCACTTCATTGTTTTTACTCTACTTCCAGACTAATGAGCACCAGGTCGAGGATATTTGGCCGAGAGAAATTTTCTTATTATCACTTCTATGACCTGCAGCAAAGCCAATGCAATATTGTGTGTGACCTTTGGATGTTTTAGGGTCTGTTCGGCTGCCAGCAATTACGATTACAATTACAATTTTGATAGATCTTTTTACTACTATTGATGCCAACGCTACGGGAAAAGCACAACTAAGGCTCCAACCATTTTGTTTTTGTTTACGGGTGGCCATAAAATAAACAGAAACGGTATTTAAACATTTATAAACAGTTTAAACTGTTTAAAACAGTTGCTAAACAATCTTTTTTTTGGCACAGAAATTGTATGCTGATGATGTATAAGTAATCTGCAAAGGTAATATGACAGACTACAGTCGGATATAGCAGGCTTTGAGCCACATCTTTGTCAACATTGCCTCCTTGATTGTCGAGGCATTGAGGGAGCTACGGGTGTCCTGGCACACTTGTCAATGATTTTGGCTGATGGAACACAGGTGCGGGCAGGTAGCAAGGAGTGAACAGGAGTAGGAGCAGACATGAGTGGAAACCCGAGAGTGCAGAAAAAGATCAATCCATGACACATTGGGTCACAATCCTGTCACACATTTTTATTCACATGATGTCTGCACCTTCAGTGCGCAAGATGCTCCCAATACAGGGCCTATATGGTGAATCTCAGGCCAAAGATTTCAGTCATAGGGTCTACTTGACAATGTCTCTGTAGAGATGCTGGTAAATAGATGAAAATCAGAGAGGCTGAGAGAACACTGGCCAGGTCAGGCCGTGTACTTCATATCTAATCTTGGCTACTCTAATCTTAGCATGATTGTCCTGGATGTAACTCTGAAGTTTGTGTGCAATCCACAGGCAATGTCTTGCAGAGTCCATTTCAAGCACGAATTGAAACTGTTTTAACTGTTTATTTACTATATGTTTACCGTTTGAGGACTCCCACAAATTAAACAGAGACAAAAACAGTTATAACTGTTTAAAATATTTATAAACAGAAACAGTTGGAGCCTTAAGCACAACGCAACGGGAAATTGCTGATCTCTCTTTCCCTCCTTCGAAGTTGACTCTGGTATCATCTGGAACTTGTAGCTACCATTTGAAAACCCTTATATACAAGATTTCTCACTTATACATGAACGGGAACCACATAAAAAACAAGAGCCGGTCCATCATTTCGAGGCCCCAAACCCAAGATGACTTTACAGCGCAAGTTCCTCCTCGTGCGAGGCTCTGGTACTTTGTAGGAGACATACCTAATGTATTCTAAAAGTGCTCCAACTTCTTCCTTGTCTTGCCGGTGCGTGGTTGTGGAGAACTGAAGAAAAAGTGGATGAGCGTGACATTTCAAAGTCCGATTGGTAGGCAATGTTGATGGCTTGAGAACATGTGCTGACGCGTGGAGTTTGTACTGTATGTGAGGGTCTAGTTGGCCACCCTACCTAGTTGGCCACTTCGATTATTTAACATGAACCCTTGATTTTCCAGGCATTTCGTGTATGTAGGATGAAAGAGGGATGTCTAATGCCGGTGTGACGCAAATCTGAGGTCACTGGGATGTGATGGTGATCCGTCAGGATTGATTGGTCATTGTGATCGGGAGGCACTGAGCAGATTCCTTATTTGGGTGGGCCTGGGCGGGCCGATTTCTTAACCGATTGCGCTCCCACACAATCACCTCTGTACCATCCGCCCCTGTTGGGTGCACATTCGATAGGCAGGAGTAAAGGCCTTTTCAGAGGACAATTTAACCACATACTCAAACACATCCGCTCTCCACGCCGCGATCTTTCCCTGCCTGTGCTGCCTTTGTCATACCATATGACCCTGATTCTTGTCGGGCATTGGTGACGAATGGCTTGTCAAATGCATGATATTTTGTGGATAGATGGTGTACTGAGTGTTGGAATAGCAACAGTAGCAGCGGTACTCTGGTATACGATGAGAAAGATGGACAGCAATGTGTGAGATGGCAGATTCCCACGCCCGGCCAACTAGCCCGGTTGACCCGGTTTGGCAGTCGTCGCGGGAAAATATTCATTGATCAGGAACCACGACTAATAAGCACAAGCGGCGACTCGCACGTCGTTCTCAACAGGGTAGGTCATGTTTCTGACCCATTGGATATGGTCTTAGGGTATCATATTGTGTGTTACAGAGCTAAAGTCTCTTAGGTGGCCAACTAGACCCTCACATACAGTACCCCTTATCTTGGCACCGGTTGACGGTTTTCACAGCAGAGTTTTATTTCCAAGCTCCCGGAATCCAGAATCCTTTTGATGATACTAATCCGTACTTCATGACACCTAATACTCACTAATACCTGCTGCTTACATTTGAAGCAACATACCTATTCTCATCCTAAATACCTGCTAAACTTGTTATATTACATACTATAGAAATGTCCTGCATAGTTCATTGTTCATGATTGTGCGTGCAGCGTGAGAGTCTGCTCGATCGTAAGCTGCGGGAGGTGTCGATCAGGCAGAGTGTCAAAGGATTTGTGACACTCAGTGACACTTTGCGCCCTCCCTCCAGTTCTCTGCAACCATGCACCGGCAAGACAAGGAAGAAGTTGGAGCACTTTTAGAATACATAAGGTATGTCTCCTACAAAGTACCAGAGCCTCGCACGAGGAGGAACTTGCGCTGTAAAGTCATCTTGGGTTTGGGGCCTCGAAATGATGGACCGGCTCTTGTTTTTTATGTGGTTCCCGTTCATGTATAAGTGAGAAATCTTGTATATAAGGGTTTTCAAATGGTAGCTACAAGTTCCAGATGATACCAGAGTCAACTTCGAAGGAGGGAAAGAGAGATCAGCAATTTCCCGTTGCGTTGTGCTTTTCCCGTAGCGTTGGCATCAATAGTATATACAGTAGATAGCTGTGCAATGCTATGCTGGCAGCATGACAACCCTTTTCAGGACTGATTTTGACTGTCTCATGCCACAGTGCAATGTGTCGCGTCCCCCTGCCACTCAGCATGCCCGTCCGCGAAATCACTCAAGCCATCCGCCTGCGCGTTGTCCTCATGGCCGTCTTGCTCTATGTCACGCTCCAGCTGGCTGTGACAATGTTTGCTTCACCGCAATATTGGACCCAGGCCGAGCACATCTCCGCTCTCACTGGCCATGGATGGGTCCTGGAGCTCATTGACGGACACCATGATCGGATTCAGACAGAGCTTGGAATGAGGGTCGACATGTTCAAGATCTTTGTAGCTCAGTTACGTGTCTTGCGCTCTCCACTAGGCTCAATGATCTCAACCTTGCTGCCTTCTTCATTTGCGCCATCGTGTTTTTCTGTATCAGAAGTGTTGGTTTTGGGTCCATAATTGGCAGTGAGGGTGTCCTGCTTAGCCATAACAGATTCACCTCAGTTACCACCGCCATCACGCGGTTCTCCCCCCACAGGGGGGGGGCTCACTGAAAGTGCCGCGGAGTGCCGCAGGAGCACTCCTGCGGTACTCCTGCGGTACTCCAAATACTCCACATCATTGATCTCAACGACAACAACAACGATCAACATACTATCCACATTGGCCGAGTCGTTGATGGATGTCATAATTCGACCCTTTTTCATCTTATCATCGACCATCTTATCTCGGCATGAATTATCTTATCACAGATCACGGCATCAGACAGTCCGGGCTAAGGGTTCCAGGGATTATCTTTATTGATTCAAGGCTGCACGACATATGCTCCAGAAGATTCTACTACAACCCATGACCAGTGCTCCATGTGGTACATAGCCTTATGACTCATTAGTTGTAGATATGACTCAGACTGGATTTGGGTATAAATACTGTAGCTACTTGGTTGTATTCTCCAGTCTTCGAATTCACTTCTCTTTTCGACTTTATTTTTGGGTTGATTGTCACATAATTCGAAGACTCCCCTCATACCCTTGTACCTCTTACCTCCTACCCTGCATCCCTCACCGCTACGCCCGCTATATCCTCTTAAATCTTATCAACCAACTCACCTTTTTACCGAATCATCTAGTCGTCCTCCACTATCGCAGTGAAGGGTTCATATCGAGCAAACAGCACCAGGCCACGGGTAACGTTGAGCCCGACCCAAGCCTTACGGTAGCTACAAGGAGTGCTGCGGAGACCTTCAGGAAAATGCACCTTGGGATCATTGGGCACGTGAAGAGCTAGGCCCGGGATCTTTTTGCTAGCAAAAGAACCCTCTCTCAAATGCTTGTACAGCACATGAATCCACCATTTCGTTCCGATTCCCATCGTTGTCTGGGAGTCTGTCTCCTCCTCCCATCCTACCCTCGTCGCCCGATCTGGCGCATCAAAACCAACCCGGTGAAATGCTGAGGGCATGCTCACAAGTGAATCTACTAATGAAAGTAAACCCAAATATAAACACGTTCACACTCCTCGTAATCAGCTTCTCAGTGTGTGAAAGATGCGAGGGCTTTGGGGCAAACAGAACACCAGTATCACAACTCTCAATAGACGCAGATCAATAGACGCGGAAGACGGAGTCGACGACAAGAATTTATATATAGCAAACAGTGGTGTCTCAACCAATATCTTCTATACAAACAAATCCAACACAAATCCAACCACAACCAACAATATAACAAGTCAGAGCTTAATACAAAGTATTAAGGTCCCTTGTAGCGACAGCGTCCAGATGACGACGCAAAACCCAAATACTGAGTCGACGCACTGCCAACTAACAGCCAATATCCAATGTCCAAAACCCGAGCACAACTTGTCGACGCACTGCCAAGCAAGAAGTGTGGAACCAAAGTTCTCAAGTCGACGCACTGCCAACTGACACAACCAAAAGTACTGAGTCGACGCACTGCCAACTAGTAAACCAAAATGTCAAGTCGACGCACTGCCAACTGACACAACCAAAAGTACTGAGTCGACGCACTGCCAACTAGTAAACCAAAAGTACTGAGTCGACGCACTGCCAACTAACAGCCAATATCCAATGTCCAAAACCCGAGCACAACTTGTCGACGCACTGCCAAGCAAGAAGTGTGGAACCAAAGTTCTCAAGTCGACGCACTGCCAACTGACCAAAACAACCCGAGCACAACTAGTCGACGCACTGCCAAGCTAGAGGTGTGGAACGATCTCAACAAAGCCCGAAGGCGACGACACTAAATGCCGCGACTAAACCAGATGCGGCGAATCCGACTTTCTGATGTCTCAACTCAAACTCAAATCACAGTAGCTACAAGTGCTCAGGGAGCAACTCGTCGCGACCGGGCAGGGGTAGCAGAACTTCTTAGGGTGGAATCACGCGGCACGCAAATTGTACAAAACAATCTGAAATGGGTATGATTCACAGTCCGGGGAAAGCTTCCTAATACAAAGAAACGTCGTGCTACTTATACTGTCTACGACGGTGCTTAGTAAAGTCCTGTACAACTGCATAGTAGCTACGCTATCTAAGATCGGTTGCCCTTTAGAGTAATGAAAAGTTGAACGATCGGACAGGTCCTGAGTGATCAGGACCCCGCCCCATAGTCCATATGATACTTTTGATGTGGGTCAACCCACCGCGTCATACTTTTGGAATACGATGATAGGCTGGCTACCAGACGCGCTCTGCACCAGCTCTGTAAGGGCGTATTTTTGCGCTTTTTACAGAGTTTACTCTTGAACCATTCGGTGTATCGTGTCGTGGTTGACAGTGTTGCGCTCAGTAGGACTTAAGGGTCTACTGCCCAGTCGACGACTGTGGATAGTGTCGACGATAGCAAGGCAGTCAGACCACTACTGTGGAACTGGTCTTATGGGTCTACACCAGGCTCAGGGCCATTAGTGACGAACGCTTGGACCGCGACCATTCCCCGAAAAGGGATCTGTCGTTGCGTCGACTTCTCGAAAAGGGTCATTCTCTGCAGATGGGAACTTGGGCTGAAGGGCTGAGCAATGCGCGACGTTCTCAATAATAGAACTACTACTGGACAGGACTTGGCGTTACGAGACTTAAACCATCTTGTCGCGGCAACTCCCGGTTTTGAGTTGGACGTTTCCTCAGATCATGCCACGACGACGACTTGTCACATGTCAGGATCCATTCGATCACGGGACATTGTGGACGCGTCGCGGTGACACTTCCAAGTGTCACGGCGAGTCGCGTCCATACCCAAACACACTAGAAACCGACACGGCTAGATCCGTGAACCGAACCATGTGGGGGACGACTGGTGTGCCTAGGGCCATACGGCTTCTTGGGGCGCCCACGTTGGTCTCACATGCCAAGACATACCCGTTGGCCAATCCAGCACGTTGTATTCCAAAGTATGACGCGGTGGATTGACCCACATCAAAAGCATCATATGGACAATGGGGCGGGGTCCTGATCACTCAGGACCTGTCCGATCGTTCAACTTTTCAATTACCCTAAAAGGCAACCGATCTTAGATAGCGTAGCTACTATGCAGTTGTACAGGACTTTACTAAGCAGCGTCGTAGACAGTATAAGTAGCACGTCGTTTCTTTGTATTGGGGAGCTTTCCCCCGGACTGTGAATCACTCTCATTTCAGATTGTTTTGTACAATTTGCGTGCCGCGTGATTCCACCCTAAGAAGTTCTGCTACCCCTGCCCGGTCGCGACGAGTTGCTCCCTGAGCACTTGTAGCTACTGTGATTTGAGTTTGAGTTGAGACATCAGAAAGTCGGATTCGCCGCATCTGGTTTAGTCGCGGCATTTAGTGTCGTCGCCTTCGGGCTTTGTTGAGATCGTTCCACACCTCTAGCTTGGCAGCGCGTCGACTAGTTGTGCTCGGGTTGTTTTGGTCAGTTGGCAGTGCGTCGACTTGAGAACTTTGGTTCCACACTTCTTGCTTGGCAGTGCGTCGACAAGTTGTGCTCGGGTTTTGGACATTGGATATTGGCTGTTAGTTGGCAGTGCGTCGACTCAGTACTTTTGGTTTACTAGTTGGCAGTGCGTCGACTCAGTACTTTTGGTTTTGTCAGTTGGCAGTGCGTCGACTTGACATTTTGGTTTACTAGTTGGCAGTGCGTCGACTCAGTATATTGGTTGTATCGGTTGGCAGTGCGTCGACTTGATATTTGAGCTTCGCGTCGCCATCTGGACGCTGTCGCTACAAGGGATCTTAATACTTCGTATTAAGCTCTGACTTGTTATATTGTTGTTTGTGGATTGGATTAGTGTTGGTTGTGCTCGTATAGAAGATATTGGTTGAGACACCATTGTTTGCTATATATAAATTCTTGTCGTCGACTTCGTCTCCGCGACTATTGGATCTGCGTCTATTGAGAGTTGTGATACTGGTGCTCTGTCCACCCCGAAGCCCTCGCATCTTTCACACACTGAGAAGCTGATTACGAGGAGTGTGAACGTGTTTTATATTTGGGTTTACTTTCATAGTAGATTCACTTGTGAGCACGCCCTCAGCATTTCAACGACATGCTGGATTGGCCAACGGGTATGTCTTGGCAGGTAAGTCCAACGTGGGTGCCCCAAGAAGCCGTATGGCCCTAGGCACGCCAGTTGTTCCTCACATGGTTTGGTTCACGGATCTAGCCTGTGTCGCTTTTGATGTGTTTGGGTATGGGCGTGACTTGCTGTGACCCTTGGAAGTGTCACTGCGACGCGTCCACAATGTTCTGTGATTGAGTGGATCCTGACATGTGACAAGTCGTCACTGTGGCATGATCTAAGGAAACGTCTAACCCAAAGCCGGGAGTTGCCGCAACAAGATTGGCTCAATCTTGTAACGCCAAGTCCTGTCCAGTGGTAGTTGTAATATTGAGAATGTCGCGCATTGCTCAGCCCTTCAGCCCAAGTTCCCATCTGCAGAGAATGACCCTTTTGTGAAGTCGCCGCAACAAAGGATCCTTTTTGGGGAATTGTCGCAACCCAAGTGTCCGTCACTAATAGCCCTGAGTCTGGTATAGACTTATAAGACCAATTCCACAGTAGTGGTCTCACTGCCTTGCTATTGTTGACACTATCCACAGTTGTTGACTGGGCAGTAGACCCTTAAGTCCTACTGAGCGCAACACTGGTAACCGCAACACGATACACCGAATGGTTCAAGAGTAAACTCTGTAAAAGCACAAAAATACGCCCTTATAGAGCTGGTGCAGAGCGCGTCTGGTAGCCAGCCTATCAGCGGGTGCTTCTGATGATCTAGACAAGGATGCACACATGGAAAAGCTATGCCAGGAAGGGGGAGTAGAGCTCATCACAGCGCTGCTGTCAAAAGCGGTTCCAAATGAGAACCTACCTGATACGGGAAAAATTTGCGATTGGACGTTCCGCAATATCAAGTTGTTGCCTTCTGAACAACAGAAAGGTTGGATTGATGCTTGCCGCAACAAGTTAGAGCCACTTTGTCCGCACAAGGTCTATTCCCTTGTGGACCGTCCAAAAGGACGGAAGGTTATCAGATGTCGCTGGGTCTTTGACCAAAAATCTGATGGCCAAAAATGTGCCCACCTAGTTGCCAAGGGTTTCAGTCAAGTCGAAGGTGTTGACTATGACGAGATATTCTCTCCTGTCATCAGGTATGAGACGTTCCGGTTGGTCATGGCGCTTGCAGCGCTAAATGATTGGCATTGGTCTGTACTCGACGTCAGTAAAGCTTTTCTCTATGGAGAGCTTGACGAAGAGGTCTACATGGAACAACCCGAAGGCTTTGTGGCGAGAGGCCAAGAGCGCAAAGTCATGCGCTTGCACAAGGCAATCTATGGACTCAAACAAGCTGCTTTAGCATGGTGGAAAGCGCTGACCAAATCCACGAAAGCCATGGGCTGGATCCTACTAACATCAGATGCCGGTGTGTTCTTCTACAAGGACTCTGATGGCAGCATAGCCATCATAATAGTCTATGTGGAAGATTCACTGTTCTTCTCCAAGAACAAGAAGCTCCTTGCCTTGCTCAAGGCTGAGTTCAAGAAGTGATGGGAATGCCGCAATTCTGAAGATACTCCAGAGTTCTTGCGCATACACCTCAGTAGAGTAGGCTCTTTGATCAAAATTGATCAGATTCCTTATCTTGACAAGGTACTAGAGCGCTTTGGAATGCAGAACGCCAAGTTTGCAGCAACCCCTTTACTGGCTGGATATGTTCCGATGCCAAACAAGGATGAAGTCGATCCAGAGCTCAGGAAGAAATTCCAATCAGTAATTGGATCTCTTCTCTTCATCATGCTGGGCACACGTCCTGGCATTGCATTTGCTGTGACTAAATTGTCACAATTTGCCACCAATCCGTCCCAAGACCAACTCCATAAAGCACTGTATATCTGCCACTATTTGGCTGATACTAGGAATTATTCGCTCATTTTCAATGGTGCGACGGATAGAGGGCTAATTGCATTTAGCGATTCAGACTGGGCCTCTGATCCAATCAAGAGGAGGTCTACCACTGGTTTCTTCACAAAATTGGCAGATGGGATTATTTGCTGGCAGTCTAGACTTCAGCGCACTGTTGCGCAGCCTTCGACAGAAGCAGAGTACATGGCGATTTCAGATTGTAGTCGCCAGGTGATGTGGCTGAAGAGCATCCTTTCGGAACTCCAGTTCAAGCTCACCATCCCAATACCCATTTGCGGTGACAATCAGGGTGCACTCTTCAGTGGCAGCAATGCCTACCGAGACCGCAGGATGAAACATATAGACATCCGCTATCACTACATTCGTGAGCGAGTCGAGGAAGAAGAGGTTGAACTGTTCTTTATTCCGGGCAGTGAGAATCCTGCAGATATGTTCACCAAGAACTTAGGACGCGTCAAGTTCGAGAAGTTCAGGTCTCAACTAGGACTTGAGTTCAACTCGTCCTGAAGGAATGGCCGATGAAGATTTCACTTTCAAACACTATCCCGTGGTTTTCAGCATGGGGGAGTGTTGATCAATTATCATCTGTCAAGATGGATGTTGTGATACACATCTATGACTCCATCTTGTGTCATCTAGAGTCATATTGACTCGTCCAAATAGACAAAAACGGCCCCCTGTATCATATATAAGGAGGGCTCTATTACCCTTCAATACAAGTCTCTTGACTACTCCCGCATAGTGCCCACACTAAGCTCTCACTCACACAGGTGAGCTGCTAGACGCTCTCCCCAGTGCTCAACAACCTGCACCAGCAAGGAGATTTTCAACAAAGACTGTCTTGTTCCGCAGTTCAAGCAGTCTCCAGTATGGGTCATGGTTTGGGGGTGCGTTGCCCAGAACTGGAAAGGCCCGCTGATTGTGCTCGAATATCCTGGTGGACGTGGCAGTGGCATGACAGCAGATCATTACCAGAAGCAGGTTCTTCAGAAGGTCCTTGTCACTGCTCTTGATGACATCAAGAGACAGTGTGGTGGATGTGGATGTGTCGAGTTCCAACAAGATGGTGCATCTTGTCACTCTGCAAAGTCCACAAAGGGTTGGCTCAAGGATCACCACATTCCTCTCTTTCCTCATCCTGCAAACTCTCCCGACGTCAGTCCCATTGAGCCTGTGTGGCATGAGCTGAAGAAACATGTCCGTGCTCACAAGCCTTGGCCAACATCATTTGAAACACTCAAATCAGTGATTCTGGAGGAGTGGGCCGCGATGCCAATTGATGACATCAACAAATACACATACACTATGCGAGAACAAGTAGAGGCAGTTTTACAAGCCAACGGGGGCCATACAAGGTACTAGAGTCTCAAAAATGTACAAAATTTCTTGAAGTGACATCCAGTGACCAAAACTTTTGCCAACTACGAGTATTTAAATGTAAATGCCACTTCCTTTCCCCCCTCTCACTGTGCTCCCAAAAAACTCCTCACTTCAATTCTAAGTTTGTTCCTAACACTACGGTTTTTGATGAATGTTGGTGCCTATTACTGTACCGATGTGTATGTAGGCAACTGTAACGCGTAACGCACCACTTTTGCGTCGCCTAATTTGGCCCCTGTAACGTGTAACGCAGGCCCCGTCGCCAGCGGGAACAAGTTGCCCGAAACAGCCCCAAAAAGAGTCCTTAAATCGCCAAAAAATCGGAATTTATTCCTCTTCCTCAGGAAGATTTATGTACTGGTCAAAAAACAAGTCCTCGGTCAAAAGTCGTCCTTCAGAATCATAACCCCAGATGTTCTCCGTCTGTGAGCCAGCTCGGAGAACCTGGCTGCCCCCATCAGCCACAACATCCTTGCCTTCAACACAATATCGATGTGGTGTAGCAAGCGAGAGATCCGTGAGTTCCTCATCGCTGGTACAGAAGGCATCATGGATGATGGCGGGGAGCGGGACTTCCAAATGATCCGAGTGACTGTCTGTGGTGAAGACATCTTCTTCGTCGAAACGGGCAGCCTCCAGCGCCTCCGTGGCTTCAGCAGCCGCCAAATCTGCTATATCAAGGTCCAAAACCTCACCAATCTTGTCCTCAATTTCTGTCCGTAGTTCCGGGTGCTCCTTCATGTAGCGACGACAATCAGCCTTTGATTGTTTCGAAGTTAAACAATCCTTTCCGAGGTGGTAACCCTCTCGGCAAGCCTTGTAGTCAGCGGGAATTTCACATTTTTCCCAAGCCTGTGACATAAGTGAAGTCAGCTCGCGTGAAGCAATGATTGATGTAGAACCTACCCGCTGGATCAGCTCCTTGCCTTACCTGGTCTTGGCCCATTGGTAGAGATCAACAATTGGCTGGACACTGACCTTCCTAAGCTCAGGAAGCAAGGTCGTGAATTTGACTTTCTCAGCCGTGAAGCCTTCGGCAATCTGTTGCTGATGGGCTTGCACCATCCAAGCGAGATATGACTGCTTGATGTGATGCTTGTAGACGCGTTGGAGTCCGACATCAGCCGGTTGAAGAACGGGTGTGCCTGCAGAGAGCTATGTAAGTGGCTGGGCAGCCAAAGATCCATACAGAGGACTCACAGTTGGCAGGGACAAAGATGATGATAACATGTGGAAAGTTCTCGTGAACAAACACCCAAAACTCCTTCCCTGTATGAACAGGATAGAAATCAATGTAAAGCACAGATTTCTGATCGTCACTCAAGCCCAGCTCCTTGATTTGGCGCCTGACATATGGTCCGAGGACTTTCTGCATCCATTCCTTCATTGTCTTCAGTGTCGAAAAGTGGCTGGATTTCTTGGCGCTTTTGGCAAAGGCAAAGTCGAAGCCCAAGTTACAAGCCTCTCACCTTGGTCAGGCCGCCTACCCTACCCAAATGGTAGAAACTTTTAGTGAATAGTTTCTACCTAAATGGTAGTTGGGGACCGGGGCCATATAGCGTTGGGTGGCCCCACAGGGTGTCTTGGGCGTACCCAACTGCTCCTGTGGGTGTTCCCAATTTAGCTGTTGGGGACACCCATCTGGCGCGAAGCGACAGAAAAAAATAGTGTTTTGGGCCTTGTTTTAGGCTTCCAAGAGCACCATTTGGCACACTGGTATGTCTACTAGACTCTAGTACAAACTGGTTGTATTGCTTCTGCCCTCAACTTTGATCTACATCATTTCTCAATTGATCTCATCATGTAGATCATTTTGAATGCTGTGTTCTGATCAGTGATCCAATCACCTATGTGTGTTGGTGAAAGTTGTTCAGTTTTGCAAGGGCTACAACTTTGATTTCCCATCACTTTCTTTGTCAGCATCAGTCACATGCTCTATTGCCATGTAGAATGGCACAACTTTTGATTGCATATCAATTTTTGATGATACTGATGATGTGAATTGCAATCTCATCTTATCTGTCAGACCCAGATTGACATTATCTGCTTACTCAATAGTGGACCCTGATAATCAAATCCAAGAAAAATCTAATCTTGATGTGGCTATGTGTGATTGGATCATTAATGTGGCACAGCTTCTATTTCGGGCTGGATAATCATCTTATATGATCAAAATTGAACATATTGGACATGTGACTTCCTTTTGTGGATATTTTGATGCAACTTATAGCAACCCAAAAAGGAAATTCATCTCAATTTTGGAATAGCTCATGCTCATGGTGTGGGTTCTGCCTGAGGTTTTCAGGGTATATTCTGCCATGTAATCACTGACATTTGTGCTCTTCAAAGTCACTGCATTGTTGTACAATATCTCCATATCCCAATTCTTTCAGTGATACCCTACCTAGCTTTCCATGACAACACATGCTTCTCTAGGCACATCCCTATCTCTCTCTAACATTCTATGCCTCTTAAGTAATGTACTTCTATCTTGGATCTCACAGTAGAGCCAGCCATTGTATATATATATGCATAGTAACCATTTCCAACCCATCTTGCTTTGATACATAACCAGTGATTTGTCATAGTTCGACCACTTTTTCATCTTATCATCGACCATCTCATCTTATCTCGGCACGGATTATCTTATCACGGATCACGGCATCAGACGGTCCGGACTAGGGGTTCCAGGGATTATCTCTATCGATTTGAGGCTGCGCGACATATGCTCCAGAAGGTTCTACAACAACCCACGACCAGCGTTCCATGCGGTGATAGGCTGGCTACCAGACGCGCTCTGCACCAGCTCTGTAAGGGCGTATTTTTGCGCTTTTACAGAGTTTACTCTTGAACCACTCGGTGTATCGCGTCGCGGTTGACAGTGTTGCGCTCAGTAGGACTTATGGGTCTACTGCCCAGTCGACGACTGTGGATAGTGTCGACGATAGCAAGGCAGTCAGACCACTACTGTGGAATTGGTCTTATGAGTCTACACCAGGCTCAGGGCCATTAGTGACAAACGCTTGGACCGCAACCATTCCCCCAAAAAGGGATCTGTCGTTGCGTCGACTTCTCGAAAAGGGTCATTCTCTGCAGATGGGAACTTGGGCTGAAGGGCTGAGCAATGCGCGACGTTCTCAATAATAGAACTACTACTGGACAGGACTTGGCGTTACGAGACTTAAACCATCTTGTCGCGGCAACTCCCGGTTTTGAGTTGGACGTTTCCTCAGATCATGCCACGACGACGACTTGTCACATGTCAGGATCCATTCGATCACGGGACATTGAGGACGCGTCGCGGTGACACTCCCAAGTGCCACGGCGATTCGCGTCAACACCCAAACACACTAGAAATCGACACGGCTAGATCCGTGAACCGAACCATGTGGGGGACGACTGGCGTGCCTAGGGCCATATGGCTTCTTGGGGCGCCCACGTTGGTCTCACTTGCCAAGACATACCCGTTGGCCAATCCAGCACGTCGTATTCCAAAGTATGACGCGGTGGGTTGACCCACATCAAAAGTATCATATGGACAATGGGGCGGGGTCCTGATCACTCAGGACCTGTCCGATCGTTCAACTTTTCAATTACCCTAAAAGGCAACCGATCTTAGATAGCGTAGCTACTATGCAGTTGTACAGGACTTTACTAAGCATCGTCGTAGACAGTATAAGTAGCACGACGTTTCTTTGTATTAGGGAGCTTTCCCCGGACTGTGAATCACTCTCATTTCAGATTGTTTTGTACAATTTGCGTGCCGCGTGATTCCACCCTAAGAAGTTCTGCTACCCCTGCCCGGTCGCGACGAGTTGCTCCCTGAGCACTTGTAGCTACTGTGATTTGAGTTTGAGTTGAGACATCAGAAAGTCGGATTCGCCGCATCTGGTTTAGTCGCGGCATTTAGTGTCGTCGCCTTCGGGCTTTGTTGAGATCGTTCCACACCTCTAGCTTGGCAGTGCGTCGACTAGTTGTGCTCGGGTTGTTTTGGTCAGTTGGCAGTGCGTCGACTTGAGAACTTTGGTTCCACACTTCTTGCTTGGCAGTGCGTCGACAAGTTGTGCTCGGGTTTTGGACATTGGATATTGGCTGTTAGTTGGCAGTGCGTCGACTCAGTACTTTTGGTTTACTAGTTGGCAGTGCGTCGACTCAGTACTTTTGGTTGTGTCAGTTGGCAGTGCGTCGACTTGACATTTTGGTTTACTAGTTGGCAGTGCGTCGACTCAGTACTTTTGGTTGTGTCAGTTGGCAGTGCGTCGACTTGACATTTTGGTTTACTAGTTGGCAGTGCGTCGACTCAGTATATTGGTTGCATCGGTTGGCAGTGCGTCAACTTGATATTTGGGCTTTGCGTCACCATCTGGACGCTGTCGCTACAAGGGATCTTAATACTTCGTATTAAGCTCTGACTTGTTATATTGTTGTTGTGGATTGGATTAGTGTTGATTGTGTTCGTATAGAAGATATTGGTTGAGATACCATTGTTTTGCTATATATATATATCCTTGTCGTCGACTTCGTCTCCGCGACTATTGGATCTGCGTCTATTGAGAGTTGTGATACTGGTGCTCTGTCCACCCCGAAGCCCTCGCATCTTTCACACACTGAGAAGCTGATTACGAGGAGTGTGATTGTGTTTATATTTGGGTTTACTTTCATAGTAGATTCACTTGTGAGCGCGCCCTCAGCATTTCAGCGGTACATAGTCTTATGACTCATTAGTTGTAGATATGACTCAGACTGGATTTGGGTATAAATACTGTAGCTACTTGGTTGTATTCTCCAGTCTTCGAATTCACTTCTCTTTTCGACTTTGTTTTTGGGTTGATTGTCACATAATTCGAAGACTCCCCTCATACCCTCGTACCTCCTACCTCCTACCCTGCTCCCTGCACCGCTACGCCCGCTATATCCTCTTCACCGTTATCATCCCACTCAGCCTTTTACCGAATCATCTAGTCGCTCGCTGCGGTCGCAGTGAAAGGTTCATATCGAGCAAACAGCACCAGGCCACGGGTAACGTTGAGCCCGACCCAAGCCTCACGGTAGCTACAAGGAGTGCTGCGGAGACCCTCGGGAAAACGCACCTCGGGATCATCGGGCACGTGAAGAGCTAGGCCCGGGATCTCTTTGCTAGCAAAAGAACTTTTCCTCGAGTGCTTGTACAGCACACGAATCCACCATTTTGTACCGATTCCCATCGTCATCTGGGAGTCCATCCCCTCCCCCCATCATACCATCGTCGCCCGATCTGGCGCATCAAAACCAACCCGGGCCCTCCAACCCCTATCTCGCCCTTCCGCCGCCTGAAGACAAGTTCCCCGACCTTGGCGAGTTACCCTCCGAACAACCACCCTCGCCCCCACCTACCGCACCTGTTCCTACCATGTCAGGACATCACCGCATCACCCTCGCCGCCAATCCCCCCTACTTCGATGGCGACAAGTCCAAGTACCTGGGCTTTGTGGATGCGTGCACCACTTACATCGGTGCCTATCGGTCAGAGTTCTCGCTGGACGAGACGAAAATCCTCTTTGTCCTGTCCTACCTCCGCAATGAGAGCGGCACAAGCTGCGCCGCCTCAAGATGGGCGATGAACTGGAAGCAGCACAATTTCGATGGCTTCCAAGGACTAAAGGCGGGAGTCACCGCGACAAGCTTCTTGGAGGAGCTTCAGAGGGCCTTTGGGGATTCTAACACAGAGCAAGTCGCTGCCGCCCGACTCATGGCCCTTCGCCAGGGCAGACGGTCCTTTGCGGACTACATCTCCGACTTCGAAATGCTGGCTGCAGACGCGGGATACAATGTGGTCACCTCCACCGACAGCAAGGGCGAGTACAAGAAGGGGGAACAGGACAACATCCTCATCGAGTTCCTGGAGCGCGGACTCAGCAGCGAAATTGCAAGCCGCCTCTACAACACCAGCGTTCCCCTGCCCAAGGCATATGGTGCCTTCAAGAACTGGTGTGTCAACATCGAGGCGAACGCTCTACGCGATCAGCTGCGCAAAGCATCGCATGCGCAATCCGCACCACGACCGCCTCCCCAATTCCGCCCGCAGGCAGCCCCAATGACACCTGCACCCGCCCCGGCCCGACCCGCTACCAACGAACCAGTTCCGATGGAAATCGATCGCACCCACGCCCGCGGCCGCAATATCATCTGCTACAACTGTCAGCAGCCTGGGCACATTGCGCGGAACTGTCCGGAGCCAAGGAAGAAGCGCACATTCTTCAATCGGGCCACGATGCTGGAAGAGATCGAGAACGGGGACAAGGACAACGAGTTCCTCAAGGAGATCGCTGAGAAGCTGCGCGAGAAGGGTTTTTGAAGCGCTCCACTCCTCTAGCCAAGGAGGTGGAGCGTCCGGACTATGGACGTTTT